ACCGCTAAGGTACCCTTGACAGCATCATCTGAATACATTTCAGGGTCTGATTTTTGGAGAGACAATAGTCTTCCAATCACAGTTGTCTGATCCTTCCCCCTTCAGCAGTACTACTGGAAACCGAACCGGTTTTCTTTTGTCGTGTCTCTTCTACCAAGCCCTGCAATAATTCATCCCTCTTTTCACACACCTTAATGAAACGCTCCTCTTCCGCTTTGAAACCAAACCATTTCAAAAATGGAAAAAAATCCAACACACTACAAGCTGCATTCGAAGGGAACATCTTTTTGATACACTCAAGACACTGCTTCCCCGTATCGATACAGGCAGCCATCTCCTCTTCAATCCACTTCTTTCCAGCATTCATCTTCATAATCACATTGACAGACGTAATTGTGAAGAAATAATTCAAGTTCACCTTTTTGTCTCCACCATCGGAGACATTAGAGAGAATTAGGCGGAGAAGGGTGTGAACTTCTTCGGTAATGGCAGTAGACCTATCAAGGCAACTCTGAGATAACAGTTCCGTAACCGCAAAGCGCCTGAAGACGCGCCAGACATTGCCATACGGAGCAAATAAAAAGGCATTATAGTTGTAGCTCCAAAGACGGCCAAATATGCTGTGAGGCCTGTTAGCAAGCACTACATCGTTCTTCAAGAAACATTCTTCAGCAGCTGATAAAGAACCGATAGAAAAAATATACGTGCTGCCTAACTTAAGAGTAACAATCGGACCATACTTCTTCGAAAGACTTGCTAGTGCTTTATGGAGTGGCGGCTTCGAAAGAAGATGGAGATGGCCTATGATTGGAAAAGAGAAAGGACTTGGTGGTAAATTGTTACGTTGGAATACAAGTTTAACTACCAGAAAGATCGAGAGGAAAAAAGCAAGGTAATAGTACATGTAGTCCATTGTGAAGTAAAGATTATACTCCATGATGGTGAGCATGCATGGAGGAGATATCAGAACGGGGTTTAAATAGATGAAATGAAGAAACGTGGCAGCCACATTAAATTGAAGTTATTACGTGCTAATCGGATTCCAAAGCTTAATAAATGAGTTCATAAGATATGATTATATATCATTCTTTAATATAATTTTTACGTATGATAAGTAAACTCTCAATATATGATTATATATTATTTTTTAATATATGTATTTATTTAAATTTTCTAGTAAAATAAAGTTAAAATCCTAATGACTTCAATTTTCTTTAATAGTTATATAATAGAAGAAGGCTAGCTCATTATGTATTACAAAACCTCATATGTTTTAGATGAACAATAATAATAAAAAAAATTATATCCTGGGTTTTTTTAAAAAAATTTTTAATTTTCAGATTAAGATGGTTTTTTTACATAATAGTATAATATTATGTAAATCAACTTATTGTTTTTTATACCTTTATATTAGTAAAATTTCTTTGATGTCTATATATTATTATGGAAATTATTTAAGTTACTTAAATTTAGATAATATTGCATAATCTTTTTTATTGTTAATATTACCGGTGCTATTTTGACTGTCATAATAATTATAATTATTTTTTTCATAATTTATAGTCAAGCAATTAATTCAACCGATCTAAAGAGACTCTCCTTAGCTAATAGATTTACTGCACTGTTGCCTTGGCTCAAGCTATGCTTAAAACTAAAAGACTTGATCTGCAAACGCCATGGCCTATCTACTAACTTCTTCTGCAACCAGAAAATAGCATTTGTTGAATCTGATTCAAATACCTCATCGATTCGATTTGCTAAAGGATAAGAGATACTAATATCCAATCAACTATATTAATTACTTGCATAAAATTACTGTCGATATATTTACTTCAAGTTACTTTTCTTGATACAAGAAGGGATTGTTCTGAATTTTTTTCTTGACAATAATGATATATAGGTGAACATTGTTGTTGTGCATGCTAAAATTTTATTACCTGACTTGGTTAAAATTGATAACAACATTCTATTGTATTCTAGAAAGCAGCACTTTATTACCTTTTTTTTTTTTTCTATAAAAGCGATTTGGATATACATTAGGTGACAAGACAGATAAGTTCATATCGTGAATCAGAGACAGCAGTATTGCCTTATCAAGTTTATAATTTTCAGATTTTCGTTTATATTGCATTATGTTGTTCTTAATATTTTAATTGTTTAATTTTGAAGTTTTTTATTTAACCTTGTTGTTTTGATTGCATAGTTTTATTTTTTTATTTTGAATCGTCTTTATATTATTATTTCAGTAATTCTACAATCGAAACAGCTTGGAGGTCATAGTTCTTGATAAAGGATTTTCTGGAGCCCATTAAATTCATTTTCATCCTCTTTTATTTCACATGTTTCTGAATTGCCCGTGTTTTAATTTGTCACGTTGTGTTGAAAGATTATCAACCACAAATAGCTAGCTGGTGCTCAATGTTATCCAACAGTCCCACCTAATTTATTTTTTCCAGCCCTAAATGATAATAAACGCATCAACTACGCAAGACATATATATTATGAAATAATTTTAAAAAAAGAATTAATTAGTTTTTTTTTTTTAACTCATACATCTAAGGCCCGTAGTAAAACTAGTCTATTCGGATTTGAATCTATGACTTCTTGTTACAAGAGACCACTATTACTGAGCTACAAGCTCTTTGGTTACTTAGTACTTCTTATTTTAAAAATTAATCCTTTAATTTTTTGCTATTTTATTTTCTTTTATAATTTATTAAAAGTATTAAAAAAGATATTACAAAAAGGTTAATAAGAAAAGAAGGTTTTTCTCAGAATATATTAATATTAAATTAAGCATGTCAACACTAGTCATCAATAGACTAAATAATTAATTTTTGAAAAAAAATTAATTAATTTGTTTATCAAGACTAAAATGAGTAAATAAAAATAAAATTGTTTTAACTTCCCTCAAATGAGATTTTACTTAAATAAAAATAATTTTTTAATATTATCGCTTTTAATATTAAAAATAAACTATAAAATTATGTAATGTTTAAATTTTAAAAGAGACTCCAAATATCTGTTGATTTCAAATAATTCAAAAGCCACATCTTCAATGCAGTTTGTGAAATTTAGTTGATATATTTAATTTTTAAAACTTATTGAGATGTTGATTTTAACGGTAAACAAGTTATTTTTTCTTTTAATATACACATAACATAATCGTATTAATTACTTTTTGATGAAAAAGGAAGATGTATTATTAACGAAAAGAGAGCTTCGCCAACAAAGAGCTAGCACAAGCTAAAGGAAAACCAAGCATGATACAGCACAAAATTACAGACAAGCAATTAATTCATCCGATCCAAGGTTATTACATTGAATCTTCTTTTATTTCAAGTTCTTATGCTTGCAATCCTACAACCTAATTAGTAGTTTGGGGGTTGCAGTTCCCTACAAAAGTTTTCTAACTAATTGCAGCCCTGTAAATTTATTTTAATTTAATTTTTTTTACGACATAAAACCTTTAAAAATATCTTTAGGATTGGTTGTAGTTTACATTTAAGAGTTAATTTGATTTATCTACTTACAAAATTAAGAGATTAATTGTCAAATGCATAAAACTTCATATCATTGTGTTATTTTATTTTATTATAAAATCCTCTTAATTGAGTTCGACAAAAAAACCTGCAATACAGTCCAAGTAAAAATTTAATTGATAAGAACATGCTATTGTATTCTAGATTAAAAGTAAAGCAACAATTTTATTAATTACTTTTGTTCCTATAAGAATGATTTTCATATACATTAAAATAGAAAATAGGTAAGTTCACATGTAAATCACATGCATAACTATTATCCACTTTTTCATAATTTACAAAGATGAAGGACTAATTATATTTTTTCAAGAACATCGATTGAAAATTTTATAGAATTAAGTATCTTTGCTGCCTGATCTCTTTTCTTAATGTTCTGACTTCACTGATATTGCATGAGAGATTAATTCTGCTACACTAGAAGATAATTGTTTGTTGAAAATTTTCTCTTAGCTGAGTGAGATATCGTCTTTCTAGGTTTTTTTTTCGTTATTCTTTTTTTTCTTTTTTTGGGAATACAAGCTTCTCCTTAATTTATTCCATGGATTTTTTTAAGTATAATAATACAAGATATCTTTTGGTTTTCAATATATATATATATATATATATATATATATATAGTATTTGGATGATTGCTATTTGGATGTTAAGACACCATTTGTTCCTCCATCAAAAGTCAAACCAAATTTATATATGATTGATTTTGATGTTGAAGGAAAAGTAAAAACATGTCTCAATTTCGATTGGTTCTGATTCAGAAGAAAAAAAAAAAAAAAAAACAGATTAAAAACTAAAAATACAATTTGCCAATTTTTTTTTTTTAATTTTCTATCACCAACTAATTAGCTAAAACTGTGCTGATCATGTGGATTTTGTAAACGAAAAGAAAATAAGGTTGTCAAGAGGAAAAATCACCAATTACTTTCATTTTTTTCTTTTCTTAGATGGTCAATGTTTCTTGAACACGACGACTGCTAGGTTGGACTTATGGATATATAGTGACGATTGGGTTGGAGTGGTGGATATATAGATTGATTATCTATGAAAGTTTGTTGGGACAAACTCATGCTTTTTTTTTCTTTTTCTTTTTCTTTTTTTAGGCTATTGAGAACGAAAGATTTCATAGTTCATAAGTAACTGTCTGGTGAAAGAAACTTAAGGTCTGGCAATAACGTTTTTGTCGCTATTCAGGGCAAAAGACAGAAGAGAATTCGGTGAAAGAAAATTAAGGAGTGATCAGCCTGAGACTGCATAAGCTAGACATTCTCGGCATGGATTCCGATGAACCAATAGTAGGAACAAGAAAACATTCAGTGCATTAACTCTCTCCTTTTACTAATCCAAGGTGCAAAACATCTTAGACGAACAAGAATCAAAGACGGCAAACCCAAAGTGAACCTGAAAACTTAATTTGATCCCAATCCTTATCTTAGAAATTTCTTCTCGGATGTTCGTGACAACTCAGATGACAGCCTTGTTGATCTCCTTTACGGACCTTCTCAGCTTGTCATCCAGAAATGGTAATTGCTTAGAAATGCTCGTCTTGCATGCCAATAATCGCGATAATTGCGATAATTGCTCTCGCAATAGCCTTCCCTATTATCCGAAAATTAACGAAGAGGATATTGCCTTCCGTGGTCGGATAAGACAGACCTTAGTGTTTGTCATGGCCAAATGTGATTCAAGAGATTAATTAGCCGTAATATTAATTAGTGTAACGGGACACTAATGTATTTATAAAAACCTTAATTGAATTTTTAATTATACTTCTAATCCAATGATGAGTTAGTGGCTGAACCACAGTGAAAATAATTGAGTAAGGTTGTTAATTGGGTTTTGTTGCACCCAAAATCACCAATCGTAATGACCACTTAATTTGATAATTAACAGTTAATATTGACATCAATGTTGGTATACAAATAAAGCCCTCCGACTATCACGAAACTCTCAAATGGCCCCCAAAAAAGAAGTATCGAACATTACCAATCACCACCACCCTTATTATTATTATGAAACAACATCCTTTTGAAACAAATAGGTCCTTATTTCTTGTGATTTAAAGGAAATTTTAAAGAGTAAGTTAATAGGCAATGTCTCATGGATGGGGACTCAATTGAGATCTGGATGATAGTTCGAGGATAAATATGTTCTTCTTCCAGACTTTTTTTTTGTTTTTTACTATGTAACTAGAGTATATTATAAATTAGTCTATGTAATTTTGATAAATGAATTAATTAGATTCTCTGATTTTAAAAACTAATTATTTAGTCTCGTAATTAGTTTTCATCACGTTTAATTTAATATTATTTTATTAAAAAAATATATGTTCTTTTCTCATCAATTTTTTCATAATTTCTATTTATTTATTTACTATGAAAAAAATAAAAAAAATAGAAAAAACATAAAATTAACAAAAGAATTAAATAATTAGTTTTTAAAACAAAGAAAAGTAATTAATTTATTTCTCAAAACTAGAGGGACTGATTTATAATTTACTATGTGTGACTAGCATTATAGATGTTAAATGTTGCATAATTTTGCAAAATAATAATGATGATGATGATGATGATGAAAATAAATAAATTTATTTTCCAATTTGATCAACCTTTTTAATCCAATTATGTGAATTTTGAGATAATTAAATACTTTATTGCTATTTTTATTAGATTATAAAAATTATATATTATAAGAAGACCTAAAAATTTTGGAGTGATTACTATTCACTTACTATTCATTTATACTCATTTTACTATTCACTCACCGTTCATATACACTTATAAACACTATTCATTTGATATTATTAGAAATAATTATTATTTACTTAATTGCTATTCATTCACACTCATTTTATTATTCACTCATTATTCATCTACACCCATAAGAACTATGTATTTAATATTATTATATTAAATGGTATTATTGTGATTTTTAAAAATGTTTAGGTATTTGATAAGGTATTTTTGTAATTTTAGGCTTATGTTTAGGTATTTGATATGAAATTTTTGACAAATATTGTACTTTGGTTCTTATTTTTTTCCAAAATATTTGTTTCAATTTTCAATATTATTTATATCGCAATTCGGCTCCCGAATGTAGATAGAAACAGAAAGAGAAGAGAAGATAGAGAAACTCACGATAAGATCCGTTTTGGCTAAATACTTTGACAGCCCATCGTGGCTATATAATTTTTTTTTATTTTTTAATAAATATGATTTTTTTCTCTATGTATGAATTTTTGAATAATATTTTAGAATATAATTATTTGGTCTTCTTTTAATGAATATACATATCATATTATATTATTCTTATTGTCTAAATTTAATTTTTTTTATTTGTCATTTCTTATGAAATTAATTATATATTTTTATATCATTTTATTTGTTAATAAATATCATTTATTTTTCTCTATATACGAATTTTTTGAATAAAATTTTAAAATATTGTTATTTAATCTTTTTATATATATATTGATAGTTTTCATATGATGGGTACTTATGATTTTTAAATGAGATTGTTGAAAAGCTAAAAGTATATTTAAGATAATTTATCTCAAACTTTTTTAAAAGATCAATTAAAAAAAAAATCACGTGTTTTATTTTCTTCCTCTATATATAATTAAAATTTATCAAAATTAATTTATATTTTTTTTAATTTTAGTCTATTAACTTTAATATGTTTTTTGTAATTTATTTATTTATTAAATATTTATTTATTTATATTGCACACTCTTAACCCACTGGCTATAGTCAATGATGTATATATATAAAAAAAATGAGATAATTATTTTTATTAGAAATTAATTATGTATCTTTACACATTACACTAATCATTTGTTATTGATTTTTTTTAATATTCTAAAATAAATTTCTTTGAAATAAAAAAATCAAAATAATATTTTAAAAGAACCATCTAATTAATTATGTTCTTTTCTCATCATTTTTTTCATAATGCCTATTTATCTATTTATTATTTAAAAATAAAAAGTAGAAAAAAAAACTTAAAATTCAAAAAAAAAATTAAATAATTAATTTTCAAAATAAAAAAAAACTAATTAATTTATTTCTCAAAACTAGATGAACTAATTTATAATTTACTTTGTGTAACTAGCCTAATAGATGTTAAATGTTGCATAATTTTGCTGAAAAAATTGAATTTGTTTTGCAATTTGATCAAGCTTTTTAATCCCATCATGTGAGTTTTGAGACAATTAAACACTTTACTGCTATTTTTATTAGATTATATATATATATATATTTTTTTTATTATTTTTTTTTTAATATATACAAGTATATGGCTTCTGATTAAAAGTGAAATTTTCTCCTCTCTCCTTTGTAAACGTAAGATATATTTTTTCTATTACGGTCTGCAGGGATGTCTGGGCCTTCGGTCAACTTAATGCTCTACAAGGCTGGAGCCCCAGAAAGAGGCAGCCCAGATGAGTGACTAGGCCCAACATTGGTGTCCAGTCTGTTTAATTTCTCTATTATCTAGTTGAATCGATTTAATGAAGATTAGTTTAACACTTAATAAATAAATCCATTGACAATGGTCTAAAGAAGTTCTAGGACTCAGATTTCGTTAACTAAATTCTTACAATGAATTTAAAACCGGATTAAGCGAATCATTTTTTTTAATGGCAATGATCAATTCCCCTAACATATGTGATAATCTCCTTCGAGACTGAACAATCATACTTATACTAATTCTACATCTATTTTTGTGATCGTAGATTTTAACACAATCTCATTAAGTTCATTAATGAAAATTATCAATTAGATTACGGTAATATCTATTTATTTGTTTAAAAACAACACCACCAAGGTTTGATGTTTTTATGAACTAAAATTAATATATCACGGACAAAGACTTTTATGAATCCTTTTAAGTACAGATTTGTTTGTAAAATAAAGTTAAATAACTTGGGTCTTGCATATTATAAATTAGTTTTGAAAAACGATTTAATTGGTTCTTCATGTTTTAAAAATTAATTAATTATTTTATTTTATATTCTTTTCTACTTTGCCATTTTTTTTAATTTTCTGTCACCAACTAATTAGCTAAAATTACACGGATCATGTGGATTTTGTAAACAAAAAGCAAATAGGGTTATCAAGAGGAAAAATCAACAATTACTTTCATTTTTTTCTTTTCTTAGATGGTAAATGTTTCTAGAACACAACGACTACTAGGTTGGACTCATGGATACATAGTGACGACTGGGTTGGAGTGGTGGATATATAGATTGATTATCTATGAAGGTTACTCGTGTTGTATCCATTATGGGTGATAGGTTTGGTTGGCTAAAAAGGTCTGTGCATGGATCAGTATTTGTGTCGCTATTGAGGATACAAGAGACAAAAGAGAGTTCGGTGAAAGAAAATTGAGTGATCAGCCTGAGACTGCCTAAACTAGACATTCTCGGCATGGATATCGATTCTGAACCAATAATAGAAACAAGAAAACATGATTCAGTGCATCAGCTCTCTCCTTTTACTAATCCAGGGTGCAAAACATCTTAGACTAACAAGCATCAAAGATGGCAAACCCAGAGTGAACTTGAAAACTTTGATCCCAATCCTTCTCTTGGAAACTTCTTCTCGGATGCTCGTAACAACTCCGATGACTGTCTCTTTGATCTCCTTTGCCGACCTCTTCAGCTTGTCCTTAGTACCGATTTCCTCCGAGAAATGGTAGCTGCTTAGAAATGCTCGTCTTGCATGCCAATAATCGGGATTATTGCGATAATTGCTTTCGTAATAGTCTTCCCAATTATCCAAAAACTGACGAAGAGAGTATTGTCTTCCATGGTCGGATAAATTAGATGCCGTGACTGGACAGATCTTAGTGTCTGTCATGGCCGAAGGTGATTCAAGAAATTAGCCGACACTAATGTATTTATAAAAACCTTGATTGGATTGTTATGTTTTTAATCCAATGACGAGCTAGTGGTTGAGCCATAGTGGACATATCTGAATAAGGTTGTTGGGTTTTGTTGCACCCAAAACCATCAACCGTAATAACTACTTTGATTATTAACAGTTATAGGTTGACATCAATATTGGTTTAAATATAAAGCCCTCCAGCTACCAAGAAACTCCCAAATAGGCCCCCAGAAAAGAAAATTCACTTTGGAGTTCCCATCTATTGAACATTAGCGATCAACACAGTGTTATAACTATGATGAAACGACATCCTTTTGAGATAAATAGGTCTTCATTTTTATGATTTAAAGAAAATTTAAAGAGTGAGTCAATTGATAATGTCTCACGGATGGAGGGCTCAATTGAGATATAGATGATAGTTTGAGGATAAAAATGTTCTTCTTCCTAACCTTTTTTTTTCTTTTTTTTTAACTATGTGTAACTAGAGTAAACTATAAATTAGTCTCTCTAATTTTGAAAAATAAATTAATTAGATCTTCTGGTTTTAAAAATTAATTATTTAGTCTCGTAATTAGTATTGATCACAATTTATTTTATTTTATTTTATTCAAAAAATATGTTTTCTCTTCAATTTTTTCACAATATCTATTTATTGTTTTAAAAAAGAAAACAAATTGACAAAAAGACTAAATAATTTGTTTTTAAAATAAAGAGAACTAATGAAATTATTTCTCAAAACTAGAGGGACTAATTCATAATTTATCTCTTCTTATCAAAATTCTCATCAAATTGATTTTTTTTATTCTTTATATAATCTTATTTGTCAATAAATATGGTTTTTTTATATATATATGGATTTTGGAATAAAAATTTAGACCATGATTATTTTTATCTTTTTTAATATATATTATCATAATTTATATAAAGGATTCTTATGATTTTTAAATGAAAGTAGCACGGTTGTAGAAATATAGATAAAAATAGAAGTGTGTTTCAGATAATTTGACTCAATTTTTTTTGAAAAAAATATTTAATAATCAATTAAAAAAAGAGAATTCAAGATTTTTATTTAATTTTTTATATATATAACCAAACTTTATCGGAATCAATTTTTTTAGTAGTTTTTATTTTAATCCATTGACTTTAATATATTCTTTATAACTTAGGTTCTTTTAAAAAATTTTATTTATACTGTACACTCTGAATCATTAGTTTTTATTGAAAATTAATTATGTATCTACACACATAACACCAATTATTTGTTTTTTTTTCATATTCTAAAATTAATTTTTTAAATAAAATAATTAAAATAATATTTTGGAAGAACCATCCAATTATTCAAAAACAATTTTTATACTAATATTATTGATTCTTATGTTAATAAATATATATAAATCAAATATACATACTTTAAAAAAAATATTCTCATAAAAATTAAATAAGGATAAAAAAAATCATTTATTAATTTTTATATCAATTTTTATTTTATTTTTTCAATTCAATATTATAAAAAAATTATGAAAGTATTTCTTAAAATTTTGAATTAAATTTTCAATTTAGATTATTGTAAGTTTTTATTTATAAATCAGTGCATAAGAAAGAAAAAATTAATTTTTTCTTTTTAACTACGAAATTTAAGAAAAAACATATGAAAATAGATATTAAATATAAAATTATTTGTTCTTTTTAACTACGAAATTTAAGAAAAAACATTCGAAAATAGAAATTAAATATAAAATTTTGATTAAAAATATATGAAATTAAATGATTTCACCTGTTCAGCGCCTCGCAGCCCAACGCGGACATCCAGCGAGTATTTTTCAATTACAGTCTGCAGGGGTGTCTGGACCTTCAGCCAACCTAAATGCTCTACAGGGCTGGAGACCCTGAAAGAGGCAGCCCAGATGAGTGACTAGGCCCAAAATTGGTGTCCATAGCCCAGCGGAGCCCAAGAGCCAGTAGCCGAAAATTCAGCGACCCAGACTCCCATGGGATGACCATACCAGGCTCCATAAAGCTTTTCTTTTTTTTTCTTTTTTTTTTTAGTAAATTAAAAATTAATCTCTCTCGTTTAGAAAAATAAATTAATTATTTTTTTCAAAAAATGTTTAATTTCATCAATGATTTATTTATTTAGTTTTTATTTTTCGGTTAGATTAGTGATGTGATGTTCTAGTGTAGTATTTTTTTTTTAAATTGTCATTTATTTGCTGTTTTATTTCTCCCATTTATCTTTTTTTCTCTCTCTTGTACTATTATGGTGATCTATCCCTCAATTTCTTCAATTTGACGATCGAGGAGAGAGAAAAAGAGTGGATCAAAAAGAAAAATAACCCATTTAAAGAAAAACAATTTAAAAACAAAAAATACTATTGTAGGACATCTCATCACTAATCTTTAAAAAAAATGATGAAAAACTAAGTTATTGAGATAATTAAAACGTAAAGAACTAAATCATTAGTTTAGCAGGTGTCCTAAAGCCAAACGTTAGCTTTTTTCCTAAATATATATTAAAAATGTTATATAACCGTTAAGTGAAATTAAAGGATATAGAAAAATTCATATGAAATTCCTATAAATACGATAATACATGCATGCTCCAAAGTAGACGGCACTTCAATTCTGTATCCATATTACAGGTCCACTTCTCCAATTCTTTTTTATTAATCTTTTTACAAAATTTCTGGTTAATTTATTATTTTTATTAATAATTGAATTATATATTCATCAAAATATATCTCTTACTTAATAAATTAGTTCCTTCCTTTTCCATGTGAGCAATATTTAAATTCATATATTTTAATTATTAACAAATTTTAAATTCCCAAATTACTTGGCATCCACCTTTTTTTTCAAGGAATAAATCACATATAATTCTTTTGATCTTTATTTGAATGAAAATTCTTCCTCTACAAAAGAAAAAAAGAGAGAGAGAGAGACGATGAAAACAATTGTTTTTTTGTCACTCCGTGTTGACTAGTAAGCTCTTACCAAAGCAATACGAAGTAAACTATAAATTAATCCTTTTATTTTTAAAAATAAATTAAACAGTCCTTTTAAAAAAAAATCAATTATTTAGTCTTAACCAGTGTTAATTATATTTAGTTTGATATTATTTTATTTCATAAAATTTCATCTTTTTTCAAAATCCTTCCGTCTTTTTTATTTTTTCTATTTCTAAAAATAAAAAAAAATACAAATTTTTTTAAAAACATAATAACTAAATAATTAGTTTTTGAAACAACAAAAACTAATCAATTCATTTCTAAAAACCAAAAGGACTAATTTATATTTACTCAAGCAACGCGTATGACTAATTGACTTTAAACTTTCCAAGTAAACTCACAAGACTTTTCTTCCTTAACTAGAGAACCCCACCTTTCTTTCTCCAGTGGATTTAAGGACACAGATTCTAACACACCGCATACTTCATAAACTTCATATCCACAAAACATCAACTCTGGTTCACATCTCTCTCTAATCGAACCAAATATGGCTAGCAATCATGGAGTGATTCAGAGGCCAGGCATCGTGTCAACACCAACCAAACCGGCCGATTCCGAGGATTCGATCGGAAAGAAGCCTTACGATTCCGAACGACCGGAGTTCAAACTAGTATGCCCTTTCAGCATCCCTTCAAGCCCCGAAGCAGCTTCTCTCCGAATTATAAAAAACTTAGGCCACTTTGCGTTGCACTACACACATTTTGTGTGGATTGTTCTGTTCATCACCCTCATCCCAGTACGTAAGGTCTCTCTGATTTATTTGGTCATTATGACTTATGTGGCATCTCTTTACCTACTGTTACTTCGTGCCCTACCAAGTTCTTACTTGCTACACAAGGTTATTAGTAAAAATATAGTGCTTGGCTTGATAGTTATTGCAACTATGGTTGAGCTCATAGTAACAGAAGCTGGCTTGCATCTTGTCATCACCTTAGCAGCCACGATTCCTATTGTTCTGGTTCATGCTGTTTTGTGGGTTAGAGAGGATTTCTGTGTTGAGGATGGGACTGCTGCTGCTGCTGCTGCTGGGGATTTGGTTCCTCTTGCTGATGAGTCAACGGCAATGGTGTGATGATGATCATATTTGTTTTTCTTTTATTTTTATTGTTGTTGTTGTGTTTTGTAACGATAAGATTCTCACTACGTACTTGGCCAGACTTTGAAATGTCAACGCCGATAAAGTGGAAAAGTATTTGTGTGCCTAAATTTAGATTACGTGGGGAATGACCAAGTCAATTCCAACATTTGTTATTTTTTAATATTCGAGGATGCATTTTCATTCTTCATTACTTAGTTTTAACATGGTTAAACTATCCAAATATTTTTTGAATTTAAGCAATTTGAGAATCAGTTTTGTAATTAATTTCGGATTTAAGTTTTTTAATTATTTTTTCATTTAAAATTAGATTATTTTATTATGTTTTCATCAATCTAATAATAAAAATGAACGTAACAAGCACGTGGTTGACTTTTTAACTTTATTAATGGTTAAAAACATATCGACTTATAAGTGTTTTTATTTTTCTTCTAAAATATTCTTTAATTGTTTATTTTTTAGTATCTAAGAAGGAAAAAACAAGTTTTGAAAAAAAAATTAAATCATCTATAAATTTTAGCATTTTTTTCCGACAATAAAAGTGTCTTTAGACTAGTTTTTATGCATTTCGAAACTAATCCTTTCTTGAACATGGTTAAAAGACACTCCCTAACGCACAATCTCGATAAATATTTTGAAAATAAGTTTTCAAGAGTGCCGATTACGAGAATTGATCTTTAGACCTGATTTATAAGTCGACGCTTATTTATCAATTGGCTATCACGTTATGGTTAAATTTTAGCATGTTTTAGCTATTGAAGAATTATACTTATATATTAAAATTGATAAAAACCTAATAAAATAACTCAATTTCTAACAAAAACATAAGAATCGATTTTAAGATGATTTAAAGTTAAAAACGATTTGAACAATGTGGCATTTTAATATTTTTTGCATAGACAATAACTCAACTAGCATGAAATCTTGAATTTGGACATTTCCTGGTCCTTGCATACTATGTTTCCAATGCTGGCTTTATCTGTAATTATAATTCTTCTTGTCAGAGAAAGAAAGTCATTAATTGGTCCAAAATTAACAAGGTGTAAACTTTTAAACAAGAGGAGCATGATCAATTTTTTTTTTTTTTTTTTTTTTTTAACCAAAGGAAATAATGCCACCACCAATTGAGTCATGGATTGACTAAAAATCAATAGCATAAATATTTAAAAGTCCTCTATATATGATATCTATGAACAAAGTGGTGTAGTGTTATATCACTAATTATTACAAAAATGATTTTATTATTATATATATATATATATATTTTTTTTTTTGCCTCACTGGAAAACAAAAAAGAAAAGAGTCGTATTAATTATTTAACATGGGCCTAAGAGTTAAAGTGCTAGGCTGCTAGCAGTTTTCCAGATCGTGGCCCATACCTACATCTGGATTCTGGACCATGTTAAATTTTCCTACAGGAAAGACAGGTCGAAAATATATATATATATATTATTTCCCAAAGTTCTGTGAAGACTTGAGAAAAATCTGTAATATCAACCAATGGAATAGCAAAGGGACAAACTTCAAATAAGTCCCCCAACTATATAGGGATTCTCGATTAAGATGATGAAAAGTTATATCGCCATAGCTTTAGATAATTTTCATTTGACTCCCATGCATGTCTCCTAAGACAATTGAATTCAAAATGTTTTAAGAAGAAAAGATGTAACATTTTTTAGTAAAATTTTGTGAAAAATTTAGATGAAAAACTCAATTGAGAATTTATAGATATTTAAGAAACCTAATGAGATAGAAAAGATTTTCAAGGGCTCAAGAGTAATTTATGCACATTTCTATTTTTCTTATTGCTAAAGATATTCTCCAATTAAATTTTACATACCAAGTCTATTTTTTTCAACCAGATTAAAAAAAAATTGGCTTAATACATTGCTATATGTGTCTTTGAATATATATATATATATATATATATATATATATATATCAATTTGGATGATATCATACGATCTATGCCTGGTTTTTTGTAAGATTTTTGTGAAATAGACAAGGACGTATGCACATTCAAATAAAATTTTTTTACAATAATATTTATTTATTGTTAAGTTAAATACCTTTCTAATCGGCTAAAACATAATTTTATCATGCCTTATTACCTTATCCTAAATTTCCATAATCCTACCTTCTGGGTAATGGTGAATTATAAAGGTGGGAGAACGTACTTATGGATAAAAAATTCTATAACCCCTCTGTGGAGGTATTCTTGATTAATACAGCTCAATACTTTTCCTTTCATGTGCTCTCTGGCCTATCATCCAACTTATCTTCAAGAGAATAAATAATAAATAAGTACTTTTAGTTTGATAATAATAAATAAGTACTTTTAGTTTGATAAAACAAATTAAATAGTTTATTTATTTTAAAAATTAATTATTTAATCCGTAATCGATGTTGATCATGCTTAATTCACATTTTAGAATAAAATTTTAAAACATGATTTTTTTTTCTTTTTTAAAAATAAATTGGTATAATATATATATATATATATCATGAATTCTTAGAATTTTTATATGATAATTGCATATGTATAAATAAATAATTATTTTATTCTAAAAGGTTAAAAGTGTATTTCAGTTCACTACATATGGTTAAAACATATAAAAAAATTATCAAATCGTTCATTTTATTAAAAATTAACTATACGTCTTCCAACATAATACAAATTATTTACTATAAATATTTTTTAACATTATATAACCAATTTATTCGAAATGAGATAATTAAAATAATTTTTTAAAGGAACCAACCAATTATTCAAATATTTTTTTATGCTAATTTTACTGATTATTTTGTCAATAAATATATATAGATCAAACGCATATACTAGAAAAAAATTAATCTTCTAACCAACATTAAATAAGAATAAAATTTTATTTTTTCATTGGTTAATTTTTATGCAAGTATATACATTAATTGTAACTTTATTTTTTAAATTCATTCTTATAAAAAATATAATTTTAAAGTATTTTTTTGAATTCTTAATTAATTTTTCAGGTTTAAATTATTACAAGTTTTTATTTAAGAATTCCTAAATAACGAAGAATAAATCATGCTTTTTAAGCAAAACTTTTATAAAAAACACACAAAAATAGTAATAATCAAATAAAAAATTATTACATTTTGAAATGATTTTGTTCTATTTACTAGTAGCGTTGCGTGGATAATTTCAAAAATTATTTTTTCTCATCGCATTAAATCAAAATTTTTTTTCATTTGTTAATTTTTGTCAAAGTCTCGTCCATTAATTATAAATTTTTTTTTAGAGTACAATATTGTGAAAATTATATTTTTAAATTTTTTTCAATTATTGAGTAATATTTTAGTTAAAATTATTATAATTTTTAATTTTAAAATAAATCCATAGAGAAGAATGATTTATTTTTTTAAAGCAGATAATTTATAAAAACATCAGAAAAAATTAATTAAATTAAATATTATAATTAAAAAATTAAAATTTTAAAATAATTTTGTTCTATCGGATCCGTGGCGTAGCACAGGAAATCGACTAGTTAAAACTAGATCCCTTTCCAAATATCTTTAACAAGCTATCTATAATTGAAATCTTGCATTTTGAATTTTTCTTTTATATATATATGTTATTTTTTACCCTTGTAAATGTTATTTCTTAAATAAATTTAATTTCAACTGACATGTGAATTAATTGGAAGACTTTTTTTTTTTTTTAAAGACGAGCAATCTTTTCCTGAAAGACGTCATTTATCCTTAAATGCCATCTTTGGGCCCTTTGGGAATTAGACAAACATCAATGGGCAGTTGAGCCATGTCCCAATGCTGTTCAAAAGGGTCCACCATATATAAACTTTCAAAACCAAGACACCTGTGCAAATTACAGAAACAACCAGAAGAAAGAAAACGAGAAAGCTCAAGCAACTCTTAATCAATTTCAAGCATAAAGGTAACAAACTTATCTCTCTCTAAAAAACCCATTTTTTTGTCTGGGAAATCTGAACTTTTCTTTATTTTATTGTTTTTGAATAAAAATTTCAAAACTTTAGTACCATTATTCGGATTTACATATGGAATTTACTTGTACTTTATGAGGAATTCAGTGTGAGAAAAGGGTTGGTGATTGATTGTAAAGGAAACCCAGGATTTTATTCGAGTTGGATTGGTTAGATGTGTGAAGTTTAGGTCCTTTGGGATTCATTTTAATCTGGGTTTTTTTTCAAATTTGTTAGATTTGAAGAGGGTTTTTGCTTTATCTGATAAAGTTTTGATCTTTGAGGAGAACCCGCATTTGATTGAGGGTTAGTGGATAATTTGTCGGTGGAACTCTTGGTTTTAAAGAGAGGAAGTGAAGGGCTTTGTTATAGATGGGGAGGCCCTTGTTTTATGAGATTGTGGAAAAACCAGCTACAAGTTGTATGATAGGAATATGTAGTGCCATATGGTTTTACATACAGAAGAAAAACATTGGGTACTCACATGTGGGATTGAGTTATGAAAATGCCATAGAAGGGCAACATTGGAGGATAATTACTTCTGCTTTTTCGCATATTAGTGTTATTCACCTTGTTTTCAATATGAGTGCACTTTGGAGTTTGGGGGTTGTAGAACAGTTGGGGCACATTGGCCTTGGTGTGGCTTATTATCTTCACTACACGCTTGTATTGGTCGTATTGTCAGGGGTGCTAGTACTGGGGATGTACCATATATTGATACAAAGATTCAAGATAGAATATTTCCGGAGAGTGACGGCTGTTGGGTACTCTTGTGTTGTATTTGGGTGGATGACAATTCTTTCAGTGAAGCAACCATCCTCTAAGTTGGATCTTTTTGGATTTCTTTCGCTTCCTATCAGTTTCGCACCTTTCGAATCATTGATTTTTACATCAATTATTGTTCCACAAGCGAGTTTTATTGGTCATTTATCTGGAATTGTTGTTGGATATGCGATTGCATGGGGTTTGATACACGGGATGAACAATTTCTGGGCAATATCAATGCTTGGATGGATTGTTCTTGCTTTTGTGGTCAGTTTGAAGCGGTCCGGTGCCTGTGATTTTGACTTTCTTGAGATTGAATCTGTTACAGATCCTTCACTGCCTTCTGTGCGGTTCCTTGGAAGTGGTAGAACCTTGCAGATGAGTTCACTGCCAGTTGAAGGTGTTGAAATTGTTTAACTTCTGTCTAAGATCTTATCCCTATTTGTTAACAATGGGCTTTTACTCACTGAAGAGTTATCCCTCAATGCTATTTAATTACAGGTTCAAGTTGGCACTCCCTTCTGCTGTAGACTTGCAGATTTACAAGTGCAGCTATCTCATTCAGTCATTCGTCAGAATGGTGGATGCATGTTTTTGTAGACCGATGTGGTTTGAGAATCATAAGCCATTGTTTGTAACCCGTTCTTTGTTCCTAATACTGCAGCTTTTCTTCCTTTTCAAAATTCTTTGGACTTCTGATCTCATGATTTGGTTTTTGGATAGGCACTATATTATCAAGAAATGATAAAAAGGCACTTGTTTACAGATCTATAGTAAATATGTAGTGCAATGAAGATATTATGGGTATATATAACTATCAAGCTTAAAAGAACAAGATGCTTTTTTGCGTTCAATCTCTTTTGCTTCAGTTTTTGCTCAATTATCTACTTGCATTTTGCATTGTGACCATTGCTTGACTATGCTTATGGTTATCTATTGCATAAATCAATGGCTAGAGCATCTACGCACAATGGTTTGTTTGGATGATGTTTCCTGTTTCATTATTTCAACTAGACAAGATCTCTACATTCAATCAATTATCATATGCAAAGTCGCATCCAGTTTGGACTTTGGAGTCACTGATTCCTACTTTAGCTATGCCAAAAAATTGCTGGTTATGAGACTTTGCTTCGATGGAGAAATTGGAGGTAGATAAGCTCTTGAATGATTCATTTCGGAAGCACTCGGGTTTTGGCCAAAAAAGAGAAAAGAAAGGGTTTTGATTTGGTGAACATAACACCAACTGGATGCAGTGATGACAGTTATTTAAACTGTTTTTATTAGATGCACATCGACATCGATGGTATTAATGCCATTGCTTTGGGGGTTTCTGCGGCTTGTCATGGAGTCATTTTGCATGGAGATGGCTTGCCCTAGCCCTGAATTCTCATTGTTGAATGGGCCCTACTAATGGGCTTTCAAGTTCAGCTGATTTTTGGTGCCTGCTGCACGATGCACTTGTGCGTGAGACAGAATGAATCATTGTTTGACTTATATATATATACATATATACAATTACAGAATCAAAAGAGTTATGTTTTAAAATCGATCAAAAATTCAATGAAAAGTTAAGCGTGATCTAATATTTATCTAGTTCAAAAAATGTGGATTGAGCGACAAAATTCACAAAAAAAAAAATACTATTGATCTAAAATTTAGATATCGATCTACCATAATCTGTTAAATTGTATACATAAAAATAAAAAAATAAGCTTCAATCTCGTTGATTCAAAGAAAATCAAAAATTGAAAAAACTAAAATATTTTCTCATAAAAGTTTATTAATCAAGCAAAATATGACCTTTTTTAACCTAAAAGTCTTAAATAAATAGTAAATTTTAAGTCAAAACCCTAAAGCAATTTGAAAAAAAAAACACACACTAAAAATTCAAAATTAAATAAAAAAAATCTCAAAAATCACTAAAAATCCCACACAAACAGTAAATTGCAATTTTAAAAGCCTAAACGATTTTTTTTTAATCAAAATCACCCTAACGTTATAAGCATTAGTTTTGATCATTAGCTCATTTGGCATCGAATTAGGTCCAAAAGCCCTCAAAATTAAGCCGAAAATCCCAAATCACATCACCATTAGCTATCGTGCCGCTTCATGAATTCCAAGGCCTTTTAGTCCACATAATTGAGTATCAATGAGTCTAAGAAGGGCCAAAGTCAGGGATCTAACTCAAGAAACAGCAACGTACAGACTACAGTCTGCGGCAGTGGAAGAGCTTCAAGCTAATGAAGGCACATTCCCAACTTGTCAAGGCAGGCTACATTGTCCTGCATCATTCTCCCCAGTTCTTTTCTCAGGAAACTTCACCTGTTCGATTCATCTCCTCAGAACCCTAAGTACATAACATAAATGAAATTGGCAAATTCGACACAGCTTTTGGGGGAAATAATACTTTTGAACTACAAATGTATCAGAATCAGCTATCAACAAATTTAATATCCTGCCAATAAATAATATGACTCGTTGACTGCCCGTGCAAATGGTTTAATCATAACTACAACAAATCAAAAGAATGGAGAAGCACGATTACTAATCAAGCAGCTGAATGCTGTGAAAATTGGATACTTGTTACCACCTCAATCATCTGTGACATCCATACTAAGCTCTAATCGACGGCTATGTATGCACTGTCCATCAGGAGTATCTAATTCATCTGCAATTTGAGACATCGTACACATATGTGAAAATTGTTAGCTTCTAGAATTACAGCATTATGTAAATCATGGAAATAGTCTTGGAGATGGATAAAGTCCATCTATAGTCTTGGAAACAGATAACGTCGATGGACAAGATCTCCAAAGCAAGGACAATGGAGTAGCATTTAAGGAGAAAGTGGTTGATTGATGAAACGTGCATACTCAAGGCAACATAGATAATTTGGCAGGAAAGCAATAATTAACAGAAGGAAGAACAACTGACGAACGTGTACTGGAAAGAAAAGGGAAGGGGTGAGAACAGACTTGGAGACAAAAGCACCGAATGGGTTTGCATGTTATGCAAATATCATATATTCATAACCTCCACATGATGGAAACGGATCATAGGATGCATGCATCTTAAGTTAAATATTGCCAATTAGCTCATGCCAAAATGGCATACTAATGAAGAGGTAGCGTAAAAAGGGTTTAATTAGGCATGCCTGGCTTTCTGATCTCCAAAAAGACAGTTTTCTATAATGCAAACAATAATTAAACATGCCTGGCTTTCTGATCTCCAAAAAGGCAGCTTTTCTATAATGCAAACAAAGGATATTGTTGAAAACTTGAAATCTTTTTTGTGAGCTCACTTTGACATGGCACCAAAACAAACCAAAGTTTAAACCTTCACGGCTTCACTCACTCAAATGTAAAAATATGAAGGTAATTGTAATTTACAAGTCTTACCATTTCTTTGGGTCTTCACTGCCCTCTTTGAGCTCAGAAGTTCCATTAACATGGGTTACGCCAGAAGTAGAACCATTTTCTTGAGCACCTGGCATGGGATGGAGGAGTTGAGAAAACCCCTGTCCGATTGACTTCCACAAGCGTGTTGGCAATGAAGACTGCAAGTTATCACTACTTCCATATGGCGGTGGTTCGTATAAGGAAGCAGAAGCAGGATTTAATTCAGAAAATCTTAAGGCACCTAAGATCTGTTCTGGAAGCTCTGACTCATTTTGACCCTCAATGACGAAAGCTAGGTCAACAGTCAACATTGAGATGTAACCAAATGCCAAATGAACTATTGCACTTGCAACCATTGAAGATCCAATATCCACATCCACTTCAAAAAGTTCTCTGTGACAAAGTACTTGCAGGAAAGGGTGCGCCCGATTATGCACACAGCTTGCTCTCCAACTGCCTTTTTTACTATCCACGGGCCTTTGACAATGTTGGCAATCAGTTTAAGCCTTGAATTTCTAAACCCGTCATCACCTTTCAAGTACTGGTCCATTAAGGATCCCTCAGGAATTGGTTCTGTGGCTACGAAATAGGCCACAGCGCTATAGTTGTCCTTAGATGGGAGTTGTAGATTAAATGCCCAAACAAAAGGATTATCACCATCAGGAAACTCCTCATCAATAACCTTCCTCACACGGCTTTTGCGATTCTTTAAAACTTCTGCGATCTTTGTGGAACCCTTAATCCAGTCAAATCCAAGAGGCTTTAAAAGATATTCACCACCAGGGATTTTAACCTTAGTTGTCAAATAATCTGGACCTCTTACCATGAAACAATCCCCAGGTGGAGACCACCAGCCATTCGAGCAATTATCTGGATCAAGCAAGGGAACAGCTCCCTCTGATTTTACTCTCTCTATCCAATGAAACTCACTATCAACAGGGCTGGCCATATGTTTCTGTTTTGCATAAACATATCAGATAACCAGCAGTGATAACATGAAAGCAGTAACGAGTAACATCAAATATGTGCAATCAGTGGCAGTCTATACACTTGCCAACTTTGCAAAACGTATAAAAATAAATAAACCCAGAACCTTCACCTCATGAATGAAAACATGTAATGGAATAACTAAAGACTACTCTCACAAACCCATCAAAACATAATCGAATAAAGAGATTGCTATTTTCAGAGTCAAGAATCTTCATATCACATTATCACCAAATGTAGTTACGAACTTTTCTTTAAAAAGTTCTTCCTTGAGGTTTTATCGACCTGAATGAGTATTTAATCATCAAGAACTAATAACTGATCATATATATCAACATGTTCAAGTGATTAGCTTTGGGGCATATGGTCATATTAACGGAATATTCACGGAAAAATGTTTCCAAATCTACTTCTCTTTCATGAAAACAAATTCAAACGAGAACCAAATGCACAACACTATAATTAAAACCAGCACAGAAACCCCAACAAACCAAATCCACAGCATTTGCCAAGAAACTGAAGTTCAATGCACCAATTACAACCAGAATTGCGAAAAAAAATCAAAAAATTACCAAATTCAAAACCTAAAGAGGCACCTTTGAACATGGCAACCACACAAACAACCATGCTATTATCTCCACAAGTGTAAATTAGCAAGAAACCCACAAGGGGTAGCTACAGAAACCTACCAGAATGGCAACAAAAACATAAATCATTCAGTGACTAAAAACCCCAGAAGCCAAAAAATTAGAAACACGAAAGAAATTAAGCTAAAGAAGCAATTAAAGCCACAAAGTTCTAACCTTTTTTGCAGGGAAGACAAAACGGTCACTCAAAGAATCAAGGTTTCCTTAAGAACCCAAATTAGAAACAGATACATAGATCACAAATAAAGGGTTTGGTCTCTTTGATTTTTATTATACGAGCAAGCTTCCAAGACAGCCTTCAATAAAGGCTAAAGTTGTTTGCTTTTTGTTAGATTTTGATGTTTATGACGATCAAACCTTAGCCGTGTTTGTTATTTACTGGCCACTGGCGAAAGCAGTGGATGTTTGAGGATGAGAAATGAGTATGATGCGAAGAAGAGATACTGGATAAACCAGTATCAAGTAACTGTCTGACAGATTTTGTGTTATTGACCAATCAGAAGAGCCCCACGTCTCCCGGGGGTTATGATCTCAAGTAGTCATTAGTTTTCATTGCAAAACCACAGTTTCATCCTTGATGTTTTCTGTTTTCTTTTTATATATTTTCTAGGATTGAGGGTCATGTTCTGTTTTCTACGACAAAATATTATGTAAACAAATGGATGTAAAAATATCTGCTTTGATGCAAAAAAAAAAAAAAAATATATATATATATTTAATAATCCAAACAAAATAAAGATTACAGAATATAGATAAAAATAGAAAAAATATTCACTAGTAACAAAAAAAAACATAAATAATAAAAAAGTCATTACGTATAAAGGTAAGGATAAAAATCACACATTAGAAAACTTTAATAATCAAAACAAAATAAGAATCACGTAACATAGATCAAAACAGAAAGAAAACTTAAAAAAAAAATCAGGAACAATAAAATTTTGGAGATTACAATATTTTTGTATAAAAATAAAAAGGTTGATTTAGTCCTTTTTTAGGACTTTGGGTTTTTTATTCTTTTATATTTATATTTGATATCAAAACTTATAAAATCTTTTCACTTACGCTCGTAAATATAACTTATTTCTCTCAAAAAAATCAAATTATTTATTTAATAGACATACTAGTTTACTCTAATAACGTACAACAATATAATTTTTTTATTTTTATTTCATGTTGATGAGAATATCGATTTTTAATAATTTAATAAAAAAATTAAGGAAAAGTACAACAATAAAAATTAAGCATGATACGAACAATTTTAAACTTTAAAGGATCGAAACAAAAATAAGAACAAAAATGAAAAAGTAAAGAAATGTTTGCAGCATCTAAGATTAAAAATCGCATGACCAAAACTCTAATGACCAAAATAGAGGTAAAATCATAAAATAGAGACCAAATCAAATAAAAAATTAAAAAAAAATTAACTACAATACAAACCCATTTTGTTTTAGTATATTTACTAGATTTTTTGCTCGCATTACGCTGCAAGTTGAATAAAATATATAAAATTATTTAGAAAAATTATTTCAATTTGGTAGTTTGTTTATGGTGTGAATCTAAAAAAATATATAAAATCAAAGGTGAAAAAAATATTTATAATTTTTTAATAAAAAATTTTGTATTTAACTATTTCTTATATGTGCTTTTCATAATTTTTTCTTTAGAAAAAAGATTTATCCTTGTTAATCCATGCATTATTAACTAAAAAGAAAATTGAATAATTTTTTTTTAAAAAAAGCTTTAGTATTTCATAAGATTGTGTCGAAAAATAAAAATAATAATTATTAAAACGTTATATAAAATTGAACAAATAATTTTTTTATTTTTATTTCATGTTGATGAGAATATCGATTTTTGGAAAAAAATTGAATTTAATTTTTATATATTTATTTACAAAAGAAAGAATAATATTAAAATAAATCAAAATTGTCGAGTAAATATAATTTTAAATTAATTGGATAAGAATTTAAAAGAAATGACAAATTAAAGTAGTAGATTTTAAATAATAAAAATAATTAGCAAAAAACACTAAAACAAAATGGCACCAAATCACAATGCAATTAAAGTTTGAAATAAAAAAAATGTATAGAAAAATTGATGACCATATAATTTTAAATTAATTGGATCGATGAGAATTTTTTTTAAAAAAAGAAAAATTAAATAAAATTAGCTAAAATTTTTTATAAAGCTTTAGTATTTCATAAAATTGTATCAAAAAAATAACAATTATTAAAAGCTCACATACAATTGAACAAATAATTTTATTTATTTTTATTTAATGTTGATGAGAATATCGATTTTTGAAAAAAAATGAATTTAATTTTTATATATTTATTTAAAAAAGAATGAATAATATTAAAAAAAAAATTAAAACTGTCCTTAAATGTAATTTTAAATTAATTGGATGAGAATATGGAAAAAAATGACAAATTAAAGTAATAAATTTTAAATAATAAAAATAATCAACAAAAAACACTAAAATAAAATGAGACCAAATCACAATACAATTAAAATTTAAAATTAAAAAAAATATATTGTATAAAAAATTTGAGGACCATATAATTTTAAATTAATTGGATGAGAATTTTTTTTAAAAAAAAGATAAATTAAAGTAGTAAATTTTAAATAATAAAAATAATTAACACAAAACACTAAAACAAAATGGGTTCAAATCATAATACAATGAAAGTTTGAAATTGAAAAAAAATATAAGAAAATTTAGGACCAAAGTGTTAACAAAAAAAATAAATAATGATTTATAAATGTGTAAATAGTAAAATATGAGTGTGTGAACAGTATTTGAAACAATAACAATATTTTTTTTTTGCTCTAGTTTGTTTTATAATTTATAATTACTATTAATTGCCCGTTTCTGTGATGAGGAAATCATCCTTATGTGAAGATTTTTCCAATTTATTCATCAGAATGATGTAAACTTTTTTATCTTCTTAGTGCTAGCAGCTTTTTCTACATATATGTATACAAAAAAGAGTCAAGAGTTCGATTAAAATCACAGAAGGGAGGCATTTAGAAAAGTAAAAGGGTTATATAGTTAAAGATCCAATGGACCTGAAACAAATCCGACTCCGTACTTGGTGTTGGCATCTGTAGAAACATTGGGCCTGCACCTCAAAATTATGAGTTCTGGATGTTTTGTAATGCTTTTGTAAATGGATCTTGTCATTGGCTCGCAATGGAATACAGACATGCAAAAATATATATATGTGCTTTGACTTTGAAAGTGAGAGATTTACATCAATTTGTTTGCCTCCTGTTGATCGAAGATGGTGATAACAGTTTATATATGTCAAATATTGGTGTTTTTCGAGAGTCTGATCTCTTCTATTCTAATTATTGTAAACATGAAAGTTATCGTTGGAATTTCTCCGAGGTCTGGATAATGACCGAGTATGGAGAGTAAGAATCTTGGGTTAAAATGCTTGTCATAGAACGCCACTCGTTAAGCCTATCGCGGCAGTTCATATGGCGTTTCATGGTGATCGGTATCTTAGAAAATGGGAAGATTTTGGTGTTGTGTGACCATTATCTGATTCGGTACAACCCAGAAAAAGAAAACTCACACAAAGCTGGATACTCTTGGGACTCCGTCACGAACTGGTGAAGAATTTATTCACATGAGACAGGACTTTGCTTCTTTCGAAGATATTGTGGGGGCAGACAACCTTGAGGTTTTGAAGTTTAGCTGAAGATGATGAAAAGAAAAAACTGCTCCACTGCCTACGTCACATCATATGTCATTGTTATTGGTGGATTACATTTACAGTGTTTGGTTTCAGCCATTGGTGTGAAGTACGTTCATCGCTGCTGTTTGCTTCCTTTCCTTTTCTTTTTTTTTCTTTATTTAAAATCAAGTTCTTTGTCGATTTCCTGAGTCCTGACTATAATCATGTTTTTTTCTTGCTTCGATGTTATTTCAACAATGCACTGCAGTTTATTGCTCTGATTGTGACGATACATTGACGAGTTATAAAAGAACTAGTTTGATAGACCATCATCCTGTATTTCAAGTAGCTAGAATGATGCTCAGGTTCTCCCTGTTTGCTTCTGCATGACCTGATTTAAAAAGAAAAGAAAGGTCTCCTTTCGAGGATTAAACCACGTTAGTTTCCTGGTTGTTCTATATATATAGACGGTCACACAAAAATTTTTATGATTTTATTTGAGTAGGGCGCAACTTGAAATAACAGTTCCTGTTGATGTTTGAAAATAATCATGAAATAACAAACCTGCTGATCTCAGAGTACTGTGTATGGCAGCCAAGTCTTCAATATCGAATTCATCATCAATAATTCAAGCATTCATGTAGATTCATGCAGTAGAATGACAATGGAAGCTGGCAATACTGCTGGTGGTCATCTAACTCATCTTCTTCATCTATCTCATGGTAATCCAGGTCTCTTTTATGCCACTTCGGCCGAAATAGCAGACCATGTTGTGCAGACACAATTTGGCCCAAGATTCTTTTACACCATAATCGTTCATTAGCTCTCTAAACTCCTAATCCACCGATATTTCAAGATCGTTGACTTGAAAAGTTGAAGGCAATAACAAAATTGTTCTGAATTGCTCCCTCTCGATATCAAACGCTTATATATGTCCAAAGATCCATTAACATATGCTTCATAAGATATCCAATAATTACTGTCATCATTAAATTGAGGATTGATTCCGATCCTTTTCCTCAAAATTCAAGCAACTAAAGATTTCTCTCCTAATTGGGATGGTTATCCTCTCTTTGATTTTTCATAGAGTTGCACATTAAATTAAATATATTTATGATCTTTTTGATCTATTTTTAGAATGGATCTATTGCGTAGTTCTGACGAAATCAAAGGTAGACAAATTCTTCAAGAACTTGCTATCTGAATTCTTAGATCCGGTAATTTAGCTTTCAATGGTTGTAATATTGTATTTTAGTCCTATTTTTGATGGATTATTTCTTTGTCAGTTTATTTTATTTTTATTCCTATTTTTTTTTTAATTTTTTTTAGTACTCTAAACTCATCTTTAAGCTACGTTCTTGCTGGCTCTTTTTAATATATTGATGGACATTCATCAAAAAAATAAAAATTAAAAGAGGAAATATAGATGTGGGGGCTTGATTGAGGAAAGTCTAATACTTCTGGGACCTAATTAAGAAAATTATAGTTTGGAATTTAGTTGAGATTTGCTAGATATTTGGGCACTAATTTGAGGTTTGACCATTAACGGTTTTAAGAGTGGAGAGGATCACAAACAATATCAACAGGAACAAGAACAGAAATTTTTCGCTATTCCTCCAACCTAATGTTAAGAAACATCAATTGTTAATCAAATACTTAAAGCTATTAATTATCATGTATCTTTCCTCCTTTGTTTTTTCCTTTTTAATTCCATAGCCCTACCTAAGTTCTTCGACACACAGCAGCCGTCTTTTCACCATTGGAAAGTTTTCTTCCACCACTCTATTCTCCTGTTTCCCTTTGCGAAAGATTTCAATCTAAGGCAACCAGCAGCTTCTGAAAAGCAATGTCCTGCTATATCTCAAACCTCTCAAGCCATATCCTTCAAACAATCTTCTCCAAACTCTCCATCTCCACTCTTCAAAGATGCAGGAACGTTTGCAAGTCATGGCAACATATTCTTGCAGACCCTAGTTTTGCCCTACTCCATCAAGGGTGCGCTAATGACGATAACCTCATTCTTTGCTTGGAAACTAAAATCTTTGGATCTTATAGCGAAAGAAGTCTTTACTGGCTTGAACATCAAGGAGAGTTTAGCCACTTTGATCTGGCAAAGACTGGCACAATATCGAAGCTTAATTTCATAGTCCACTTTGTCAATTCATGCAATGGCTTGCTCTGCCTATGTTTGAATCCGTTCGGACATGTTATCGATACTATTTTGTGCGTATCAAACCCTATTACAGGTGAGTATGTTTATCTGCCGCAACTCGGATATGATAAATATTCTGACGAGAATATGTGTGGACTTGGTTTTTGTTCAAGCACAAATCAATTTAAGGCTATTAGAATTTTCTTCACAAAGGAACAAGAAGATAGTATTTTGCATGCCGAGGTGTACACATTTAGAGCAGACACCATTTTACTTGATGATAAAGCAACACCAAGAGGGTTTGAAACTGATACTTGGAGAAGCATTGGAGTCGTTCATCATTATAATGATTGGAATAAATATTGTTGGAGATCTTTCAATGCATTTGTTAATGGATGTTTTCACTGGATTATCAATAACGAATGCGATTATGACCATACAATTGTTATATATTCTTTCCATTTTGGGAGTGAGCAATTTAGAACAGTCTCATTGCCACCTTCAGTTCACAGCGATGGTCATCAATGCGCAGATGCAGGGGTCTTTAGAGATTCCCTCTATTTTTCTTGTTTTAATCACTTTTCTCGAGATGAATATATTACTGTATGGGTAATGAGAGATTATGGAGTTGTGGAATCTTGGGTTAAATTGCTGGTTATAAAGCGTGTGATGCCTCGGTTGGAACCGAAGGATTTCAAAGTGATGAAGTTCTTTGAAAATGGGAATATTCTGGTTTCTGTTGGCTACAAACTATGGCTGTATAATCCTGAAAGGAAATATCATGAATTGGTGGAAGCTACTAAGGATAAATCTATTACTGTAATATCTCTTTCTGCGAGGTTTGCTTCTATCAAAGATATCATGGCCGGAGGAAAGATCACAAACTTCGGCTGAAAATTTAGCTTGCAGTATATGGTATATCATCATTAGCTTCTTGCAAATGGTTACTTCTTTTCTACACTTGCAATAATTTTTTGTTTTGCAGATATTTAGCTGCAATTTCTTCTATTGGTGGATGAGATCGATAGCCGTAAACAAGGTCTGGAATTCCTGATGCCAATCTAGAGCGACTCGGAGTTCTCTATTACAAACACATCTCTGCAGAAATTTGAGTTGTCCTGCTTGTGTCCTGCTGCTGTTGCCTAATTTTTCTGCTGACAATCATTTCACTTGTTCTTTTTTTCTTATCTTCGAATTAACTGCAATTGTATACAAAGCGGCATATGTTTTATATCAGTAAAATGGTCATAATATTCATCGAAGAACTGCTTAATGATCACTTACTGCACTGCTAGAACTATTTGTATCGTTCCCCTTGTAACTAGAACTGAATCAAGTATCTGATTTATCACCAAAAAAAGAAACTCAATAGTGTTTGCTTTAGCTTCGAGGCCTGAAGAACTATTTCTATTCTATTTCTGAGGAAATGGGATCAAATAGTATCGGTAATTTTCAACACTAATGACCTATTCATGGGTACATTTAGTTCCTAACTCTTACAATTTTTCGCAGTTGTGTTCGATTAATTTCTGTTGTTAAAATACGCTAGTAATAGTGCAAAAACATCTTATACAATCACATGGACTGTTCAGCTCATATTCTAATGCAATTGCCTCCATATTTCTTGTGGTGATTACTAATTGTTTCTTCGATTATACAGTGGTGTTGCCATTGTTCTGTTTTCTCCTTGGTGCCTTTTCTAGGTCTCCAAGGTTCAAAAATATATAACAATTGGTCCCAATTCTGTCAAATGACTCAAAAATATGTAATTGGCATGGAATTCAGAATTAGTTGATGGATTTAAAAGGGATAAAGCTCACAAGTACATTCTATTGTTGTAAGTTGTTTTGCAGAAATTGCATTACTTTTATATGCAGCCAACTTACTTTCGCTGCTAGTTAAAATGATTCCATTCACGAAGGCAATGCTTACATTTGCATGCTTTGATTGAATAATAATTAAGGATAAAATTCTACAAGGAAATCATAAGTTCTAGTTTGTTTCTCAACAATAAGAAAAAATGCAAATAACATGGCCAACAACAGACAACCTACTTCTGAACTCAAACAAATCACAAACACTGCATGCTCTCAACTTCCTAACATATGAGAGTCTACTAAATTGTGTCCTCAGGATCCACCTTCCACACCCCTACTAGATATTTCCTTACCACAACCCATATTCTCTCTAACAAAGATCCTCGAATGGAGAAGAAGGGATCACAAAGAGATGGGACTTTGTTGCAGCATCCACTTCTCCTTCTACTTGCTTTAGCTATAGGTTTTGTTATAATGGATCCGTTTAAAATGGGACCATTAGGAGACCATGATTTCAAGCCTGTGAAGCACGACCTTGCACCTTACAAGCAAGTCATGGAAAACTGGCCTAGAGACAACCGAAGCCGATTAGGGTCCGGGAATTTGGAGTTCGTTGACGAAGTTTTCGGTCCTGAATCATTGGAGTTCGACAGCCTGGGGCGAGGCCCTTATGCTGGGTTGGCCGATGGACGTGTTGTGAGATGGATGGGAGAGGATGTTGGATGGGAAACATTTGCTCTTGTTACCACAAACTGGTGAGTTCTATTAATGACTTGAATTGTTTTATTTTTCTATATCCCTTACTGATACAGGCTAATTTATTTTTTGAATTGGCTTTGAAAGGTCAGAGAAACTTTGTGCTAGAGGAGTGGACTCAACCACATCTAAGCAATGGAAGCATGAGAAGCTGTGTGGTCGTCCATTAGGTCTAAGGTTCCACGAAGAGACTGGAAATTTGTACATTGCTGATGCTTATTATGGCCTTCTGGTGGTTGGACCTGAAGGAGGAATTGCTACTCCTTTGGCCACTCATGTGGGAGGAGATCCAATACTCTTTGCAAATGACCTTGACATTCACAGGAATGGATCCATCTTTTTTACTGACACCAGCAGAAGATATGACAGAGCGTAAGAGAACACAAAAATGGAAGCTGTTTCTACAAGAATTTGCCTAGTTTTGGAGTTGCTAATAGGAGTTTATTTTGCAGGGACCATTTTTTCATATTGTTGGAAGGAGAATCCACTGGTAGGCTTCTCAGATATGACCCTCCTACCAAAACAACTCATGTAGTATTGGATGGCTTAGCATTTCCAAATGGAGTTCAGCTATCTAAGGACCAAACTTTCCTCTTCTTCACTGAGACTACCAATTGCAGGTAATGTGCATACATCCTTGTAATTCGACAATTTTTTACGCTATTCCGGCATAAATGTTGCGTCGTAACACAATTGGATCAGTTTCTGACGAACGACTAAAGAACACCATGTACTTTTACTAACAGTCTTGATCATTTTGTTTAACATGTATGGAAATGCCACAGAATAATGAAATACTGGCTGGAAGGACCGAAAACCGGAAGGGTGGAACTTGTTGCGAACCTGCCTGGATTTCCAGACAATGTAAGACTCAATGAAAAAGGCCAATTCTGGGTTGCGATTGATTGTTGCAGAACAGCAGCACAAGATGTTCTTACACGCAATCCATGGTTGAAAAGTGTGTATTTCCGGTTACCAATCCAAATGAGGTACTTAGCCAGGCTGATGGGCATGAAGATGTACACAGTTGTTTCCCTCTTTGATGAGAATGGAGAAATCTTGGAAGTTCTTGAGGATCCAGAGGGTGTAGTGATGAAGCTAGTGAGTGAAGTTAGGGAAGTAGAAGGGAAGCTGTGGATTGGAACTGTGGTTCATAACCATATTGCTACCCTTCCTTATCCTTAGCACCAACACCATCCTGTTATCTCCTTTCTTTAGCTGTGGTGTACTAAATCTTCCCTTTAACTTTAAATTTCCTTTATTTAGCAATGGTTAAACAAGTAGCAGACTTCTCCATCACTTTCTGCCTCTCTTTCCTTTTTTTTTTTTTTTTTTGTCTAACTCGCATACCCAAAACTCCTAACAAAACTAATTTATTAAGATTTGAACATATAATCTAGAACAAGAGATCACTATCACCGGGTTATAAGTTCTTTGGTTATTTAACCTTTTGATAATAAGATGTTTTGACAGACAAAAACCCTTAGGGTATAGTTTGGACAATAATCAAGAAATATTAATAATAAGTGACAAAAATCTTGAAGTTGTGAATTCAGAATATGCAATAACTCAATTAAAATTGGATTAATTGATTATATATGCAAAGGGAATTACTAGATCCACCATCTTCTTTTTTCAATTATCAATACTACCTCTCGTCAACTTTTGTTAGTATATATATTTAAATATATTTTATATCAAATATCTAAAATATTAAAAAGAATAAAATAAAGGAATTGAAAGAAGCTAAAATATCGATGGATATTTTAGGTTTTTGATATAAAACATATCTAATTATGATATAATAACAAATATTAATAAGGATGTATTAATAATTTTTAAAAAGCAAGTGGTGAGAATGACAAATTTAGCAACATCCTTGTACAAATCATATTAAAGTATTTCATACAAAAATTCATTTATTTACTTTCACTCATAATGGTCGTACACACAATAAGACCGCTCATATAAACTAGTTAATTTGGTCGATTTAATCCTACTAAACAAGTTTATGTTGAGGCTCTCTCCCATTCTTTACGGAAAGTTGTCCAAGTTGATGTACCTTTATTGATTTCTTAATGAAGTTGAATTTATAAAAAAAAAAAAAAAAAAAAGAAAAAGGAAAAAAGAAAAAGCATTCCATACAAAAATATTTCAATGATAGATTTGCAAGTTGATAATAGATTTGGTATTTGATTGTAACCTATAAATATGAGTAAATTATAAATTAGTCTTCTTGTTTTAAGAATTAATTATTTAGTTTTTTTAACGAGATCATGTTTAATTTAATTTAATATTAATTTATTTTAAAATGTATACTTTTCTCATTAATTTTTCATAATATCTATTTATTTTTTTCCTCTTTTTATTTTTAGAAAACAAAACAAAAAAAAATAGAAAAGAACATAAAATAGACAAAAGGACTAAAAGATTAGTTTTTAAAACAAAAAGAACCAATTGATTTGTTGCTCAAAACTAAAGGGACTAATTTATAAATTTCTCCTTCAAATATTTATTGTTTGAGAAAATACAAAGTCTTTAGTTTGGGAGACCTCCAAAATAAATTGCACATATATGCTTCTTCTTTTTTTAAAAAAAAAAAATAGTAAAAGGGCCCTAAGCCCAAAATTCCAGAAAAACTAGAAATAAAAATTAGGTGGATTATTGATTTGGTCCACATTTTTCATTTAGGGAAGAAACTGATCCATAATAATAATTTTCACTTTTAGCTACAAATACAGAGATCAAAACATGGGCTATTCTCCTCTCGATCAAGATTAACCATCTGCATAATTAAATGTGATTCATGGTAATTTTACAAAAAAAAAAAATTCTCAAATGATTAATTTCCTTCTAATTGCATTGAATATGGATTAATGATAGTTTTTGCCTCTAAACTATATATTGAGATTGTAGCAAATTAAGATATATACTATTAATTTGATCAATTTTATCCTTAAACTATCATATTTTGGACAAATATTGATCATTACAATTGAAAAAAAAACTAATTTTGAACTGAAATTTTACATGTATGCTAATAAAAATTCAATATACTTTTAAATTTTTTTGACATCATGAAGTATTTTTAAATTTTTCTTAAACATTAAAAATTTAGAAAAACAGAAAAAAAAATTGGAATGATCCCAAATTGTTTTGGAGTCCTTAAAAAAATCACATATATTTATTTATTTAGCCTTAGTATGATTCCTGAAATACTTGCATGATCGAATGCATAACTCCTAACTAAAGTTTAAAATCGGTTAATTTTGGGAACCATATAAATTAAATTATATATCTAAATTCATGGGTTTTAAAAAAATGTTAAGATAATTCTAGTTTATTGTCCATTTTTGTAATATATTAAAATTTTTATTTTTTCAGAAAATAAAATCTATAATCTCCAACTTTAAAAAAAAAAATTATTTTTAAAAATTGATTGAATTTTTATTAGCACTAGTCAAAAGTTCAACTGAAAATATCGAAAATTAATTTTTTTCCCAAATTGGTTTTTGGTCAATGATAATGGTAAATATAAGGTAGGCACAATAAGTCGAAGTAAAAAAGCCATTAAACCATATAATTTTTCCGTCTAAAAAAATTGCTTGTCTTTCCATTTATATCCATTTCAAAGTATTTGTCTAACAAAACTTCAAAGTGTCGTTTGGTTACTAAAAATGAAATATTCAAAATGAAAATACATGAATCAAAATGAAAATTAAAAAACTAAAATAGCATTTGCATTCATATACTTTGTTTGGAATAATAATAAAAAATCTAAAAAAATCCTAAATTTCTTAATATCTAATTTTTAATACGAATAAGAGTAATAATTTAAAAATAATTTCATGAACTATGATGGTAGCAAAAATATAAAAGTGATTATGGCAGTGGTGGTGATTGAGGAGAAGGAAGACGATGAAAAACAGATGATAGTAATATCAATATACTAATACCAATAATATATCTTTAAAAAATTGATATCATCACCATACATAAAAGATGACTATATAAGAAAAATGTTATAGTAACGATATAATAAAAGTGATGAAAGTGGTGGAAGAAAAGTGATGACAAAATAATAATAATAATAATAATTTTATTTATCATCATTTTCAATGGTAGTGATGGTAATATAATAAAAATGATAGTACTGATAGTAATAATAATAACAACAATAATAATAGCTTTTTTTCAAAAAAATTATCACCACTACCGATGAAGGTGATGGTAGTTGAAATAATTGATACATAATACATAAAAATAGTACATTATTATTTTAAAAAAAAATCATTCATATTTTTTGTTTTTATTTCTACTTGTAGAAATGAAATTATATTTAATTTTTATTCTCATTTTCACTTTTCATTCACATTCTGACTTTATTTTTAATTAAATAATTACAATGCAAAAATAAAATTTTTATTATCATTCTCACTACTTCATCTCTAGTAATTAAAATGCACCTAAGTGGTGTATTTCTTAAAAATATTTGTAATTAAAATTTATTTTGATAACTAACAACTCTATATAAAAAAATATTTTAAAATAATATGAATAAAAAATAATGATATATTATAATAATTAATAAATTTTTTTCTAATAAATACTGAAAGAGGACAATATATTTTCCACATATGGAGAAAAAACTTAAGATAAAATCATTCATGGACAATGGACGATTGCAAAAAGATTTAGTACTTGAGTTCGCCACGTGTCATAATGGGTTACGTCCGACGTGGAAAGATTAGCATGGAAATCAACTCATCATCCTTAAATAAACTCTGCTATAAAAAAACTCAAACTTTGTTTCTTAATCATCGAACTCTATCTGTTATTCAATCAATCGGTCATGTATAGAGTCATCTCACTTCGTTCCAAATCCAATTCTCTTAAATCTTTGTTCAATCCATTGAAATCACCTCAAAAACACTCAATTTCTCCAAATGGGTATTCTTTTTTCCATCGAAGTCCGAGTCTTTTAGCCTCACAAAGCTGTTTTAACCGAGTTTTCTCATCTGGGTTTTGGTCAAATTGTGCTAAAGTGAGGAATTTTGATAGAAATCAAAGTTTTGTTAGGAGATTTACTAGTGAAGCTCAAAGAGAGTCTATAGAGTATGATGTTGTGATTGTTGGTGCTGGACCAGCTGGTTTATCAACTGCAATAAGATTGAAGCAGTTGTGTAGTGGAAAGGGTGTGGATTTATCAGTTTGTGTTGTTGAGAAAGGCTCTGAAGTAGGTATTTGTCTGTTTTGCTAGCATTCTTTTTGGCTTTTGAAATTGTAGTAGTGTTAATAGAGCTTATGAAATGAGTTTATTCAATTGTTTGTCTTTGCTTTTAATTATTTATGTGTTTTTTTTTTTTTTTTGATAATTCAATGTGATTGTAGGTGCTCATATATTATCCGGCAATGTGTTTGAGCCCCGAGCACTGGATGAACTTCTTCCACAATGGAAAGAGGAAGAGGTAATTTTTCATAAATTGTCTACTGTATTAGTTGCATTTCATGCCTATATTTTGAAGGTTTGTACGATATGAGATTTGTAGGGATCAAGAATAGATACAAGAATCATGCAGTAGATTATGGGAAGATAGAACGAAGCTCCATCTTGCTAATGCCGCTTGTCGTTCTTTATTGACTAAATGTAGTTGATTCGGAACTAAGAAGTGATAAATTTGGTTTATTTGATGTGTTTCCAGTTGGAAGAAGGATTTAACTACCAATGAACATCTATTGAATAAGTACATAAAATATTTCTAGCAGAATTTATTTTGGCTTCAAATATGTTTTTTATGCTTTCTTGTTCTTTTTTTTTCCTGCGTATTCTTGATATGTGTATAAATCTGACATTAATTGCATAGTGACGTCATTACCTATTGCTAAAGAAGTGCTCAGAAATAGATTTGACTGCATTGCAAATTGTATCACCACCACTGACCTCTTTTGATTCTTATATGCAATCTTTGAAATTTGGTCTGCAGGCACCAATCAATGTCCCTGTAACTTCTGACAAGTTTTGGTTTCTTACAAAGGACCGTGCCTTTTCACTTCCATGTCCTTTTGATAACAAGGGGAACTATGTTATAAGGTAATTAATGTGATGCCCTTCTGTTTTGCCTTGAATATTTGGATGATGATCCAAATCTGATTATCTACATCTCTGAATGGTTTCAAATCCTGTTTCTTTAAGATTTTGTCTTTGTTTCCTCCGCATGGTGAATGGATTCTTTAGAATTCTTGCAACTTACTTGAGATCAGTTCTGACAAGTGGTAGAACTGAGTACTCGATAATTTGTGTGTATGCCAGTCATAGCGTATGAAGTTACTCTGTTGGGCCTCGTACATTTCATGCCATTGTCATAAAGTTTATTTTTTTCAATCCTTTTGACCAATTTGATTTAAGTTTAATTATCGGTCCATAGTAGAGTCATTGCAGCTTAATTGCCACACTGCATGTCATTGTGAAATCAGAAAGGAGGTAGTAATTCAGTGTTGTAACTACTACTTGATTTGAATCTGAAATTGATTCTGTTGGCATTGTTGGTTCACTTGTCTTGTTTGAAACGAAGCTGGTTATCTGATAGTCTTGCTGGCTTGCAATAACTTTTAGGCCATCTTAACGCTTTGCAACCTAAAATACCTGATTAAACTTGCTCTCTTCCTTTTGTCTATGTTTTCCCATGTAAGGACTTGCTCTTCAACTTTTCTTATTTTTTTTCACTCTAGCAGTTCATCATCAATGTGGGTTCTCTGATGCAGTTTAAGTCAACTAGTGCGGTGGATGGGGGTAAAAGCTGAAGAATTTGGAGTTGAGATATATCCTGGTTTTGCTGCTAGTGAGGTACAGTTAGCTTGGCTCGCCTATTTTTCTCCACAATTATATCACTTCAGGAATGCATTTACAAGTTATGCAATTTTACCAGATCTTATATGATGCAAATGACAGTGTTGTTGGCATTGGAACTAATGATATGGGAATTGCCAAAGATGGTTCTAAGAAGGATACTTTTCAAAGTGGTGTAGAACTGAAAGGTATCTCTCTCTCTCTCTCTCTCTAACATCCTTAAAAGTTGAACAGTTTGCCTCCACTTATAGCATGTAGTTCCAAATGTTCACATTATGTGGTGGTGCTATCATAACTTTCATTGTTATCCAGTTAGAGAGTTTCTAACTAGACTGAAATTTATGTGCCTGAAGACTTTAACCTTGCATATATACCGTTGTGGACCAATGTGAAAAGTTCAAGTTTTGGTGGTTTTCAGAGTACTTTTCTGGGTTTAGTTTCAGTTAAGAATGATGAATTGGACAAATGTTGTATTCTTTTAGCTGTTCTCTCTAACATTGCCCTATGGACTGTAATAATACGTACTATGAGCCTTTCATTCCAATTTGGATGCATGACTTTACCCTTTTGGGTATTTCTTTTCGGTAAGGGCAGAGACCACTTTTAGCTTCCAGCAAAAGGAGATGTTTATGCTTCCTTTTCCCCTTAAACAGCCATGAAATGAACTGACGTATTATTTTCCTCAATGCCGTTGTGTACACCAATGCATAGGTGTATGCAATTCATATGTTCTTTTAATTGTGCTCATTGTTGCACATATATCAGAGTTCAATCTGATATGTTTTTGCTGAGAATGACTACTTTTCAAGTTTTCTGTTGTTTGATTAATGGTTATAAGCATGACATGAACATGCAGGTCGCATAACACTTCTAGCTGAAGGTTGTAGAGGATCATTATCAGAGGTTTGCAGGAATAACTGTCGCTGTAGTAGACACCATAGATTCTAAACTTCTGAGCTAACCTGATGATAAATATGCTTGCTTGTTTCATATTCTTCTAACAGAAAATAATTAAAAAATACAAATTGAGAGAGAAGGGGCATGCTCAACATCAGACTTATGCTTTAGGAATTAAAGAGGTAACCTTACTCCAAGCAAATTTTATGTTCTAATGTCTTTTTATCTTTGCAGATTTCTATTTTTTCTTACCCTTTGATCCAACGTCATTTTTCCTTGTGTTTATACTAGTAATTTTAACAAAGCACTCACTTTAGTTGCATAGCCACTAAGTTTAGATATCTTAATGAGATTGTAGTTATTGTGATTGTCCGTGTTTTCATGCTTAGTTCACAGCATCCTTCAAATATGATTTAACTGATAGCAATGGGTTTTCTGGAAGAATTTCTTCTTGATTTAATGGTATACATGAAGTCTAATCAAACTTATCAAACCCTTTCTGCTAATTTAAGTTTTTGAGAGATGTTTTTTGGTGGTTTTGATCAGGTTTGGGAAGTTGATGAGAGCAAACATAAACCTGGTGCAGTTCTTCATACATTAGGGTGGCCTTTGGATCAGAAAACATACGGGGGATCATTTCTGTACCATATGAAAGATGGGCAGGTAAGAAAAGGATTCTTCCTCTGCTTTTTGCCCTCTACTTTACTGAGAAACTAATGACTTGCATTGCATGCCACATGGACACAAGGCGGAGAAGCCTCAAATTTACTGTGGCCTTGTTTTTCACAAGATATAGTTTACTTCCCAGCATATATAGAATAAGTGGAGGTTCCATTAGGGGGACACCCGAGGAGATGCTCCTTAAGGGCTTAAAGCTGTTGACATAGCAGCTACTTTTCTTCAGAAGAGTTATACCGAAAAAGAATTCAGAACACCATAATTTTTATATATACAAAATACTGAGCCATCCCCATATGTCCACTGTTTTCAAACTGTCATGTGAACTCTGCATTGAGAAATAATTTCGTTTGATGGATTTGGTATAAGTCAGATACCATGTTTAATGTAATTTTGTCAGAATTATTGCATGAAATTCGAATCTTTTCAGAGCCATTTTAATCGAACCCAAGAATCAAGGCAAGTTTGTTGAGTGTCAATTTGTGTGTTTCTTGCTAGATTTTTATTTCATTCTTGGTCCTGCTAATGTATTTTCTTTTCAAGTTTTAAAAATCATTTCGCAATGCTATTCTTTCTACAATTTCTCACCCTGGAGCTATCATCACCATTTATTTGTTTCTTTCATTCTTCTTTTTCTACTTTTTCCTTCAATTTTATATTCATTTTGATAACTGCAGCTCATCACTATATGTACCTTGATTGACCATACAGGTTTCCATCGGCTTGGTGGTTGCCTTGAATTATCAAAATCCTTACTTGAACCCATATGAAGAATTCCAGGTGAACCATATTTACTGGTCTTTTGAAAGCTTTGTATGCAATATCTCCATTTTCATTTGTGGTGCATATGTGCATGGATCTAGGTTATCATATCATTTAATGCTTCTCTTGTTTGGCTGTGTTATAAAATAGTTATAAAAATGTTGCCGTAAATTTCGTGCTTCTAACTTGCTCCTCCATGGAGCATCAGTTCGTGGAATCTTACTCAACTTCCATTTGTTGGATTTTGTTCTTAGAAATTTAAGCATCATTCTGCCATCAGACCTCTTCTGGAAGGGGGAACTGTAATCCAATATGGGGCTCGCACTTTAAATGAAGGTGGCATTCAGGTGAGTCAGTATTAATCTCTTGTTTATGGGTGACCTGCAGTATGATGTTATTATATGCTCTTTTTGCTTTCCAAATCCAATAAGTTATGCAATTATCATACCAATCTCTTGAAATTTTTACATGCTTGGAACTTGAATTTGGAAGGATGGAATTCCAAAGTTTTGTAAACAATTGATCAAACTGTTCATGGATATGTGATGCACTGCATTTACTGTTCATTCTAAATGCTATACAAATATGAATATGATGCTAGTTAAATTTCAGTCTATTCCGTACCCAGTTTTCCCTGGAGGAGCAATTATTGGATGTTCAGCTGGTTTCTTGAATGTACCAAAAATAAAGGGAACGCACACTGCAATGAAATCAGGTACCAGTTGCATTATTCTTACAGTTTGGCTTATCTTCACCTTACTTTTCATATTCAAGTATGTTCTGATTAGGGCATGTTAATCAATTTAATGACTCATGTAATGGTGCAAAGGTTAAAGTAAATAATGTTAAGACTGCTTTAGACTGGATACTTTACTGCAAAGTTTACAGTAAATAGGTTTCTAGAGTATATCCGTGCATGGTTTTACTATTATTTTAGTTTACCAACTTTCCTAGCAGAATATTATCATCCACCTTGTAGGTAACAATTCAGTGAATTTCTAATTCATTTTTCTTAATTGTTTCATTTAGGAATGCTAGCAGCAGAAGCAGCATTTGGTGCTCTTCACAAAGGCACAAACTTGGAATCGTATTGGGAAACTTTAAGGAGTTCTTGGATATGGGAAGAACTCCACCGAGCTCGAAACTATCGACCTGTATGTGAACCCAAGTCTATGCCTTCTTTTCTTTATAAACAATGTTCTGTTTGGTTATTCTACACAATGGAGTGTGAGCTCTGTACATACATTATAGGACTCTTCTAATTGATGGAGGAACCTCATCTGAGCATACCATACCTCAATTATTTATACCATCAATGGTTTTACGGTAGCATAAAATAACATACACTCATGTGGATGGTATAACACATTTTGTTCCATGCTGTTATCTATTTATTAGTCATACTCTAGTGAAACTACTGTATGTTTAGTTTGCTTAAGACTGTAGTTATACATTGCACAATAATTAATACGATCTCCTAATGCACAGAAACTATTGGTAATATGGAGTTTGATTGAGTAAATAATAAAGGGTGTTTCTTTAAGTCGCATGTGCAGTGACCTTTGTCATTCTGAAAGATGATTTTGTTGCTGCAGGCTTTTGAGCATGGGCTTATTCCTGGAATGGCCATTAGTGCATTAGAACAGTAAGATGTCACCTCACTGGTTTGTTCTTTATTCATTTATTGCTTGACTGCTTGACCTTTGAAAATTTCCATTTATGTAAACGAATTTCTTGGCAATCCCATTTAGCTGATTTTTTCTGCCTGGCAGCTACCTACTGAAAGGCAAGTCTCCATTCACGCTGAAACATGGGAAACCTGATCATGAGGCAACAGATGTAAGAAGACTTTTCTTAAGAAACAGTCTGTTCTATCACACATAATATTTCAACTTCAGCAATCAGACACTGGAAAGATGGGGAATTAGTTTTACCATCCAGTGTTTGTTTACTTAAGCATGATCACTTTTACTTTAGTGATGTGCTCAATAAATGTTTAGGGATTGATGTATAGGGAGTAATGGTTGTAGTTACTGTCCCAGTTCTATCTGTCAACAAGAGTAAGTGAAAACTTTTCTTTCTTTCTTTCTTTCTTTTTTTTTTTTTTTTTTTTTTTTGTGATTAACTCACACTACAACTTTTCATTATATGCTAAGAGATGGAATACTTCAGTTCAAATGAATGCTGATCAATGAACCCTCGTATTTGCAGGTTGCGCGGTTACACTCTCCAATTGAATATCCAAAGCCAGATGGAGTTTTGTCTTTTGATCTACCAACCTCGCTCCACAGGTTTGTAATACACTTTGGTCATTCTGTTCAAGTATAATTCAACTTTTGTTAGGTGGATAGCCTTTCATTCTTAAGGATGGTTAGCATGGGGATGCTATTATTGTTGACTTTACACGTAAAATGTGTTTTTTTGTGACGTTTCTAAACTTAATTGCCAGAACTTGTATTGAAATGTTTATTTTTAGGATGCTATAAAGACAGCAATACATAGGGGATAGGTATCTGCTTTTTATAACTTAAAGGAACAACATTTCGTAATAAAGTTACTAGCATAAATATGTCAGATTTCTCAACAGTTTTAATAAATAATAGAAATCTTAGTGGTGTCTGCTATAGAAGTAGTATTTTTCTGCACTGTTGCGATGGCACGTAATAAAATTCTGGCAACGTATAAAAGAGTAGTTTTGATATTTATTGAGGTTCAATTATTCAGAATCTTGAGCAAACTATTAAGCTTGGCAGACTGTAATAGTAGAGTAGGATTATTATTTCTGAATCAGATAGCTAAGTGGTGTGAGTTCTAAACTACCATCATCCTGTCAACATAATCATGACGAGCCTTATTACGAGAAAAAGTTACTGAAGATGTAGGATTGGCAGTGGTAGATTTACATGGTGTGTTCTATGCATATTTGAGAGATCTTCATTGTTGATGAGGCTCTTGCACACAGAATTCTTTTTTATGTTAAGATGGAAGCAATTATATAATTATCATTTTTTTCTCCTTTTTGCTTGTTTAGGAGCAACACTAATCATGACCATGATCAGCCACCTCATCTCCGTTTGAGGGACCCCAAGATTCCTGAGACTGTGAATTTGCCAGAATATGCCGGACCAGAGTCACGATATTGTCCAGCTCGTGTATATGAGTAATGCACATTCTTAATATGGCCTGCACTTTAAGTATCTGTTACAAATGTATCGTGTATGTTATATTCATTTCATCTTTCTTTGAAATGCAGGTATGTCTCTGATGAGAACAGTCAGTTGAAGTTACAGATCAATGCCCAAAATTGCCTACATTGTAAGGTATTGGTTAGGCCACTTTCCAGCTTTCTCTTTTTTTCTGTTTTGGGCTACCTCATTTTAGCTTTTACAAGCTGCCTTCAGCCTCCCGAACCATGGTAAAATGTGAATATCAAATCATAACTCCCATTATAAGCTTAAGCAATCAAATTGAAGAGGTAACTTTAACCAAAAAAGGATCAGTGTTGTGGTTGTCAAAAGCCTAATTTGGTCATCCATCTTCCTTCTCTTCTTGGCTAACTTTGTTTGAACATTATTTTCAGGCATGTGATATCAAAGACCCAAAGCAAAACATTGAATGGACAGTGCCAGAAGGGGAGGTGGCCCGGGCTACTCAGTCATGTAGGTCTACTTTGTTATCGTTATTGAAAATGGACGACACATTTCATGTATAAAGTTTATCAAAACACAATCCCCTCAAATAAAATAAAGAACACTTTCCTGCAAATATCTCACAGGCTACAGGCAAACTTGCAGTCTCTTAAAGACAGCCATATTTATCGTATACATTGCATACAAAATGGTTGAATTAGCAATACATTAACAAATAGCAAAGAATGATTAACGTTACCGGTATTGTCACTACAATCGTCAACCATGCAAGCTATAAAATTGTTTTAAAATGGTATTGAAGTCAAACTTGTCTTCGTTGCACACTTGCAAAGATTTTGGATCAGCACTTTCGAAAATGGTTAACAAGAATGATCAACAGTATTGATCCATTGATCTATACATAAATTTGAGTCGAGGGATGAAAGGTCGATTAATTAGCTTCATAACTAAGCGCTTGCAACCTCATATCAAATCCAAAATCACACTTAAACACAAACAATCTTTTCATATAAGATTCTCCCACAAAACCAATCAGCTATCATTTATGAAAGTAATTAATGAACTAAACTAGATGAATTTCTGTTGTTATTGAACAGAATTAAGACAAAATTGTCACTTGATCAGAGTCTTCAATGATCCCATGTAAAACCCTTTAAAACCCTCGAGCTGTCTCCCACCACATCTTCAAGAGAAGCAAAACTAGGTTTACTAACAACAACTGTGGAGAAAGGAAATTGTATCATAGCACACACTGTCCATCGTAACCAGACTCGCCGTTTCAGGATTGTACAAAAATGTTCTACTGCCATCATTTAATAGAACATTCCCATTCTCTAACCAGTACTCTATCCCTTGAAGATGCCATAAATGGCAATATCTCATTTTGAAGTCCATGACAAGCATTTTGATCCAAAATCCCTCGACACCATACTCCTTCATTAGCCATATCTTAGTCAAGTTTGATTCAAGTCGATTACAACAGCAAATATAAAGGGATTCTCCATGTACCCCAATCTCTATCCAAAGATAAATTTCATACTCGAAAATCTGTGGTAATCCCAATGATCTAAATTTCTCCATTTCAAAATCAAAAGCACACATTTGAATCGGCCTACGTCCACTCTGGTCCGTGATAAGCCAATGTATAGAACCATTAACAGATGAATAGTAAAAGCTCTCCAATTTTATTCCCAAGGAACATTATACTGTGGCACAACTCCAATATTTCTCCACTTATCAGTACCAAGAGTGTATACGTCAGCTTCCATGGTATTATTACCTCCAGTGTCAAATATTCTGATAACCTTTAATCGATTCGTGTTAGAGCAAAATGTTAGAGGATTTAGTATCCACATGTTATACGCATCAGTTGATCCATCGATACTGAAGCGTAGACAAAGCAAGCCCCTGCATGAATTCTCTACCAAAAAATCCGATGAAGGCTCGGAACTCCATGAAACGCAACACCAAAGTCCATCGATCCTCCTCCTGGTTCGAGGAAGTAGAGGTTTCTAAAGGGTAGCGACCCAGATCTAAAGCCTTTGCGATCTACACATAGTAGTAAATTGGCAAATCCTCTATGAAGTTTGGCAAAATTAGGGTCTGCAAGAATATGCCGCCGTGACTTGCAGACATACCAGCATACTACGAGAGTTGCTATTGGGAGTTTACAGAAGATCGCTTGCAGTATGTGTTCGGGGAGGACTGATATGTAACAAGGCATTGTTAATAGCGAAATCAAATAAAGAAAAGAAGACAGAAAGATTAGGGTTTTGCATAGAAAAGGAAGGAACAGGCGTGAGTACCACTCATATGCCAGAAAAATATTCTTCCCTCTTCCTAAGGTAAACAAGCTATATAAGCAAAATCAAAAGAAAGAAAACAGAAAGGGAAGGATTGAATAGAAAGGGAACGAACAGACTTGACGTATATATCTATAATTTTCTTTTTTGAGAACCAATGTTTCTTTTCTTTAATTTTAAATTTAAACTATAGAGTAGCTTTATAAATTTTCACGTCAAAAAACATATATTTTAGTTTGAATTTATTCATGCAGCATGACACCAACATAACCCATGGGATTGATCCGGCAGTTAAGAAGATCTATTTCCTTCTTTGACTTTTAAGTTCAAACTTTGGGAGTAGTACTCATGTAAATTTATTAAATATATCATGCTAATCAATGGAAAGGTTGTGCCTTTAAAATTATTCGTAAAAAAAAAAAAAAAACAAAATGTTAATTGATAGGCAAACTAATATGAGAATATCTTTTTAGAATATTTCATGTGAGATTATCTTTTTAGGATGTGTCAAGCAGTTTAGACTCTCATACCAAAGGAGTTGGAAACAAGGGAAGCAAGGTGAGAAAAACATAAGGAGTTTAGGACCGATAAAATCCAGTAGAGCTGCAACTCGATCTCAATGCCTTTTACTTCTGTTTAATATTTTCACATATATGTTCTTGTTATTACATAGAGACATGGAAACAAGTTCTAATGTCCGATAAGAACAGTCAGTTAAAGCTGCATATCAATGCCCAAAATTGCCCACATTAATGTAAGGTATTGGTTATACCACTTTCCAGCCTTTTTTTTTTTTTTTTTTTCTGTTTTGAAGGAGGTTTTAGAAAAATTGCCTCCGGATACAGGCAAAATTGCAATCTCTGAAGACAGCTATATTTACTGTATACATTGCATACAAAATGGTTGAATTAGCAATACGATAACAAATAACAAATAATAGTTTATTAACATTACTGGTACTGTCACTGGAATCGTCAACCATGCAGCTATTAAATTGCAAAGATTTTGGCTTAGCACTTTCGAAAATGGTTAACAAGAATGATCAACAGCATTGATCCGTTGATCTGTCCATAAATTTGAGTCGAGGGATGAAAGGTCGACTGTATATTGAAAGAAATTTCTTTAATATACCGGTTTTCGTGTGAGTAATATATATAAAATATGACTGATTAGCTTCATAACTAAGCACTTACAACCTCATACCGAATCCAAAATCACTGTTAAGCACAAAGAAACTTTTCATATAAAATTCTCTCACAAACCAGTCACCTATCATTTATAAAAGCGAGGTAGAAAATGCAACTAAACCAGATATATTTCTGTTGTTATTGGACAGAATTGAGACCAAATTCTCACTTGATCAGAGTCTTCAATGATCCCATACAAAACCCTTCAAAACCCTCGAGCTATCTCCCACCACATCTTCAAGACAAGCAAAACTAGGCTTACTAACGACGGCTGCAGGGATAGGAATTTGTGTCCTACCATTGTTCATCTTGACGAGAACTTTCGTTTCAGGATTGTACAGAAATAGTGTCATATATCCACGTTTCAATAGAACATTCCCATTCTCTAACAACTCTACCACTCGAAAATCCAATGAATCAAAATAGTCGATTCTGAAATCCAAGACAAGCATTTTGGTCCAAGATCCCTCAACACCATACTCCTTCATTAGCCATATCTCTGTAACTTGTAATCGAAAACGATTACGACAGGAAATACAAAGGGATTCTCTGACTACCCCAATCTCTGTCCAACAATAATCATCACCTTGAAAAATCGGTGGCAATCCGAATGATCTAAATTTCTCGATTTCAAAATCAAAAGCACACATTTGAATCGGCCGAATCCTTGGTCCATTCATGTCCATGATAAGCCAATGAATAGAACCATTAACCGATGCATTAGTTAAACTCCAATTATATCGACAAGGAGCATTAGTAAAACTTCTCAAATTATCTCGACGAGGAGCATTATATTGTGGCACAACTCCAATCTTTCTCCACTCATCAGTACCAAGAGTGTATACCTCAGCGTTCATGGTTTTATCATGTCGAGTGTGAAACATTTTGATAACCTTATATAGATTCGTGTTAGGACAAAACCCTAGCCCACACCGATAGAAATATTGTCTGATTTGATCATCTTCATGAGGTGGAAGAATGATGTACTCACCTGTTAGAGGATTTAATATCCAGATACCATCAGTTAATCCATCTATATTATTGCGGCGTAGACAAAGCAAGCCCTTGCATGAATTCTCTACCGAAAATACCGATGAAAGCTCGGAGCTCCATGAAAACACAGTAGCCAGGCTCTTACCATAGTCAATCGATCCTCCTTCTGGTTCGAGAAAGTAGAGGTTTCTACAGCGTGACAACCTGGAGCTTAAACCTTTGCGATCTACAAATAGTAGTAAATTAGCAAACCGTCCATGAAGTTTGGCAAAATTAGGGTCTGCAAGAATATGCCGCCATGACTTGCAGACATACCTGCATCTTACGAGAGTTGCTATTGGGAGTTTAAAGAAGATTGATTGAAGAATGTGCTCGGGGAGGATTGATATGCAACAGGACATTGTTTATAGCGAAATCGAAGCCAGAAAAAAGACAGAAAGATTAGGGTTTTGAATAGAAAAGCAAGGAACAGGGTTGTGTAGCACTTATATATGTATAATTTCCAGTTCATTACAAATTAGTCCCTCTAGTTTTCGAAAACGTGAATAGTCGTCTCTCTTGTTTCCAATATATATATATATATGTCGGTCACTTTACACATTTATATTCTCTATCCAAAAAACCTAACCTAACCCAAATGGCTAAATTCAAAAATATTGCAGTCGATAATGGAATGCTAGAAAGTAGAGCAAAATAGAGGCAGCTCTTCTTCTTCTTCAACGAAGCCTACAATGGCTGTGCTGGCGCCTGTCTCCTCCACTACTCCTCCTCTCCTTACGGAAGCGCATCTCCTCCATGACTCCTCCGAAATCGGTAACTCTCTCTCTCTCTCTCTATCCTCGAACTTTACGAGTAAATCTTTAATTTTGTTTGATAAAGACGGTGACAGTATTTTTTCCTAAATATTTTTCATTGATAATAGTAATAACTAGCTAGTGTATTTCATAAAATTTTGTTAACAAAAATATGAATCTAAGTTTAGGAGTTTTTTTTTTTTTCCACACTAGGGTTTTTGTAAATAAAAAAAAAAAAACAAAATAGAATTGTTTTAAACTTATTTATCATATTAGAGTAGTTTTTGCTATGTAAGATGCTACACTAACATTAATGCATGACAAATTTTTCTTTCCTAATTTAATAAACTAATGTAATCAATAGTAATTTTGGTCAACTAATTAATAAAATTATCATAATTAATAACATAAGAGATTATTTAAAAATGTAGGGACTAATTAATTAGTTTTGAAACTAAAGGGTTTATTTAATTTATTTTGAAAGACTAAAGAGAGTGATTTATAATTTACTCGTATAATTTCTTCTTTTTTTAGAATGAAAAGACCAAATCGTGTTAATTAATATATCTCCTTTTTTATTTTTTTTAATTTAATTCAAATTGTTGATTTTCTCTAATTGTTGGTATTTTCCAGTATCTAATACTCTTGTATTCCTTAACTATATTTCTATTTTTAGTCATTAATATGTTTTCAATTTATGTCTTCTCATAATGTTTGTTTTCCTTATTTATTTTATAGCTTAACAAAAAAGAAATTATGCCTTTATTCTTGCAATTTTATTTACATTCTTACTCCTTTTATTTATTTTTATTCTATTGAAAGTAGAACCAAAAAAAAATTCCTCTTCCTAAGGTAAACAAGCTATATAAGCAAAATCAAAAGGAGGAGGAAAAAAAAGTGAAGGGTTTAATAAAAAAAAAAAAAAAAGGATGAACAAACTTGACTTATATATGTATAATTTCCTTTCTTGAGAATGAATTTTTCTTTTTTCTTTTATTTTAAATTTAAACTACAGAATAATTTTATAAATTTTCATCTCAAAAAATGTATATTATAGTTTGAATTTATTCATGCAGTATAACACTGGCATAACCCGTGGGATTAGTCTGATAGGAAAAACGATTTATTCCTTTTTTGGAATTTTTAAGTTCAAACTTTGGGAATTATTTTCGAGTATATTTATTAAATTTTTTTGAATGTACAAAATTAATAAGGAAAATGCATCCGTAAAATTGCAAAAATTCAAATCTTAATTGATATACAAACTAATTCAAATATATTCTATTAAAGATCGAATCTTAATTGATGTACAAACCGAGATCGAATGTTAATTGACCTACAAACTGACCTGAATATATTCATATATTCTATTCGAATATATCGTTAACATCAAATAAAAAATTATAACACTAGCATGTGTTCTTAGAAAGGATTAAAATAAAGGGAAAGAAAAATTGCTTTCGGAGATAATTCACCAAACACTTATTAACTTCTAAAAGTTTAACGAAAAAATACTTAAATGTAGTTTAATTATCAGGATGTCCCTTTGAAACTGTCAACTTTTTCCCTCCTCTTATATTCATTCCTCTCTATCCATCAAAATAATCATCAACCAAAAGGAAGAAATAAAAGGAAAGGTGACAGACGGAGACAGAAGGGCCACTATTAAGACATTAGAGGAACAACCTATCTAGACAAAGTTCATGAGCTAGTGCATGCATTCCCTATCCACATTTGCCAACAATAATTAACATGCAATCTCCAATTATGAATTATTAAACGACAAAAAAACCAGCTCCTCTTATGCATTAAACCCAACCTACGACAACAAAACATTTTCTTACATTCCACTGACAATTTTGGACCCATTTTTGTCCTTAACCCTTGATTCTGTCACTTGACTCACTTCTATAGCAATTAGAAGTGGCAAAATATACTTCTGGTCAAGTAACATGGGCACCACTAAAATCAACATAACCTTTTCTTTTTCTTTCAAGATAATGGGGTGTTGGATTCAAAAACCCTATTGTTCCCCACTGAAAACAACGCAAACTAGCAATAACCAGCAAAAATCCGACAGCCCAGCTAAGGCTATTGTGTAGAAACAAAGGTGACCAAGCACATAAGCATCAACAAGAACCTGCATATGTAAATATCCATATCAGACACCAAGTAGAGAACAAGGGTTCTGATGGGGGGACAACTGAGGACAAACCATAGTTTTTTGAATCAACAAATCGCCAACAAAGGCCCATGATTGCATAAAGGTTCTACATTACTATACCATATTAAATACTTAAGATATAACTCAATGTTCAAGGAAACTAGAATATAGAACCCTCCTAAAAGAAATATAACTGTAATGTATCTAAAAGACTGGAGATAAAAGAAAGGTAAATGTCCTATGTGACAACAGATTGTAACTAGGATGTAAACAATAGTAAACAGGCCATTCAGTAGCTGGCCTGACGATCATCCTCTCCTCAATCCTTCGAAGAAGAGGAATTAGCCTCAGATGAATTATCTTTCTGGCTTGAAGAAGCCATCGATCCTCTCATTTTCAATTCCCCACCTTGCTGCTGCTGCTGCTGATGTTGTTGCTCCTGCTGCTGTTGAAGTTGCTGCTGCTGAAGCTGATGCAGCTGGAACTGCTGCTGCTGCTGCTTCTGAGAATGGATTTGGAGCTGTTGAAGCTGTTGTGCAGCTAAGAAAGTATGCATTGATTGATTATTGGGATATAATTGCTGGCTTCCTCCAAAAGATGCAAAGTTCATCATGGGTCCACCATTTGGCACTTGACCAGTCAATACCTTCAGATGCTGAATTTCTTCTTTCAGAGCATCATTCAAGGCTATCAAAAAACAAAATACATTCAGAATTAATATGCACAACCAAATACATTTACAGCCCTATCAGTGGAAGATACAGGGTACAGAAGTTGCATATGGATACATTATTGAAGTTTATGGATAGCCCCATGAACAAATTTTGCCTCTACTAAGACAAATGTTTCTCTACTAAGCATCAAAAACCACACAAACACAAGGACCCTGTTCTAAATTTATTGAGTACCTCCTACTTAACAGTTCTAAACAACTCTGCCTCAGCTAAGTGCCTACCCTCTGTTACAAATGAGAAAAGGTTCATATTTGGACAGCCCACTCAAAATCATCTCAAATTCCAGGAAAGGAAAAAAAAAAAAAAACAAAAGGTGATTCTCACCCCTAAATGTGAATAAAAACTACCCGCTCCCATATCAAGGTATAAACCTCAAAGAATAAGTTAGCAATAATTTTTTAGCATTCATGAGAAACCATTCACAAAATAAAGTGCATGTAAAAACATTTGGAAGTAGAAGAGCTACTTGAACACCAACTTTATAAGCAGCAATCAATTCTGCAACAAACCTCCCTCAGCAAGGCTTACTAGAAAAAATCTCTAAAACTCAATGCAAAGCATCCTTAACACATTTTACAAGCAACTCAATCTACCCAGGCTATGTCTTGCATCGTCTTAGAAACTTTGAATTTATTCCCCCTCATGTAATAAACATTTCTTATTGTTATTTATAACTACCACCATATCAGAACATTATCGCATCCCAAGCCAAGTACATCATCAGTTGAATGCCAACAAGACTTGTAAATAAATAATACCCAAAATCCCGGACTTTAAGACCGAAGTATGCATATTTTGGAGAACAATTTCTGAGCTGAAAGGAACATAAATAAGACCTATTATCTTCCTAATTTAGAAAAGTTAGCTCAATTCCTAGACCTGGGCCTCAATCAAAGAAATAAAATAAATAAATTCCAACTATGGTTTTAATGCATGCCCTCATTCGTGCAAATATCAACAAATAATCACACTGTTGTCATTATAATCACATGTATAAAGAACCACAGCTGATCCATATTTAGCCCAACAAAAACAACTACAAAATCCTCTGGCACTGAAATGTGTCATAAAAGACAAGTCATCAATTTAAAAGATTACATGCATTCCTGGCCACTAGACAGAGGAGGATATTACTATTGGCGCATGCACATGCCATATTGAACAAAAGTTCTTAGCAAAATCTAGATTGTAAAAGACTTCTGTGCATGGCAATATGCACACCATAGGATGACGAATCATAGACAATTAATGCCAAATACCTAGCACATGCATATGCTGACATCAACGGTATTAGATGATATGGGCAAGAAAAGAAAAAACGGGCAGCATAGTTGGTTGATCACAGTATGCACCAATACACTTCTATACATCTATGGGCTTCGATATGCCTCTTCATAAAAATCATTGATAAATAACACAAACATTATTGAAAAAAGAGCAGCTAAAATTGTCTAATTGTATTGATGAAGTTCAGGTAAGACCCTTACCATCTTGCAAGTGGACTTGTTGCTCCATCGTCTGCAAGCGCAGCTTCAGTTCACTATTTTCAGCAGTCAGGCCATTCGTATCCCTCTGCCACAACATAACCAAAGAAAGGTACATCCACTATCAATAAGACATACATTAATGTGTTACGGATAGAAACAGTAATAATTTAATTAACATTTTGTATCTCTCTGTCACAACATAACCAAAGAAAGGTACATCCACTATCAATAAGACATACATTAATGTGTTCCGGATAGAAACATTACTAATTTAATTAACTTACAAAAAAACAGGAAAGGTAGGCTACAATTTCCATAGCATGATCAAGTCAAACCACATACAAATAAAAAGGCACTTTGAGCATATGCAACTTACCTGAAGAAGAGTCAATTGAGCAGACAACGACGTCGCTTCTGTTTGCAGTGTCTGCACTTTCCTTTCAAGTTCAGCTATGTATCGCATCTTCCTTTCCTTGGACCTTGCAGCAGATTGCCTATTGGCCCAAATCCTATAGATAGAACAGAAAAGAACACATCAGATGTCAATCCAAAATACATAAGAAGATGGCATGTCTATTTTCTCTCCTATGAGAGAAGGATTTAAAATAGGAAGGGTGAGAGTGGAGACGGATGAGGTCTTTGCAGCAGGGGAATTCAAGTCCATCATTTTTATAAAAGCAGTAAACTTTATTTAAGTTTAACACAGATTCTGTTCCATCTCTATAACTAACTATTCCTAAAACAAGCCCCTCATATGCCAGGCATCACCACAACAAGCAACTTATGAAAAGTGAATGCAATTGAATTCAGCACTTTACAATTGTTATGGAGCCAAATAACTAACTCAAAGACGCCCAAAACAAACAAATGTTTCAAAATCATTAAATTTCATGGAAACGGCACGAACTTTTAATTTTCACACAAAACTTCCCGCCCACAAATGATGTAACTACTACTGAAATTAGCATCGAAGCCAATCTCAGAATATAACAAATCCACCTTAACGATAGAAAAATTAAAAGAATGAGAGACAGCATACCTTTTTGCACGCTTGGGATCTATAAGTGCAAGTTCAGCGAGCTTCGCAGCAGATATGGCTTTCTTAGAATCTCCATGAGAGCCATCCTCAGAACCTGACATGAGCATCTCCGGCTTGATAGTTGACGAGCCATCCATTGAGAGGCTATGTTGATGCCTAACTCTAGGCCTTTCGCTAGGACCGGTACCCAAATCCACTGTTGCAGGCAGTGGTGCCAGTGCTTGTCCTGGCATTCCTGGAGCCGATGACTCCCCAACTTGAAAAGCAGATGTGGCCGAGGACGTATTGAACTTATCCATATCAAGGTACATTGAAAACAAATCTTCCTCAGTTTCATCAGAGTAAGTTGGCCCATCCGTACCACCACCCACAACACCGAGATCACTGTCAAAGCTAATATCATCAGGGAGAGTGAGAATCTCCGAATGGGCACGACGGTGGCCCAGATTCTTAGGTGGGTTGTCAGACATTCGGCTTATATCATGACTAAATCGATTAGAATCCGATCCATGGCCGAAATGACTTGGGTCTGAACTACTAACAGGAGCCTTTGGAGGAAATGTAGAAGGTGATTGCTCGGGTTTCACATTATAAGAGCTCCCAGTGGGTGAAAAACTTGAGTACCTCCCCGAAGGTGGTGGTAAACCACTATTATGGTGGCTAGGAGATTTATCCTTGTCCATCCAGACAAATCACGAAAACCCCAAAACCCTAATCAAGTTTAAAACAGCTAGTTCAATAACTCAAGAAGGAATAAACAAACGGTCCAAAAACTGAAGATTTTGCACACAACAAAATGGGAAATGCCAAAAAGTCTTGATTTTGAAGCTACACAACATTCAAACACCTAAAAGAAGCAAACAAAACTCTAATAAACACCCAAATTAAACTTCATAACAATAAATTACCCACTCTAATTCCCACGAGCCACTAAAGACACAAACACAACAAACCTGATAAAGTATCAAACTTGATACAAAGTTCTAAACTTTATGTATAACAACAACAGCCACAACAACAACAACAAGCCCTATAAAAATGAGAGATCTGATTAGCACAGGACACGGAGAGATTACGAAAAACATAAAGGGGTTATTAATAAGCAAGGAAAATTAAGCAAACCCAAGAAATCAGACAGCTGAAAGCTCCTTGGGATTAGTGAGACAGAATTTTCCAGGAAAATCAGAGAACTTTCTAGGAAAATAATTCAGACATGAATTCTCTCTCTCAGACAGATTTTGGGGGCTTTTAGATCTTCTTCTAATTTTAAAAAACAAAAGCCCAAAAGGGTAAAAAGGCTAAACAAACAGAGAAAGAATCATATTCAAGCCATATCACATGGTCACCATTTACCTTTTCCTGTATGTATACATATAGTATATCTATACAATACACCATACATGTATTTATATTCACATGGATGCATGTATTTGTATAAAAAAAAAAGGAAGGTTTTTAGAGGGTGTAAATGTGGCTGTGTTACCATGTATGTGAATTTTTCCTAGTTTGGATTTATAGTTATCTACATTGGTCTTTTTTTACCGTTTGGACAAGATTAGCCCATTGGTCTTGTAATAAAATGAAGAGATGTGAGGAGGGAGAGTATGGATTGTGTTGGCTTTAGACAAATTGTTGAAGGGTAAAATGGGAAATGAAGGAAGGGATTGTGGGGTTGGAGTGAGATAAGGTTTCATATTTCTTTTGGAGGATGAGATATTGGTTTAATTGCATGAGATTTGGTAGCACCTAGGAAACTAAGGAAAGAAATTCAAAGACTTAGAACCTGCCATGTTTGCTCATTTTCAAAACTTTTAGATAAATGATAAAAAAGGAAGGAAAAATAATAATTTAAAATTGAATATATACATATACATGTCCATATACATATACATCTATATAATTTGGTTTAATTAGACTTATTTTTTGAACAAGAAAAAGGACTATATTAAAAATGCATTTCATTCATTCAATTTGCAATTACTTAAGATTATAAGTAAAGAAATTTTGAAAGCAGGAATCTAGTTAGATTGTATGAATCTATGAAAATGTTCGACATATTTATTTAAAATTTTAATGTTAATGATTGAGATAGTTAATTTAGTTAGGTAATCATGTTTTATAAACATCTTTAAGAAAGTTTAATGAATACGTGGATCGTCATTTAAATGATTTTTAGTAAATTTTATTTCAAAGATATTATCATCGTGCTATAGTATTGTATCGATCGTATTGCAGGAAAAATGAATTTCAAGTCATTGAAATCATTTTCAATAGTTAATAAATTCAAAACTTGTCATTAATCGATGAAATCGATGGTACATGATAATTAAAGTCGTAGAGATCATGCAAATTATCGATGGCATTTCGACAAACTTTTGATCGATTGGAACAAACGGAATAATGTTTTTCGTAAAAACTATACATGAAAAAATAATATTAATAATTGATTGAATTTGGAACATGAATTTAGTATCACAATCGCAATGAAAACTATCTTGATTAATCCCCGCAGTCCCATGAGCACAAGGACGGTGGAACAAGAGATATATGAGAATAATTTGAGTAAATTTTAAATTAGTTTCTCTATTTTTGAGAAACAAATTAATTGATTTGAAAAAACATTAACTATTTAGTTTCTTAACTAGCGTTGATTATGCTTAATTTAATATTAACTCATTTTAAAAAATACATTTTTTTTCTTATCTATCCTTCGAGTATTTTTTACTTATTTTTTCTCTTTCTATTTCTTTAAATAAAAAATCAACAAAAAATCAACAACAAAAAAAAGATTAAGTTACAAAAAAAATAAAAAATATAGAGACTAAATAATTAGTTTATAATTAACTTGTTTCTCAAAACTAGAGGGACTAAATTATAATTTACTAGAACAAATTTTAATCCTTCCTTAAAATGCTTATTAAATAATTTCATTTTAAGAATTAACTATTGGAATCGTGTTAGGAGTATTGGTTTAGATTAATTATTTATATTAAAATTTTATACTAATCTTTTTAATGCAATGTTGCATTTTAAAATTATTGTAAATTGTTCACTAGTTGGCATTTGGCATTGGAAGGCGCTCTCCCTTCCTTCCATTCATATTTTATATTTGTTGGGAACATTAATCTCGTCGTTGTTCCTTCTTTTTTCTCTTGAAAAAAAAAAAAAGATTAATGTTGTTGTGTAAGTATAATATGTGATAATTAGTTCTCCTAAAACTAATAATATCACAAGCTATAAATAATTTAAGAATTATGAGTAATCATTATTAGAAAGTAGCATCATCAGTCAAAGAAAATTATATAGAGACAAGTTGTATATTTCATCCGTCCCAAAACAATGCTTTCCCTTTCTATTTATATACGTTTTAGAATGTTTGTCTAATCAAAACTTTTAGTAATATACTTTCTTAAAATACTCATAATTGATAAAAAAAAAAAATCAATATTCTTCTTTATATTTGATAGCACCTAGGAAATTAAGGAAAGAAATCCAAAGACTTAGAACTTGCCAAGTTTGCTCATTTTCAAAATTCTAGATAAAGGATAAAAAAGGAAGGAAAAAATAATAAATTTAAATTGAAAAAATATATAAATACGATAATGCTGTTTTTTATAAATAATTTAGTTTAATTAGGCTTAATTTTTGAACTTGAAAAGGACTATAGTAAAAATACATTTTCTCCATTCAATTTGCAAGTACTTAAAAAAAAAAAAAAGAAGTTTTGAAAGTAGCAATCTAATTAGATTGTATGAATCTATGAAAACGTTAGACGTATTTATGTAAAATTTTAATGTTAATGATTGAGATAGTTAATTTAGTTAGATAATTATATTTTGTAAACATCTTTAAGAAAGTTTGATAAATAGTTCGATCGTTATTTAAATGATATTTAGTAATTTATATTTCAAAGATATTATCATCCTGCTATAGTATTATATCGATCGTATCATGGGAAAAATGAATTTCAAATCATTGAAATCATTTTCAATATTTAATAAATTCAAAACTTGTCATTAAACAACGAAACCGATGGTACATGATAATTAAAGTCGTAGAGATCATGCAACTTATCGATGGGATTCGGACAAACTTTTGATCGATTAGGACAGACCTGGAATAATTTCCTTTCATAAAAATTATACATGAAAAAATAATATTAATACTTGATTGAATTTGGAACGTGAATTAAGTATCACAATGAAAAACGTAAGGACCATCTTGATGAATCCCTAAATCCCATGAGCATAAGGACATTGGAACAAGAGACATATGAGAATAAATTTGAGTAAATTATAAATAAGTTATTCTATTTTTGAGAAACGAATTAATTTATTTTTTATTTTTAAAAATAATTATTTAGTTTCTTTACTAAGGAATAAATTTAATCTCGATTAATGAGTAAATTGGTATAAAAATACGTTTTGTGTGAGACAACAGTCAACATGTGATGTATTGTGTTGCATAAATGGTACATGCCATTTATTACATCACTGCATTAAATGCTTATCTCAATTTGTATGATATTTTATCATATTTTGTTATAATACATTTATCTGATAAATTTTACAATCTTAGTTAATAATACTGAGATAGATAGACATAAAGAAAACGAGAGAAATAAAAAATAATAATTTGAGCTTATATGAAAATATTTTTATCATTTTTTATGAATTTGATGTAATTTTCTCGCGTTTGTCTCTTTTTCAAAATGAATTTGTGGAATAAATATTGTTAATTACTTTTTAAATATTTTAAAATTTCTTCATTTATCTGTATAATCTCAATCAATATAAAATAAGGATTGGTAAATTGAGAATTAAAAAGGATAGAAAATATAATATTTTAGGTGGTTATATTTCCTTATTAGTACTATTATATGCCCACTAAACTTATTTAACTGTAAGGTAAAACCAAAAATTTAGATGCATGCAAAGGAGAACTATTGCTTGTCATATTAGGTAATTCTTTCACAAATTCGAATATTGAAAATATTTTCTCATGCTTTATTTTACCCTTATGTATTTATATTTTCTTTCATATTCTCTTTGCTATGCTTTGGACCAAAAAGCTATCCAGACAACAAACAGAATAATTAATTTTTTAAACATGAAAAAGTAAAAATTAATTTCAAGAACTTAACAAAACTTGAAAATGGTATAAAATAGAAGAAAAAAATGAAAATTTTGAAAAATCTTGACAACTAAAAACTTAGAAAATGCCAAAAAAATAAAATTAAATAGCTCATTAAAAAATATTTAAAAAACAATCTAAAAACCAATGAAAAACTTGCATTCTATGAAACTTATTTCATTGTCATAGCTATCCTTTTATTTACAAGGCTTATAGATATGGTTTTTCATTTTTCTTTTTAGATTTTCAAAGTTTTTTTTTTTCATAGGTGTTTTAGTTTTCATAACAGTTTTATGTTTTTTGGTTTTTGTCTTCGCTTTCAAGTTTTTTTTTTTTTCAATTGATTTTTTGTTTAACTTTTCATTCAAAACTTTTTTTCTTTATTAAAAAGAAATTTTTATCTAAAAAAATGATAAAATAATATGTAAAAGAAATGTGAATATATAATGATAGATGAAAGTAAAAAATTCTTAAAAGAATATATATAAAAGAAGATAAATTTTAAAATTTTCAAGAAACAACTCGTCAATATTTACTTTATTGACTCACTTTGAAACGAGAGACAGACAAAAAAAAAAAAAATTCACATCCCAATCCCATAAAAAGTTACAAGAATAATTATATTGAGGTTTGGATTTTTTTTTAAAAAAACTTTCTATCTCCTTTTTATATCTATCTCTTTTACCATATAAGTATTGTTAATTACTTATTAAATACCATAAATTTCTAAAAAAAAAAAAACAATTCAATATATAACGAATAAAGATAAATATATCGATTAGCCCTTATCCAAATTCAAATGGACCTTCTCCTAGTATGTATGTGGCAATTGCATATGCCATCCTATCCATGCGTTTACATTGTATTTTTTTAGAAGCCAATCCCATGTGAAAACAAGACTATTAGAGTTACTAACGACTAAAGATTTAAATATTATTGGAGACCTATTTTATCTATTATAAAAACATTTGCAACAATGTTAAAATACTCACAAAGACCAAAAAATAATAATAATAAATGGAAATAAATTATAATAATCCACACCACATATTCAACATCCTTAGGAAAACCTGAAATCTTGAAAAAAAAAATATATATTTGCATGTGGAGGGGAGGTGTTTAGAACAAGGATAGTCAAAGGTTAAGTAGTGGTAGTTTTGCTTTGTAAGAAAAGTAATTTATATTAAATTGAATTGAAAACAATAAACGAATTAAAAAATTTGCAAGTTGGAAACAATGGATTAATTAATTAATGAGAAGAGACAGCCAACCATGTGTATATATATATATATATATATATTTTTTTTTTTTGGAGTATACGAATCACACCCTGAATTTTTTGTTTTTTTATTTTTTGGCCCAAAACAACATATTTTGGATTGATTGCTATCCGTGACAGATATAGAAGTACGAGAATAACATAGCATTCGAGGGAGTGAATTATAAGTTAGTCCCTTTAGTTTTTAAAATGAATTAAATAGTCCCTCTTCGATTAGTTTTTAACTTAATTCTTTTCATTTTTTTAATTAGAAAAAAAACCGAAATAAGTAAAAACTACGAAAAAATTGATAAGAAAATAAGATATTTTTTGAAATAAAAAGATTTTGAAAATGATATAAAATGCCTAGTCTAGGCCTGTATATGAATGTTTCCATAACGTTGTTGGAAACCTCAAACTTGAAAACATTTTGATTTGGTATTTCCCTGTTAAACCCTTCAAAATGCTATAAAAAGAAGCCGTGCTTGAAGATTTCTAACGGTTATTATCTGTATGGTTTGAAAACATTTTGATTTGGTAATCTTCTTTTTGAAATGAACGAATTCGTAATCGAAGAAACGGTATGAAAATAAATATCAGAGTAAGAATGAGGGAAGTTACAGTTCATTTCTACCAAAGCATGAGGACACTCATAACGAAAATCAGTGGCTCACTCACAACAGGCAATCCAGAAAACGTAATAAGATTTTTCCCAAACAACACACCTTTATGACATCTATTAACAAGGGAAATATTCTTTATTGAGGACCTTCAACCTCGCGGAGGATCGTCAGAAAATGTAGTCTGGCAGTTGGAGGGGAAACCGGGCGACTTCCACTTCGAATGGACTTCCTTTTGGATCTGCCAATCTTGAGGAACAAAGAAGAAAATAGGGTCATAAACGAAGAAACAAAGCAGCACAATTTTGCATTAGAAACTAGTGCATGAAAGATGTGATTATTGCTACTAATATCATTATCAACCTAAGATAAGCAGTGTACAAATTTCTTGTTCAAGGACAAAAACCACATTTAGGTTTCGGCAATTACAAGGCTATGTGAATTTGCAGGAGTTCTGATCCATGCCATCGCACATATGAATCAAGCACCCGAATGTTTACCAATTTTGGTAGGCGATGTCTGCAGCCCTAAACAGATTCATTTAATGATAATATCTCTACCAAATTGGTATATGAGATTGAAGGATCTGGCAAGTGGAACTCCAAAATCAATCATGTGCAAATCCAAATAGTGACAGAATGCCATATAAATAGAAAGCAGGTCCATTTTTGTAAGATCATTCCAGATACAGTAGGACTTTTAATCCTTGCTCCTATAAAGATATTGAAGCAATGTAACTTATAGGATATAGTAGATCCATGTGGACTACCTGCCAGGGACAAATGTGAAAGAACCTTCAACAGAGCCTGTAGAAGTTGACAACGGTGTGCAACTCTCATAAACAAATTCTTTTTCACCTGGACGCAAGAGTGGGAACTGCAAACATACAAGATAAGTCTGAGATTCGGCATGCTTTATGAATTATGATAATTATACAGCAAACAAGCTACTAATTTCACTTCTTCTTTTTTTCCCTTTTAGAAGCTCCTCTCTATATAGGCACAAAGAAGTTCCTAATTTTATGTCATGATTGTTATTATGAATTCCTATTTCATTGCACATCATCTGTGGAGATCACTTAGCCTCGAAATCCAACTTGCAAATGGATAAAGTCAGAATATATCAAGCGGAACTACAGCAGTTCCTATTTTTCCCTTCCCTTTTCTGGACCAAGAAGTTGCATCAGTTCAGTATGATCTTGCCACTATCTCAAATTCAAGTTGATTGAATCAAGGAAAATAAGGTGGACAACCATATAGAAGTTGCCAGAAGTTGGATATTACAATGGCAAATCCATGTCCAACACAAAATGCAATAGATTCAGTAAGGTCATACTGCATTCTCCCCAGTAGCTTCTTAGAACAAGGAGAAACTAAGCTATTACATCAGATTCATATAATCTACTTTCTCAGCAGTGGGCACTTTAGAAGCTCCCAGTTATTGCATCTAGAAGGCCACACAGGAGGACCTTGAGAAGTCTATGAACAAAAGGGGGAAAAAAAGATTGGTTGAGTGCAGTTCAAATATTTACCCAAGAAAAGAAAATAAAATTCTCACTCAAATCAAGTTAGCACTGAATATCTATCCGAGAAATTCTTAAGCCATACCTTGCCTATCACAGCCTCTGCATTAACATTAGATACAACATTATCATTAGCACGGATAACCCAGTGCCTCAAGTGCAGTTGGCAAGAGCTGAAGTGCATTCCATTGATGATGCATCCTTCTGGTAGGAGGGACATGCGAATTGAATAAGCAAACAAGTACTTTATAGATATATCTTGCAGATCAGCAGCCTCTGGCACAAAAACAGCAGATGCACGAACCTGGAAGCAATTACAAGCTCTTTTTTAGCTGATACATAACTATTTATTTAAAGAATAAACGCAAAATATGTACACATTATGTATGAAAGAAATGCAATTTTTACTTCTCTTTTAGCAGAAGTAATAATGATAGCCTAAATTCCAGTAGGGAAACCATGGATGCAAACAAAAATTGAAATAGCAGCATGTTAACAAAGACAAGAATTAATAAACATAAAACTTCTGCTGAGTATTCCCAAAAGTTTTCAATAATATTGTAATCATCCTCTGGTTTACTCCTAAAGTTTAGACGCATCAGAGTCTATATGTCCCCTCCAGCACTTAAATACTAGGAAAACGTGCTGTAAGTATACGTTGATACCAGATCAGAATTATACCATAAGTATGATTCAGCAGATATTGTATTGATTTTCTAAAAATTTATATCAGCAGTATTGGTTAAGAGTTATAGAGCATGCACTGAATAAACATATAGCCTCAGGTAGAGTAACGCAAACAACGGTTACCTACCACCCTGAAGAAATGGAACATATGAAATTTAGCAATTTTTTTTTTTTTTTTTTTTTGGATTTGACTTGCATGTAATTTGTACAGAACAAGGTAAAAGCTAATCCACCTTCTAAATGAATCCTAAGTGCCAGCAGGCCATTAATCCTCAACATGAGCCAGGTACAGACAGATTCTTCCACTCCCCCACCACCCACCAAAAACAGAATAGCTGAATTTTCTTAATAACAGATTTCCAAAATTTCAACCTTGGTCTATGGTATCCTGCCCAGTTCTCCAAGATGATATTAAATTGTACATTCCAAGTGAACTCGACAACCACATATTGCCTACAAACCTTGCCACAAGGAGAAGAAAAAATAAATAAATAAATAAATCCTATCCCAATACTTAAGAGGAGGTAAAAAGAAAAGAAATCCCTGATATAAAACTACCCAAGCAAGCCCATAACAATTTCTTACCTTTACACCATTGGTTACAGCAGTCGAACAGTGAGGAGATTCTGTTGGAAACTGAGAGATACTTTTGATATTTCCTTCACCCTGAAGTTTGATCATGCCATTGTGCAGGCGGCGACCATGTTCTTCTAACCATAACAACATCGCATCCTGTTGCTGGTCACTGTTGAAGTCATGGACTGGACTAATCAATGCCCGAGGTACACATGGCATCATTTCTCCATCTGGAAGATTCTTGGTCCCAACATAGAGTTGGCCATCGGAACAGTTCAGGAAGAAAAACTTTCCAATGTAAGAGGATGAAGCAGCCACAACAATATACTTGGATCCATTGGGTAAGTTCAGGTGGCGCACTATCTCCCGTGTTTCCAAGATTACCTCATGTAGTGGTAATAAGTAGACATTAACCAAATGATTATAAAAACAGTAGCCACCTATCAGGCCTAATGGACAGCCAGCCATGCCCCTTGACAGATTTTTGCCTGAAAAGTTTTGACCATCATGAAAGCGGTAGAGAAGTCTTGTGGGAAGAGGCAGCTTAACTTTCAAAATTGTTTCCAACTCTTGAATCTCACCTTCTGATGCACCCTTTCCTAGCGTAGCCTTAACTTCAGGAAAGTTTGCAGTCAACCAGCTCTTGAGTCTGTCCCAACAACTTTTAACTCGCTTTACAAGGGGCCAAGGATACATACGGAAAGCTTCTCTCCATAACTTATAAGTTGCCTGGAAAAAAGAGAGTGTGTGTAAGTAAACATGTATGATGCCATCAGATGATGCTATTATACAAGCCAAATCACCAAGGCATTAGTCCAAACTACAACTTAGGGCCGTCAACTTGAGACTTCTTTCAGTAATCTCTATCAAGGGCCATAGGCGATTACATCCTCTATAATCCTCCGGATCACACCATTCCTGATGACCTCATATAATTTTCTTCAACATTTACATGAATGGTATATAAAGTTCATTAATTTCTTGTTATATATAAAAAAACAATAATAGATACCAAAAAAAAAAAAAAAAAACAAATATGCACAGATGTTGAAAATTTTCAGCTTCTGGACTTGATGAAAGCAAAGCTAGGCACCATCCCACCCAATTCATTATATTTGGAGAATAACTAGTGAACCACATAAGAGTTAACCAAAAACCATACTTCCTTTTTGTCCGTATATATGCAATAGAGAAATCAGCCACAAAACCAAATTCACAAGGCAAAGCACATGATTGATTACCGTTCCATATTGCAAGTCTAGACAAACAATCTAGTACAAATAAAGTTCCAAACTTTCTTCATACAGAGAGCAAAAATGAAGACCCAGAAAGTAGAAATCATTAACAAACCCAAACAAGCAAGCTACACGTCCAAAAGGCAAAGCAAATTAATTGATTACGATTCCAAATTCCACAATTTGACAAGCATTTCAGTATAATCAACACTCTAAAAGTTCCAAAATTCAACAAATTTTCTTCAATGATTGGTTGCAAGAACCAATCACAAAGTTCCAAACTTCACCAAATTTTCTTCATATATAGAAAAACTAATAAAAACCCAGAACGTAAAAAAAGATTGAATTTCTTGTATATTACCTTAAATGAGGGAAGAGGATTGCCATGGTGGTCAAGAGGGGCAGAGAGATCAAGATCTTGACGGCAAAATAATGACCAGAGAGATTCCTCCAAGGCTAAATCCTTGAACTTCTTGCTGACACATGATACTTTTGCTGTCTCTTTTGGACCAAGTTTTGTTAAGATTATATTGAAAGCTAGATCTCCCACAGATTCCAACCCCATGTTTCTGTCTCTCTGAATTCTATGTATATTTCTCTTGCTGATTATGATGTGTTTTGGTTCTAGTTTCTTGGTTCCGTCTTGTTTGTTGTCTGGAGATAGTAAGAGACTGGAGCTAGTGGTGTTCTAGTACATTGCCGTATATAAAAGAAAGGTGGAATATATATATATTCACAAGTAGAGAAAATAATTATGCAATACTCTCAATACTATCTTTTTGGATTCAGATGTAAATAATCTAATTAAAATTTGATTGGTAAAAAATAATTTCGATATGTAAAAAATAATTTGAAAATATTCTTATTGTTAAGATAAAAAAAAATTATTATGGGATATTTTAATTTTCTTAATGAACTTTCATATAGAGGTTTTATTAGAAAAATAAATAAATAACAAGGAGGTTTTTTAAAATTAAATTTTATATTTTACTTGTACGAAATTTAATTTCAACCCACTTGGAATAATCAATATAATTAAAAGATCATTTAGAGATTTGACAAAAAAAAAAAAAAAAAAAAACCTTCTTAGATGGGAAATCCTAAAAAAAAACATGATACATTTTCTTGATTGGTTTATTAATTAAGATTTGTTGGATCGAAAAAACAAAAAAACTTCTTAGATGGGAAATCCTAAAAAAATTAAGATTTTTTTATTCTAAAAAAAAATTATGTATTTTCAAAGTAAATAGTAGGTGCCTCGGGGGAGGCACATCTTGCTCTTTTACCATTGTGAATTAATTAGCTACTCTTATTTCAAAAATTAATTATTTAATTTTTTGTATTTTTAAATTTTTTAGACTAATTCTTTTTCGTTTGTTAATTTAATTTAATTTATTTCTTATAAAATAAGTAAACATATAAAAATATTGATAAGACACAATAATATTTTTGTAAATAAAATAATATTAAATTAAATATGATCCATATTAGTTAATATAAAAAGTTAAATAATTAATTTTGAAACAATAAAGATTAATTAATTCATTTCTAAAAAATAAAAATACTAATTTATAATTTACTCAGATTTTTACTACCATAGATTTCCATTTTTTCTTCAAAATCAATCATACATGATTCATCAAAAACTTAAAAAAAAATAAAAATTAATAAAAATTAAAAATAAAAATCATACATGATATAATTTGGTGTGGTTAAGTTGTTTAGTTACATTAAAGAATTGAAGCACATTCAACCATTGATCCCACCTCTTAAGTCTATGAACTGCCACAGTTTCTGGTATCAGTTCATGGGAGCACCTCCCATTTGTTCCTGGATAGTCATACATTGCTGGCTTGTCAGAAAACCTATTTTTAGCCTTGTTTCCCATCTTCAACCATTTCCCAACCATCTTGTCTTCTGGCCCAAATGTCTCATTCGCAGGGATGCCTGACTTGCCGATCCATTCAACAAGGTCCCATGATAACAAAAACCCCATTCCTGACATGTAATCCACAAAGGGATTCATGCTATTACAGGGGATTACAAAACCATAGTACATGTCTTTCCTAGGTAGCGGCTTTAGGGACGACGACAATGGCTCAAACCTAATGAAAACATCATCGTCAGCTTTCATGACATAGTCATAATGTCTTGGTAGGATCTGTGGGAGTGAAGAGAAGTACGTGTAGGTCTTGCCATTGTTCATATTCTCAATGCAATCAAGAATGATAATGTCGTCGAACCGAAGAATTTCTAGAGCTATAAGTACTCTTTGTTCAGGTTTTGTGAGATTGCAGAACACAAATTTTACATGAATTTCAGCTACGGAGGATGACTGGATTCCATAGACAAGGCGAAGGAAATGGCGGCGGTCATAGTTGTCCGGTCGGGTTAAGATTCCGATCAGGATGCTAAATTTTGTTTCTGTACGAGGTGTTTCGGTGAGTGTAATGGAATGGTTGTTGGATGAAGCTAGGAGAAGTGATTTCACTCTGATGTTAAAGAAGACGTAGAAAAAGAAGAAGAGGAAGAGTACAAGAGATGGCAATGCAATTAGAATCACTCTCCTCTGCTTCATGGCAGATGTAGTAACTGCCTCTTGAGGTTGTTCTTGTAAGAATTTAGGCTTGGCCAAGAGGCTGGGAAGATAAATAGAAGAGGGGGAGGTGAAATCCATGCTCTGCTCTATCATGTTTTGGCTGGCAGCCCATTATTTGAGGAACTTTTGTTCTTGTAGTCATGATTTCTTCATTTGAAGGAAGTCATTAACACGTGAGCTGCCTTTATAGACTTGCTATAACGTTGCCAATGTTTTGTTGATTAGAGAGACATAGCTTGCTGTAACACATTTGAAGCATAGGGCTCACGTTTTGTAGTAGGCGATGTTCAGATCTTAGATTCACTTGGATGTTTTATTTATTTTTATTTTTATTTTTATTTTTGATACAAGGGAGAGAAGATCTCTAAGCAATAGAGTGAGAGTTACAAAGTCTTGGGGAGACTATACCGTAGGTATCCTCTAAAATAAGACTAATACATCCCAATGAGGCATGCTCAAAATATTAAATTCCTCTTGTAAGAGAATAAGCATGGGAAGCAAGCCAATCCGTCACATGATTAGATTCTTTATAAGTGTAATCAATACAGACTTGCCAAGGCCTCTGAAGAATTCTGCGGATGGAGGAGACTAGTTGTCTATAGTTTCTTCGATGATCATCTAAATCTCGAATTAACTGTACTGCTATCAAGGAATCAAATTCCAACAAAATCCGTCGGAAGCCCGAATTCCAAGCCATTTCCAAACCAATCAATATACCCCATAGTTCTGCACATGTACTGAACATATCCCAATTTGATAAGAAAATCCATTCAACCAAATACCTTGTGCATCCCGAAGGACACCTCCAGCCGTAGCAATACCCCTTGTTTCTCTCGAAGTTCCATCTGTGTTAAGTTTAGCCTATCCTTAAGGAGGCCTAGTCCAATCAATAAAGGCTTCTGCTTTTGGAGGAGACGGTCTGGCTAAGAGGTCAGCCATGTTCATACTAGACACAATATTTTCAGTAAAAGCATGAATAGCCGCCAACGGACTATGAGGCATGATAAAGCAAACATAAAAAATGCTCTTGTTCCGCCAAGTCCATAAAAACCAGCAGCACACTCCATACCAAGTACTCCAAGAGAATGATTTAGCATGTGCCGACTTGGTTAGTTTTAGATTAAACCATACCCAATCCTTAAGATCCATTGCGAAGAAACCGTCAATCAAACTGTTTGCCCCAACCTCCTTCCATAGCTTGGATGCCACAGAACAATCACGTAAGGCATGGAGCACCGTTTCTTGTATCCCATGACAACGAGGGCAGAAAGGGTCAGTAGCCAAGCCTCTCCTCACTCTTTGCATGTTGGTGAGTAGCTGTCCATGAACAGTTAACCATAGAAAAGTACGAATGCATTAAGGGCCCTTCCATTGCCAAATCAATTTTCATTTCTCTGCTAGACTGCTTATGGAAGCACTAATAAGATCATAAGCTGACCTAGTGGAAAACATCCCATTACTAGTTAGTGCCCAACAAGGATTGTCTTCCTCTTGACAATCTACTGGTGGCTGAATCCCTCCTATCATCATGCAGATTACGGATGGAAGCAACCTGCTAAATTTGCCCCACCTCCACTAACCATTCCTTGTGACATAACCCTTAACCGATTTATTAATCAAATTAGCTGGAATAGGTACATCAAGTTGATCTATAAGTCTCCCCTGATTAGGAATCCATGCCTCTGTCCAGAAACCAACATTTCTGCCTTTACCAAGCGACCAGGTGATGCCTTTGCACACTTCATTCCAAACTTTAGATAAGCTCCTCCAAAGATTTAAACAGTTTTTCCGAGAGATAGAGAAGGGTGTTGGATGTTTTATTTTGATTCACTCTTTTAACTTTTAATTTCGAATTTGAACTTTTCTTCAATTATTTTTCGTGTAAAAAGTTATCATCCTAACACTAAAGTGAAATTTTCATCAATTCTAAGAGCAAAAATACCATATAACTTGTTCGTGATTGCCTTTGTAAATTTTTTAACAACTAAAAATATCTAAACTTTTGAATACTTTGTTTGCTTTTTTTCTTAAAAGTGAAGAAGTAGGCTTTAGAACAAAAAATACAAGCTTTCAAGAAGAAACACAATATCTATGAGTTTTGACATATTTATAACCATTAAAGAATTACATTTACACATTAAAATCGGTTTTTTTTTTTTTTTTTTTTTAAAAAAAAACCTCAATTTTTGAATAAAAAAAAAAATGAAGGCCAATCCAAAATTTAAAATTAAAGACCCAATTTTTAAATAACTTAAAATTCATAAGACATTTGGACCATTCATCCTTTTATTTTTCAAAAAGTTAATCACACTGGCTATCTCTGGCAGAGCAGTAGAAAGTCTCAGTTATTTGCTTGGCAGGTAAGTTCAAAATGATCATTACAGGGATAAACAATTTGGACCTTCAAGGTCAAATTCATGTGTATGATTAGGCACAGAGAGAGAGAGAAAGAGACAGAGCAACAACTAGATGAATTGAATGATTGAAAAAAAAAAAATATCTGATAGGACCATGTTGAGAAAGGGGGACAAAAACCCATTTACATTCCTTAATTGACCACAAAAGTCAACTCAACCCAACCCAAACCCAAACTCAAAACAATATACAGCTTCGATTTTGCACTGTCTCCTTGATATATACAGAGAAGATTAACCAATCCTAGAAGTAGATTCTGTACGGATGCCACTTTTGACAGGAAAATTGGGATCCACTTACCTACAAAAGGCCAAGAAAAATTACACATTAGGCGGTTCAGTTCATGTTGCCCAACACTACCAGTTCTAACTTTCAGGTTTCATTTCCAAAACAAGTGATAAGCCCCAAGGAAAAGTACTCGTTCTTTATAAGAACAACATTTGCTTGCTATTTGTATGATAAATGGCGCATTTACCAAACAAGAAAAACAGGAAATTAACCAACGTCAATAGTCTGTTTTTAACGGGACAAAAAGAATTTAATCTCGATGCATAAAAGTTGATTCGTAAATGTTTTTCAAACTGCAAAACCAACAGAAAATAAGTAGGAACGGGCATATTGAAATTTGCAGGGAGGTTAAATTGGATTTCCCTTTACGAATGGTTGCCTTTTGAAATCCAATCCTCAAACAGCAAGTGAAAGGGAAACTGTGGTCGCAGTTCTCAAAAGCTGTTTACCACACAAGATACCAATGTTTTGCGTCTCCTTGCATTCCTCTCTCCCACATAGGGTAGAACTGGATGCTTGCAAATGCTCGGTTGACAAGAATGAATGCTAGCTCATTAGGTCAAGCGCAGGAAGGGAAAAAGAAAAAGAAGGTTTCACAGCAGCTTTCAAGCTGTTGCATTGATGTTCCTATCCAAGAGCCAAGGCATGGTGTTCAAATGGTGGGATTTAAATCTATAACCATTTCAATTCAAGATTAACAGAGATAAATAGACATTTATTTGCAAAATCTGTCAACCTCTATATGCCAGCATGCAATTAGAATACACGATCATTCCTTGTTGATTGTAATTTAAGAGGTTTTATAGAAGTTTGCTCTCCTCTGTTCTGAGTTCCTATCATACACTAAAGCAGAGTTTAACAGTTGACAAGCTCAACCTAAATACTTTTCTTTACCACGAAACTAGAGTTAAAAGAAAGGGCAGCATTCATCAAGTTAAGGTTTTAATCAAATGAATCGTATTTTAGAGGGGCAAAGGAACTGCAGCCACAGGCAATTTTCAGTTTTGCCTCTTTGCACTTTTGGGGAGGGAAAACTTTTGAAATGCTGATAACTCTAATTTGATCATGCTAAACCAGTAGAAACAATTTTCCAATTAACAGCCCTATAACTTAATTTACGAGGGATAAATTCAACTGTTACAAACCTAACAAAATGTGCATTCCATAGTGATTAATTGATTTATCTATCGCGACTCAGTAGTGTTATTTATGTACAAAAAAAAAAAAAATCACGATACCTAGAAAAATTAACGAGAGGCTCTAGTAGTAGTCGTAGTCGATTACGAATGGATTCAGACTATCTAGTCGAAATAGAACAAAACAGTGGAGTATGAGTTTTCATGTTTGATGCCTGCTGAGGCACCTATTCAGAGACCTTATGTTTACCCCTAGGCAGTTTATGTAGTTCCTTGTCCTTACAACCATACAAGTTTACGACATGAACACGAACTGGTTTTGTGTTCCTCAACGTGTGGCATTTTGTAATATATGGTTTACTTGAATGGATGCACTAGGTTCTATTTCCATCAATTTCTAACCAAGAGGATGACACGGTTCATCCAACTCAGTCTGCATGGGCAAAACAATTTAAAAATTAAGTATAAATGCCTATTTCAAGGCGAAACTAGCTGCAATATATTAACTCGTCAGTTTTATACCTGTAACATTTCTAAGGCATATGTTATTGACTGTATTAACTCATTTTTGGTAACTTCCTAGGTAAATCATATTTCAGGAAATTCATTTGCAGATGCCTTTACTGTTTATGGAAAAAAAACTATTACAAAGTACAATTACATCTCATGGTTACAATTAAGCAAATCCAACCTAAATTCTCGTGACATATACGAAAAATCAATGAAAAAGAAAAGGCTACACCAGTCACCCAAAGAGAAGAGCTTAGACAATAGAAGTGCAAACAAAAATGAAGTACATGACCATAAAATACAAGCAATATAAAAAGAAACATGCATTTAAAACAACAAAAGCACAGCCATCTATGCAAACAATCAAAGATAAACATCAACAGACACAAATGAATACATCTAAGCAGCAAGAGATAAGAACTTGATAGCAGTAAGACGAACAACAATGCATGACATTAAAAATAAAAAAACATAAAAATAAAAAAAAAACTATAATTGCCCATGCAAAGAAAGCTTTTAAGAGAGTTGATTCTTAGAAAGAAAAATGCCGGGCATGTCAAAATTGAATGCATTAGGATTCCATGACCTGCTGAATGTAAAGCATCAAAAGCATGAAAAGATGTTACAGTACACAGAAACAGCAAAGCACCAAAAGAGCAGAGGTTGATTGTCATGTTCCACAGGCTAAAGGGTATAATCCTAAGCGAAAAGGCCTCCCAAAAATAGAAAGCTCTTAAACCAGCTGCTCATTCAGCTAATCTTATAATCAAAAATATTATTCCTAATCTTGTTATCAATGCCCCAGATTGCAAAGTAAATATTATATGCCACAACCAACATCACCCTCAGTTTGCTGCACCATCATTTCCAAGGCATGGTACAAAATAGAACAACCAATCTGCTGTCATCATTGCTGCTAAGTTTGCAAATAAACCATCTGTCCATAAACTGCAGACATGACCCACAAATGACTAAAAGAAATAAAATATTCCTTCCACCCCATGTCCTCATGCATCAAAGCATGCAATTGATTTTATATGGCCTTCCAAGTCCTGATTTCAAGGCTTAATACAGTCCCTTAAAATTTAACCTCAATCTAATAAGTCCCTGATCTAATGCTGCATCAAGCACTAACAGATTGCCTTTAAGAAAAACAATAAGCTAGAAATGATGCTTGCTCTTAAAACTAACCCTGTCTTAAGCAATATAGAGAGAGCCTTCCTTCGATCTTGGTATGTACTTGTAGGAGGTTGAAAACAACCATGAAAAGGTTGAATAACAAAAGGACATCAACAACATTGATCCAAAATTCATCTATGTCGACAAGGCACAAGTTGAGCAACATAATTCATAAGTTAAGCAGGTGATCAAATCAAAGTGCACCCCTGATAAATTCAACTACATAGGAAATGTTCAAATAAGCACCTAAAAAAAAAAACTTGAGGTGAGGAGACATTACGATTCTAGTGTTGGGTATACTGAGGCGCTGACCTAAATGCATAATCTTCTAAAAACAGACTCAGCACAATGAGGAAAGATATTATACTCATACTAGAACCACAAGTGTTGAGCTAAAGGACTGAGTCAAATATTTAGCGCTTATGATGTCATGAAAGGTTAAAAATGGCAACTGAAAGAAGAGAGTTTTTTTGGCAAGGAGAGGGGAAGGAAGCCAACTTCACTTACATTCCTAGACCAAGAGAGAAATAAATCAAAAAACGCATTAATGACATCAGCTGCTATCATTTAGTAGCTGCATTGCTTAACTAATTTTACCCTATCAATATGTTGCAATCATTTTTGCGAAAAACCTAATGGTTTGGTAATTAATGAAGTCAAGCTCACTTGTTCACAGACTGCATGTTATGCCCACTTAAGCAGGTGATCAAATCAAAGTGCACCACTGATAAATTCAACTACATAGGATTTGTTTAAATAAGCAACTAAAAAAAACTTAACGGGAGGAGACATTATGATTCTAGTATTGGTTATACTGAGGCGGCTGACCTAAATGCATAATCTTCTAAAAAAAGACTCAGCACAATGAGGAAAGATATTATACGCATACTAGAACCACAAGAGTTGAACTAAAGGATTAACTCAAATATTTAGCACTTACGATGTCATGAAAGGTTAAAAATGGCAACTGAAAGAAGAGACAGTTTTTTCGGCAAGGAGAGGGGGAAGGAAGCCAACTTCATTTACCTTCCTAGACCAAGAGAGAAAGAAATCAGAAAGCACATTAATGATATCAGCTGCTATCATTTAGTAACTGAATTGCTTAACTAATTTTAGACTATCAATATGTTGCAATCATTTTTGCGAAAAACCTAATGGTTTGGGTAATTAATGAAGTCAAGCTCACTTGTTCACAGACTGCATGTAATGCCCACAGCACTGTAACTGCAGTAGCAAATGCAACCATGAGTGTGATTTAATCACGATCCAAACACCGGAAGATGACTATATAAGTGTTCTCTTGTGAACTGACGTTGCTAAATTATTATCTTCTATGACTAGGTGTGTACAGTAAAAAAGTCACTTATCACATTGCAAAAAAAAATAATGATAAATATGTGCAACTCTCTTTAACATAAATGAAAAAAACCTTATTATTCCATAAATCTCTTAGCTAAGCAAGGATGAATACTCATATAACTGTCCATCATAGATGGGCATATGTGTTACTTAGATCTCTGTGGCAATTCTTCAATTGAAGAAGCACCCTGAAAATGAGATTTTTGGTTATATATATCTATGGAAGACATTTTAGTGGTCATGAATTCAATCCCGCTGCATGAAGTAGGTCAAGATGTATAATTAGGCTTGAGGAAAAGTTATATGTACCAAGGCTCCATTTGTTTTTCAGCATAAACATGTTTACAACTGTAAATAAGTTTCTCCCCATTGAAATTTCCATCGGAGATGTTTATAGACAAAACTTTGTTCTTTAACAATTTTACTGAAGAGATAATGCATAATAATTAAATTTTACTTAATATTGACAAGCGCTAGTGACTGCTAATTGAAATACTAATGAAAAATGACCAAAGACAACGGCAAGACAATGGGCGACATCCATGGAAAGAATGGGGCAGATGGTATGCAATCTAATGGGAAGCAACGGTAAGAATTTCAAAAAAGTGCCATCCTTTTAAAAACAATGAATCAATTACATTCTAAGCTTTATTGTTTATTTAATTAGAAAACACTTTACCCTGATTGGTATCTTGTATTTAACATTCTTCTTCAGGCCCACAAGTCGAATTTCACAATATAAACAAAACCCCTAGACAACAGAAACTGTTGTTAACTACATATGGTCATGGGCATTCATACATCACTTCAAGAACAAATTTTCCTAAAGTGTCAAGAGTGCGAAGCAAACCGGGGATGAAGGTAAGCCGTAATGGAGAATTTTTGTATTTATGCTCATTGTCCTCCATAGAAAATGTTGGATTCGAATTCTCCAGTACTGACCATTAAAGCATAGGAAGAAGGGCAATTCCTTTTAAATGAAAAATGTATCACAAAGGAGCCGTAGAGGAGTGTCTTGGGCAAGGAAACATTGGTTGTGTTTTACTCTCAGAAAATACTTTTTTAGTTTCCATTTCTAGTTTTGTTTATTCTGAAAAGATTTCTCCAGGAAAATTAAGGAAACTATTAAAAACAAACTTTCCAAATTAGAAGGGTCTTGTCTGGCTTATATTGAAAATAGTATAAAAAATTAGGTTAACCAAATGGCCCTTATTTTTATAGTGTAGAATTTGGAAAACAACCTTTTTGATGTTTTTCGGTTTTCTAGAGAATTGGAGAAATAGAAAACACCCTTTCCAAGAAAAAAAAATTATTTTCAATTTGTAAAAGTGTTTTTGTTAGTGTTTTTTTTTTTCCCTAGAAATTTTTCCACAAGTAAACACAACCTTCATATCTATCGCTAAAAGAGCCTAGGCACTTAAACCCAAAGCACAAAGGATGAAATGCTTTTAGCTCTTGCAACTTTTCTCGTCTAGTGAAAGCATCCTAAGTTCATAATGAGTAGAGGTGGCAACCAATGAGAATAAGCCAAGACCACAATACGTTGGCTGGGCCAACGTGTATCCAATATAGACATAGAGGCTACACTGATGTGGAAAGGAGATTAGATTGAAACAGTAAGAGTGAAGAAGCAAAGAAGAAGACAAAATTTGACTTGGGCTAAGCCTAAGATGGTAGAAAATGATTGCAATAACAAAAACAACAATTTTGGCCAAAAATACATTGTGAACGAAAAAGACCTATCTGGCCAAGTCTTACAAGTTTAGGACAGAAGTTTAATCGAGTTTCCAAATCAACGGAGCAGCCAATCCAATGCTTGTGATGGACCAAACTAGATGGTAAAAAGGGCAGTTTTCCATTTCTAAATACATATTAATGAAATTAGGTGACCACTGATATCATTAACTTGAAAGTAGCTTTTATTTACAAATAGCCATTCTGTATATGCAATGAAGACAGTTAGATACCATAGCCATCACCCTAATTCCAAAGTTTTAAGCTGAGTGGCTCAGTCAACCCCTGTTATTTTATTATTATTATTATTATTTATTTATTTATTTCAGTTTCTAGATCACATTTTATGATCTTTTCTAAATAATTTGCACTTAAAATGGGATACACTTCAACAACACTGACCTACAATTTATGGGCGCATTAGTAACAACGCTGAGCTTAGAGGCAAAAAGGAAACCTTCGCAACTACTTCTTTGCTCGATGTTTTCTTTTTATAACCCTTCTCTTCTTTTGTTACCTCCACTTTTTGTCAAAAAAATAGAAAAAATTATTTCTACTAATTTTACTTTGTCCAATACACCTTATTTACTTTTAACGACTTGCAAGTTCTAGATTAATATTGCTGGAAAAAATACTCTTTACCATACGCTATCAGTTTCTAGCTTAACAGTTTTAAACAAGCATTAATTATACAAGTAATCCTTCTTGAAAGAATGCACAATGCCTGTTATGATCATAGTTTTGCTGGTATAACCTAACTGTGTACACATTAATTTTGTACCACTGACATCATGGCCCATTAGATAAGAGAGTGAAACAAGTAGGTAGTCTAAGTTTAAGTAATGACTGTTACATAGTGCCAATGCTGATATCCAGAACCAAGACAACAATCAATTCTAGTGGAAAATAAAAAAAGATTACATAACTTAGCAGGAAGGTTCGATAAAGATATAAAACGATTGTTTGAACCATATGAAATGATCAAAATAGGAAGCATATATAGTGTTTTAAGGTTTTCAAGTTTAAAATAAAAATAGTTTGACCCAATCTACAAATATAACTAGTATGAACCATTTAGAAGAACATAATGGAACCTAATGCAATGTAGTAGAAAGAGGAACATTACCTCTCCATTAAATTACATTCCATGGTATAGTGCCAAATGTTACCTTAAAGACAAGAATAAATTCTCATTTTTTCCTTTGGCTGTTACTATCATCTTACAACATTCACTAGAGCATGAAGCAAATTTCTGTTTTATAATATGAAAACGAAAAGAACCATGTCTACAAATTCCCAAAATTTAAGAACTAACTTCTTCTGAGAGAAAACCAGTTTCAAGGTTATTTTAACCATAGAAAACAAGCTGAAAGCCATAGAAAATGAGTTTCGAGGTTATTTTAAACATAGAAAACAAGCTGAAAGCCAATATCCCAGAAGAGATGATGATTGAATTCCTAAGAAAACAAGTTACAAGGACCAAGAATGGTTCAACTTAAAACACTTCACTGTTCCTTGGAAATAACAGCCTTGAAGAAACACTGCCAAAGCATAATGAGCTCTCCAAGCTCCAAACTGCAGTATATGATGCCAGCAATCATCTTCAGAAGAGTATCTTCCATATCAAACCCCTTCTATCATCATCAACAAAAATAACTCCAATAGAAAAGTTCTAACTTGATCTAAAATCGGCCGTTTCTTCCTGAATCAAGTCCCTTGTGTCATCAATATCAAATAGAACTCCAATAATTAAGCTCTTACCCAATCTAAAGTAAGTCATCTCTTCCTGGCACCATACTGCAACTCAAGCTCTTCAAAACAGCCATAACAATTCTATTTCCCAACATCTTATTTTACTATCTCAAAATCAATGTACAAGTACCTCCATGAATTTACTTATCTGCACATCGTTGTTTTCTATATCAGAGCAGATCCTATATCAAAATGACAATCATAGCAGATCTTGCATTCAAATGAATCTATCTTATAAATGTTTTCAACAGAAATGAGCAATCAAATTAAGAAAGAAATGGCACAAAACAATAAAAAGTTCAGTTTCCTAGAGAAGATGCTGTACAATAACTGTGAGTTAAGATCACAGACAAACAACAAACATATTTATCACTTCAACAAACAAACATAATTTACCACATTTATAGCCGAAATATCACTTTCGTCTAAACGGACTCAACAATTGAGTATATCAAGTCATAGCAGGAATAATTACCTTGACGACAGCAAACTCATTGCTGATGTCCAGATCCATGTGCAGCCGGGTTGCTAGAAGTCTGTTGCTGTAGCTGGAGCAGCAGGTTGGCTGCAAACTGCAGCGTGGATTGATAGCGCTGATTCTTATCAGCCTCAATTTCTGTGGTACCCTGCCCAGATCCAGTGGGAGCAGGTTGGAATTGCTGCACTTGACTGGGAAGCTCCCAATTCCCTCTGTCTGAAGACGGTGGGATCCCAGATTGGGTCTGGGAGTAATTTGTGCCCTGAACCTGACAAAACAAGGTATCAGTGCCATTAGGTTTCTGAATTAACAGACCATAAGGCTCTGGAACATCCGTTCCATAGACCACCCATAGCCTTTCTGAGTGCTATGAGTAAGAGCAGATTTTGCTGGCTGACCTGTGGAGACAAAGCAAACTGTTCACTTTGAGAAGGCATAGAAAAGCTAGACAACGACCTGGATGGAGTTGCACTCTGATGCAATAGGCTGACAGTAGAATCTTGGATTTGACTGTTGCTAGGGACCACATTTGCTGAATGGTTATATGTGCTGGGGACAGATGGGTAAGGCTGGTACTGAGACTGAACATGAACCTGAGAATTGAACTGGTTCCCAAATTGTAAATGATTTGCATTTCCAGAAACTTGATTATCATGTTTCCATCCCTGAGAGGAAGTTCCTTTGTCAGGGGCAACTGAAGAAAATGGTGGCCTGCCGATAGAAGAGCCCAATGTGTGTTGGGTACTTTCTGAACTAGAAGACTGCTTATTGGCAGGCAGTAAAGTTGCAAGAGTAGCGATAAGCTCTGGTGTCAAAACTCCAGCAGCGGATGGTGCTGCACCGTGATTTGATGCATATTCTTGGGGAAATGGTGGAACTGCAAGGGATTCTGTTGTCGAAGGATAAAATGATTTTGAAGGAAGCTTCGAATTCTCATGCAAAACCCTGTTCTGATGGATTGGCATCACTCGCTCCTCCTGCTGACGGAGCAGATTATAATCAACTTCTGCATGGGAGATCTGATTCTCTGGATACTGAGAAAAATGGATGGGCTGAGGCAATTGTTGCTGCATTAATGTATTATTGCTAGGGATCTGCTGCGGCAACTTGAGAACTACACCATACAAGCGTTCAGGTCCTGCAACTTTCAACACATTCTTTAAGAAATCTGATGGAGGCACCAGAAATAGAGTGGTCCCATCATCGAACTTTGCTACACCAGCCCGATTCTTTGAACCCAAATAACGCAAAAATTCTGTATAGGAAGCAAAATCGTCTTCACTATCTGGCAAGAAGAAGACAATGTCAAACCCAATTGCCTCAGCATAGTGTTTTGCCAGCATATCCAGCCCTGTTCTTGCGGAGCAATTAATGACAGGAGGTCTGCAATATGGAGAGATCACATGTTAGGTTGGAAAAGAGGTTATTGCTTGAGTGCTTAATGGAAAAAGCAAAATGCTAATGAGAACGAAGCGATTGTTGAGTGGCATCATCCAGTGAAAGCCAAGTTTAAGGCTAGAAGAGGAAAATATGACTTGGAGTTAGTCAGGAATGCTGCAACTGAAAGAGTTAACCGACAAATATTTATGATGCAAAATGATCTTTCAGCAGCAAACAACACCAGGAGACTTAAGGATGATAGAAAAAAGGCATTATGAGCAACTTATGCAGACAATTAACGAAAAGTGTTGTTGTGAATTTCAAGGAAATTTAGCAAGCCAACCAACCACATCTCAGCTTCTACAACGAGCAGAAACCATTTTACATAAAAAAAACACATGCTAAAGGTAAACAAAATTAGATACAGGTTAAAACATCTCAAATGCTTGCAGTGTGCAAATGGCATAAACAAAAAAATATTAAGAGCAAATTTCACACTCACATCTCTGATTCTATCCCTTTCCCTACAGGGACACAACGGGCATGGCATACAGGTGTTCCACCCTTGGCCACAGTTCCGCGCCATATGAAATCATTATCAAAATGACCCTTAAACCTACCACCAACTGGACTAAGACTATTATTCCCCTGGAGACTTGGATATGCACCTCTAGGACCTAGCCCATATGGTTTGTCCAAAGCCAGGTCACGGTCATCCATCTTTCTAGCAGGAAAAGAGTCATCATCGACAGACGGTGCACCGTCAATCCTTGACCGCTTGGGCTCCCTAGGAAATTGGTTGGGATCAAGAACATCCCATCCAGTAGAAACTGACCTCAAGGATGGCCTAATACCTGAAGCAGGAGAAGGAAGGATTCCAGATGCAGGATCTCGAGCGCTATGTGATGGACCCAAATCATTAAATTCTCCACCTTGAAGTATAGGGTCAAAAACACCTTGAGGACCAAAAGACCGTACTGGCAGGTTTGGTCTATGAATGCTGCTGGGTGGAAATGGACCAGCAAAGTTTCCTGGCCCCCCAGGTTGATCGAACATGATGTCCATGGTTGGAAAGTGATGTTCGTTAAACATCTCTGGCCTTGGACCTTTAACTCCAGGATAAAAACTAGAGTACTCTTTCCCAGGTGCCAGCCCACTACTTGAAAACATAATTGTGATACGAGGATCATTGAAAAGGCGCCCTTGCAGGCCATCTTTAGCACGCCGGGCTTCATCAACACTCCTAAATTCCACAAATGAATAGTGCCTTGAAGGAAAGCTTTTAATTCTCTCAATCTCACCAAAAAGAATCATTGCATTATGTAGCATTTGTTCATCAATCCGCACAGAAGGAGGATAGCCTACCCACAAGACATTACTGGGTTGACCGTCTTTCCTCCCAACTGAAGACTGAGGTAGCTGCAACATAAAAAATGCAAATTCAGAATATAATTCATAGGGACAGACTACAATCAAACAAAATTTGGCTCAATTAAGCCAATTTAAGCATTGCCAACCAACTAAAAGTCTATTCAAATATCACTGCATGAAGCCCAAGTTTCTCCCACAAAATCACAGACCAGATTCAGGTCTGAAGTATATTTTCCTTAAGGTTGTGAAAAGAGCATGAGGGCATACAACCAGCAGACATGTAATAACTTAACATGCATGGTTAAGGAAATGAGAAATGACAGAGTTTTGCAATTGTATTAGAGTTAAGGTTGTCCATAATTCATAACCTGAGGCCGTCTTACTCCATAATGCGTTGCTGAAAACTGATCCTCTCTTGAATCATGAAAGTCGGGCAATGGTTCCTGGAGCCAGTAAAGAAAATGTGACCTCTGTTTACACAATGGAAAAAAAGGGCAAAAAAATAATAATACAATAAATAAAATACTACTCAAACATAGTGGATCCATTTGAAAAAACAATCAGTTCTATTAATTGAAGTGATGGGTGTCATAGGAGGGCAGACACATTGAGTACATGCCAGAATCAGCTTAAACACCAACTGCAAATTGCACCTAAAATACAAGGTTATTTCATAAAAAAAGCCTGAGAAATTTGTTATCAAGAAAATTTTGAAATATTAGGTGAGGTCTGCTGACAATTTGAAAACACATCTCGTTTGTTTATATTATGGAAGCTCTATCAGTGAAGATTACCCTTGGCCAAAAAATACAAACTTACTCTTCTCGTGGAATGTGATCGAAGGAAATCCACACGTAACTGATCACCACCAATTTTCTTTCCGTTCATGTTTTTCATGGCTTGAGAAGCATCTTCCAATTTGAAATACTCAACATACGCAGTATTTCTATCTCTAAGAAACTTTATATCCTCAATTTTACCAAACTTAAGAAACTCTTCTTCCAGCCGTTCCTCGGAAACCGATGAGCTTATTCCACCAACCCATAGATGCTTACTAGGTTTGGCCTGATAAAAAAAAGGAAGAAGAAGAAGAAGAAGAAGAAGAAGAGAAAGAAAGAAAACCGATTAAGAATACCAAAAGTAGAAGCTCAAGCACATGTTCTGCACCAGTAAATATTAAAATTATTAAACACAGCCAAAAAAGAAAAGAAAAGAAAATAAACATCCTTGTTCAAATCAAGGGATACACTCTCATGGGACAAAACATGCTGCCTGTATTACCATTTTCTGAATGGTTAAAAGAAAATGCATCAATAACACAACAAAAAAGGAAGACAAAAGTGGACATGTCATGAATCCTTCAAATCTATGAACAAACAACTTGTTTATAGCACTTATAATTTACCAATTTCAAGTACTATTAAAAAAATAACTTCATATTTACAACTTGTCAAAATTTCCATTAGGAGAGTACTCCAGAAAACAGTCAGATTCTAGAAAACTTGCCACTATACAATCACTGGGTAAAATCATTAGCATAAGAAAGGATCATTATTAATATCAACAAGGATAGTCCTTTGGTAACAAAAACAGGTGATATTATAATTTTTTCTACATGTTTTTCAGGTGGATAGCCATGAAACCAAAGCTTTCAAACAAGTAACTCTCTTTTCTTTCCTTTTTCCTTGCCATAATAAATGAAGACAATGATGTTTAAAGAAGGGACTACTTCAGTACATGTTTCTACATTACAAATCTCTCACGTCTTTGGATTTGCTCCTTTATGAAGTCATATTAAATAGTTTCCTTTTGGAAGTTCTATCACCCATGTGAAGCAGATGGTTATAGGACAATCCTCCTAACCACCTACAAAGATCAATGGGAAGAAACCAAATTTCTAATTTTAAATATTTTCATGGCTAAAATGGTTTAATCTCCATCATGCAAAGAAATTAATTAAACTATTAAAGACCTACTTCAGCTAGCTAATAATCCTAAACTATTGTTCACAAGTTCAAACTGTCAACTTTGTCAAATTCCATAAATAAACTATATCCGTCCCAAGAAAGTAATTTCTTAGCTTCTTAGGATTTATCTTCACGTTCATAAAATTAAAACCTCTGCATATACCCCAGGTGACTGCATTTCAGAGTGTGAACTTGATATTTAGATTTAGGATCTAAACGGGCTTTCCCTTCGAATCCAATATTCAGCAGCCTGCAATTTCCTACATCCATCCTTTCGGGATTGGCAGAAATGGCAACTGCTCGTTCCCTCCCACTAGTAGACACACGACCATTAGCTTAAGGCGTAAGGTAAAGCGATAACAATACGTTTTTCATATAAATTAAGATTGGAAAATTCACGTTCGATAAGTTTCCAGGAATCATCCCTTTACCCTAAATTCCCTCTTCATTATTTTAGTATATTCAATAATCGTGGTAAAACTCTATCTAGCAACGCAAAATCTCTCTCATGTTAAGGAAAAACCAATTATTCTCTCATGCGAAGTGAAAAACGCACGCCCCTAGTGGGATTTGAGGATTAAGGCGCAGAAATATTTGACCAACTATTTGCTATCTGATAGCAACTTCACGAAATTCATTGAATTGACTGACAATTGGATTTAGCTTTGCCAGCCATTATGAATTGCCATTCATTGACGAATGCAATGGTTTGGAAAGAGAATCGGGCAATGGAGTGAAATCCTTTTCCTTTTTACTTTTCTTGGTGATGCAGAATATGATATGATGTTGATGAATATTGGAGTGGAATTCGACTTTTTTTGGCGCAAGAGCGACGGATAGAGTACAACTCCAAACGCACCTGAAAGGCACTCCCCCTCTCACATGAATGATACATGTAAGAGAGACACAGAACAACTTCGGATATACCTAATAATTTCCTGTGAAAAATTGATGAAATAGACGAAGAAAAACTCCGGATAAACCTAATAATTTCTTGTGAAAAAATTGATGAAATGGGAAATGATTTTTTCACAAAATAATCTGATCTAACTCCAAATTGGTTGAGTAAGTGACTAGATTTTTTAAAAAAATAATCTGCTTTTATTCCTTTTTACACAAATGTTAACCTTCTAATTGATCTCCAAAACTGATAATAAATCATTATACTGCAATAATCATCCCTCGTTACCCAATTTTCCAATTAAAAAAAAAGACCCAATTTTCAAATTAACCATATTTTCTTCTCTAAATCACTTTAAAACTCAATCTTAATTCAGGGTTTCGATTTTCCGATTTCTATTAAAAAAAAAAAAAGACTTGCATGTTACTTCAAAACGCTCAATTTCAAATAAATTGTCAACACAGTCTCTCTATATCTCTCTCTTCTCTAATTATATTAGAATTTTGAAAGGGTATTTCGTTACAATCACCGGAAAAAAGGATTTTTTTGACTAATTATGTTATCTCCATCACCACACAGACGCAAATAAATAATATTACACAACAAATCAATCATCAAATTTAATGAAAAATCCACGAACCCAAAATTATTAAAACCCAAAAACAGATCAGAATTAACAAAATTATTAATAATAATAAGATGAAAAGAACAACAAACCGGTCTAGCAAACTCGATTTTAATCTGATTTCCACGAAGAGAGGTCCCTTGTAAGGCTTCTTTGGCAAGTTTAGCGTCTTCAACGCGTTTAAAGTAAACAAACCCATAAGTTCTTGCTGAATACGTCGTTACACTATCAAGCGCACCGTATTGCGCAAACAATTCCATTAGATCTGCTTCTGTTACGTCTATTGATATATTCCCTACCCATAAATTATTCGATTCTTTCTCATCGGAGGATTCTTGTTGGTCTGTCGTTGCCGGCTTGTTTGATTTCGTCGGAGGCGGCGCCATTGAAGGATTTTTTTTTTTTTTTTTTGAGAAATTAGGGTTTTGCTTGTTAGATAAATTGATTTGGGGATTTTTTAGAGAGAGAAGGCTATAACGACGAGCGAGGGAGGGGTGGCCGTTATTTATAGGGGAAGTAAAATGGTAAGCGGTTTGTCGTTTTGGTTTTCAAGAGTTTGTTTCGTTTTTCCCTCCTTTAGGAGTTTCAAGGTGAGATGTGATTTTGAGTAAATTTTTGCATGGTAAGATTACATGTTGTCCAGATGAGTCCTAAGCAGATTATGTATATCCGAATTGATCATGATTTGTGATACTTATAATCTCCTTTTCAGTTTAAAACTTGAAATTATAAGATTTTTTTTTCGATAATAACGATAAGAGTATTTATAGATTAATTTTTGTATATGAAGATTATGTTTTTTTCCTATCGAGTTTTATGTAAATTGTCTATATTCGTTTTTGTGCATTCACATGAAAATGATTGTCTTGCATTCTTTTTGAACCTCCAAATGTCTCATGACTTGTTACGATAAAACTAAGTGAATTGATGTTTTAAAAATGTATTTTAGGAGTATTTTTAAAAATTACTTAATGATTTTCTTAAGAATTAAACATTAATTTAAAACTTGAAATGATAAGATTTATTTTTTTCGATAATAACGATAAGAGTATTTATAGATTAATTTTTGTATATGAAGATTATGTTTTTTTCCTATCAAGTTTTATGTAAATTGTCTATATTCGTTTTTGTGCATTCACATGAAAATGATTGTCTTGCATTCTTTTTGAACCTCCAAATGTCTCATGACTAATTACAATAAAACTAAGTGAATTGACGTTTTAAAAGTGTATTTCGGGAATATTTTTAAAAGTTACTTAATGATTTTCTTAAGAATTAAGCATTAAAAAGAAGTTTCGAGAAACGAGTTATTAGATCGCATATATGGAATCCAATTGTAGATTTCACTTATATAATGACTCACATGTATTTTTTAAAAAAATTTCTTAATATTAATCTTTAAATGTTTTCCTTTCGAGAATGAGCTGTAATTTTTCACCAACTTTTGCCGGATGAGATTACATTAGTTCTAGACAAGTCTTAGATAGATTATCTACATCCGAATTAACCATATTGTTTCTTATTTACTTTCACGATAGTACGATGTTTAGAATAATTATACCATAAGTATATCAATTTTTAACTTTTTAGTCAAGTATTTTTACTAATTTTTCTTTTAAATGATAACATATCCGTTACTTTTATAAATCGTTAGAAATAAAATAGGTGAAGTGGTTGGATTTTGCCAGCTATTCCAATCACTACTAGATGTGATTCCAAGAGTACCATGCATAAGAGTCAAAACTAGGCTGCTTAATGAAATGCTTAACCAATCCATTTTGGATCGACCGAATTGGTATGAAAGTTTTAACATAATAAAATCATGAAAAACACAACTTATTTGAACAACCTAATGACCTATCAACTGTAGAAGTAGGATCTTTGGCAAGCAATAAGCACTTAAGTAATACAATGATATAAGAGAAGAACGTCTTTTTCAAAATCTAGCATTAAAGAAGTTACAATGATATATGAGAAGAATGAAGGTTAGAAGAAAATAGGATTCAATAATGGAATGGAACGGAAGAGTTTTGGAAAAAAAGGCTCTAGAGAGAAAGGGTGCTGTAAGCTAGGGATTTTGAATGTCTTTGTTACATAAGGGAACGAGTGTTGATGGATTGTCCACGAGACTGGGTGAAAATGAGATCTCTTTTCTCTAGCATACGGTGATCTTCCATGCATGGACTAAACCTATTTTTCTCAATTGACCTAAATTAATTTTTTCAAGATTATTAATAAAATGCTTTCGTTAATTTCTTGATTAATTGATGAAGTATCCGTTATCCCTAGAATATTAAATTATAATTTTGTCCACTTTTTTGTTGGAGGGAAGTTTCCTACCAAATACTCACATATCAATTAATCTTCTAGATGAAAAATCTCATATTTGTATTTGTATTTAATTTTCACTTGCTAGACCTAACCGACTTTAGTTCGGGATTTTATAGCTAAAAAACAATATTTTTTTAATTCTATGTTAAATTTTGAAATAGTAGAATAATTTGAAAAAAAAAATCACTCCAACAAAAGGAGGAAAAATTTATAATTTAGTATTCTTGAGGTAAAAGACATTTCATGAGTTAACAAAAAAATTAACGAAACTATTTGATTGACGAGTTTTGAAAAAATTAATTATTCAAATGAAAAAATTAAAGTGTATATACTCAATTGAGAAAAAAAGTGAGTAAAATTATAATTTGGTATTCTAGGATTAAAAAACACGGCATCACTTAATAAAGAAATTAACGGGAGTATTTGATTGACGAGTTTTGAGAAAATTAATATACTAAAACGAAAAAAATAAAAATTCGTATATTTGATTGAAAAAAATAAAAATTCATATTCATATAATATATTTATCTCTAAGATTTTTCTTGAATATTAATATAAAAACAATCCAGGCTAATTCTCGTGCTTGGGTATGAAATTTTTATTGAGTCTTAATCAAGCTGTCCGTATTTGAATTTGTGCATTCACAAGAAAATAATTATTTGTAGTCTTCTCCAAAAATTTAAATCATGAATGATAACGTAGAGAGAATACCTATTTACCAACCAAACTAAAACCTCCAAATATGGTAATATGATAAAATGATTAGTAAACAAATTTAACATTCGAGTTCCCACTCTAATGTATTTTAGGAATATTTTTAGGAATTACTTAACTATTTTCTTAAGGATTAAAACATTAATAAAAAAATTGCAAAAAGATTACGAGTCATTAGATTATGATATTTACGTGGAACCTGATATTAGTTTCTACTTATCCAATTATTTATGTGTATTCTTCAAAATATATATATATATATATATATATATAGATAACATTACATTACTCTATAATTGTTTTTTTTTTTTTATATAGTAAAATTAGGATTATTGAACAATAATGTCCAAACATATGAAGTGTTTTTTAATTTGTTTCTAGTTTTAGGTTTTGTTTTTCCTTTTTAATGGAAGCAAACAAAACAATTAAAAAACTCTATTGCTCTTTGCTGTTTATTTATATAGGCAGAGTATTTAAAGGAATACTTTTGCCAGAAGATTACTATTTTGCAAACCCAAATAAACTTCATTTAATTTGTTTTTGACCTTGTTGAATGCACACGCAAAGTTCAAATAACCTTTTAGAATGAAAGTAAAGTATAAATTAGTCTCTTGATTTTTGAAAAACAAATTAATTAGTCCTTCTTGTTTTAAAAATTTAATTATTTAATTCATTAACTAGTGTTGATTTAATATTAATTTTTTTTAAGAAAATCATCTTTTCTCATAAATTCTTCCATATTTTTTTCTTTTTATATTTCTTTAAAAAATAAAATTAAATTAAAAAAATGAAAAAGATTAAGTTAAAATAAAACTTAAAAATATAGAAATTAAATAATTAGTTTCTTAAAACTAGAAGGACTAATTTAGACACGGTTCTACTGTGACCAGGAAAAAAAAAAAAAGACACACTTATAGAGTACTTCGTTTCTTACTACTTAGAAATCACACACAAACACCCACAAAACGATAAATACAATAAGGATAAAAAAGATGGTATATAATTTATTAACAAGCAAAGGCATATAAAGATAATAGAAAATATTAAGAGACTAAATTAATGAATCTAATTCACACACACACATATATATATATAACCTGTTTATGAACTTTATTTGCCAGCAATCTAGGATTAAATTTTGTTGGTATTTTTGAAATTGAAACTATAAAAACAGATAAAACTCTGACCCTCTTTCCCTATTTATAACCAAAGTTATCTAAAGGAATACTTTTGGTAAAAAAATTACAATATTCACAACCCACACAAAAAGTCTAAAAAACCGGAAATCTTATAAGGTAACGCAGGATGCTACTTTTTTTAACAAAATATAACACCATTATTCACCTAATAACAGCAATAGCAATCATTATCGTTATATAACACCATTATTGCCGCCATTGTCGTGAAACTCCGGTGGGCTTTCTCTAATGCCATATAACAAAAACAGACATTGTAAAATCCATTAAATAACGACTGTTACGGTATATAACAATCGTTATTTGTAACTATATTGCTTATGGCCTTTGCTTAGGAATGATAAAACTGAAAATCAAAGAGAGATTGAAAGGAAGAGACAGGAGGGCGACAGAAGCCAAACACCATCCGTTGCCTTAATAAAAAGCTTGATTAGGGTAGAGCATACTTCATTAGTCAAGATCAGAGCCATCAGAATTGTATCCAAATGCAAACCTATTCATGATCATATCTGAACATTTTCTCTCTACTATTCCACAAGTGTTACAGACGCGTTAACAGTAAGGCTATCTACAACTCTCTCTCCTTCAGAAACTACCATATGGCTTGTAATGTATTAACATACCCTGTTTTTTGTATTTCAGGGGACACATCTTGTCTGTATAGAGTTCTTTTCGAAGCCTAAATCAACTGGCATGTTGCGTATGAACAGCTTGAATTCAGTAATCGAGGTTAAAAAGATTCCGATCTATGTGCTGATTACTTTTCATCATTTACCACATTGCCGTTCTCTTTCCACAGCACTCTGTTGTTTTGTATAAATGATGTCATAGAAGCAGGTAGATAACTCATGAACAATCCCTTTGATAAGCTGAAGAGCGTCGTGGTTAATCCATCAATTTCTGATTCATATTGTTCGTAAACAAAGAAGGCAGTGAAGGGAAAGACCAGAGCTGCATTTAGTTCCAAGAAGGTCAAACTTGGAAGAAAAAAAAAAGGTTGATTAAAATCAAATAAATGAAACATGCAATTTTAGAACAAAGTGTTCCCTACCGAAACCTATTGCCACAGCCAAGGATTCCACCAGAACCCACTTGACCAAATAGAGAAAAAGCGCAACCTGTATTGATTCAAAAATTATATAGCGATGAATTTCGGTGAGAAAACTACGTCCATTAAAAGAATAGTTCATAAAAGACCTAGACTTAACCCATTCTCACGGATATCAAATGTGTTGCAGAGATGCATATACTCTAACAGGCAAATCTATCATAAAACAACACTGGAACGCCAGTGCATAGAACATCATTTGAAGAAGCTATACTAGTCACGTTGTAAGTGAAAAAAAAGCCCAAAAAGGCAAACAGACTGATAAAATCATTAAAAATGTAAAACAAGTGCTATCATAATCTATACCTGGAAGAATTTGTTCCAATCCTCTCCTTGAGCCAATAATCTTAAAATGCGAAGCCCTCTATTCCATAGATATACTACAGACATGATTGAATCTCTCACTGAATTTTCTGAAATTTCAAACCAAGACAAAGGTATCTTTGGAGTGTTGAAACTGGAACTGTCACAAAAGAATCCCAATCAAGAGACCAGATACAACATTTGACATATTAATTTTGATGAGAATGAGAAACAGAACAAAAACATTAACAACACTCACATCTTTTAAGTAAAAACAGAAAAAAAGAAATTCCACACAAAGAGGGTGATACATACATTTTATCAATTTGAAGAAATTATATAAAGTTACAAAGCCCAGGAATATTCAGTAATATTCAATCTCGGGCCTTCATAAACATTGATAATACTCACATCTTTGGTGCTAAATTGGCATATCCATATAGGATGGTTGTCACTAAAAGCAGCAGGTTTGCAGTGGACGAGGCAAATGTTTTCCCAGAAAGCAAAAACCAGTAAAACAACAAAACAAGAGCAACAAAACATGTAAATGTTTTCTTCTCATCTCTCCACAGCAAAATGTCCGCAGCTGCAACAAGAGAGTTTGTCATTATAGTAAGAAATAAAAGCACCTTACTACAAAATAATGGTTGAAAAATAATGAATAACTAGATTCAAAAGACTAATGTTAACACAAAAGTGGATTCAGATGAGCACAGACACAGCCAAATAGGTTATTTGTAGCTACTGCAATAATAGTCATGACCATTCAGCTAAATACATCTACCATGTGACTTGGAGGCAGAAGCCAGGAGTAACCTGGTGTAAAAAGGCAAGGCATCGGGATCAAGACCGTAAAATCTATCAATCTAAGCCAAATCAATAAAGCCTCGCCTCTGAATGTTTTATAGTTTAAGTTGGTAGAGACATGAACCTACAGCTATAGAATGTACTGCCAGTATTATTGCACAGCCCAATTTAACTTGTACGAAACAAAACAAAATCCCAACCTTTACCGCTGCCCAGCAGCTTCTCAGCTTTTGATTGCTCTCCGAAGTTAGAGAATCTTCCAAAAGGCGAGTCCTTGGCCAAATGAGAGAATGATTCAATGGTCAATGTGATGCCATCCTGCATATTAACCAGCACAAACAACAAACATCTATATTGGAGGAGTTCTCAAACTTAAAATAAACCTATTGAAACATGAGAATACACATTTCCTTTCATTTGACATCCATCATAACAGTAAGTGCCTAATGAGCAAAGGATGGTTTCTAAGGGTCACTTGGACTTTCAAGAAAAATGTTATCTAAATCATTCAAGCATGTTAGCTTGGTAAGACCAATTAACAGTTGGATGCTGACAACTGAGTATATTTGCAAGGGGGACACAGCATCAATTTTCCTTGCTGCTTGGTAAATATCGTTCTATTACCATTTGAAGGAATAAGAAGTTAATCAGATAAAAATAATAAAACAAGGACAATTTGGACTACAAGATAAAAGACACTCAAATGGACAAAAAATTCAACATTGAGAAATCTCAGAACTTATAGGCGATGCTCACATAAACTGGATAAAAAATCTTATGCATCCAAGAAAAACATCAATGATTTGACAATTACATGCGAAAAAGACATAAGAGACCATAAAGTTAACAAAACTCACTTCAAGAGAGACAACTGGTGAGTATCCAATGTACTTTTGAGCTGCAGAGCAGTTAAAAGTTCTGGTGCATGAGGCTAAATGAATGAAGCGAGCAGAGACATCATGGTTATATTTTTTGGAGCCAAGCTTTTCATGCATCCATTTGACAACCAACAGAACATAGCAGACTATCCAGGCAGGAATTTTTATGGAAGGTCTGTAATCAAAGTAAAAACAATATTCAGATTGCAACATGAGAAAATCCAAGGCAAGCATACAAAGAATGAAAACTAAAATATTCTGCTCCCATGTTAGAGCTGAAGTCTAAGTCTTTCAACACCAGGTTGGCACTTTAACCTAGTTTTACATCCCTACATTTTGAGTTTTTAAATTATAGTACTGAAATTCCAAAGATCCTGCAGCAGTCAACACACAGCCAACCTAATATCATTTGAAGTAGAGAAGCTTACTTTACCTTTGATACCCCAAGCCTTCTAATATGAATGATACGAATTCCCAGAACTTCACAGGCTCGAGGTTAGTGATGAAAAATGCCTGCAATCAATTACAAACAACTACTGTTTTCCTTATGTATTTAATGTCGACAAAAGAGTTCACTAAACAAGACCATTCAAAATGTTGGAATACCTTTCCAGCCACAGAGATCATCTGAGAATCTAGAGCTTTTGCTGCACAGATGTGGGCATGAGTAACATTCTCAGCATAGGTAAAGTCAGACATATTGTCACCACTTCCTATAATAAACTGAAATGAGAAACCATATTACTTCAAAAGAATTTTAAAACCCACAGTTCATGCTAATGGAAATACAAGACGATTTAAAAAATATGATATCGAAACATAGAAAGATTAAAAAAAAAAAAACTATCTGAATAACAGGTAAATCTCCAATGCATCAAAAAATTATTAGAGCTTCAAACAATATATCAACTAGATATCTAGAGCAAACTATATATGACAATAGAAAGAGTTTCGGGGGAATTCGATAACAGTAGTATAAGAAGTACACAAAATCAATAAAGCACACAAAAGATGCTGAGCAAAAATAATCCTCAAACCTTTGCCCAACCAGATCTTGCTAATTTCACTAAAAAAGGCACAAGCTGTGTATCTCCAGGTCCAAAGACATTGCTAGGCCGTAGTGCACATGTTAAAAGACCGCCAATGTTGTTAGCATACAGGACTAATGCTTCTGCTTGAGCCTTAAGATCACTTATCATGTCCGCAAACTGTATCGCGGTCAGAAAAATACCAGTCAAAAGGGGAAAAGAAAATTGCATAACCCAATAGAAATGGTGAACTCTCATTCTCCCAAAAAAAAAAAAAAAAGGAAGGGGTGGAGCAGCAAACATACTTTCCAATGGCATGGCAAAGACTCGTCTCCATTGCATATATCATGTGAACCATCAAAAATTACATCTGCAGAACTGTTATATATAAGCTGCCTAACTTTGCATTCTCGGCAAGCATTGATGACATTTTTAGCACCTGTATAGAATGAAAACAAGTGATCAGGCAAACGTTATTCTGGAATGTCCCACTCCCAGTACCAACTAAACCCCCTTCCCCTCGGTGCATAGTCATAATATATTGAAAACAATGACCCATTAATTACCTTGAACTATAATCATGTAGCAAGCATAGAAATCATGTTCCGGTAAGTCACTAGCTTCCGTGTAAAATACAACAGACGATCCTTCAACAGCTGCAAAAAGATATAGATCACAAAGACCTTTAGCTCTGTTCATTTACATATTATATAGAACAAATAAATGAATGAATGAACCCAATTCATATTACAACCCACGAGTTTTCACAATATCCAATTATCTGTTTATACCATTTTCTCAGCAACCAAACAAAGACTTCATCACCATGAGCAACTAACAATTTGTTAAAAGGCTAAAATCATTTAAAATTTGCATAAATAATATGAGCTTTACAAGGCTGAAACTATAGTAAATATATGATTCCAAACTTAACTTCCTTTTGTTTCCTTCAATTTCTTAGAAACCAAACACTGCAGCGTCCCACAAATAATTTTCCATCAGTCATTTAAAAACCCCAATAAAATAAGCTAAAGTAATCCACGGTTACTCTCTTCAATTACAAAAACATAAAACAAATTAAACATCAAATTGAAGCACATATACACATACACAGCCTTATGTTCACCGCAGTAATTTTTTTCACTCTCAAGTTTTACCACTATCCAAAATTTCTCCATGTCTCCCATTTTCTATTCTTTTCTTTTCAACCACCTTCTCATCAATCAAACACACAAAAGTATTTCAGAGTTCCTTAACAAAATTCAAGAAGAGAATCTGCTCAAAGAAAATAACTCAATAATAGAAAGTAGTAACTTCACAGGTAAACAAATAAATTACCAGCCTCATTTTACCACACGGTAATTCCAAAATTCACACATTAATCCAATTCCAAACTTTCCATTTCTCTCTCATTTTCTCTTCGTTCCTCACACTTTCTCAGCAACCAAACAAATATTCGTCCAAATTAAAATCCAAAAAACCTTATCTATCATCCCCCTTCTTTTCCCTCACTTCCTTGGCAACCAAACAAATATTCGTTCATTAAAACTGTCCATTTCTCTCTCGTTTCGCCTTCTTTTCCAACAAAACTATCCATTTCTCTCTCATTTTCCCTTCTTTCAACCACTTTCTCAACAACCAACCAACCATACACAGAGCGATACAGAAACGACACCGCAATTTCAGCACCTCGAAATATCCTAACTTTTTTTACCTTTAATGATTTGCGAGAGATCGCGAACATCGACTTGACAATAAGAAGCAAGACCAGACGCAACAGCATCACGAAGGACGGAATCACCATCATTCGAGTCCGTAGCGAGTTGCAAGGAGTGATTCGAATCGACGACTCGAACGATCCAATCACCGAGTTGAAGGAGCCGTGTAACAAGCGATCGCCCTAAATAACCTCGGCCTCCTAACACCACGCAAGTTCTTCTGCTTCCCCTAGGTTTTATCAAATCGTCGTTGCTACCGTCGATCGGCATTAGAGGATTTTGATTATTTTGTAATCGGAGAATTTGGGGGTTTTGATTTTTGATTTTGGGGTTTGTGGATTTTTGTTTATAAATAAAGCAAGAATTGGCGGGGAAACTGTGTGCGCTTTATTGAGACGTTTTGTTTGGGTCGCTGTAGTTGCTGTTGGTGGGTCCCATAGGATCTGCTTTCCCTTTAACATGCATACATATATATATATATATATATATTAATATTCTCAATCTAATTTATACGTAAATCAAAATTATTTTTTTAATAATTTTAAAAATACATTTTCTATTTCAAGAGAGATGCATCTTTAAAATTATTAAATAAAATATTTAATTTTAATAGATATATAAATTGATCCAAAAAATTATTTATTTTAGAATAAACCGGATAACATTTGCTTTTTCATTACTCAAGAAAACAAAAATTATTAAAATTTTGAATTTTTATTTACTAAACAAACTATATAATACATGACTATTTTAGAAATTTTAATACAATTTCAATGTACATATTCTTTGAAAATGAACATTCTTTTTTTTAGCGTTAATTATGAATTATTAATGAGTTCAAATAGTCTGTTTTTAAAAAAAAAAAATCAATCAAAAATTGAGTTATCATTGATCTAACTCAATAAATAATATATTGAATCTCGATTGATATAAAAATTAGTTCGAAAAAAAAAGATATATACACAAGCTTAAAAATTAAGCCATCATAAAATTCAAAGAATCAACAGAGTGATGACTTGAATAAAAAAAAAAAAACTTTGACATAAAGCTAACCTGTAAAAGGAATTGCTTTATTTAGAACCTCCTTTCTCTAAGGCATTGAAAATAAGAGACACGATGCCTATCATCTACTCAACCTGGTGCTCCTGTACTTATAATGCAAGCATATGTAGAATGTTCTTAGGCTTCTGAGGCAACAACATTCCTAACTCTTTTTTTTTTTCCCCTTGAACCGAAAGAATTCTAAGTTCTAATTCTTTCGTCGAAGAGCTTATAGTCCAATAATAATAGTATTTTATAATAAAAAATCATAATTTTACATACTAATTCTACCATGAGTTTGACGTGTGAATTATAAAAAAAATTCTAACTTTCAAATTTTAATGATTTAATTTTTATTGGAGTTAAAGAGGTAAATTTAGTCTTGATGGAATCATGGACGAGAGAGGTCTCCTAAAAAATGGCAGATTAGGTGATCTAATGATGAGAGAATTGAACGATGAAGTATCAAGAAGATTGAGCATTAGTTCAAAGCTTTTAGGGCAAATTGATGATTTCAAGAATGCATGAAGTGGCAGGGCAAATAAGACTCTATCATGAAAAGTGTGACTGTGTTTATCAACTTCATGGATATGGTGCCACGAAGATGATCAATGCAAATCTTTTAGCTTTGTTTGGTAAACCCATCCATCACCTAAAATACAATAAAGCCAAAAACAACACCACGTGATGCATGATTATAGTTAGGAAAAACAGAGGTAAGCAACTTTCCACACCCAAAAGATATTAGTCTCTTTGCACAAATAATTAAATTGTGAAGATTGATACAGGTAAATATGCATAATATAAAACGTTATATAGAGACAACATGACGATCTCGTTAGCCAATCAAAGAGCAATGGTCAAGAGGGCAGCACTCCTCATGGAGGCTCAGGGGTGAAGTCTTAGAATGATCTAAGATTATTGGGCCAAGGGTATAAGCCCATTAGATTTTTTTCCTTATAACTTTAGTTGTCCATATTATAAATAGAGATAACATCATTTGTATTTATAATTGTCACTCGATAAAATCTAATAAAAAATCTTAATACAGATCATGGAGTAGGCACTATTATCGAATTACATAAAATCTTAATATTGTGTGATTATTCTCTTTTTTCATTTTATTCTTTTACTTTGTTCGTTTACTAATACTAACTTAGTCTAGAATGTGATAATATTAATTTCAATTGATTCGAGATTGAGAATACCCTAAGACATTAGTTTTTAAGTATTCATTTAACACAAAAAGTAATAAATTTATTTTTTATTGATATGAAAAATAATTCGGACAATACACATTAGTTAAAAAAAAAAAAAAAAACATTAGTCTCCTCGAGACCCTGCTTAATACCCTTTTTTTTTTTTTTTTAGCATGGAGGACCAGCCTTCGTTTTTTGGTGTCCCACTATGACAAAGCAATCCATTAATTCATCTGACAAACATCATTGACAATGAATGCTTCAAAGTGGTTCTCCTACCACTACCAGCAAGTGACTAAGAGCTAAGGCAAAAGCCATTGTGGTCCCCAAGTGGCTGTCTCCTAAATTCTAAGTTACCAGTTACATGTTCTGTTCTAAATCACTATCCATGCCTAAATCTATGTTCTTCTGTTTGTCGTAACATGCTTAGATCCATGTTTGGGCTTTGGCTAACCAGCTAAACGTGACAAAAAGTGATGATCATTGACCATGTTAGGTTTTTCTCAACAACTCCAATGAAAAGATCGTCAATGACTGGAAACCTACTTCAAAACTACAGCATTTATTTTCAAGCCTCGTCCTTTATTAAAAAAAGAGTTAATGGTTTAATTTGTCATTTTCTATAATAATCTGTTCATATTTTTAATTTATTCAATTCATATATATCTATTAAATTTGTTACATTTTTTTAATATGTTATTTTAATTAAATTTTCAAATCAAATCACCGAAATTGATGACTTTATTTACCCATGATTATTTTTTATTTTTATAATATTCTTATAAGCTAGACAAATGAAAACCACATACCTAATTTTGATAATTTAATCCAAAAATCTTGTTATAAAATAACTCAATTAGAAATATAAGACTCTTTATCATATAAATACAAACACAAATTGAACCATTAATCCTTACAAATGTCTTTTCTAACTTTTTTCTTTGTTGGTCTGAGTTCCATCAAAAGCAGGTTATCTAAGTCAAGAATTAGATAGTCATGAAAAAAGAAACAAAAAAATTACAGTCTCAAAGCTTCTGGCGACCTTTTTAACTTCAGTCAAGATATTTTACTTTTTGACTTTCTAATCCAAGAACACTGACCAAAGAGATAAATTCAGCTGACCATCACCATCTTTGAACCAGCTCAACATTATCATTCATCCTAGAAGGAGCAGCACTTGCTGAATGGTACAGTCAAAGCTCTTGCCAAGTCCAACTTGAGTCAAACAGTACTAGCTTAATTGTTTAACACGGCGGAAGAAAAGGTAACCATAGCATGAACCAGAGAGAAAAATCGAATACCTTCCATGCGATATTTCACAGCAAGTAAAAGCTGAACCGGTACAAAATTAAACCAATTTTCCAAATAGAAGAAAGCATTTGTTATTGACAACTCAATTTGCTATTTCTTTTGGTTAAAGAATCCAAAAGAAACTCAAGATATCAAAACTCTAGATGAAAGAAAGTATTGGCAGAGAATAATACATGGCTGAGTCACCTATCCTATAGACAAGTAGATTATCTTGTGTGTGTGATCTTAGAAATTGTCCTTTGCTTGGCGGATGACGCCTAAGGCTTCTGAATCACTTGCTGTTGCTGGAATGTTTAAGGTCTGCCGGATTTCGGTACTTGAAGTGCGGAGGAAAGGATTACAAGCCTTCTCAATCTTTAGCTTAGTTGGAATCTGATAAGAGAGAAAAACTCACACTCAATGCGAAATCAAGTTCATAATCATCATGCAGATAGTCAATGGCTAAGCTCTCAACTTACTTGCTAGTTCAAGTTCACTGAAACCGAACACCATTTTGAGGAATTTTTTTGTGTTTTTTTTTTTTGGGGGGGGGGGGGCGTTCACGGAGAGGGCTTCCCTCATCGCAGCAGCCCACATTGGTTTGGTATTTCAAAAGAATAAATAAAAAGGTTTAAGACTCACTGTTGGCAATCTCTTGCTGCGAAGATGTGCTACGTTGGCTGAATAGGACTGGAGTGCCTTGTTATTTGGTTCTACAGACAGTGCAAACTTTGCATTACTCTGCCAGAAAACATGCATCATAATCAGGGCCTTGATCTTTGATCTTTAGTGGATTATGCAAGCAGAATATGGGGAAAAAAAAAAGATCACAGCAACCAACCAATGTATATTCGTGTCCGCAATATATATTTGTATCATCTGGAAGCAACACGATTTTCTTGAGGGAAGAATGCATCTGCAACAAAGACAATCAGCTGCTATAGTCTTCAATCATCATGAACGAAAGAAGCAAAAGGCAACCAGTTTCCACAACGCCTCCAATATGGACAAAATTTTAGACAAAAAAAATATTGATCTGCAGAAAGGCATTGCATAATCAAGCCACTAGCTCTCGTATTCTTCTGGTTAATTGAGAGGCCTGCTAACCTTCGGATTACACAATTGGAAGTAGTTCCAATTGTTCTATCCCATCCCCTAATGTTCCACCCATTCATCTAAAGATTTGACTGCAGGGATAGTCCCCTTCTAACTATAAGATGGTTCATTAAACGTACAGCTTATAAAGTAAATAGAGAAATTTTGAAAAATTAACTGAAAAGTAAGCAAGTTTCAAGGAGGTTCAAAATTGCAGAACTCATTTTATTGGGCAGTGGTGGCTGGGAAATATTTCAACATTCAAATTCAGAACACATGTATCATTAACAATTTCATACTCTTTTATTCAAAAGAAGATGAAATGATTATTTTAAAAATAGTTTCACCTTACAGATTCAAGAGCTGAAACATTTTTCTCAAATAGGAAGGCCCAACCCAAAATGTGCATCTCATTATTGCAACTTTGGATATTGTTTCGGAGTTCAGAATAATAGCAAAATGAAGAAGGCAGGTCAAGGATTACCTGCTCAGGTGTTCCTTCAAAAAGCTTGCCACATGATAAACTAAATAAAGTGTCTCCAGTAAAAATTGCCCCCGAACCAGGAAAGTAGAAACTAATGTGGCCTACAATTAAATGAATGCTGAACGTCAGAACAACAAAAGATTGCAACAGCTGCATAACTATAAAATCTATACTCTTCACTCCTCCCAAAACCCACAAGAGAAGCCAGCAAATATTCCACCACCCTACTAGAAATACCCAGGGTTCTCCATGTACGCATGCAATCACTAGATAATATGAAGACATGACTGACAATATAACCGACAAATTTTCCACATATTCTTTTGTTGGCTTAGCTGAACCCAATAATAAATTGTCTGTTTCGCCTTCACTTTTTGTATTGAATCTATACCACATGTCCCGCGCAACTGGATAATGTCCAAACAGGAAGTTCAAAGATACCCATTTTAACGGCATGCAAGACAGCCATTGGAAGCTGGAAGCTATGGCCTGTTGCAGCCATCCAATGCACAATACTTTTATAACTATTTCATACGACTCGGATTTTATATTGGCATTTTACATATTTCATGAGTTTATTTGTACTTATAAGTCGTGTATCACAATTTCAGGCTTCTAGGAAATGCATTTTTTTTCTTTTTTGGAACTGCAAGGAAATGCATTTTTTTTATTTTTCGGAGCTGCAAGGAAATGCATTGATTTAACACATTTTCCAGTGTCAATACGAAATCAACAGAAGAAAAGAAACTATTTTGACATTATAATGATATGTTTCTCATGAATATCTATCATCCGCAGAATTTTCTAATTTAGATCAATAAGGAAATACAACCTCGGGTATGGCCAGGAGTGTCCATTACTTGCACCTCATGGCCTGCAAACATCCACTTATCCCCATCACTCAGAACTATATCAATGCCAGGAATCCTATCCCTGTCAACTCCTGAACCAATTACCTACAAACAAGAAGTGGAACTGTAAAACCTACACAAAATTTTGAGAGCCACTTTACAAACAACCGTGCAGGACTTAGCACTCAACGAAGAATCCCCAGCATTCACTGAAAACCTTAGACTAAGCTTATGTTTTTTAAAACCAGGCTCAATACAAGCAGATTTAAGATGGTGAATAGAAAAGCTGGCTTTTGATCATTAGAAGGTTCTTATATCCAAGCTCCTTATATTCATCTAATTTCATCCAATGTGAGTTGTGAGGGGGAAAAAAAAGGGATTACTGTTGCATACCTTTGCACCATACCTTGCTTTCAACTCTTCATTCCCACCTGTGTGATCATAATGATGATGAGTATTTAGTATATAAGTTAAATTTCGGTTTTTCCGACTTAAAGCATCTATAATAGGTGTAGCTTCAGATGGATCAACAACTCCAACAGTGCCTGTGTCCACGTCATGTAAAAGATATGCATAATTGTCCTTAAGGCATGGCACCTGAAGCAATGAAGGTAAAAAGAAAAAAAAATGATATAAGGTATCCGTTCACAAGAAGAACACAGAGCATTTCAAAATTATAACAGAGCTTGCAAAATAAAAGTATTACAGATCCTTACCAATTCAATTTGCAATGAAGAAGACATATTGGAAACGCTGCAAAATTGAGCAACTTTAAGTGTTCGACTTGCTCCACGCAAGGTTTTAAACGGTGTAGATAGAAAACGCATGAATCCATACACAAGACCTTTTCTAAGGCAAAGTTGTCTCATGCCTGGCCATACGCAAAGCCCACTCCTCACCTGATAGTATAAGATAAACAAAAATAAGGTCCTAAATCACAATCTTCAGAGTTTTAGAAAGCATGTCTACTACAGTAAAGGCCAGAAATAAACACCAAAACCTATTCCATAAAGAAGAAAACACACCTCCTGCTGTTAGAAAAAAGAAAGGCACATAATGGAAACTAATAAATGGATGAAATCATTTTCATTAGAAAGGCCAAAAATATATATGGAAAGTTCGATTTCTCAAAATGATTTCCTTTCATCAAAAGTTCGTATGTCTACATACAAGTCACCAACTATCCCATCTCCTCAACTTTCACTAAATATAAACCGTCCATTACATCAAATCACTTGATTCTTCACTATCCAAACCAGTTGAACTTCTGGTAAAAAACCCACATCACCATTTGGAGAACAGCATGAACTTTCACCATTTGTTCCACTTCCATCATCAAAACTAGTGCAAAACAGTAACTGGGCTTTCTTAGAAAAAGTTAAAAATGAAAACTTTAAACAAAAAACAAACAAATACTGCTTAAAACCAAAACAGAAGCAAAGATTCTCCAATCTCTCAAATGGATTCAGACATCAACATCACTCATTTCCCATAAAGACTGAAACTTTATGATTTAAACAACCACTGTAGTACAAAACATTCAGTAAAATCAAAGGGTTTGGTGTAAACAAGAAATGGAAGCAAGCAAACCCACCCTAGTGCAAGGAAGGGAAGCCATGGCACAAGATGCTTTGGAGATCATCTGCATCACTTCTCTCCCCCTTCTCTTTCTCTCCCTCCTTTATTATTCTGTTTTTTTGGTTCTTTTTTCTAGAGAGAGAAAGATAGGGAGAGTTATTGTGGTTGTGTGTGGGTTGGCACTTGGGTGGCAGTTGGCACTTGAATTATTATGATGATTATTCTTCTCATACTTCGGTGACTAACACAGAAAATTGGTCACCAATATTGGAATCCAAAAAAAGGGTTTTCCTTTTCTTCTCTTTTTATCCATAAAAATATTTTCTAATTAATTTAAATATTAAAGGTTATAAAAAAAACCTTTTAAAGATTTTATAGCACACTTATATATGATCCATATAAAAAATATGTATATATATTATTTATAATGTTATAATTAAAGGTCAAATTCATAAAAAAAAATTTTAATCAAATATTTTAATTAATCGAGTTTGAATTGGTAAATAAAGTTCTTGGTTTTCACACATTTGTTTCTTTCTCCACTAGAATTAACAATGCCACTTTTTTATCTTTTATTTTCTAAAGATTTTAGAGCACACTTATATATGAGATCCATATAAAAAAATAAATTACTTATGATATTATAATTAAACGTCAAATTCATAAAAAAAAATTACATCAAATATTTTAATTAATAGAAATACGAGTTAAAATTCATAAATAAAATTAATGTTTTTTACGCATTTGTTTTATTTTTATCTTTTATTTTTTATTGTTGAAGGTCAAATTCATAAACCTTTTTTATCTTTTATTTTTTATCGTTAAATTTTATTTGCTTCCTTTTTTTTTTTTTGGTCAATTTTTATGGGCTGCAATTTGCTTTATTTTTATGTTAATCTATATTTGCTTATTTTATTTTATTTTATTTTATTTTTGGTTTTATTTATTATGGGAGAGACGATAAATTTACAGAACAGTGAGGAAGGTGAAAACGAAAAAGGGCAAAAAGACGCTACACGTGGAAGTGAGTGGCGGTGTATGGTGTGGAAAGTTGCGTCACTAACGCTTTTAAGTAGGGCCCACATGGCAGATTACCCGTTAAATCAGACCCTCCCAGCCTTTTTTTTCCTTTCATTTTTTCCCTCCCAAAATTCCGTTATTCTTTTTTTTTTTAATCAAAAATTTAAGTCATGAGTAATTTATTATAAAAAATAATAATCATCATCCCAAAAACTCTAATATAAATATAAAAAACATGCAAATAATAATATAACATACTTTACTTGAATCATTGATCAAATCAAAAACATAAAAATAAAAAAAATACACATAATGATATATTGTGATTTATTAAAGATCAATATTTACGCTTTGAGGTTGCAGCCTATTGGTGAGGTTGAGGGTCGCTCACCGATGACACTCGAATTCGATTCTCTCCGTGCACGCATGTCACTCCTGCGGTGCCTTACCCGTCCATTGGGTTTGTAGGGTGTTCGGTAAGTCCGGAGATTAGTACCGCCTACTTGGACTTGTAGGGTGTTCAGTGAGTCCGGGGATTAATCGAGGTGCGCGCATGCTGACATGACATCCTGGATTAAAAAAAAAAAAAAAATCAATATTTACGTCAATTACAACTTTTAGAAAATTGATTAAAAGAAAGGTGAAAGGTGAAATAGATGGGAAAGAGATGAGATGGAAAAATTCTAAACAACAGACAAAAAGTGGAGACGTTAGGTCTAATAGAGTTTTCAGGCCATGTTGAAGAGGACCCAACTTGCTTCTCAAGGTTAAAGGGTCCATTTTTATTATTTATAAAATTTATTAGTTTTTTTTTCACTGAGTTATTTTTCAGATAAGATAAAACATATAAATTTATTTCAACTTAATGTCTCATATTATATAATAAATCTATCAAAATATATCAGATCAAAACTGAATAAAAATTCATTCAATTTTATAATTTTTTAATCAAAATCTTATATTTGACTAATTATTCTTTATATTTTAATAATTTTTTTATTAAAAAATATTATTTATTTATGCTGTCTATATTTTTAGTCAAACATTTATTTTGTAATTTTTTTTTCTAAACATCTTTATGCCTTACAATTTTTAATTAAAAAACTAAAAAAAAAAAAAAGAAACCAAAATAAAACAAAAAATTTATGAACAGAAAAAACAATGTTAAAAAAAAAAAACCAAAATATAATGCTTCTCAAGGTTCCATTTTTATTATTTATAAAATTTATTATTTTTTTCACTGAGTTATTTTTCAAATCAGACAAAACATATAAAATTATTTCAACTTAATGTCCCATATTATATAATAAGTCTATCAAAATATATTAAATTAAAACTGAATAAAAATTCATTCAATTTTATAATTTTTTAATCAAAATATTATATTTGAGTAATTATTCTTTATATTTTAATAATTTTTTATTAAAAAATATTATTTATTTACGCTATCTATATTTTTAGTTAAAAATTTATTTTGCAGATTTTTTTTCTAAACATCTTTGTGCCTTAAAATTTTTAATTAAAAAACTAAAACAAACAAAGAGAAACCAAAATAAAACAAAAATTTTATGAACAGAAAAAACAATGTTAAAAAATAAAATAAACCAAAATATAATGACACAACAACTTTTATAACAAATGTCTTAAAAAAGTTGCGTTATTTAAACCACAAAAAGGGTTCCATACAGATGAAGTTTAACTGATAAACAAGCCTGAATCCAACCAAACCATAAGAATTTTCAATGATTAGCCTAAAAATTGGCCATCAATTCACTGTCAACTCAAGTAATGAGAACCCAGGAAAACCTTAATGGCTGTATTGGCAAGTCAACTAGGGCAAGCTTATTTGTTGGTGGCGGTGGCCCTGGTGGGTCTCTAACGTTACAACAACAGCAATACAACAGGAGATACAACATCATCACATCACATGCTTCAGACAGAAAAATGCTGACTTCAGAAATCTGAAACTTGGTAGTCTCTTTCAATTGTAAGACACAGTTGGGACCAGGCTTGGATAACTTAGAGTTCATCCTGCAAATGAAAAGTTCAGACTAAATTACTTGAGCTAAAGCATGAAATTGTTTTCAAGTGTAGATATCGTATCACTCTTGAGATCCGTCTTCATCACCAAGATGTGATGCTACAACAGTTTATTATAAAGTTCGTTTGCTCGTATTGCTTTTTATTTATTTAAAAAGCTGGTATCGATGCTGATTTTTTCACAAAATGTAATGAACAATAAATGGCTCAAGCTAAGTAATTCCTGCCTACTGTAGAAAAGTACCCTTGATCTTTTACCACTTGCTATGAATCTATAGAAAAAATAGTTAATGCAATGGGGAAAACGAGAGAGAGTGCCAAATATATGCTTACATGGTAATCATCCAAGTAATCCCGAGGATCGTGCTGCAAAAGAATATTTTATGTTAAATTGACACTGACCAGACAAATAAAAAGCATGACAATGATCACAATCATAAATTGATGTTTTACTTTTACGATTCTTTTCCCATCCATCTCTCTTTCTCAGTTAAACCTTATTAGAATTAAGATCATCTGAAATGGTTTTGTTACTTAGTGCCTTACTTCTTTAAAATGGTACTCAAGTATGAGAAATCATATGAAATTGCAATTTCAGCTACCAATCAATAGATGCAAGACTAAAAGTGTCAACTAAGTTTTGATTAGAAGAAAGCAAGAGATCCTATACCCTTCTACGAGGCTTCCTGTAGCCCCTTTCTTTCCTCCTCTTTTCACCTTCCTCCCTTGCTCTTTGAGCTTCCTACTCATGCAATGATTTAAATCAATTGGATATTGCTCAGAAGAATGGTTAAAAGTAGAGTTATCGAACAAATTTAATATTCCCGAAACCAAGCAAATAAAGTTAGTCACCTCGTCTTCTCGAGCTTTCTTCACTTTCTCTGCTTCCTCAAGAGCATCTTTTTCAATCTGGAATATACATAAAATGAGAATCCAAATTAGGCCATATTCCTTATAACGAAGCAGCCATTATAGACTCCAAAATTGATAATTCACCTCTCTATTCTGAAAAACTTCTTCTACAACTTCTCTTGCATATTGTGGATCATCACAGATCAATATATTGTCAAAAATTGACCCAGCCTTCACCTGCAAAACAATAGTTGATGTCATCAGAACAAGGTAACTAAGAGTGGGTCTTATTACAGAGTATAGATCCAAACTCTATTGAGAACACAAATCGTTCTGCCAAGAATGTACAACGAGAAGTTTAAATCTTTTAAGTGTTAAGACAGCTCAATTATTTGGACAAATCAAAGACTCGAGTACAAATCTAAACTCCTCAAGATGGTAGATATGAGCCAATAAGCTATTGCAACCAGAAATGAATTAAAATCAATAGTTTTTCCATTTTAGAATGAAAGGCTAGTGAGCAGTTACCCAGTTTACTAATTTGAATATAATAAAATATACAATCATTTGTTATTTCAAAGAACTATATTTTACTTCTTTTTTTTGGTGTCATTAATCTGTCATTTCTCCCTAAACAATTAGTTGTATGAATGACCTCGAGTATGTAGAAGGAAGGAAGTTATGAGACCTACCTGCCAAACTTCAATACCCACATATTTTATGGGCTTCAGCACATAAAGGTCAGGATCATCTTCAAACTCTGACAAAAAGAAAGGGAGAGAGGATTGTAAGTATTTACAAAATGAAATTGGATCCTAAAATCAGCTACAGTTATTAGATTGACCACATAGTTAGAGAGACGACAGACACAAACTTGTTGGACTAGTTGCCTTAAAAGACCTGCTATTGCAACCTAGGGGGTAACTCTTTTTGCTATGCACTGTTAGTAGCCTAGAACAAAATTTCCATACATGTATATATATACACAATACCAAACTTGTTTAAAATCCGGCACCAGGTTTCAGCAGTTTGAACATACTGCCTACTCCATTCTTGGTAAATGCTGATATATAGGCCAACATGCTCATTTTTCTATTCCTGAACATCTATACATGCAAAAATGGTTCAAAGCATTCTTCCCCCGAATGAACCCTAGAAATAACCACTTTGCCTCATAGGAATAATTCATACCTGGGTTATCAATCCATGGAGTCTTCCATTTTCCCTTATAGTTGGGGTTCTTGATTTTCTGCAGCACAAGGATAGCAACTTAACTCAATAATCATTATAATCAGCTAAAATAATTCATTCAAACTTTCTCACTAGTATGGATGTACACCTTTCTTTTCCATGGTCCTTTGTAAGCTGGATTCGGTTTCTTTGGTGGCCTCCATATTCCATCCTCTTCTTCATCCCAATCATCAGGCTATTCAAAGCAGCAAAACGGAACAAGGTCTGTTATATTCTGTCTTCCAGGCTGTGACTGTTAAATCAACTAATGAACCCAGATAATCTCTTCTTAGTTATAACCTAATTTTTAAATCAACAAGCTGGATAAGCGAGAGCCAAAAAGAAAGACATCTTCCTAGAACATTCTCATTATATAAAGGAGAGTTAATCCATGACTAGTCTAATCATGTGTTTCAAACCCCAACCAGACGAGAAAAAGAAAATTACTTAAGACATTCTAAAATGCAGAAGGCGACAAACAAACCTCTTTAGCCTTAGGATCAGGAATCTCCCGGGGGATAGAATCATACCCCTGCAACATCAAAGCAGATAATACAAGTGCAAAATGTATCAGAAACATATATAAATCACTATTTCTCAACCACTTTATTAAACAGACTATCAGGCAATACCTCTGGTTTGACATCATTAGGGTCCTCAATATATTCTCTATCATCCCAGTCTGCCGGCTGTGAGAAAAATGAAAGTCAACCTTTATTGGTTAGACCAAAAACACCAAACTATCAACAGTGGTACCAACAGCAATCGATAATCTAAGTCACCATATTTCCCTACAAAAAAATTGAACCAAAATCTAATCCCAAGTTCTTACCATACCTTCTTTGCTTTAGTATCTTTAATTTTCGGCGGAGGAAGTATATCCCAATCTGTATACATGGTTCCTGATTCCCTCTCTCTATTATCAACCAACACACTATAAGATGCATCAGGCCTAAGTATAAATGTATAGAAATGAGTCAACTTATCAGTTTCGCATTGCAAATCCTTCTTGATGGGATAATTCTGTCCTTGATACGACAATATAACATGAAGCTTCTTTGTTTGTGTCCCACACATATCAGGTCCAAACATAAAACTGCAAAGACAAAAGACAAAACAAACTTTAAACTTACCCACTTTCAAGTTCTCAAAACCTCAAAAACATCAAATGGGTCATTTTCTTTACCTATAGGGAGTATCACCACCAAATTTCTTCTGATTAACATAACCAGAAAGCAGCTTAATGTAACCACCACCACACTCAATATCTTGCTCAAACTTAATAGAATACTGAACCACTAAAGTCCTATTCCTGTTACTAAACTCAGGTGATATCTTTGCAGATATAGCAAAATGCTTAGCATCTTTAAAGGTTTGAATGCCTGAAACACAAAATTTCCGCTAAAATCAAACCCCAGATAAGATGAACTCAAAAAGATCAAATCTTTAACATGTTTTTATGTACCTTTATCATCCGGATCACCAGGCCATTTCCCTGCTGTGTACTTGAAAGTACCAGCTTTGCCTTCACTTCTTTTCCAGTCTGATAAAACCCATCTATCTTTCCATCCATCTTCAAAACGTTCTTCAAAGAAGATTTCAGAGAGTGCGAAAGGGAAGAAGAAGAGAGAGTGGACAGTGAAGAGAAAAAATAGTAGCTTTAAGGCTTGAACGACGTGTAGTTTTGGCTTGGTCTCCATTTCTGGTTAACCAGTTGGTCCGTGCCAGAAATCCAGTGATTGGATCCAACTACTATATAGCAGCGGGAGAGAATCTATCGTTAGCAGTGTTTTGACATAAATAACCTCCTTGTAATTCTAAAGTTTATTTTTTTTTTAATTTTTAACATCGAACTAAATGTGTTTTAAGCAAACCATCTATATCCAGATTGATATCCAATTCTTGATTTATTTTTGGGTAATTTTATGTATTGAAATTAAGTTTTTCTAATTAAATTTTAAATTGATTATTTATATTTATATTAATATCTAATTATAAAAGAACTATAAAAAAATCGATAAGTTTTAAAAACTTGTTAAAAATAATATCGTGTCAATTTATGAACGAAGATGGAATGTAAAAATTGATTGCGTTCCTTATTCTTTTTTATGTCAGGTGCTTGTAAAATAATTTTTTCTGACAGATTAAGAATCCTCCAATAACCTAATTAGTGATCAAAGAAAAATTGAGTGATTTGATTAGATTTTTATAAAATATTTTTGTCTATGTATCAAAAAAAATATGAATAATACATGTTTTTTCAATGCTAAATAGCTACGAAGAGTTGAGAATCTAAAATTCTTAATAGTTAGAATTCTTATGTAGGTAAGTTATTGACAAATTACATGATTAAAATAATAAAATAATCTATTTTTTATATAGATATTCTCTAACGTCATATGGATAATTTGTATTTTTTTACGTAATTCTTATGTTAGATTGCTTTCGTTTGGTTTTTTTTTTTTCTGGTGTATCAAAAACATTCATTATAAATAAATTTTACCAAATGTAAATGATTTGCTTAAGAAGTGGCTGAATTTAAATGTTCCAATTATATATATATATTAAAAAAAAAAAAAAAAGGTGGAGGGGAAATTCCATATATTTTTGTGCACCAACATGTCAATGGATGTTATGTCATCTATAGCATTGGCCTTGCTTTTTAGTATTTTCTAAGATTTGCTACGAAGAGAGGCATTCTCTAAATTTTCTTTGTTTTAATAAAAAACTATGAAGGATGTTCCTTTCGTTGAACTTTCAAACCACTTTGCTTCTTGTCCGTGTGGAGGAGGTAAGAATTTGGACAACTTTTTCTTGGCTGCAATTACTTAGCAAAGTTATTTCTAGGCAGGCCGGACTTGAAAAACGCCTCCAAACCTTGACTTTGGAGAGTAAATTATAAACTAGTCCCTCTAGTTTTGAAAAACGAATCAATTAATTATTTTTATTTCAAAAACTAATTACTTAATCCATTCAACAGTATTAATCATACTTGATTTAATATTGTTTTATTTTAAAAAATATCTTTTTTCTCATAATCTTTCTATAATATCCATATTTTTTTCTATTTAAAAAAAAAACAGGCAAGTTATAAAAGAAAATAAAATGGACAAAAAAGCCAAATAATTAGTTTTTTAAACAAAAGAAATAATTAATCTGTTTTTCAAAACTAAAGGGACTAATTTATAATTTACTCTCACTTTGGATGGGAAAATGCAACGATCACGATTGTCCTGAGAATTCTTTCCACCGCTCTTTATGGACCATGATGTCAAAACAAGTCCTGTATAGTTTATTGACGACAGAAAACTAATAATATACAATTTACTATCATTTTAAAGTAAACTGTGAACCCTTTTTTTTTTTTTTAAATTCAAATCATCTAAATTAACATATATAAAAAGTAATAAATATTTGTTTAAATAAGATTAGAGCACCAAACTATGCCATATGATACTAAAATTTAAATACAAATTTATTAATGTACATCTAAAATATATAACGATAAAAAAGTCATTGTTGTTCAAAAAAGATACCTACAAAATAAGTTCTTATGATTGATTGAGAATCCTTTGATGGTGTTTTTATCGCAAAAAAAAATGAATGATATATGTTTTTTTAATATCGAGAATTGTGAAAATTTGAAAACCTAAAATCCTTATAGTTAGAGTTTTTATATAAGTAAGATATTGAGAAGTTGCATGGTGAAAATATTAGGACGATCCATTCTTTGATGTTAAGTGGAGTGATTTGTTCTTTTCGACGTGATTAGGAGATCTAGCAGCAGTGGTAATAATGCAAATATTTTTTATACGACAAGGAGGGTGGCTCAAACGTAATTTTATTTAATGGGGGCTTTTTAGGTCTGACTAATAATTCAAAAGATCTAAATTAATATACATGAAAAATAATAAATATTTATTTAAATAAACTAGATCACAAAACTATAACATAAAATAAGCTATTAAAATTCAAATACAAATTCAGTAAATTAATATATATGATCATTATTTTTTACAAAAAAAAAAAATAATGTATTGACTAAATCTAAAAAAAAAAAAGATCAAAAGATATCAAATCCGAATTTGATGTTCATAAACTAATTTCTAAATAGATTAAAAATTAGAAATAGTCTGACCCGTTTAGCCTTTGCGGTCGGCTGCTTTTGGCAAGCCATGGCCATGCTAAAGCCCATAAAAAAAAATACAAGAATGATTTAGTTATATTGAATTCCCATCTGGTCCGTAGATGGGCCATGAACATTCCCTTACAATTTTGTGGGCAATAGATGGGCCTAGCCCAAGCCACTTTCTGAATAGATTTTGATCTTGTTTGTTTGTTTGGAGGAAGTTTTTTTTTTATTGGAAAGTGATTTTTTTAAAAAAAATATTTTTTGAAAAAATTGACTATTTTTTCAATATTAAGTTGTATGATAAAAAATGAACTAGAAATCATCTTCCCCGTATATGGCTACATTGTAGAGAATAAGTTAGAAAATAATACCTTTTGAGTTATTATCTTTTTTGAATAGTAGAATTTTTATTACTATCAATTTTTATTTTTATTTTTGGGGAACATTGAAAATAAATCTCTTTTCTATGATATCATATGCAGACAATTTATATGATTTTAAAGATAATTAATCGTATGATATAACATGTTGTGCATTGTAATGTATTTTCTAATAATATTATCTAAATTAAAGAATTATATGCACTAACTAATATAACTCTTATATGTTATATATTGATTGATATATTAATTCTAATGTTTTATTTTCTATATAAATATATTAGTAATTTATTATTTTCTAATAATATTATATACTTTAAAGTATTTTTTGTCAACATATATATATATATATATATATATAATAGCGCAAATTGTTGTAATATTTTTTTTATTAGATTTAACAATAAAAATGTTCTCGATCATATCAGTTTTTACATACTTCAAGATTAATTCTTTCATGAAAATAATTAAACGACATTCTCTAACTTATAAAAATCGAACTCTAAATCTAACTTGTAAGTACATGCATTTTTATCGGCAAACAAAGGTTGTAATACTTCTGGAGTGTTTCATGGAAAGCGTTCTGTGCTCTTCTAAATTGGAAAACGTTTTTTTTTCCTCTAAACCTTATTCTTTTCTTTTATTTGAAACCCTAATTTTTGGTTGAACTCCATTAGCTCCACGTGTCATTGAGAGGACGGAGAATCAAAAGTAGGATTGAGAGATGACCTAAGAGATGATGCCGTGTGAAGAAAGTTAAATTTGCTTGGTTTAGCTTTCTTATTGATCCATAACCATGCAAGAAGCTATCGACTTTGTTACTTTACGTCACTATTCCTTTTCATCTTGACATCAAGGGTGGGGTGGAGCTTTGCCTAATTTTGAAGAAGCTAAAGACGAGTCCTCTAGGGTTTGTATATCGAATTATTTTTTTAATAAAATAAAATTTGATTCTTAATGGTTTTAGCTTTATTTGATAATTATATAACAAGGATTTTTTGGGAAAAAAAAGAGTCCTAAAAGGGGAAAAAAAGGAAGCAAACTACCTCACTATTTCAGTCTTAATTTATGGTGATTTAACATCATTACGCAATGAGTTGTGGTGTTACTAAGATTGTTGTCAATATTTTAGATGCATCCTTTGAATTTGGATCTTACAGTTTGTGAGGATGATAATTTGAAAAAATTATTAAAATTAAGGATGAATTATGAGAATTTGTTCGAAAAAGATAATGACATATTAATCTAATAATTAAGGATGAGCGCTGAAAATTGATTGTGTTTTTTATTTTATTTGATATTCGATATTTAAAAAACAAGTCTTTATGGTGTGTTGAGAGACATATAGCGATTTAGTTAGTGAGAGAAAAAAAGAGATTGCTCTGATTATGATTTGGTAAAGTATTTCTATGTGTATCATGCAGAAGATGAATAATATAAATTTTTTTTTAATGTAAAGAGTTATGAAGGGTTACGGATCTAAAATTATTGGCGATTTAGATTTTCATATAGACCAGATCTTGGTGAATTGTGCGATGAAAATTGTAGGATGATCTATTTCTTATGTTTTTTAACTCGAAAATATTGAATTATTTGTGCTCTTGACGAGACTTGTTCCATTTGGATTGAATAGTGTCGTAAAGTTAGCTTTCTTTCTCTCGTGATTTGATTTCACAATTGCCTTTTTTTGGGCTGGCTATGCCTATGCTTAGGTGAGCTCACAGCAAAAAGGATTCACAAATGACTAATCTCTAACCTACTTTAATGCCAAAATGACTTTGAAAAGAAAGATGCTTTTTTTGATGAATTATTTGCAAAATTAATTTACTGTTAGAACTTGTTGAGTCCAATCACTTCAATCAGATTGAACAAAGTGGGGTTTTGTTAAGTATCATAATATTTATTTATTCTGCCCATCAAATTATTGAAGCCATGCAGATGAGTGATGATACTCATAAAGTGATAATCCTCTCGATCTCTTTTGGGACTTGGAAAGTACATATAGAAGTCTTTACTATCGTTTGGCTTGGAAAAATAATTTTTTTTTTTTTTATTCTCCAAAACATGCCACGTTAGAAATCTCAAACCTCAAATCAATCTTTCGTTATTCTATCGAATATACAAAATAAAAATAACTGTTTATTTTTTATATATATATAAATACTTGAATTCGACGTCACTTATTTAATATTTTAAACTTTTAAACTAAAAAATATTCAATAAACACTTCTATTATAAAATAAAGATAATAACAATAATAAGAAAAAAGTCACATAGCAAGTCAAAATATTTTTTTTAATCTTTGGTGTCATTAAGTGATTTTAGGTTGTTAGAGAATAATAAAAATTAGTTTTAAATATTTACTCAATAGTTTGAATTTTCGAGTTGAAATTTTTTCTGATTTTGCCAACGAAAATATTAGTTTCTGATTAAAATAAAATAATTTAGCACAGGATAGTAGTCTTTAATTAAAATAAAAAAAATCACAAATTACTGGTGGTTTTAGATAAATTTTATATCCAAAAAACTTTTCTTTCAAAGCCGTTTTTTTCTCTTTTAATTAAAATAAAAAGTTAAATGACGTGAAACACCTTTAACTATCGATCAAATTCACATATATATTCGTATTTATTTAATTATTAGGTACTATTTTTTTATTTTTCGATAAATAATAGATTTTGTAGATCCTTTTCCCGCGTTGACCGCAGAACTCTTGAAAAACACGTAGCCGACCAATCTGACTAGCTAATCTCGTTTCTCTCTTTCCAAAACACAGGCCCTCTCTCTCTCCACCTCTCTTCGTCATCTTCTCAAAAACACATGCATAAATTCAAGACCGTTAACTCGAGCAGGAGTTTTATTGGCTTAAGCAGATGATTTAAATTTAAATATATATATAAATTTTAAGTAATTATTTTTGTTTTTTACATCCCATAAAAAAGAATTAATCTTCTTTGTATGATCAACAGAACAACAAATAACAACAAATAATTAATCTGGATATTTAGATGTGAATAGCTTATTGGATCAAACATAAAACACATACATAACCTTTGGCCTCATCTACCAAATACACAACCTCTTCGGCTGTCGCGGGTTTTCTCCACCCTGCAACCATATATACCCTCTGGCATGTCTTCCCTGGTGTTCTTATTGGTGTCATGAACAATCCCTTCTTTAGCTGCATCTCCTTCATTTCATATTTACCATACAAAGTTTCCCTCTCCACCCTACTGCATCAATAGCATCTCCCAGTTCTTTAACCTTTTCCCATTTCCATGTAGATGGTAGAGACCTCAAGGCATAAGGGTTTTCACGGTTGTAACCACTCTTGGGACAGCAAGGCATATAAAACTTATTCCTTTATTTGTTTATAAACTCGTTCTAACCTCTCGTCTTGCTTGCATATTTTTATTCGGCATTAATTACTGTTGCTGTTTTTGGATTCTCTTGGAGTTCTAGCGATGAGTCGTGGAAGTAACGAGTCTGAACTCAATCTGAGTGGATCGTTTGGTCAGAGAAGCAGTGTGGGGTCTTCAGTTAGGAGACGTTCTTTAAGTTTATCGTTCAAAGTAGATGATGATGATATTGAAACTGAAAATGTGTCAGAGGCAGGAGATATTGGTGACAGGGTTCTTCATAGCAAGAGGCATAGTGAAAGTGGGAGCATCAGGTTATCCATTGACAATGGATTAGAAAATGGTATGGTGGCTCCCATTTCAGAGGACAATTGGGCTCATGATTCCTCGGCTTTGAATTCAAGATCCCCAGTGTCACCTTTGTCGGAAGAAATCGAAGTGAGAATTGATCATTTGATCATTTCCATCAGTTTCATTATCGTTGATAGGATTAGGATTTTTTAGTCTAATGCCTCATGGATGGGGGTTTGGTTTCTCTCTTCAATGGCTGTTTGTTACTTGTCTATGTGTTTATCTGATAATTCATTTGTTCGTTTCATGCTACTATTTATATCCAGGACAAAGAGAAAACATTTGAGTTGCCACCATTACTGGAGTATATGTCCTGTCTCCTGTATCTAGCAGTTTTTGGAATTCTTGGGGTAATATGCACAACCTTTTCTTTTTGCTTTCTGAATCTTTAAAATGGTGGCATTAATAAACTGTAGCCTAACTTCAACAACTTTGTTAAATTTTTTCTGTTTTCTTATTTGTCACCTTTGTTGGCTTCATTGCCTGCTACCATTCTAGTATAAAACTTTATAGGCAATGCTCTACTTTATTAATGGAGTTCGCAGAGGAGGTAAATCTGATGTTTGGCATGGCAAAATTTGCAGGTTTTAACAAGATACCTATTACAAAAACTCTTTGGCCCTGGTGTTGCTGGTGTGACAAGTGACAATTACCCGCTATACCTTGACTTACCTTCCAATATGGTCTCTATCTCTCTCTCAGTCACTTACACACACACAAACACACAGATCTTGCATCTCCATCATTTTTATGTTTAAAGTAGAGATCTTTCCTATTCCTAAGCTATCTAGCTTGTTTCAAACAGGAAGGCAACATCTTTTGCCCAAAGAAATATCTTGATAACTCGTCTGCGGCTTTTCATTCGAGTTGCTTTTGGTTCCCTATGATGCGTACTTTGGTTTCATTACGATTTATGAGGTTTTGATTTGGTTGGATCCAGAGTTCCTGAAATAAGATTAACATAAATATATCTTGATGACTTTGTTCTGGTATAACAATTCATTAGTTTTCTATGATTCTCAATCTAAACATGACTCTTGTGTTATTCCCATATTACCAGATTTTCTTGAATCTAAAAGATTCTCAATTTTCATCAGAAAAGTAGAGTTATCTAGGAAGTTATTCGTGTTTTGTAGATTCGACTGTCATTTAATTTGAACTTTGGGGTTTCTGTGGTGAAACTCCACTGCATTAGATTGATCCAGAATTAGAGCTTGTGCTTGTGGTAACTGGTACTCAGTCTGTCACTTGCCTTCCAATAAACTGAAATTATAGTGTTAAGAATATCTCAACTTGTCTCTGCCACCTTCAAGATGCATGAACTTGGAGGACTTTGAGCTCTCAACTTTGAAATACAAAGTTCATTAACTTATTACTAATATGTGCGCTTCTAGGTCGGTTCGTTCTTGATGGGATGGTGGGGTGTTGTTTTCAAAGGAGATATATCCAGAGTGTCTGGTCATTTGGCCATTGGATTAACTACTGGTTACTTGGGAAGTTTCACAACTTTCAGTGGTTGGAATCAGAAAATGCTCGATCTCAGTGTTGATGGCCATTGGGTGTTTTCTTTTGTTGGCTTTCTCATAGGTAATCTGGCACTTGCAGATTAATGTAACATGTAGTTGTAGGTTAACTGGCAAATGGAAACTTAACTATTGCTCTTGTGTATGTGCCTGTTCAAATTTTAATGGCAGACAAGCCTTGACTATACTGATTTTGTATCTTTGCAGGGCTATTCCTCGCAGCCTACTCCATAAAGTTGGGTGTTGGTACGGCCAAATGTTTCAAGTCATTTCTCCAAAGGTCAAACAGAAGTGCAGATTTAGGCAGCTGGAGGAAAATGGACAGCCACAGTCATCATTGGGCAGTTATGGTGGCTTTGGTGGTAATGCTAGGCCTTCTATGGAGTGTGAGTGGAGTACAGCTAAAGAAGGAGTATAACCACGACGGCAGCGGGGCCCAGCTATGGCTGGGTTGCATAGTTGCACCACTAGGGGTGTGGATCAGGTGGTTCTTAGCGCGGTTCAACGGCCGTGGGTTAGGAAAGGCAGGTTCTCTGAAATGGGTTCCCTTTGGAACTCTCATTGCCAATGTTTCTGCAGCTTGCATCATGGCAGCACTGTCTACCGTGAAGAAAGCGGTATGGTTTTATTTCTATCCAAACTCGACTCTCTTTCTGCTTCTGCTTGCATGTGCCATTATACCTTATAGATCCATTTTGTTGATTATAGCTCTGCCTCTTGCTGTTTCTGCATTACAAGTCAATTTTGATGATATGATGAGATTTGGGCGATGCAGGTGCATACCAAAATCTGCGAAACCGTTTCGACAGGCATACAGTTCGGATTCTTGGGCTGTCTGAGTACTGTTTCCACTTTCATTGCCGAGTACAACGCGATGGAAGAAAGCCAGAAAAACTGGAGAGCTTATGTATATGCCCTGATGACAATAGCTGTCTCATTTGGCATGGGGATCCTGATATACTCTGTACCTGTTTGGACCAGGGGATACAAGTAGCATGTCAGCTTATTTCAAAACATCTCCTTTGGTTACTGGCTTACCACATGTCAAGTTATGCAAAATTTGACGAAGATGACCACTTCCTACTTCCTGTGTCTCGGCCTATCAGCCCCAAGACATGAAAAAGCATTTCAACTAGGCAGAAGAGAAGTGCCTTTCCAAAAACTTGCTACAAACCCTGCTGGTCATCCAAGTTCTAGACAATATTGTTAATGTAACTTCTCAATCTGGCTGCAATGTGGATGACTAGGGCATTATGTATGAACTTGACACCATACCATTCTCCATCTCTTAAGACCTGGAGGCCCCGAACTGAGCATCACTGAGAACAAGAATGTTATGGAGGACATCACCACCGCAAGAGCCAGATCAGGACGTGGGCAAGGTGGATAGTAGTTTATTTTGAAAAGTTTTGCCCATAATTTACTAACTAACAAAAAGCTAAACTTTTAGCATTTCTGTTTTTTTTTTTTTTGTATTTTTCTTTCATTTTTTCCTCTTTCTGATGCCAGTTTACCCCTTAGCATGACATTAAAAGTGGCCAACAGCAAGAGTCTAATTCTCCAAAACTCCATCTTTTCCATGTTTTTCCACGACCATGATATCAGGATTTGGATCCTATATTGATGACAGAGACTCAGGGACCTGCATCTGTTGTTGATCAGCAGAAATGGAGAATTGCTCGCTGCTTTAAAACATTCCTCAAGAGTAATGGTCCACATGAATACGAATGAAGTGGCCCACTTTGGTCACTTTCAGTCATAAAGTAACTAAGAAAAGGTAGCTGCCGTGGATTGCTTCTCATCTAGGAATTTGTGAATGAATCATGCATCATCATTATGCTCTCTATCCTTGGAAGCTGACAAGTTTGCCTGTTCAAAAACCTAGAAGTTTCCTAAGCCAATTTCATAACCACAGCAAGCAAGAAGGGCATCTAAATGGAACATATTCTGATAGAAACTTCCATACACAATCCAAAAGGAGAGAAAATATTGCTTTTCTGGCTTATGGAACTGTTTTAATTTTCTGTAGTGTCAGAGGGGCAAAAAAAAACAAACAAATTCCAATGGGGATTGAAAAAAAAAAAACTACACTTACAATAAATGCTTTCTTTGATAATTAATAGTGATCTATACCCCAAACCCATGTAGGATTTATGTACATTAATTAGGACACTGATCTCCTTAGCCCACTTGGTTTGGTTGTTAAGGATCACAGAGCTAATGGTATGTTGCTATTATATGCATGGACAACACCGCATGTGGCCAAGCTGCGAAAACTAATAACATCACCTCTTTGTTTTAGTCTCTATAGTTCGAATCGCGGGCGATGGTTGTGATCCACCACCTAGCGCCGCAGCAGCTGATTCGACATGAGTAAGAAGGTATTCGTAAATCTTCTTCCGTAACCTGTCAACAGTCTCTGATGATACATGGGGTGTTTCTGCTTCATCCTTGTTCGATCCAATCTCATCTAACCAGTCATTCACACTTTTGAGCTGCGTCAAAATCCCTGCTATTTGACCATTATCTGACAAAGCTGAGATATCCACATCAGCATCCAAGAACCTCTCAACAAATCCCAAGAACCAATCCTGGGATTCCATCCGCAACATTTCAGCTAGGTCCACGGCCTCATCAAGGCCATTTCCTTTGATCCATTCTGGTGGAGGTTGGGGTGGCACCTTTTGACTAATGGCAGAATTTTCCCCTGGTTTGCGGAAAGCTCCAGTCGCTACAAGCTTGGAGCCAACTGTTGGACGAGCTTTCGCTTGAGTTTTTGTTGAGGTATTCTTAGAAGAGTTTTCAAGGACTAAAACAGGCTGATTGCTGACAGTAGACTTTTGACCTTGACTAGGAGCTGAAGTAGTTTCTTTGGTAAATATTGAAAAGGATGACAGATTGGTGGACAAAGCAGCTTGGACCCAACAGGCTGCATGTTTACGTCTATCAGATGTGACTTTTAGTGCTTCTTCAGATGTATTGTCATTAGAATCTAGGGAAGAACCCACTGGGATAATTTTAAAAAGAGATTCGGCAATCAACTGAGAATTATTCAAGCTTGCATGAAGAGCTAAAAACTGCTCCACAGCAGGCTGTGGGTTATCTTCCTTAGCAGAGGAAGTCAGCTCTGAGTACTTACTGCAAGAGGAAAGAGCCACATAACAAAATGTCAGAGAAAAAGAGCTTAGATTGAAATGTTTATACACTAGAAAAAGTTAAATATAGATTACACATCCGAGAAGTCAAATCAAAGAAGCCCCTGAAAATTACTTTTCTCATATTTCCAACATTTTAATCAAGCAAGTAGCACTCAAGTTGTCTTGGTTAGTCCAACATTTCTCAAATGTTGAGTCCATATAATCCAAGCAACAAAGAAATAGAAATCCATCTAATACTTCTACCCTTGCTGCCATTATTTCTTGAATAGTTATACCTTAGACATCGAAGTAAGCTCTCTGCAGCAGTTGCCTCTTGAATAGCCTCTATTGCTGCCATCTGTGCAGCATCTCTATGCTTCATAACTTCCTGTAATGAAAAATATGTAGACATGTGAAAATTGAAAAGGACTAAGTAATTGATAGAAGACCAGAAACCAATTGAACTATGTGTTTACAGATAATACCCATGGAATCAAAGAAATGGTTCTTAAGTTAACCACTAAAATAATTGATGTATCAGCAATGTCCCTAATTTAAGTGGAAAAGTTTCAATCCCCAAAAGCAATCACTAACTATGCCGCTATGAGCCAACAGCTGAAAGCAGAATTAAGGTTTAAGTGGCCCGAGGTCCGTACGTTCAAGCGCAGGCTACCAAATATCTAAATATCTATTGACTTCGTTCTGCCATCATATACCTATTTTACTTCACACAAGAAAGCTAACTATCCTTACACTTTCTGTGTCTACTTTTGATAATGAGATTGTTCGGGATGGGGTATTTGAACTTTCAACCTCCTCGTCAAAGGAGGGGTGGCTACTAATCTACGCTGGGCCATAGTTAATGTCAGAAAATAGTTCAACAGAATTTGCCAGTTGAGAACACAACAGAAGGTGCCTAAGCAGCACAGTAATTCAACACTCAACAAATGACTACCCTTAACAAAACCTGGAAACGTACTCACATCTACCACTATTTTTTTCTCTCGGAAAACAGAAAGAAGGCCAATGAAGTTATCAAGATCAAAGCTTTACCTTTCCAAGTTTGGCAAGAGAAGAGGGCAGTGAACTCCATGAAACACTTCCTTCAGTTAGTCTTCTGCTATTTACTGAAACCTTGACCAGATTTCCTAGGAACGCATTGTTAGCATGCTCTGATGATTTCTTTCCAGCAGTTGTTCTTAACTTATTTGACTTGTCTTGTTCATCCAAACTTCCATTTGCAACATTTCTCTTGGTAGATGTCTGAATTTTATTCTCCTCTTTAGATGACTTAGAAGATAATTGAGCCCTATTATCCTCGTTAGATGGCAATCTCTCACTTGATGTACTTTTTCTTGGAGTCTGCATATACAATTAGATTAGATGGCAAGCATGATAATTTGACAGGGATGAGTTGGGAAACCCAGCAAAAGTGAATTGGAGAAAGTAAACAGCACAACATTTCCAAAACCTTTTGAGTCACATAAATTCAGGACCTTTTGGGTCACACAAAAATCAGGACACTATAAGAGTGAGGCAGATCAACAATTCAACAGTTTTACCAATCAACCACATAAAAAGGATCTGAGTTTGAAAAAAGGCTCAAGTAATGAGTCTTAAGGAACATTGAAAACTCATGATCAAGAAAAGAATGAAATCAGACTTAACCCTCTATCACTCCAAAATCATGACATCATATATCTTAACTGAAACAGATTTTTTTTTTTTAAGTACATCTCAACCAAATCATACTCTACTCGAAACAAAATTCATATATGATAATACTTACCGAAACACTCCGAGCTTCAGGCTTTGGATCGTGTCTGGCAGGTCTCAATTTTGAATTTTCTCTATGCTTCACCTCCATATTCCCCTCCCAACTTTTCCTCAAAGCTTTGGCACCAAACTCAATCCCCTGAACAATATTCTTGATCACCGGCACCCTCTTCGCAGTGGGACTCGGCCCAAGAACAGAACTTTCTACTATCCTAGGTGATCCCTTGTCCAATCCCTTAACCTTAGCCTGCTGCCGAACCCCATTTGAGAACTTCTCAAATGAAGTAGGCAATGAATAACAACTAGTTGGAGAAGACGGAATTGATCTTGAACTCGAAGACTTAGATTTTGCCACAGATTCCTTCTTCAAATCCAAATTTAGTGTATGTTTTTTTGCCAATTGAGACTTTGATCGAGTCAGACTCGCTTTCTTATCCGACAAAGCCTCCTTATGGGAATTAGCATTGAGCCTAAACCCCAGCGATTTATCCTTCTCTCCAACATTACTACTGCCCAAAGCACCCCTTGTAGGCGATTTCACTTTCTCTACATGACTATTATTGAGAAAACCAGGAGACTGAGTTGCTACAATATCTTCAGGGCTCCCAACACAAGGGTGCCTCCCAGGTACTGGCCTAACTCCTCGAAGAATAGGTACTGGTGAGGCTGATTGAAGCCTTTCAACATGAATAAATTGGCCTAATTGGATTTTATCGCTAAGAATTAAATCATCATGCTCATCAGGTAAACTCGCATAAGTGGCATGAGATGAATCCGACACCTTAAGATAAAACCCTTGATTAGGGAATAACTCACCACCTGCTAATGCTGGTACAATGCTCACCACTTGCAATAAAGATGACCTGTGTTCCCCAGCAACCTTGACATCTGTATTCATATGCTGCAAAAGCTTGAGTAACACTCCAGGTACAAGATTTGCCATTTGTTAACAAACCTTCAATTTGCATCACTCTAAGGATACCCCAGATTGAGAACTTGAAGAAATAGTTGAAAAGGAAGAGTTTTTGTCAATACTCAGATTCAAAAAATTGGAAATTTTCAATCAAGATTTGAACTTTTCAACACAGAAGGGAAGAAAGGATCACCCTTTAGAGTTTAGACCCAAATGATATTTGTTACGACAAGAGCCTTTCAACATCACAGCAGTTTCAAAAGAGAGAGAAATGGAATGCTCAAGATCCAGAGTAGAAGATTTTTGAGCTCATAATGGTGGTTTAATTTATTCAAAACAAAAAACAAGACACCAACCAATGTATAAATTAAGAACAAAACCAAACCCCAATACTCAAAACCCTAAGGAGCACCAAGTCAGACACAAAACCAACCAAGATGCAAACTTTTTTCAAGAAAATAAATTACTCACTAAAAACAAAACAAAACCCAGAAACTGAAAATACCTTTAAAGATGCTTTGAGAGGTAATAATGGTGTACAGCTTGGCAGAAGGAAGTGAAGTGTGTGCTCAAAACTCAACAACCCAGAAAGAGAAAAGGACTCATAAATAAGATTTGGTTGTTTTTCGCGAAAAACTCAGCACAAGACAACCAACATATGGGGAAAAAAAAAGGAAAAAAGCCCAAGAAAGTTTGGAAATTTATTTTGTAGTAAATCAAAATGAAGTTAAAAAGAAAAAAGGACTGATAAATAAGATTTGGTAGTCTTTCGCGAACAACTCATCACAAGACAACCAACATATGGGAGGAAAAAAAAAGCCCAAGAAAGTTTGGAAATTTATTTTGTAGTAAATCAAAATGAAGTTAAAAAGGTGACCTTTTTTTTTTTTAAGGCAAAGCACAAACACGCTTTATCTAGTTTATGACAAGTGCATGTAACATGGGATTTGATATCATGTGATCATAAGAAGCTGAAAACTTTGCAACAGACCAATGAAAAGCTAAAGAGAATAATTTATGCCAGGCTTAATGGATGATTGATACCACACAATCTAGAGAGAGAGAGAAAGTGGAGGTGTCAGAGCCTGACACATTGACATATGCACAACAACATGGGTAACATTTTAATGTGTCCAAAAAAAATAAAAATGATGAAACCTGACACACTTTAACTAGCTTTTCTTTGATTGGACTGAGGAATTCAGTACATTGAAAAATAAAAAAGGATTTGTAAATTGTACTTAATGAGTGGGAAGAGTTTGTTTTTGGTTTTGGAATATGAAACAGATGGGTCTCTTGAATTCTTGCAGAACCTGTTAAAGGAATCTTGTCATGGAGTAAAAGGATCAAGTTCCTTATTTTTCCAGTAACACATGGCATATTCTTAAAACATAAAATTCATTCCTTTATTATTTCATAATTTTAAAGAATTTGTTGCGTGTGTTCTTGTGATGTTGACTTAAATGGAGGATTTATTACCATGTTGGCATCTTGGCTTGAATTCCGGAATGCATGGTCAAAAAATTTTATGAATACTTTACTTTAATATCATAGATTACCTGTTCAAACGCATAATCTTTTTTAACGATTAAGCATGGACGTACAAATATAGATTTGGATTACAAATAACGTATTATACCAACAATGCTTTCATGTAACTACCGATGAACAAGTAATATTGATGAATTATCTGTTCAAAACATAATTGATGTACAAATTATATAGATCACAGTTAATTTTAACAAGATTGACGAACAAGTAATTTTTTTAACAACAAACAGACAATTATTCATACATGTGCAAATATGAGTCACAAATAACAAATTGTGTAAGCATTAATTTTTAGGTAATTGTCAATGAATACGTAATATTGATGGATGACTTGTTCAAAACATGATTGATGTAATTATTGTAAGAAACCCAAATAACTTTGCTTAAATATGATGGATGACCTTTTAAAAAATTATTAATAAATGTGTAATCTTTTTTAACAATAGATATACAACTAAGTATGCATATGCAAATATAGACCACAAATAACGTATCATACAAACATTAATTTTTATGTAATTGTCAACAAACATGTAATATCGACGAATAACATGTTCAAAACATTAGTAATAAATGCAATTTTTTTTTTAACAATAAACATACAACTAAGTGTGCATATGCAAATATGGAACACAAATAACATATCATACAAATATTAATATTTACGTAATTTTCAATAAACATGTAATATCTATGGATAATATATTCAAAGTACAATTGACGTATTTATTATATGGATCATAAATAATTTTGCTTTATTTTGATGGATGATCTATTTAAAATATAATTGTTGGAACACATAATTTTTTTTAACAATAAAAAACATGAATAACTATACATGTATAAATATGGATCCCAAATAACGTATAATATGATCCTTGACTTTCAATAATTACGAACAATTATGTAATATTGATGATAACATGTTCGAAATACAATTGACGTATTTATTGCATGGTTAAGCATATACGTACCATGTGAAACACAAAAACATGATTAAGCATATACGTACCATGTGAAACACAAAATAACGTATTATTCAATCATCAGGCAATTTCCTATAAGCACCAATATTGACTACAAAAATTTACCCCAGAATTCAAATATATATATATATATATATATATATATATATATATATATGAGAGAATGCAAACGGTTGCATGTGCTAAGAAATGGGGCGTTAGGAATAAGGTGAAGGAGTGTCGGCTACCTGAAAAGGTGTCACATCCCAAGATAGCTTAGCAGTTGGGAGGCTGCTTTCTTTTATCCGGTCTCTATTTTTTAATTACTCTTGTCTATTTTTTTTTAGGAAATAATTATTGTTTTTTGTTTTTCTTGCTTTCTTGACCAATGAGGCCTATGATTCACCATCACAAAATCAAGCATGTGGTAGATATTGTTGGTGGGACCCAATTAACCTTCTTCTTCAAAACTTATAGTAAATTATAAATTGGTCCTTCTAGTTTTCGAAATAAACTAAAAGATTGAAAACTTTCAATCTCTTTCAATCTTTTAGTTTATTTCGAAAACTAGAAGGACTAATTTATAATTTATTCTCAAAATTTGAAGGAAGAAATTTTTTTTTAAAAAAAAACTAATTTCTCATGCAAATTAATTCAGGGTACATTTACATGGTTGTAAAAGTAATGATACTATTTTGTTTTTATTGTATCAGCAATTGTGGCAGTAAAGCCTTCCTTCCACTTGTATAGAAACTGAGAATCTGTGAAAGCAAAAGGAAGAGAAAGACAAGGGTGCTTGATTACAAAGATAAGCATTCCTTTTCTTTTATCTCAAGATTTGAAGAAGACATGGGAAAAGAATATATGAATCGTGCCTATAGAAGTTTACATTTTAGTTCTAAAATTTTGTTACTTTTTTAATTACATCCTTTAGGTTAAGCCTTTTTTTCGTGTTTCTTTAATCCACACGTTAAAATTGATAACTAAAAACTAAAAAAAAAATTTAATCGAAAAATTGATTCTTAATTCGGTTTGGTTTCGATTTTTTTTTAGTTAATTCGGTTAATTGAAAATCAAGAAATAAATCAAAACCAAATCCGAATTGAAAAATCAAATGGTTTGCTTCTTGTAGGCTGCGATTAAAAAAATAAAAATAAAAATTCTTATGAGTAAATTAGTCTGAGTATTGATAACTTATCTAATTAAGATTGGATAGAAAAGATATCTAATCTTGTATGAGGTGTTGGTTTTCATACTTGATGGGTTTACGTCTCATGTTATCCTCTCAAGTTTTTTTTTTTTTTTTTACTCAATGAGTTAACTTCACTCCTTTTTAACTTAGGGATCAAACAATTAGGAAACTTTAACTTTCCAGACTGACTCATTACCATATTAATAACAATTTAGGATGGATTGTCCTATCCTAAAACCCTACCTTATTATTTTCTTGTTGTCCTAAGTACATTCTTTGTTATTTAGATGCCTAATTAGCATTTCGTTTAAGTAGGTATGCAGGCAGGAGATTAGGTAATTAGTTGATCATTTGCTTCAGTAATTAATATATATAGGGTTAGTTTTAGGTTAGTTGGTTTTGCCCCCACCCTGATTTGGCCCTATCTCAAGCAATTAACCCATCTGGTCATGTTACCAAGATAGGCACAACATCTCTTTTAATGCTTGCATGTTTTGGATGATCTTCCCAGACAAATTTGCCCCACAAAAATTTTGTACCTTTGATAATTAGATTTCACCTCACAGTACAAAGATCTTTCTGGTCATTATTTTGTCTACAAATGCCATTTAGATTCATGGCTTGTGTTACTTGATCAATTACATGATAATTTCTGGATAATGTTGGTATTTTAATCCAAAAATTTTGTCAAAATAATAAATCAATTAGACACTTAACATATATTTAATGATAAAATTAATCCAATTATAAATATGAGAATGGATTGAAAAATTATTCTTTTATATAAGAGATTTACTTCATATTTGGAGTTTGTATTATTCGAATATTTTTTTTATTAAGGCCCTTTATTTTTTAAGATTTGTTGCTTCGGACTCTCTATTATAACGTTACAAATTTATAATCAATATTTGATATTATAAAGTAAAAATTTCAACCACGTGTTAATCGTTGATTGATGACATTATAATAAAAAATTTAAAGCAAGAAATCTAAAAAAATAGAAAATATCAATCAAGTGAAAAAAAATAAAATATCTCAATAAAAAAAATCAAAACATACATGGTTTAAATATGAAGTAAATCCATTATATAACAGCATAATCAACCATTAACCTAAGTGATAAGAGACTGAAGGATTGAATGGAGTTCTTGAGTTTGGATATTGAACCATAATGGCCATCGTTAGACAACAAAGTTGGCTATTTGCCTATGTTTGTGTTTTGCTCAGCAAACTGTAAGCTGAAAAAAAAACAAAATATAAGCTATAGGATATGATTTTAGACAATGAAGACAGTGACGCTCGAAGCAAAGCGAGCAGGAACCAGGAAGCCAGACACGCACATGCATCATTTTCGAAAGCCAAAGTTGTACTTTAAAGTCAACCATGGAAAATGGCATTTTACTTGAGAGAAAAAGAACACTCAAAAACAATCATAAGACATTTCTGCGATGTGCAGTGGTTGACAATTGACAGTCAACCCACAGGAAATCAGAAAATCTAGCATCTGCACTGTTTCGAACCATATTGCTCGTAAATTTCACAACAACTGATGATTTTAATAGTGTTTTCTTTTACTGAATCAACAGAGCAAAGCAATAATAATAATAATGATAAAAGTGGTTCACGCTTTAAAGAGTAAATTATAAATCAGTCCCTCTAATTTTTCAAAAGAAATTAAATAGTACTTTTAGTTTTAATAACTAATTAATTAGTTTCTATACTTTTTTAAATCTGTATATGACTCAATCATTTCCAATTTATTTTATTTTTATTTTAATAAACAGAAAAAATGAAAAAAAAATAAGTAAAAAAAATAAACGATTGATGAGAACAAAAGATAGTTTTTAAAACATAATAATATTAATTTAACCATAATAAACACTGGCCAAAAAATTAATTAATTAAATTTTAAAATAAGAGAGATTATTTAATTTATTTTTAAAAAAATTAAAAGGACTAAATTATAATTTATTCTGCTTTACATGAAGTAGGAGTAGGTGCAACTTGCAAAAAAGTATATGTCGTTGTGATATACTGTGACATATTGCAAAAAGCTTTGTTTATGTTATGACTGCAGCCATCTTTGATAGATTCTGAAGTTCAACCATTTTTTTTCAAGAAATTTTATGCACACAAATGAAGTGAAAGCATGGGATTTCTAAAATTTATAAGAAGATAAAAACATTTATTTTTTTCATCCATTAGGGTATATTTAAACCATATTTTATATCGCAAAACTAAATTAAATTTTCAAAATAACCTTGTCATCTATACTTAAATTATGTATTCGTAAAAATTATATTTTCTTGCAGTTTGTTTTAAGATTTTAATCCAAGATGATATTGAGAAATTAACTTAGTTTTTCTATTGGCAAGGTATAGGATTAATATTTTTATTATTTAGTTTGTTTGAATAATATATAGTATTTTATTTTAATTCAGGAAAAAGATGAGAGTTGACACCCATTTGTGTTCATCCAAAACGAGACATGACTTTAATTGGAAGACAATCAGAAGAGAATCAGGTTTAGTATAACTTTTTTAAAAAATATTTCAATAAAAAAGGAAAAAACAATTGATGAAATTCGAAAATATGAAGATGAAAAAGTACATAATGTACTCTTAAGCAAGTTTTTATTTATTTATTTATTTGGCTTTGTATGAAGTAATAAATACTCGTCATATTTGCCCACACATCACACATGTCACACACCTGTTTGGGACTTATTACCTAGCAATTTCTTTGTTCTTGGAAATCTGTTCAACAAATGGAAAAGAGAAAACCATATTTTTGTGTCCAATCTTTGATTATTTGTTTTTTTCTATTTTGGTACTCAGTTGTTGATTTTTAATGATTTATTATCCAACTTTTAATTTTTGTTTATTTTGGTGTCCGAAATCACCCAAGGTCCAATTTCACCGATGTATTTCGTGAGACCCGCCAAGTGACAATCAACTCTAGACACGTAAGCAATTCATACTCTTAGATGATCATAGGCACCGGAATAAAAATAAAATAAAATTAAAGATTAGACACCTAAAAAAAATCAATGATTAAGCATCCAAAATGCAGTTTTTTCAAAAAATTTATTGTCTCGAAATTGCAAAATTAGTCCAACAATTTTCACTTTGTTGTATTACCGCTAAATATTTTTCATACTATGCTCATGGTGTTTTCTATTTATCAAAGACATTTTTTTTAGTATTTTGTAGTAGTTGAAAATTAATATTTGTTTAAAAATTTCTAAATCATATATATAGTCATTTAGACAAATTTAACAACATGTCATTTAGTCTAAATATTTATAAGATTCAATTAAGATTAAATTAAAAAAAATAAAAGACATATAAAGTCTAATTATGATTGTTATTTGTAGAACAAATGGTTAGCTAATAGAGAAATTTACAAAGAATAAAAATTGTTTCATCCGTACAGAGAGAAGATTGATCAACATATAATGAGTGACATAAGCTTTTTACAACCAACAACTTGTTGAACTTTTTTTTTATAATAGGTTGAAATGGGATAGAATCAATATGAACAAATTTAATGATCAAGTTTTTTTATTTAGGTGTTGAAGGTGTAATATTTTTAATAGCGATGATGATAACAATAGAAATAATAAGTAAAGTGTGAATTGAGATAAAAAATGAATGCAATGTTAACATTGCTTGTACGAGTTAACATAATAATAAGAAGATATGCATTCATGTAATTGCTGATTTTATTGAGAATCGAATTATATGACTTTCAATATATAAAGAGAAATTTTAAGAAATCACGTATATATAAAAATTATGAAAGTACAAAAAATGCATGAAATTTATTTATAATGAATGAGGAATAGATCACAGTAAAAGAAGAGGAGATACATTTAGTGTGAAAAAACTTAAATGAATTTTTTGAGAAAGTCTGTATTTTGGATGCCCGACCATTGATTTTTCTTTTAAGTGCCCAATTTTTATTTTTTATTTAATTTGAGTGCCCACAATCACTCACGAGTATGGATTGCTGATGTGTCTAGAGTTGATCGTCATGTGGCATTTTTTATTGTCACGTGATAGGTCTCACCGGATATGTTAGTAAAATTAGACATCATGTGATTTTAAGGACCAAAATAAACAAAAAATTAAAGTTTCGGTAGCAAATCGTTAGAAATCAACGACCGGGCACCAAAACAGAAAAACAAACAAATTTTGGGCACCGAAAATACCATTTTCTCAATTTAAAACGCGGAATAAAGCAATTTGATTAAGGATTAAAATATGCTAAAGAGGTTGTAATTATTTGTTGCTTTAAACTTAACTATCAATAAAGCAATAAGGTTTGGTTTCTTGACAACATTAATCAGTAAAGGAATCCCTAAGCAAAAAGATTAGTAATGTTGACAAGAACCCAACGAGAACAAAATCCGGACACTTTCAACTGAAAAGATTTCTTCTTCATGATTTTGTCCATATTACCTTTTTAATTCTCAATATTGTTTTGCAAATTAGTCGAACTAGTATTAAAATTGTTCTTAAAGATGATGAGTTAATGGTTCAAGGGCTCTCTCTTTTTTCGTCTTAATTTTGTTTTTGTTTTTTTTTGTTTTTTATTAATGTCATCTCTCAATATTTACTCTGCGTCTTAATTTCGTATCTTCATCTAAGTTTTCGGATAACAACATCTAATCTAGATGAGAGATGCACAAGATGATTGCACTTAGGAAAATTCTCTTTTACTATTTGATTTTCAAAATTAAGCAAATAAATTTCTCAAATAAAAAATAAAAAACCCAAAATACCTCCCATATAAAATCCTCGAGAAAAACCCCAAAATCCCCAAATTAATTTTGATTCTTCCCTAACCTAGCACTACTACTCTAACCATGATGATGACGCTGCCTCTTCAAAAAACTGCAACCTCCTAAATTCCACCAACTCCCTCTCCATAAAAAAAAACCTCTCTTAAATCAAATAGAAAAAAAATTATTACGTGTCAACATCTTATGTATCTTTCGTTGAGATTTAACATTGTTACCTAAAAATTTAAACAGAATGATGGAATTAAGATGCAAAATAAACATTGAAGAACGACATTAATGAAAAATTTAATAAAAGGACTTGATTAAGATAAAAAAAAAAAAAAAGTAAGAGGATCCTTTAAACCATTAACCCTAAAGATGATTTAGTCTTGATAAATATATACCTTAATTTGAAAATATTTTTTTTATCTTCGAATAAAAAAAGAAGTTTGGATGATATTTTAATACTGATAAGGATAACAAACTTCGTTCGGATTCATATTTTGATTTATATAAAAAAAACGAGGTTGTGTCTCCTATTACAATTTCTAGTTTTTATTTAAGAAAATGGCATAAGAAATCATAAATGCATTAGTTTGAAATCCTAAATATAAATAATCTTTCTAAAATCCGAGTACTAAAAATCTATCAATCTCAATGCTAGAAAAACTGAGAATACCTCAACCTTTAAATAATAACAATGATGATGACTTATAGAGAAGTCCCTACCAATTATTTTTGGCATGGCTAATTAACAACACATGACTAATTTTTTATTCATTTTACAGAAACATCACCATCGCACCACCACCACCTGCTCAGACATAATAAAAATTTAATAATTTATATCCACACATCATTAAATAAAAAGAAAAATGATTGAACATGAGCTTGGATTCTTCTTCCCTCTCATTTTCTTTCTTTCTTTTGAAGTTGAGCTTAGCCATCTCTTACAGTGTCCTGCACTCTTGTCTTCCGCTCTATGGTCGTGAAGGAAACTCTCTCATTTTGCCGATAACGACGGGTGCCTAAGCGTTGTAGTTGAAATCAAGTCTTTTTTGGGTCCACATCATAATATTATTACAACAAGCACCCCATTTATTGAGCTTATTCAAGGGATCAATCAATTAAGAAATTTTAACTTTCAAAACTAACTCGTTATCATGTTAATTATTAAGTCATGGAGACTGATATAAATGAAAGCTCGTAGTATAAGACGTTATATAAATTCAGTATGGTAAGCTTTTGAAAAATCTACAGAATATTGGATTAGATGTATAAGTTCTTTAGACTTTTTTCTTTTTTTTTCTTGTAATTCTAATTGTCTATGTTATAAATAGAGACAATATTACTTATATTTGTAGCTATCACTTAATAAAATTTAACAAGAAATTCTAATGCAACCGCAGAAAATATATCATTATCAAGTCACGTAAAATTTTTATGTTATATAATTGTTTTTATTTTTTATTTTATTATTTTATTTGATTTGTTTCCTAATAATAACAACGAAGTCCTATTTTTTTTCTTATCATCCCAAGTACATTCTTTGTTATTTAGATGCTTGATTAACATTACTTTTATGTAGGTAGGCTGTTAGTAGACGAGGCTAGTTGATTATTTATTTCAGTAATCAATTTATACAGGGTTAATTAGTATGAGGTTAGTTGGTTTTGCCGCCCCCACACTAATTTGGCTCTATCTCATGCAATTAATTAACCCACCTGGTCATGTTGCCAAGATACGTACAACATCTCTTTTAATGCTTGCATGATTTGGATTATCTTCTTGGACAGAATTTGCCCCACAAAAATTTCGTAGTACTTTTGATCATTAGATTTCACCTCACAGTATAAAGATCTCCATAGGACTGCATTTTTTGTCATAATTTTGTCCATGAATGTCATTTAGATTCATGGCTTGTGTTACTTGATCAACGACCGTATTGATGGGTGTTCTTGCTTTATAATTTCTTGGATGTTCCACAATTGCATGGAAATTACCCATCCGGATAATTTCTATCATGGATTTGGATGATTTTTAAAATATTTATAATAAAATGTTTTCACATGATTTATATATAACTATTTTTTATTCTCAAAAAATTCTTACAAATCAAGTAAATAGAAGATTTTTAATAATCTAATATGAAAATCTTATCGAAAGATAGACTAGACACTTATATATATTCAATAATAAAATTAATTTAATTAAAAATATATTGTAAAATTATTTTATTACATGAAGATATATTTAACAATCAAGCCATTTGATAGTCTGAGTGACAAAGGGTTGAATGGAGGTCTTGAGTTTTAGACCTTCAACAACAATGGCCATGATTAGACAGCAAAGTTTGCTATTTGCCAATGTTTTGATGATTCTAGGAAGCCATACACAGACATGCATCATTTTCGAAAGCCAAAGTTGTACTTTAAAGTCAGCCAAAGAAAAGGGTATTTTACTTGACAGAAAAAAATAATACCAAAGAAAAGGGAATTTTAATTGACAGAAAAAGAACACTCAAAAACAACCCTAAGACATTTTCTGTGATGTGCAGTGGTTGACAATTGACAGTCAACCCACAGAAAATCAGAAAATCTAGCATCTGCACTGTTTCAAACCATATTGCTCATAAATTTCACGACAATTGATGATTTTAATAGTGTTTTCTTTTACCGAATCAACAGAGCAAAGCAATAATAATAATACTAATAATAACAATAAAAAAGTGGTTCATGCTTTAAAAAGTAAATTATGAATTAGTCCGTCTAACTTCAAAAGAAATTAAATAATACTTTTAGTTTTAATAACTAATTAATTAGTTTTATTTTTAAATCTATATGAAACTTAATCGTTTTCAATTTTTTTTAATAAATAGAAAAAGAAAAAAAGTAAAAATAAAAGATTGATGAGAAAAAAATAATCTTTAAAACAAAATAATATTAATTTAATCATAATCAACGCTGACCAAAAAATTAGTTATAATTTTTAAAACAGAAGGGGTTATTTAATTTATTTAAGAAAAAATTAAAAGGATTAATTTATAATTTATTCCTTTACATGGAGTAGTAGGTGCAACTTGCGAAAAGTTTATGTCATTGTGACGTATTGGACCTAATCTGAGAGCTAGTCTGAAGTTTTGTTTATCTAATAATTGCAGCCATCCTTGATAGATTATGAAGTTTAACCATTTTTTTCTTTTTCAGAAATTTTATGCTCATAAACGAAGTGAAAGCGTGGGATTTCTAAAAGTTTTAAGAAGATGAAAACATCTATTTTTTTTCATCTATTCGGGTATTTTTAAACCATATTTTATATTGCAAAATTAAAATAAATTTTCGAAATAACCTTGTCATCTATACTTGAATTATGTATTTTTAAAAATTATATTTTCTTGCAGTTTGATTTAAGGTTTCAATCCAAGATTATATTGGGAAATGAACTTAGTTTTTCTATTGACAAGGTATATGATTAATATTTTTATTATTTGGTGTGTTCGAATAATATATAGTATTTTATTTTAATTCAGGAAAAGATGATATGGAAACATTGATGTAGAATTGACACCCATTTTTGTTCATCCAAAACGAGGCATAACTTTGATTGTAAGACAATCAGAAGAGAAATTTTATTTTGTTTTATAGTATTTCAATAAAAAAAGGAAAAAAAAATTAAAAAATATGAAGATGTAGAAAGGTTCGAGAAACGAATTAATTAGTCTATCTAGTTTAAAAAATTAATTATTTAATACTTTTAACCGAGTATAGATCACGATTTAATATTTTTATTTTATAGAATGTATCATTTTCTTATTAATTTTTTCATATTTTTTCTTTTTTATTTCTTAAAAAAATCAAAATAAATTAAAAAATAATAAAAAGAACTAAATGATTGGACTTGGAAACTAGAAGGACTAATTAATTCATTTCTCAAAATGAAAGGGACTAATATATAATTTATTCTAAAAAGGCATAGTGTAACTCTTACGTAAGTTGCCTTTTATTTATTTATTTTTTATGAAGTAATAATTACCATCATACATGTCACACACCAGTTTGTGATTTATCACCTAATAATTTCTTTGTTCTTGGAAAGGAATAAAGCAATTTCATTAAGGATTAGAATATGCTAAAGGTGTTGTAATTATTTGCTGCTTTAAAGTTAAATATCAATAAAGCAAGAAGGATTGGCTTTTTTATAACATTCACAAGCAAAGGAATCCCTAAGCAGAAAAATTAATTAATCAGTAATGTTGACAATAACCCAACGAGAACAAAATCTAGACACTTTCAACTGAAAAGATTTCTTCTTCGTGATTTCGTCCATGTTACCTTTCTAATTTCTTAATATTGCTTCACATATTAGTTGAACTAGTATTAAAATCGTTATTAAAGATGACGAGTTAATGTTTCAAGAGTTGTTTTTTTTTTTTTAATCGTGTTTTTTTATTAAATTTTTTTATTACTGTCATCTTTAAATATTTATTTTGTTTTTTTATTTAATTTTTTTTGTTTAAATTTTTAGATAACAACGTTAAATTTAGACGAGAGATACATGCAATGATGACATCTAATTTATTAATATCGCTTGCCATATTAGTTGAACTAGTATTAAAATTGATATTAAAGATGATAATTTAATGGTTCAGGAGTTGTTTTTTTTTTCCCTTATTTTTATCGTATTCTTTTACTAATGTTTTCTTTTAATATTTATTTTATTTCTTAATTTGATTTTTTTGTTCAAATTTTTAGATAACAACATCAAATCTAGACGAGAGATGCATGCAGTGATTACATGTGGTAATTTTTTTTTCTCTTTGATTTTTGAAGTTAAGTAAATAAATTTTTGAAATAAGAAATATGAAAAACACAAAGCTATATGAAAATCTCGAAAAAAAATCCCAAATTAATTTCGATTCTTCCCTAACCTAGCACTACTACTCTGACGACGATGATGTTGCTACTGTGCAAAAATTGCAACCTCCTCAAATGCCTCGACTCCCTCTCCATAAAAAACAACCTCTCTCTCACTCATTTGCGACTTCCTCACTGGCTTAATTTCTCGGCGATCTCAACCTAATCAATTATCGATCCATACCCATCAACACTCGCCAGATCACCTAACATCTCAATCGAAGGCAAAAATATCGAAGTTGGTAACACTCTCAGAATTACTAAACACGACAAAACCTAAGAAGACGACGATGGCATTTTGGCTACTAGAGAGGAAGAGATTGGGTATGTTGGCTTGTTGAGAGGAAGAGGCGTGGAAGAAGTGGCTATTGGGGTTTGGAGGGGGAAGAGGATGGTGGTAGAACTTATGACAGTGGGTAGGTTGCTGGCAGTGTGAGGGATGACGACGATTGTAGCAGTGGGTGAAAGGGGAGAATTGAAACTTAATTGGGAATTTTGAGGTTTTTACATGAGGGATATTTTGGGTTTTTTATTTTTTATTTCAGAATTTTATTTGCTTAATTTTAAAAATTAAAAAAAATAAAATTTAAGGCATCGAAAATTTAGATAGAAGGATGGAATTAAGACATAAAGTAAATGTTGAGAAATAACATTAATAAAAAATACGATTATGATAAATAAAAAAGAGAGAGAGAGAGAAAGAGGATAATTTGAATCGTTAACCTTAAAGATGATTTAGTTTTGATAAATACATACGTCGATTTGAAAATAAGTTTGATTTATAGTTTTGATAAAAACATATATTGATTTATATTTCAAACTAATATTTCTTAGGATCAATTAATTAAAAAAAAAATTAGTTGACGTCCTCTAAATTTTTTAAGATCAAATTCCATTAGGTCTAATAGAAGACAAATCCATGGGTTGAAGACCTTATCAATTATCATTAATGATGAAAAGGACCATATGGTCAAATATGTATATGGACGTGTACTCATACATTGGCAGGTTGCATGGTCAAAATATAAGAGTAAATTATAAATTAGTCCTTCTAGTTTTGCAAAAAAAATTAAATAGTTCTTTATATTTTAAAAACTAATTTATTATTTTTTTAACTCACACGCTCAAAGCTTCTAGTAAAACTAATATGTTAGGATTTAAACTCATGACCTCTTATTACAAGAGACCACTATCGCTAGGCTACAACTCTTTGATAATTTATTAGTTTTTTCAACGAGTATAGACTATGATTAATTTAATATTATTTTATTTTAAAAATATTTTTTTCATCAATCTTTTCATACGTTTTGCTTTTTTTCCCCCCTTTTATATTCGTAAAAAAAAAAATCAAAATAATTGAAAAAAAAAAGGCGATTAAGTTACAAGTAGAATTAAAAACATAAGAATTAATTAACTAGTTTTTTGAAATTAAAGGACTAATTTATAATTTACTCTGAGATATCCTAAGTAGCTTCCAGCATGTATTTAATATTAATATTGTAGCCCACTTCCTACTAAATTGTCAAGAAAGGGCTTAAACCCTTCCATGATTGGCTCATAGTGTCTTTGAACTTGGCAAATGACAGGTCAACGAAGAAGAGTGGATACGCAAGAAAAACAAATTTCTTTGCAAGACGAAAATAGTACAATTATAGGTAGATTGTTTTCGTAGTTTAAAATAATAGTAATTACGTTATATAATAATTTTTAAATAATATTTTTAGAATTTTTCATTATCATTATTTTAATATTATAATAAATCATAATTTATGATAATAAACGTGATTTTTTTTCCTACCGTACATAATTTAAAACTATAATTATGCTATAAGCATATAAAAATGAACCTAAACACGTGAACACAAGAATTGAAATGATCAAGTGGGAACCTTTATATTGCTTGCAAGAGTTGGATCTACGACTTTTGTCAAAGTTTTAAGATCATAAGCAATCCAACACCTTGGTAATTTATTAGTTTTTTCATTAATATCGAATATAGTTAATTTGATATTATTTTATTTTAAAAAATATTTTTTTCATCAATCTTTTAGTACTTTTTGCCTTTTTTTCCTTTTATATTCATTAAAAAATCAAAATAATTGAAAAAAGAAAAAAAAGTTATTAAGTTACAAGTAGAATTAAAAATATAAGAATTAATTAACTAGTTTTTTGAAATTAAAGGATTAACTTATAATTTACTCTGAGATATCCTAAGTGGCTTCCAGCATGTATTTAATATTAATATTCTAGCCCACTTCCTTCTAAATTGTCATGTAAGGGCTCAAACTCTTCCAAGATTGGCCCATAATGTCTTTGAACTTGGCAAACGACAGGTCAAAGAAGAAGAGTGGATAAGCAGGAAAAACAAATTTCTTCGCAAGACGAGAATAGAACAATTATAGGTCAATTGTTCTCGTAATTTTAAATAATAATAATTACATTATATAACAATCGTTATATAATGATTTCAAAACATATCATTATCGTTATTTTAATATTATAATAAGTCACGATTTATAATAATATCTACGATCATTTTGTCTATTATTCATGATTTAAAACTACAATTATGTTTTAAACATACAAAAATGAACCTAAACAAGTGGACATAAGAGTTGAAATAATTAGGTGGAAACCTTTATGTAGCCCACATGAGATGGATCTGCAACTTTTGTCAAAGTTTTAAGATCATAAGCAACCCAGCACCTTGATGTCTTCTTATGGTAAAAGTAGCCCAGACACTTGCAATCAACAGTACATTTCTTCCAGCAATCACCCTCTTTCATTGGCCCCTCTCCATTGGAATACTTGGACATGAAATGATCAACACACTCCACTTTGTAATAGCTGAAATGCTTAGACCTACAAGAAGGTGGCTTTGCAGGCTCACATTCCTCACTCCACCCCATCAAACCTTGTTTCAATGGGCAAGCAACACACTGGTTATCTTTACAAACCCCAAACTTGTTGCACCTCTCAGGCAATTGGCACTCACTTTCCATAGAATCTCTGGAGAAAAGAGTAAATGTTACTTCCCATGAGCCCCCAACAAATTCCTTATTGAAAGTGTAGAATCTTATGTTTCCATCCATACCAAGCCTAAGATATGTTATTGTGGCGTTGTAATTAGGCCTAGCAAGTTCCATTTCCCCACCGGTAGAGGAATTGGCAACCCTGTACTCAAGATACAGACTGGAAGCGCCACCACTATAGAGGTCTGCATGACAACCAAATTTCACAAACTCAAGAGGACCCTTCTTTATATAACTAAGAGATTCAAATAGAAAGTAAACAAATGGCTTAGGGGAGTTTGGACTCGCATAATACATTGCTAATCTTTTAGACTCGATCACCAAACTGTAGATCCCATTTACGTTGTGTTTATCAGAAGCCCTGCTCACAAGTTTTGTTGTATGTCCAAGCTGAAGAGATTGACCTGCTAAGAGGGTATCTGTAGCGTAATCGAAACTTTGCCAAATAAACCTACCCTTTGAGTCATGAAGGACCATGTTACCATTGGCAAGCAATTCCAAGCCAACTACACCTTTATTAGCAGTGTTAGTTTGCCAAGCAATGCGGCCGTCGGCATCAGCCAATACAAGGTTTCCGTCTTTGCCGAAGGTGAGGGTACCGTTTTCACGAACCGGGTTAGCTCGGTTTGCTTCCCAAACCCAACGGAGGATTGTGTCAGATCCTCCAATGCCTAGAGCAAGAGTGAATGCATTAGGGGTGGTGTTATAAAAGAACAGGTTGAATGGGGGATTGTGAATAGAAAGGGGACGGTATTGTGCTCCATATTCAGCAATGTACATTCCAAAACTTCCTTCATTGACGAACTTGAATCTTGAAGAGGATGGAACATAAGCTTGGGCAGTGAAAGAAGAGATTGAAAGCAAAAAGAAATGAAAGAATAATGACAAAGCAACTGGAAGAGAAAACATTTTGATTGTAATGACAATGTAGGCTGCTGCTATCCCATTCTTATACACAGAAGTAGATAAGGTTATGCTCAAAATGCTCAAATACCTTTTCATTTTAAAATTTGAAAGCATAGATCTCGAGGATGCTGTTCTAAATTTCTAGTAACCTCTTCGACAAAATGAAGCATCCCACATCTATCATGTCATGAACTCATGCCTAGTTGTTCAAGGAAAAAATAAAAAATAAAAAAAAGAAAGAAAAACTTTGCTTTGTGATTCTCACTGGAACTTGGAAAGAATGTGCTTACCCCATAAAATATGCAGTAATACTATTTTTTTGGTAACTAAAGTTCACTTGGACCGATTTGTTTCGCACTTAATTGTGCATCTTCTGGTAGTGCGAAAAAGGAGGACAAAACTCTTGGAAGGATGAACCAACTTGTCAAAAAAAGATTAAAAAGCCTCAGCAAGTGGCCAGAAAGAAGATAAAACCCAGCTGCCATCTTCATTAAACTACAAGCAAGTTGTCACTTGATTATTTCAGTCAAGTTCTCACCGACAGATCAATGGTTACCGGTGCAACTTACCGGAAACCAGGATACCTTAGCATCCAAAAGCAAAGAAGGAAATATGATATGCACAGTAGTCAGATAGGGCCAGGTCTCCACTCTTTTCTTAGGAGCAAGGAAGGCGAAATGGTGCGTTAGCTCATTAAAAAGAAAAAGCATGAGCCCATTGAATTTGCTTTTTTTCATATTTCTGAGATTGCAGTTCCGAGGATTAAATTTAGGGGTGTTTAGACCTGTTCTATTCACATCAGTTCCTGAAATAAACATTGTGCTGCAAATATGGACAAGTGAAGAAAGTGTAAAACATAAAACTGAATGCAACTGCAGAGGAAACTGATCAAATATGGTCTCGAATAAATACATGGAGACTCACTCATCATTCAGTTGCATGGTTTGTCAGGATAAATGCCACCTACAATTTAAGGAGAAACCTACAGCAATTTTTACTTGTGAAAAAAGAAATAAGCATCACTGACATTCTTAATACCGCATCTAAATCCTAAAGCCTAGCCAACAAGTCAGCCAACCCCTTCCTCTTTCTCCCTTACAAGAGGGATTGCTAAAAACACTATAGATATTTGGGAATTGTGGTTATGTGCTCGTTGGGAATACGAAAACTCAAGTCTTGGAGCACTCAGCCACAAGATAAATGAAGTTGGTTGAAATTCATTCATATAACACACCAAATGCATGATATAAATTTGTTAGTTACTGCTAGAAACATGATGGTCTTACCAACTAAATGCACGATGAAGCCCCTAAGGTTCTAATGCACACAAACATAATTCCACGAGGAAAGACCGCAGTAGAACAATGAGAAGCTCAAAGCTAGGTATGCAAAATGCAATCACAAGTCAGTAAGTGGTTCAAAAATAATTGGTCTCAATCTTCATGCAGATTTACTCCTAGATACATGGTGAAGTTTCTGATTCTTTGAATAAAAGTCTCGATTAAGAAGAGAGCTAAATTATAAGAAAAGAAAGAATTATCAATGAGGAATTTTCGATGACATATTCTATTTCTCTGAAATGGACTCAGTTTCTTGGTTGGGGAATGACATCCCATGGGAAAAATTTGCAAATATTCAGAATGCTAATCAATGGTTTCCTATAACAAAAATGCCTTCCCCAAAAAAGCATTCACTTGTCACTTCTAGCTAGCCCAAGGGAAAACATTCAACAAGCACCTCTAGCACGAGTCGTTCTACATCAATGCTAACACAACGAGAACCAATAAGACGCACACTTAGGTTTCTCCTCTATGCGACATGGAGGAAACCGTTTCAGGCCATCTAATCAACTGAAGAAGATTACCATACAATTTTCACGGATCACTTGCTTTCATAATAACCTGCTGAGGGACTTTATAAGAGATTTCAAGTTCCGTCTTGTAGCCTCATCACCCGTGAATCCCAGAAGATCAGAGCTTATATTCTGATATGGTTGAAGAATAAAATAGAACAGGGAAAAAATGAATTAAACAAAACCATTCATGATTTCTGCCTTATCCAAAAGGTAAGAAGTTCCAGATTAAGATCTCACCTCAATGTTTTTCAAAGTGAAAATCAGACTGTAAATGGATTTTTGAATCAACTCAGTATTCTCTGGTGTCATAATGGATGTATGTGCCCTTCTGAAGAAAAAAGAAGGTTTACAATTGCGAGCAATTAAAAAAAAAGGAGTAAGAGAGTAAAATTAGTTTTCCATAAGTTTCAGCTTTCAAACAGCAGATTCTGTAATAAAAACCACCACTTTGTTTCTTTGGGTCATATTCAGATTTCTCATTTAAGTCAAAATTAACTGCGAATATTAAAATGATAAATGTGATATACCAATAAACAATCTAAATTGTTTCCTAAGGTCAAAGAGGTCGTTTTTTTCCTCATACGCTTATGGGGGCCCCAAAAGGGGGAGAGGAGGGGGTTGATATAATGAAAGTGTCTGGGACAATTCACCTTAAATCTTCAGAAGCTAGTGTTAGGCTTCTAGTTAAATTCTCAACTTCCTTCAGTAGGCCACTATCACGAACCTCAGACAGTAAAGGTTGAACATCTTCAGTCATGGCTTTAATCTGAGACATCACTACATCAGATTTGAAGTATGCATGAGTACAAGTAAAATGTTGACAACAGACATAAAACAATATCAGTCACACAATAGGCAAGTACACGCAGCCAAATTCAAAGTGGTGAAACAGTTGTGTAATGCCTTTTACCAATCATTGTCCAAATTCCCGCCTGTCAAAGATCATAATGCATATATGCAATAATGCTGAAGTTCAGTGAAAAAGAAGTGAAAATGCATTTTCACTTTTTAAGTTTTCTGGTAAAGTGAAATGCTCTGATCTCACATTCCATAATGTAGTTCACTCAAGGTAACAACAAATTAATGCTGACAAGCTTTAACAACCTGAAAAGCATTGCCATTTATAGGATTCTATCTACTTGATCAATCAAATAAACAAGCAAGAAACTAGATCGTTCCTAAAATTAAATATATAGTTTCTAAAAAAAACTTACAAACATAAAATAGATTAAATGTCTTTTTCATTTTATTAAAATTTTACGAAAAATCATATTATCATGATTTCTGCATTCCTTTTGGTCCCAAAGGATACTCCAGCAAATTCTTCGAATGGGTTTGCCCTCATGCAGCATATTTCATTAAGACAAATAAGGTTAGCAGAAGTTTCATAAGGCTGCAGATGAAATTTAACTAGTATAACAACAAAGCCTTCATTTTCACAAGACCCAAGTTGGTGATTGCAAAATTAAGACAGTTATTTAGTTAAAAAGTGCATTCGTGATGATCTATTATCAATCAAAATTAGAATAAAGCATGAGAAGTGCACATCACACCTTTGTAAGCAGAGGCTTTGCCTCTTCAATAACAGCAGCAACACGCTCTGCCAGTAAATAGCTCTTGGCAACACCAATTTCCTCTACTTCACGTCCAATACGGGTGAATATCCCAACCAAGGCATCCAAACTCACCCCTTGATATCCCTTTATCTTTTGCCTATCACAGACAATTAGACCTTCTTTTACACATTCAGCATCAAGAGGTCCGACAGAAGGTGTTGGAATTGGATCACGAGGAGTAACATCAATCATTGTTTCCATGAGAAGACCAGACTGGTTCACCTCAACTAGTGAATTTCTAGGTATGAAAATTTTATCATCCTCAACCTGAAAATTAAAAGGGAACAAATTTGACTTAGTAATAAAGCCACAAAACTTAGTATTTATATGTCAGTAAGAAACACACACACACACACACAAAAAAAAAAAAAAGAGATCAATAATCTAACCTCCACAACTGCTTCAATACTCCTCAAGGAAGGATTAACATGGACAACTTCACCAACAGTGACCCCTCTGATCCTAACTGGTGTTCCTGTGCAAATACCACTAGCCTGAGCAAACTCAATTACAGCCAAGTACTTTCTGAATTTAGACCGCAATTGAAACCCCCTCAACCAAGCCAAACTGAGTGCAACAAGCACTGCACCAGACACAAGAAACAACCCAACACCACCTTCCCAAATGCTCCTCCGACCAAACCCAAAATCACTTAATGGCTTTAATGTTTGCCTCCAAAGATTACGAGGAACCTCCAAAACAACTGCAAGTGGATTTGTCTTCTCTGAAGAAGAGGGAGGTGGTTGGTTATGTCCTGTATCTGCTGACATAGCTCGCACCCTCATGAGTTTCTTCTGCGGTCTTGCTGGAAGACAAGGCAAGAAGTTTGAAGAACCACGAGATGCATTAATCAACGACGAAGATAGCATAGGAGGGCGGGTTGAAACCTGGACTACTGACTTCCCAACCATCTTTCTGAACAACTACAACTCAACAAAAGGTTTGACAAGACCTTGCAACAAGGGTAGGGGTAGATATCCTCAATAAAGACTTGTCCTTTAACCAAGTTTTGACCTAAAATTCACTCTCATAACATTCTTCAGCAGCAGAAATGTACATCAGTCTAATTAATAACTGCAAAACAATACCCTTTATGAATTTTCCAGAAAAAAATAGCTAATCAAACATTGGAAATTTCTATTTGAATCAACCGAATCCCAAAAACAACAAAACAAAGTTCTGGTCTTTAGCTCAAAGAAAACCGTTTCTTTTCTTTCCCAACATTTTCTCAGCTGCCAACAAAGATACACATTCGATTACCTACCTTAAGCACTATTCTCTAAATTACTATTCCTTCACCAATCATGTACTCAAAGTAAGATTCCACTAAAAAAAAAATTAAAAAAAAAAAAATTAAAAGCCTAATTTGAAAAACTAAAAACTGGGTTGTTCAAATATCAACCAATTAAACAAAACCCATGATTCAAAATTTAAACTTTCCTTTTCAAGTCATTGTATTTTCGCAGTGGCCAAACAATAGTACACATATTGATAAAAACAAGACAGATAAATGCTTATGTACCAAAAAACAACTTACGTTAGAGAGTTTGGGTGTTTTTTTCTGATACTCCAAGAATCTGGAGGGAAATAGAGAGCGAAAGAGATTGAATCACAGAGACAACAGAGAAGTCTGTGATTCAAACATGTGGAAAAGCAGAGAAACGTTTGACTCCCAGGAAGATCCTCTAAGGATTTAGTGGGTCATTTTAGGGAAGGGTTGGTGGGCTTCCATCTGGACTGCATGATTGTTTATTTTATATTCGTAAGAAAACCATTTTTCTTTCATGTTTTATTATTTATTCCACAATCTTGTATTTTTTGCGTGGTTGATTAAATTGTAATAAAATTATAGATTAACAAAGAAGTTGCATGTTTGATAACTCGTGATTCATTGATTGAGATTTGGGTTTAGGAATTCTATATATTAAAGAGAACTTGATTTGATTTAAATTTTTGTTTGTTCAATAATTATAATATTTTAAATCAATTTACATATTAATCGAGATTAATTCATATTTTCCATGACGATATGATTAATTATAATATTTGTGTTTTACAATGACATGATAATTTTTATTTTTATATATTTTAAGTTTGTCTTTTTTTTAAAAAAAAGGAAAGGTGTTCCAAGTTTAGCACCATATATTTGTTTACTTCTTTTTATTCATTCTAGGGTTATCAACTTGTGTTGGTATTGCTAAACAAAATTCACATCTCCAATTTGATTAAAGCAAATCATTAATTTTGAAAATTAATTTTTTTTTAATAATAAATAAGATTTTACGGTCTACGTGAGGTCTACATTAGTTGTTGGACAAAAGAAAATTATTGTTAATCATTAATAGTTAATGAAACAAAATATGAGAAGCTGTTCTGACTTTCTCTTGTAATGAAATTTCGTTTTTTACTACTGAATAAGAAATTATATTATATGCCGATATACAGATATTATTTTTCTAACCGCCATGCTAATTGCTTTGAGATAGACTAACAAATCATATATAAAGATAAAAATGTTATTTCTAGAGAAAAATAACATGCCTAGATGGCAAGAAAATTTAAGACAAACCCACTAATAACTCTCACATTAATCACATGATTGGATGGCTCATAGCTTCTGTGTTTTTAAATCCAATTTTGTTATGGTTTTTTTGAGTCCTCTCCATTTCACTCTCACCAACCTCAAACCCATGACTTGAAGAGTATTGGATGGCTCATAGCTTCTATGTTTTTTAATCCATTCTCGTTTTTTTTTATCTCCTCTCCATTTCACTCTCACCAACCTCAAACCCATGACTTGAAGAGTATTGTGTATCAGAACTCTAGATCAACAAGCCACAAGAAGTCCTCTCTATTTCTCACTCCCAAGAACAAGAGCTCACTTTGATTGCACGTTGTTTCGATGAGCGATTTTACCTCAATTTGATTAGCATCCATCAATGCGCAATGGCCTCTACATGCAGTCCATAACCATTGACCTACGTAAAATGTCATTATTTTTTCAATTTTTAATTCTATTATACAACTTTTCATGCAATAAAACAATTAAACTATGAAAAATACATAAATTAAAATAAATTTATTGATAATTACTAATATATCTACGACATCGTGATCAATTACTATTTTACTAGCACGCAATTGTTATTTTACTACCACACAATTGTTTTTATATCTGCTTCCTTGATTTGAAACTAGGACATCTTTTACAGTGCATTGAAACGAATCAGCAGGAGGATTCACCACCAAATTACTCAGGCAGATAGACAATCCAGTTGCAATAGAAATCCAATCTGCAACAGCAATGGCTCTTCTACAAATCAGCTGCTTGCAAACCTTTAATCCTTATTAGCTGTTTGCAGACCATGAAGCAATTTTCTACCTGACCCCTAATCTTTTGCTTGCCAAGTTACAACCCAACTTCAAGCCTCGCTGTATATTTTTGTCCGAACTACCAATACTAGATGTTTCCATGCTAAGTAATTACCCGAAATGGGCAAGATTTTACCAGAACTAAGCGCTTCCATGCCAGAAAACAAAGTTATCACCGAAATTGGCAAGTTATTACTCCAAAATGGCAAACTTTTGCCCAAACGAGGTTTGCTGGGTTAATACCCTAAGATGGCAAATTATTACCGGAAAATGGCATTTCCAAGCCAAGTTATTAAGCAAAATTGGGTTTTACATGCTAAGTTATTACCTCAAATAGGTAGTTACGAGTTAAGTTAGCGCCCGAAATTGACATACGCACAGAAAGTTAGAACCCTAAACTGAAATTTGATATTTCCACCTAAACCTTGAGGATGGAACTTGACATTAGCCATAGTTAAAAGAAAAAACCACAAAACCTGAGAAAATTTTCAGAATACATCAACTACCAAAAGATCCACAAACACTTGATCGTAATGAAATACCAAGCCAAAATCCATTTAGAAGTTTTCTAACCATGAAAACAAAACATGAAATAGGAAAATTCTTGTTCATATCTCTCCTAAAAATCAACTGACAAGCTTGGAACAGACTACCCAGATTTATCAAGCTCTTGAACACTCAAACCTGCAGGCAGATAATGAAACACTTATCATCAATAAATGGGAAAAAACAGAAGCAAGAACACAATTATCTGACTATCTTGAGTTGATAATGGACGCAAATTCATATATGCCTAGTTGTTTGCTTTTAGGATTATCACTTCATGTTCTTATTGGGTTTATCTACAAATTTGAGGTTGTGTATTCCATAAGTGCAGAATACTAAGAGAAGCAGAGGACAATAAATCACTGTAAATAATAACTTGACTAGCAGAATTTTGACAATTGACCTGGAGGAAGTGATTGCTTCAGCTTGTCTGCCTTCTCAGGGTCAAACACACAAAGGGTGTAGAGGTACTTTGAGCAGCGAACCTTGAACTTGACCACATCTCTGCTCCTCTTGATCTTCACAGAGCGTGCATCTTTCCTCCTGGCAGTAAGAAGGAAATCCTTGATCTCATGGATTTGCTTAGGCTGTGTATCAAAACGAAGAACAGATACACTGAGCACCAAATGACAGCAATCAAAATGAAACAATAGAAATTATCAATAACTAAAAAGGTGTATCAATTCAAATTATCAGGTGACATGAATTGACAACACCAGATTAAGTACAACTACCATTCTCACAACCATTCACTAGAATCGGTAGATATCATTCAAAATTCTTTCAAAGCAGAACGGGCAAAATGAATTTGAAAAATGTCAAGAGATTTCATCCACCTCAATTTGAGATTTGAGATTCACAACTCTCTAACTCTATCCGGTGGATACTCAAGATTAAGCATTTTCAATTCCACACATGCTATCACCTTTTTTTTTTTTTTTCCATAAAGCTACTATTAACAATAATTATCACCAAATCAACGAACAAGCTTAAAAAAAGAAAAAGAGATCCACCATTAAAAAGTTCAAAACTTCTTCATATTCTTAACCCCAAGTTTCAATATTTCAAAATTCTACACTAAATTCGAAAAAAAACCCAACAAAACCCAGATGCCAAAAAGAAACATAAACAATAAAAACACACAACATCGCAAAAAAAACTCACACAGAAAAGAACCAATCTTTCTGTCTAACAAAAAACCAAGAAAATAAATCAAACAGCAAAGAAACATGATCTGTGCAACAACCACGGAAACAAATGCAAGAAATATACAGAGAAGTTTAAAGAGCATTACCATTGTGAATTTCTCTGATTTTCCGAGAGATCTCAGTCTTCGGCGAAGTATCAGCAAGCCCCAAACCCTAGCTCTGCTAAAACGGAGACATATATAGTGAGACACAATTATCACTGCTTTTAAACCCTAGAAAATTTAGTAGGTTTATTGACTGTTTTGACCCTGTAAGTTTGATTTAATGACGCCAGAGTCTCTATTTGTGGGCTTCTAACTTATTGAGCTACTGAGTACCGGCCCAAGGGCTTAAATATTTTGGTCTATGTGTTGTGCCTTTGGGCTGTGAAATTTTAGGCCTAAATCTTATAATAGCATTACGATCATGTACGGATACCATTTTCATCCGACTTGACGGATACCCATCCTAATCCGCCCAGAAAAATCCGCCCTGACCAGAAAAAGAATCGAGGGGGTTTGCTTTTTTGCCCTCATCTCGTCGTGCATCCGAATGAGAGACTATAATGGCATACTCGGTTCATGTCTACCCTTAGTGAGAATAAACTTGACACAGGCTTTGGTTATGAATGGCCACATACAACCAAACAGCAAGTGTTGGAAAGAAGATGCCATCAGATTTAAAGATAGAGTTAATAATATATTTTGTTTCTTTATACTTGTTATTTTCAATGCGGTTAGTTCTACATTTATTAGTAACTAATCAATTTCCCACGCCTTGTTTTGGTTTATTATTAAGAAAACAATTTCATTTATTAAAATTTAGAGATTTAATTCAACAAACCAATGGATATCACTACTTGTAATTAATTAAATTTTTTTTTACACGGCTTGTAATTAAAAATGAATGGATATGAATTGTCAAACAAACAAATTAATTTAAATAAAATTTATATAAAAAAAATGAGAGGCGGATATGCATATGCTATAGATATAAATTTTCAAATAAAAAATTGTAATCAATTGTATATTATATAAAATTTATAAAAAAGGAAAAGAAAAAAGGAGGTAAAGAGAATGTACAAATTAATTACATAAATATTATTATTAAATACAAACTCCTATAAGGCTATAATAAAGATAATTAAAAAGACAACTAAAAGAACTGAGGTATTCACAGTTCACTTATTATAGCTATACACTCATTGTCACTATTCAATGAAGCTTTTTGTTTTTTTTTTTTTTTTTGTGATTTATGCATATTTTTCGAGTCTTTAAATATAAATTATACAATCTTTTACACTTTAATCCTTAATATTTTCAAATTTTTTATTTTGATCCACGTCTTTATTTGTGATAAATTTTGATCCTTCGTGTAGAGAGAAGGGGCAAAAGAAGAGAGAGAGAGAGAGAGTCGTCGGCCAGGTTTATTTTGACCACTTTAATCGACGACATTTTGTTTGATTTTTTTTATCTTGGAGTGAAGAATTTGTCCTTGATGGTCATGAGCTATCAAATAATTGGAGATGGTAGATCGGAGAAGAAAAAAATTAAAACTTTTTGATTTGATTTTTTGTTTTTTATATAAATATGCATTAAAATGCTTTCTAAGGTTTTAAATAAATTTATTGAATTTTTTTTTTATCATTTTGAAGTGATTGGAAAAAAAAAATAATGTCAGAAATGAATTTTTTAAAGTTTGAAACTAGACACTTGACCTTCCAGCGAATTTGAATTCATCGGAACTTGCTGGTGTTTTTTTTTTTTGGACTAGTTAGGACCCAATGGTTGAAGAAGTAGGCCTAAGCAGGACTGGCCTCAAGCGCAGCCTGCAGAAGCAGGCACAGCTGTGCTAGGCTTGACCAAGTAGGCCTTTATGGGCAGATCTGGCCTAGCGTGGGCTTGGGCTTTTTTTAATGTTTTTTCTCCCACAATTTATTTTCACACACACACAGTTATTTTTTTTTTTTAGTTTTACACATAATTTAATGGTGATGTAATATATAAGATATGTTTTTATCTTAAGATTATATTACATTTATTTTTTATTTCTTCAATTTGTCATTTTTTTCTCAAAATTCTCTTCAAATGAATTTTTTAATTTTTTGATATAATTTTTTAATCTTGATATTTTCTACTAAAAAACCTATATCCTATATGACAACACGACAAATCCTAAAAACTTTAGAAAAAGAATATTTAAAACTTGTTAAAAAGCTTGAGATTTAACATACATATTGTTATCTTTTCTTTTGTAATTTTGACACATGTACCAACCAATGAACCAAAAAAATCCATAGAAATCAACGTAAGTGGATTGAGGGACCATATTTTTAATGAGAATGGAGTAAATGGATAAACTTAATAAAAAATGTGTAGGGATTAAATTAATAAAATGTCAAACGTAAAGGGATTAGACAATACGATTGAACCTTTAGAAGACAAGGGCAAGTAGCCAAATAATTGTTGTTAGTTGGACCCAAACCTCAATCCAAGCATTCGAAGGATATTATTGCATCCACGACAAGAAGACTTTCTTAAGAAAGAATAAATCTTAGGGTTTCAAAAACAAACAGCAGACATGAGCTATAATTGTAAGCTACTTTCGCTATGCACAAAAAAGTTCCGACTTTGGTGGAGTCCTCATCCATAAATTTTATCTTCGTTCACGAATAATTATCAATATTTACTCTCTCTCTCTCTCTCTCTATATATATATATATTTAACTAAAATATTATTATTATTACTATTATTTTTAGTGGGTTAAATTGTGATTTTTTTTTTTTTTTTGTGTTCGTATCTCTCTTTACGGTAGAATTCTATTTTTGTCTATTTCTTTTTTAAAATGATTATATAAAATAATTATCATTCATTACGACTATTTGAACTATTTTAAAATTTCTCTTGATTCGCGTTGGAATTTCAGGGTGTGAATTGGTACTATTATAGTAGAGCAATGTAGGAATTGGTGTTAGGAGTGGGAATTCCACATTTATTAGAGTGGTTTAGGACTTAAATGGATGCTGAAATTTTTAAACATGTGTGATCAGGTGTTTGTGGGACAATTTCTTAGAGCATTAACATGTCTGTCGAGTTTCTATTATTGGATCTATGTCGAAATCGAAACTTAATAAACTCCAATTAGCACAGTCATTTCGATCTAGTCAACTAAATCTTGTCCATGACGAAGACTCCAACCTAGGCAAAGAACTAACAAGAAAAGATTAGTAAATCAATAATGAACAAATTATTTGAAGAAGAGGAAAGCAGGTTCTTTATAATTATGTGTCCATGAGTGTTTGACGGCAAGTGTTTTTGTGTGTTGTTAATGTTATAGGTCCCTGAAGAAAGCTATGCATGATCTATCACAGCAATGTAAGTGAAAAAATAGCTAAGGTCTTATCTAAATCTAGAAAAGTGGTTTTCCACTATATAATGTTGGCCTAAAGTCGGTACACAGGTATGGCAACTAAAGGCAAATATGCTATTCAAATCATTGGACATAAAAGCAAACATGGGATCTAGTTGGTACTCATCTGTTTGCCACCAAGGTCTCTTCCTGGTCCCTCTTCCCTTTCTTTATGTCAATTTTACGTATATATTTCCTCACAAATTAATTTGTCCTCTCTTTTATCCCTTTACCAATAACACAGTTCCTCTTCAATTTTGTGATACATCAGGGAGGATATATTAGCAAAGGAAAGTAAATTAGCTTCTCAGAAATGAAAAAAAAAAAAAATAGAATCCCATTTTTTACCTTTTGTAGAATTTTTGATCATATGTACAGGGAAATCTCAACCAATATAACCATAGTTGGCCAAAATCATGAATTACTTCTTATTATCTACAAATAATTAGACATATTTATTTTTTAGTAGTACCGGAGTTGAGCTAGTTTAGTCTAAAAGAATAACTCGTAGGTCGATCAAAAATTAAGTGAATTCCGAAACCAATTTAATTAACTTAATAAGTGATGAACATAGTCTCATTGATATAAAAACTACCTCAAAACTACTCGTTATTTGTTAATATCCAAAAATAAATAAATAAAAACTCAACCAAGTACATTGGGTTGCTTGGCATAATAATTAATTCTTATTATCTCGCAAATAACTAGACATATTTATTTTGTAGTAGTATTAGAGTTGAGCTAGTTTGGTTTAAAAAAATAACTCGGTGGTCGATCAAAAATTGACATTAGTTTAACTTAACAAGAAAGAAACTTAGTCTTGCGCGGTTAATAAAAAAACCACCCAAAACTACTCCATTGTTTGTTAATAGCCAAAAAAAAAAAAAAAACTCAACCAATACATTAGGTAGTTTGGCATATGAAAAATAGGAATGTTAGTGGATGAGATGTGGAATGTGTTAGGTTAAGAGTGACACGAAAAATATTGACCCGAGGGTGATAGCTACAAGGTAATGTCCTATTAGACTAACCTAATCCAAGAACCCTAGCTAGTTTAGATCTTCAAGAGAATGTTGTCATAAACTTTTTTAAGTCACTACTTTTTTTTTTTTTTTTGAATAGTTGGTGAAGTCATTTTTGTGGTTTCTCCATAGCTTGCAAACCAATTATCAAATTGCCAATAAAATAACTTGTGTTTGGTTAAAGAAACTTTCTGATCATCTGGCATTTAGGTTAGCTCCATATAGCATCATCACAGAGGAGAGAAGATTCTTATGTTGATTTGGGACAAATAGTTTAATAAACTAAGTTTAGTCGTGCATCATTGAAAACATCATCTCTTGGCTACTCTCCAAATTGGTGACGTAAGATATGCTCATTAAGATCATGCAAATAAATAAAATTAGTTTAATCTTCTTGGCTTTTGGGCATAGTGGCAATTTTATTTGTTATCGTGTTGTCATTTACTGTTCAAATCCGAAAGAAGAATAAAGAATTTTTTTTATGCATTAATTTGGATGTAAATGATTTATCTAAAGTTTAAATCACAAGAAAATTTAATTAATACAATCGAATCTAATTCAATTGGAAATCATGTTTTCTCTATTAAGAGATTTTGAGTTGGAGATTTTTTTTAAAATAATTAAAAAAAAAACATAATCAAATGTATTTCTAGAGGCTTAAACTGTAATAAATGGGTGCTCTTGCTGGCCGCCCACAATCATCAATGAATTCCCAAATTAGCTTTCAATTAGTCATTTATTTAAATTTGTTCCTCATTTTGTTTTCCTCTCCTTTTGGAGGCAGGCATGTATGTCACCAGCTTGCTATCCAGCTAGGTTTTGGTAGACATTAATATTCTAACAAGAATTGAAGGATGCAGACCTAAGGAAGATGAAAACAAGAAAACAAAGATAACAATAAACCTAAATTATACACCAAATTCCTCTCATGCATATTTATATATGCTTACCTGTTTGTAGCTAATTTATTCCAGCAATCTACTCAGGATTTGTCAATATATATTAGGATTTATGTATATATATTTTTTTGGTATTTACATATAACAAAATATTTTCAGATCAGTTTTTGTATTAACTAAAACTAAATTTACTAGCTATTTCTTAATTAAATTAGATCAACGTTTAATTAACTTTTAGTTAATTTTAAAAATCGAGCTTTTTGAATCTACTAAAAACATATGTTCAGCTGTGCATAAAGGAGAGGAAAAATTAAAGAATCAAAAGAGCTATTCTTGGATAGTGTATGGATAGAAACTAAATCATATCATCGATATAAATCATCACTTTTCTATGAATACATGTACTGCTAATCTTTCTTACAAATTGCCCACTATGGGATGAATTAGAGAGAAAGATATTGAGCAGGCAATCCAAAAGGGAATGGGATGCTATGGAACTGAAAAAGAGGCACAAGTGCAAATACCTTCAAACAAATACAACGATCTAAAGTCGATAAAAAGCAACACAAACTCCCAAGCATAAAGCATAAGAAAAGAAAAGTTGAGCTACATAAGATACAAATATGCATGAATGAGAAGAAGAAAGGAAAAGTGAAAGTAGTAGTACTCCATAATTACTTAAAAGGAATCAATTTGCTGCGTTCATGGCAGTACTTCCCAACTTGTGAATAAATTGCCATGCTAAGCCTTGACTTTGAGTGTAGAGATGGCGTTCTGGCCATAACTTTTTTTAGGGTTTCCATGCAGAAGCCCATACTACAGGTTCTTCTTTCCATGTTAAGTAAATTCCTGATTCATGATCTCCCTGAGGTAGAACAAGTGCCCAGCCAGCTTGGTATCTCTTAAGCAATGCCTTGACATCATCGACAACATCATCGCTGAATCCAACAGGGGAAAATGCCTCCCTTAGCCTTTCAGACCATTGGCTTCCCCTCTCCCTTCTTTCACACTCTTCTCCACCATTTTCTTCATCACAAGCCAAAACCCTAACTATGTTCCTTGAACATTCCCTCTCCAACATCAATCTCTCATTACTAGTTGGGACAAAGCTCTCCTCTAGCATCTCAAAATATAGGGTATAATACCTAAGGCACTCTTCAAAGCACTTGACAAAGTCATATCTTGAGCTGGTGAAATCAGCTTCTTCCTCAACAATTGTCACAACTCGAGGGTTAAGTGATTGAAACATCTGGATCACAGAATTTCTTTCCTCTACTTCAACTCTTCTCAATGCCCCAATGCAATTAATCGCGATAGCTTCATCTTCTTGAACACCTAGTCCTTCCTTTGTGAGCTCTCCTAAATGATTGAACCCACTAATTACATTAAACTCAAAGGGTACTCCCATTAACCTAGCAAACTTCTCCATTCTTTGGCCTATTTCTTTCATGACTGATCTTACGATGCTAGCAGTTACCACAACGGTGAGTTTTAAATGCGGCGTCTCATCATTTCTTGTGGCTAAAGCTTCAAGCAAAGTAGGCCATTGTGTGCAAAGGGTATTGCTGATATCAATTATGTGAAGTTTGCTTTCCCCATCTAACGCCTCCAAGATTGCACCGTTTGAAGCTACATGACCAAAAGTAGTCCATGGGCTTACCTCTTGGAATTTTAGTATCAATTTCCTAGCTGAATCAAAGGAGTGGCTCTTTTCAGCTACTGTTGTTAGGGTTTTGAAGCACCGTTGGCCGGATTCGGTAGCCTTACAAAATAGAGCTTGCAAGAAATAAGATGCCAATTTCTGATCACAATCACCATAAGGAGAGGCAAGCTCATTTAACATCCATAGTAGGTGATGGATCTTGCTAGAGTCCTTCTCTGAGATTGCTCTTGCACACTCACTAAGAAGCTTTGATGCCCATTTGTTTCCTGCCCCACAAGCCTCACCGGAATCCGAAGACCGGCTTGTTGATGTATGGCTATTTTGTGGCTGATTGTTGTTGTTATTGCTATTGCTTTGCATGTCTATTGCTCCTGCTTGATCATTGCTTTGCTGGTGGGAAGTAAATAAGTTTGTGAATGTGCCTTTTGGACTGAGGAGGGTTATGTCCATGGTTGATGGGGGAGGCCCCCTTTGACTCTAGAGGCAGTGCTTTTGCTAAACTCAATTTCATTTGAGTTCAGAAATGGCCAAGTACAAAGCTATCATGTAGAAATCCGTAGTATTATATCTTTGGGGTGGGCTTCATGGTCATGCTATATATATTTGTTAATATGAGTTTCTTGTGTATTATATTTAATATATTTTTATATGTATTTTAATTTGTTTTAAGCTAAACCCTATGGTCATTACTAGGTGCATGGTTTCCCTATGCAACAACTTGTGTAATATATCATAAGAAAGATTACAACTTTTGTTCCTTAGTATTCAAGCAAAAGCATGGGTATGTTTATGACTTATAGGTAAGAGTACAAGAAACATGAATTTGTTAAAATATTGCCAATAAAATAGGTTTATTTGATTAGTTTAGTAGAGGAATTTCTCTGTTTGAGTAAGACTATCAAACTAGGGGTCAAGGATTAATTGCTATTCAACTCTTTGCCTTCAAATTAGTGATGTGATCTCATGAAACTTGCTAATTTTTTAAGAGATACATATATTTTTTAGTAGCTCAATTTATATTTATATAATAGTTTGAGTTTACAATCTGTCTTTATATTTTTAATTATATTAATTATATTTTTAAATAATTTTCAAGTCTCTAATTTATTTTTGTGATTAATTTTTTCGACTATAGATAATTTTTTTAACCGAAATGCCTCCGATTGAAATGAAAAAAAAAAAGCATTTAAAATCATATATATATGACATGCATTTCAGTTATGAACATTTTAATTAAAAAATTTGCTTATGGTAAAAAAAATTGATTGAAAGAAACATATTAAAAACTTAAATATTATTCCAGAATATCATAAATGCAATTAGAAATATAGGAATATATTGAAAATTTAAGCTATTATAAAGGATAAATTAAACTATTTATCCTAATTTTTCAGAGATAAAAATTATAAGTAATTCCTTTGTTCCAATAACCTAATTGCTAGTCTAGTAGTAGTCCAATTTGGCAAACCATAATTGCTGTAAGCTAATTATCATAAAGCCATGTTATTTTTTTTAACCTAAAAGCCCTAGCAGTTGTTTGATTCCATAAATTAAGGTGAGTCCCTTATGTTTCTTGTTTTTCTTTGATTTCACGATAAAAGATATTTTCGATATTCTCGAACCAATTTCCTCGTCAATCAATAAATCGAAATTAAATCCCATCTTCCCAAGGCATATATAAACAATCTAGCTGTTAGCTAGCGTGCAATTTCAATGCACCAAAAGCTAATCAGAACACTAGACTATATTTAAATGCCAAAAAATATTAATTAGGTCAGTATCATGTCAGTTGTTAGTGATCATATTCGTGGTTTTGGCAAGGAATGAAACATTTATTCTCAGAAATAAAATATCCCTATGGAATCCTTATAATTGTTCAATAGCAACTGAGTAATGCTAAAGGGAAAATAACAAAGAACAATTTTTTTTTCGTTTAAGACAAACAAAAAGATGATGATAGAAGCATATATATATATATATATATATATATATATATATATATATATATATATATGGTACTATAAAAATGGACTAAATAATTGTGACTTTAATGTGATATGATTTTACCTAAATGAACTTTTGTCGACTTTTTAATAGTACTCAAAAGTCCTCCAATTGCTTATAACTTTTTGAACCTTTCTCTAATTATCGTTATGGTGAGTCATTAACTTAATTATTGTGACTACTATTGATGATAGTATCTATATCTCTCTTCGATAGTTATATAATGATGATGACTATGCTTAATCAGCCTGATGTAATATATAATTGTGAAGGTAATTATAGGCAAAAAGTGTCAAACCAGTCACCAAATGAGGTCTTGCTAAATAATACTAGGGCACCAACTTTTATTAGTTTGATTTTCTCCATATTTAAATTTTATATTTTTCAAAATTTTAAAATTTAAATCCTCTATTTTATTTATTGAGACCTTTTATTTTTTGAAATTTTTTGCTTCAAGTTTCCGTTATGACGACTACTAATTAATGATCAATAAGTGATATTATAAAGTAAAAAATCTTGAATAGTAGAAGTAGATTTGTCGATTGCTGATTAGTGGAGTTATATCGGAGAATCGAAGTGAGAAATCTCTAAAAATATATGGTCTTACTCAATTTAAGAAAAAAGGATCTCAATCAAAAAATTTTTTGAAGAATACAAAGTTCAAATATAGGAAAAAACCTTTTATTAGTTGTTACCAAACTAAACTACTCTAGCTTTTGCCAATGAATGTCTACTTGAATTTCTAAAGACAATTGTTAAGATGTATTTATTGAAAAAATTAATTAACATTTATATACTGTTATTTGGATTTTCAATTTTATTTTTTTAATTTCTAAAGTTCATGCTTATTTATTGCCACTATTTTAGGGGGTTTAATTGTAGCCACATGAGACTTTGCAAGGAAAATTATGTCAGACTTGTTTTCTAATTCCTAGTAGTGAATTGCAAAAAGATTAGTAAATTACAAATTATTCTTCTTGTTTTAAAAATTAATTATTTAATAATTTTTTTCCATGTTATACTCTGTTGTAATCTATTTTTTTAAAGTTTTAAAAATAAATAATAAAAATAAATTGATATTATGAAAGACTGATAAGAAAAGAAAATATATTTTTAGAATAAAATCAATTTAAATTAAACGTGGTCAACATTAGTTAAAGAACTGAATAATTAAGTTTATTTTAAAAAAAAACTAATTAATTCCTTTCTCAAAACATGACCGACTAATTTATAATATACTCCAAAAAAAACTATCAATCAAACTGTGTTTAAGATTTTCAATTTCATGAATTATTTGTTCATTAAACATGAATTAACTTCCGTTAAAGAACTTTCATAGAAGTCTATGCTACTAAGACTCTAAGACACATCATGTCTTATAATATTCATTAAGCAACCATCAATAACTTTTTCTTAAGACACTAACATTAATTTTCCCAGTCAAAAAAGACACTCAAGTACATGAAATGTTTGTTTTATAATCTTCTTTATTCTTAATGTTTTTTTGTCAATTCAATCCTTCTCAGCTTTGTTTAAATTCTTGCCCTAGACCATGACCTAATTAATTAGCTTTTTTTGAGTTATTAATTAAAGAGGCAAGTTTCTGTCAGGATCATATAGAGTTACGTAGCAGACACTTTTTTTTTTTTTAAAAAAAAGAATCATTGAGGAAGGCCTGACCACAGGTTAAAGCTTCCAAACCCAATTAAAGTGTTTTGATTGACAAATTAGTCCCTCTAGTTTTGACAAATAAATTAATTAGTCTCTTTTGTTTTAAAACTAATTATTTTGTTTTTTGACAAGAGTCGGCTATGCTAATTTTTTTATTTCAAAAAATATTTTCTTTTTTCATCGATTTCTATTATATTTAGTTATTATTAGTTTATCTATTTTAAGAAAAGAGTATAAAATGGATAAAAAGGATTAAATAATTAGTTTTTCAAACATAAAAGACTAATTAACTCTTTTCTCAAAATAAAGGGACTAATTTATAATTTACTCATGCTTTACTAAAGCTGTCCAGTACATTTTTGCATCACTGCACGTGAAAAAAAAAAAAAAAGGCTTGAAATAAGGGGAAAAAAGAAAGAAACAGAGAAAAAGAAAGACAAGAGGACTGACAAGAAAATGACTCAAATATATGAATAAATCCGAGTGTCAATTGCATTTATTCTCCTTTTTTCAGTGTAATTCGATTTTATAACTTTTTTGAGAATTTGAATTGAAAGGCAAAAAATATATATTTCTTTTTTTTTCTTTTTCAATTAAGAATCCATTAATGGAGATAAAAAATGAAGATTTTGAAGGTGAATAGAACCAAAATTAAATGGTATCTGAAAAAGGATTATTCCATGCTAATGATTGGACAAGAAGACAAGGGTGAAGTTCCTGTTTCTCCATCCCAATCATTGCAGAAATCATGTCTCTCCCTCAAGTTTTTTTTTCTTTCCTTATTTAAAAAATATGGTATTTACGGTGATTCCCACTCATGTGGCCCATGATTCTGTTGGCTAAATTGTCTGATTGTGTTTCTCATACATCACATTCCAGCTTTTATATATACACACACACAAAAATAGGAAAACAACAAGACTTCAATTTCATGATTAAAAGAAAAAAAAAAACACAAGCTTTCAATTTTGGGGAGGGAGAGCGACAGGGGAGGGGGAGGAGTAGGTATTGGGGTGGGGGAGAGTTCTTTAGAGTGTAAAATAACTTTAAAGCGTTATTTGATAATAAAAAATGAAATGGTAAGAATTAAAATGAAATTTTTATTTTTATTTTGTAATTATTTAGTTGAAAGGAATGAAGTGAGAATGTGAATGAATAGTGAGAGTAAAAATAAACATTACACACAATTTCATTCTCATTTAAATTGTAGGAGTAAAAACATAAAATAGGAATCAATTTTTTTCAAAATAATAATATATTTTTATTTATTTATTGTGTAGTAAATATTTCTATCGCCTCCCTCGCCACTATAACCACTACCACCACCACCACCACAATAACAACCGCACAGACCGCCGCCACCACTATTATCACTTTTATTATTTTTATAATCATTATAATTTGATAAAATTATTTTCTCAATCATTATTTTTATTTGCATAAATCAGATATTAAAAAATTTAAATTGCATTCCGATTTCTTATTAGTATTTCAAACACAACGTAAAAATACAAATATCATTTTAATTCCCCGAAATTGATTCTTGCATTCTCATTCCGGACTTTTCATTTTTATTACCAAATGACACCTAAAAGTTAGGACAAAAAGGAGTGCGCAGAATTCAAGAAATCTAAGCTATCCAAATCATTTTGAATAGTAATTTTTAAAAAATCTGGAGAATTTTGGGGGAAAAAAATTGAGTTACTCGAATTTGTAATTTTCTTTAAACCTAATTTTGTATAGTCAAAAAATTTCTAGCACCTATTTTTATCTAGTTAACCGAATTTTGGATTAAAAAAAATGGTGTAATGGGTTTGAAATTTGGATTACCTGAATTATCCAAAATATAATTTGGATAAAATGGAATTCAAAGAATTACTAAATTATGTGAAAAAAATATTTTGTAATTCAAAAGGTTCTCCGAAATAGCAATTTTTTACTTGAATTATCCGATGTTCATCTCTGAAGACAGTTTGTTTACAATATCCTTTCATTTTCTTGATTTTCTGAGTTCGAATTTATAACCAATATTTAAGAAAATTTAGTAGGGATGTACTATTAAGATCGATTAGGAAAGGATTTATTCAAATGAACTTTCATTTGCAATTTTTTAGATAGACTAGGCTTATATCTATAAGCAAAATACAGTTTTCATTGATTCAAGGAGTAGACTTCATTGATGTGTGATTAGCAAATGGTGATGGGCTCAAATTGATTATCTACAAAGATCAACTCTATGTAAGAATTTGTAGAGAGGGTGCTACCCTTGTATAAGTCAAAAAAGAAAAAAAAAAGTAAAAGGAAAAGGAAAAGAGCACAAGATCTTTCTTTAGACCACTATAAAGAAAAAAACAGTGAAAAAATGGGAAAGATGTCCTCAAAAGTCAAAGTCTGACAGCAAATACATGAGGAAACATACCTTTATAAAGATCAATCTCATGTGAGCTCAAACACAGACATTAGGGAAGGGACATTTTCTCCAACGATAAAGTAAAGTGGTGATGGAAATTCAGTGTTCATTACTATTTAATTATCTTCTTGGAATGATTTTCAAGGAACAAAACATAGAGGGATAAAGTTGATGATGATTTTAATAATGTTGATCATGATGTGAGGTGGGAAAACTGATGAGCCGACGGGACATGTTCTTAGCTTATATAGTAGGAAAAGTAATATTCTGGTAGGCGTATCTTACTTGCCTCCTTTTAACTCTTCAATTTTATACAAAACCCATGATTTTGTATATAGAATTACCTGTTTTCTTCTTCATTTCAGGAGTTTTCCATCTGATCACGTCACAATCATAATTCCGTAACGATCTTTAGGTTACCTTGTTTTCTTCATAAAATCATGAGTTTGTCATTTATTTATATCACAGTTGTAGTTCATAATCATAATTCTAAATAGCGACCTTTACTTTAACTTGTTTTCTTTATCAAATTATGAGTTTGTCATTCATTTATGTCATTTATGTCACAATTGTAGTTTCAAATAACGACCGTTATTTAATAGATTTGGACATGCATGTTACTACTATATGATATTATAAAGAATCCATCAATATTTCATCTACATAACAACAATAACAAATATTATACAAGGATAACAATTGTTATTGTCGTTTTTGGTGAATAACAGCCCAAAAGAAAATTCTACATTATTTTTTCTTAAAAAAAAAAACTTTTGATGTTTTGCTTTAAATTAAATTTATTAATAGCAACTAATGTATTCACAAAATCAATTATCGTTATCATTATTTTACTACTACAATGCATAACAATCTACGATCATAACCGTAAGCATTTTTACAATCGTATCTGAAATTTAAAACTATAATAACAATTATATTTACAAGCTTCAAAGGTTATAGTCCTTAAGGAAATGCATCCATGGTAAAGACTTGAATGTTTCATGTTAGATCCTAGAAAACACTGAGAGTAGATTTGGGACTTCAGGAGAGAGTTACCCCACTGTATTGAATTAACTCATCGGGCCTCCCATCGGATCGAGACAAAAACAAGCGATTAAGTTTATAATAGTGCACCATAAGAAAACTAGGAAGAGGAGGGTTTGCCTATATTATCTTACTGCAAGAGAAAAAGTCACCAGAAAGCATTTGATTCCACGTTGGCAAACATCCAATTTCCAGAGTTCTTGTAACATTTCTAGCCTTCCCGTTGAAAAAACAAGAAAAGGGAGCTTCACGTGCAAAGAGGTAAATTACAAAAGCATTGCCAAAAAATTGACCGGCTATTTATCATCTGTAAATGCAGAAAGTTCTGTACAATATCAACAAAAGTTCTATGATAAAGCAATTCATTTTCACCTGCAGAAACTGAACGGTGGTAGACCAATGCTGCCAAAGTAAACTGTAAATTGCTTCAATATCCACAATGATCCAGGTGAGAACGACAATACATGGCCTAGTACACCAAAATGAGTTGCAAAACAGATAAAATCAGTGTCAGATCAATGAAAGCCCTCATATTTGTGTTTGCCATCTCCTCCATACAACTCTCATTATTTTGTACCTTCCAGAATCTCATAGCAAGCGAACCGTTAAGTTCAAACAAGAGGACTAACACCAATCACAAACACAATGCGATTTAACCACATCAACCTATTGCAAAAGGAAATGGGTTATGACACCAATTTCGATCAAGAGAAATTAAGTGACATACATGCTAGACGAGGAGACATATGGGGCTAATAGATTGACAATAGGAAAACTTCAAAAATCAAAAGGTACATAAAGCAATAAATCCAAACTGCATGACCGTTCAGATAATAATAGAGAAGTCACAAAATGAGGGGAAACAAAGATTGTCTTTAGCCATTGTATGTTGCCTGCTTTTGAGAATCCTTAAAAAGGTTAACATCAATTGTCCCCAAGATAATTACATACACTAAATGTTAATGAAGGGAGGGGTTGATGATGCTGGTTCATTTAACAGTTGTAATATGCACAAGCGCTTGTTGACAGTGGTCTGCCCTTGAACTGTTACTGCCTTTTTATAATATTGATGTCAATCTTGTCGCAAAAAAACCCAAATGAAATCTATCACGATGGCTACCAAAAAACGCGGTATTTACTCCTATCATCGTTTCAATCAACATTTTCAAACACTATTTCAAGTTGCCAGACAACCGGTAATGATACACATGTCTCACACTCCATCTTGTATGCTCTATAGGCTGCTTCTTGTCCATACACAAAGAACAGGTGAGTATGAGGCAGGACATGTTACCACGAGAGAGGTGCCTATTGAAGGAATGATTGCAACCATACAATATCTTTCCCATAAGACACGATCAAGATATCAGCATGGACACCGCCCAGCTAATGCCAGTGCCACCAGCCAAGCTCAATAATACTTTGTGTTAAAGTTTTAAATTAAGAAACAGAGATTGAACATCAATAAAAATCAACAACCTCAATTATTAAAGTCTCTCATTATCATAAGATGGAAATGACCACTGCTATTAAGATATCATTTCTTTGAACTGACACAGAAAACTTTAGAAGTTGTCATCATGACGACATTTTTATAGATCAAGGACAGTACCAGGAATGCTCCCTCACACAAACTACACTTGCATCCCTTTAAGTGATCATCTTCCATATGCGGTTCAAGAAATCTTATTAACAGCAATGACACAAAAGGAAAGAGAGGGTAGGGGTAGGGCGCACCACTACTTTGAAAAAGTATACCTATACGGTTCAAGGATGCCAGTAGAAATGACCCCTCACGCAAACTAATGCTTCCATCCCTTTGAGTGACCATCTTCCATGTATGGTTCAAGAAATCCTATGAACTGAAATTACACAAGCAATGAGTGAGTTAAATCTTGGGCAGTGATAAAAGGGTCAGTGTCAGTGGGTAAACAAAAAGCCAATCGAATTCACATTGTTAATGGACACATTTCCAAAACAAAACTTCCAATTCAATATTGGGTTTTAGCACAAAAAAAAAAAAAACAGTTATATGCATGATTTCCTAAAGCTACCAGTAGCACAGCTAGTCAGCAGGTTGAGAGAGAGTTGAGATTTGGGAATGGACGGCTGTGCCATACTATCTAGAAATTGGAACTGCCTGCCTCACTGTTTTTCTGTGAATGGAGGGAGTCAGGGCAACTGATTTCTGTGAATATCTTTTAGTTTTAGCTCAAAGAATTACCACAACCAGATGGAAAATGCTTTTGAAATGATATCTAGGTACTGTCAAGCAGTCAATTTAAGAACAATAAAAGTAACTAAATTAAATTCACTCTCTTGAATCCCTTGATGCAAACAAAACCAGAGTGTTAGCTAGATAGGTCCATGAAGAAAAATTAACAAATGGGTGTTTCAACAGCCTGCAAAGGGTTGCAGATGAGTGGTAAGCATTATCCTTACTGATAAATCAAACATGTTATATTTGAAGGTGCTTCCACGACAAGTTCCGAGATAAATCTTGCATAAACCATGTAAATCTCATAATAAGCTACTCCAATAGCTGATTGGATTCACCAATCTGTCAATTTCACTAGGAATCCATAATTACATGCATTCAGATTAGGGAACCTCAACAGGGTACCAAGCTGTTGTGCAGAGAACAACATAGCATAGATTAGGGTCTTAATGGGATTTGGATGCTCTCATACATTGCCTCTGGTGCTCTCTTTAATTTTCTTCTTTTTTGGATGTCTTCTCCAGGATTTTCTTACAATTTCTTTTCTATTTATCAACGTGGTCTTTTATCCACAAGAAAAGGAGGCCTCAGTTAGCAAAACTTTCACATTTTGCTTGAAAATTTAGCCTGTTTTAAGCCTAAGCCAATCCTGATTCATCTGAACACGTTTTCCTTCTCCAAGCACGTTATCCATCCATGCATATAGACATTAAATTACAAGGATCGCTACTACAATAACATAAATATACCTTAGTTCCATCCTTAGACCAACGAGCTCCATAACCATCAGCTACCCTTATCTCAAAGACAGCCCCATGTTGTGGAACAATATGAATGTTTGACCAGCAACAAGAAGCTATTAAGCGATCAATGACATCCATTGCAAGCCTATTTTTTGTAGAATCTAGTAAGATAAAAGTGATAATGATATATTAGTTAGTCACCAAGCATTAATGGTAACGTCAATAAGACAAAATTCATGTGTATGCGAGACTCAATTCCTTAACAAACAAAGGACCATAGCCATGCACAACCATGTAACACATATAACACATCTATTTTCTTATAATAATAAGCGACAACAACTAGAAAGAGACTCATGGCTGTTTGTTTACCTACAAAGATTACCTTTGACATTATTATTTGCAGAACTCAGATTTTTCAATTACATCTCAAAGAGGTTTCTCTTTCATTTCCTCAACAGATACTTATGCTCTGGTTTTTATTGAAAACAACACAACATCCTAGCTATAGCAACAAAGAGAGTACCACTAAGATATTGCACCATAGTACTGCAAATGGAATTGCAAACTAAATGAGATTATTGACAACTTTGGCTCCTGCACAGTTAGCATTTGTTAAGAAGCATCTATGGAAGAATTTAGGGAAGGGAATCATGATGCCAGAGATAGGATCATAGGAACCAGGGGTGAGGGCGGACCTTATATAAAAGGGAGGGAGGTTTGGTCAAAGTATGAATAGTTTTGGAGACTCCCCATAGCATTTTCCATAGGCTACTGTGGACTTGGGAGAGGGGGGGGGCGGCGGCAGTATGGGTGCGGTTGTGGCCCCCATAAGTAGTCTTTGCACTAGCCCTGATTGAGACCATTTTGGTGGAGAGGATGGGTCAAGGTGGTATGTGACCATTGTGGTTGTGAAGTGCTAGCGGGTGATGCTTGTGGCATCAACATTCTAGAAGTGAATGAAAAGTCTTGTGAGGGTAAGTGGTTAGTGGGAACTGTTGAGTGGCTAAGAAGAGGATAACTCACTGATATAAGAAAAAAAATGTTACTCCTAAAATGTAATTGAAAAGAACAGTACACAAAAGGTTAACACACAAATGACTTCCATACACAATAATGAAGTAAGAAATCTGGTTCAAGGACCGAAATCCTAAAAGGTACTCACCACTCCCACCAAGAACACCCCAATATCCATCGCTGCTCCTTTGAGCATGCTTCGCCAAGGCCCTTGCTCCATGAGTCAAGGCACTGCCTTTGATCTCAAGCCAATAAAGAGGAAATTCAGGATCATGAAGCACAAAATATGCACAAAATCAAGCTCGCAAGAATTCTAAAATTGGCATGCATAAACTTGCTGAAACATGAACTTGGAAGACAATGTGCTTCCTTGACACTTTGACAAAAAGGAAAAAAAAAGAGTAGGAAATGTACCCATAGAAAGCGCTAGAAAATGAATAAAACAACCCAGTTTCTGGGTTGCCACTGCTCGAGGGGTCTCAAGGCAATATGAATAGTAAGTCCAGTAAGCGCAAAATTATTCCCTTTATATCGTATAATTCTCTCACAGATGACTAAATTGGAAGAAGATAAATAGGCTATAATCTCAAGATACTAAGAAACAACAAGGAATATGATTACCTTTCTACTTTGCCTAGAATGGTTGTTGTTTGCATTTTAATGGATACGTACCTTATGTTATGAGCTTTCTCTGCTATGACTTTTTATTGAATCCACATTTTGAACAGACCAATGCAATGCAATCCAATTTATTATATAATAGGGTACAGAAAAAGCTAAAAAATATCTCTCGAAATCGCACAAGGCATGAAGCAATTCACGATGTACCATAATCTTACATTTGGATTATACAGTGAAATGAAGGATGAGAGAAGTGTTGATCTTGGTGGAGGTAGGGCATTAGAAACCGTTCCGCCAGTATCTGCAAGACCCAGCAGACTTTGAACACCTCCATAACTTGATCCCTGGATTAGAGACACCAAAATTATTGTAACTTTTAGCTCTTAGAGCCATTTTACAGGACATTTACAGCTATTTCTTAACACAATCCACATGATAAATTCTATGTCACATCTGTAACCCAATGATCTCCGATATAAAAATCAGACTCCTCCTGCAATGAAACTTAGAAATCGCAAGAGTTCAGGAAAAACTCACAAAAAGTATGGTAGCCAAAGAAAGGTATGGCTGGGCGGCCAGTTTTGAAACAAAGATTGCGAGGACACCATTAGACATTTCCTTTTCTTCTGTATAAAACTTCCTATAAATCTTCACACCTGGTTTGCCATCAACCCATAACTGTTATACAATTCAGACCTTACAAATTCAAGAACAGAATCACCAACAACAATTTTTTCAACAAGCCTCTCATTTCATACAATGCAAAGAATTTAAAAAGATTACATGGAGCCAAGAGTTTACGGAAATGATTCTTCCAGAAATGCAAACCAGAAAATTTTATAAGTTTACAATCCAATTAGCTGTATGCACGAATAACCGACACCCTACCCCTTATCCCTAACTAGTTAAACTAAAGTTGGAGCTTTATCAACTCCCAAGCATTGCTGATACTCATGGGGTATGACAGATTAATTCTAGCAACCCATCCTTGCTATGTCTCAAAGGAGAACATCATTTTGACAGCAAAGTATAACATCAACACAGAACTAGGTTTACCTTCTTCAACAGTTTTAGCTCCAGGAAGGACCTGCTCAAGACTCTCAGCTTGTAACATCTTCGAAAATGATGAATATCTGCGAACGTCCTGCAAATAGATAAAATTATTATATAGTCCAGAATGAAAATATAAATGAATGAATACATCTTATAAATGTGGTCTCACCTCCACTTTAAGTACCACACTTTTGTTTACAAGAATCAAATCTCCTGGCCCAATTCTAATAGCAAAACAAATCAAATATAAGCTACTATAGAAGACATTCACCCACTTTCTAGCACAGAGTTCTTCAAAGATTGCACATTCATAAAATTGCAAATATTCATGATACTTAAACCATGTGGAAAATTATCTACCTTATGTAATCACCAGTAGCACACCTTCCTTCGATTGTTTTCCTGCCATCTGTACACACAATCCAGATCACTAAAGAACATGTCTTGAACCACATAAACAACAGATAATCCCAAAAAAAAAAAAAAAAAAAAAAAAAAAAAGGGAAAAACCACATATCAAAGAAACAAAAATAATACCTTTCAATAGTGAAAAATAGGGCTCTTGAACATGAATTTCACAAAATATACCCTCCAAAACCTGATTTTTTTAAAAAAACCTTTAATCATCAATCGATATTAATTAAAAACACTCGAGAACTAATAGTACCAGCTTACATTTATCAATTCAAACCCCTTCTCTTTAATCAACTTATTCCAATTCTCTTCTTTCTGCTTCAAGTTACTATCTTCATCACTAAACACCATCTTCTCATAATTTCTATAGAAAGCACCAGACTTCACAGACTGATACAAAGCTGAAGCTAAACGTTTATACAGTGGATAATGAGCAACCCCAACAAAAGAATCTGCAGTCCATTTGAGTGATTAGCATAAACATCAAAGCTTTATTAACATAATAGAAAAATTAAGAAAAAAAAGAAAACCTCTTTTCCCTGGGTTTTTTACTACCTGTTGGTGTGGAGTGACATGACATGTCATTTGGATCTTCTTCGAGGAGATTAATGCAGAAGTCTTTGGAGAGTCCTAGATTGAATTCTGGCGTTTGGTTAATGTGAGATTCAAGATTTAATTTTAGCAACTCCTCTATGCTGTCTCTCAGTCTCTCCATTTTCTCTGTTACTACTTGCTAGTCCTCTGTTCTGGCCATGGCTTCTTGTTCTTACCTTTTCTTCCTCTCGTTTAAAAAGAGTAAATTATTAATTAATCCATCTCCTTCGAAAACTAATCATTTAGTTTTTATATTTTTAAATTTATTTATAACTTAATTTATTTATATTTTTTATCTTTATTTTAATTTTTAATTTTAATAAATAGAAAAAAATAAAAAAATATTGATGAAAAAAAGTTTAACAGAACAAAAATAATATAAAATTAAACATAATTAATACTAATAAAAAAATTAAATAATAATTATTTATTTCTTAGAATTAGAAAGATTATTTTATAATAAATAGAAATTGATTTTTTTTCTACGCACGTTATATTTCGAGTCATAGAGTTAAGAGCATCTTCAATAGTGTTCTCTATTTTTAGTTAATATTTTTAATGTAAATAAAAAATATCGTTAATTATATAAATTGAAGATCAATGTCATCTCCAATGCTACTCTCTAATTTAACTTTTTATTTTGATAAAATTCATAAAACCCAAAGAGATTATTGCAGTAGAATGAATGACATGAAATAATAATTTTTATTAATGAAATATAAGATAAAGAGTCATTTGGACTCTTTAATATTTGAGAGCCAAAGAAACTTTGTATCTCAATTTTAGATATAGAGATTATAATAAATGAAGTATTGGAGATAAAATTTAGATCAAACATCTTTATTATATAAAAAATAATCTTAATATAAAAAGAATATCGGAGACGTTCTAACAAAGTTACACTTATATACCCATGGTTCAAACTTTTCCAATGATACCCCTATATATTTGAAAAGTTTAAATTCTACCGTGTATGCCAAATAAGTAACCAAAGATTGACTATTTTTCCTCCTCCTTCTTCTTCTTCTTCTTCCCTTCATATTTTCATTTAACTTTTCTTACTTTTCTTTCGAATCTCCAACATTGACAAAGGCATGTAAACCTTATAAAATAAAAAATAAAAAAAACTTGAAAGCCAAATTCACAATGACAAAAATCTTTACAATTTTGATAAATCATTGCGTTTGAGACAATATTTGATTTTTTTTTTATAAACAAAAAATAAAGATTTTTGAACATCTCAAACTAGAATTTTTCAAAACATGATTTAAAAAAAAAAAAAAAAATCATGAACGCATACAAATCTCTTACCACCATATATCAATGGGAAAACAAACTTCATTGCCAGGTTCCATCAATGTAAAATCCCAATAAATGAAATAAACAAAAGGATGGCAAAAATCTCATTCTAAACTAGGGTTTTCTAAAATATGATTTTTTTTTTCAAACAACTATTTAGCTTATAGAGCCTTTTTTGCAAGATTATAATAAGATTATTTCTTCTAAACAATTAATAGTCAGATTCAGAGAACTTAAGTCCACATGTCATGGTGGGTCCAAAATAAATTTTGAAGAAAATAAAAAATTCTTACGTGACAAGTTGTCATTAGTCGGAGATTACTACGTGTGCTTACGTGACACGTTAAGATATAAAACAACAACATAAAAATATAATTCTTAAATTAGATGGAAAAAAAATTTAAGATTTTAATAAAAAAATCTAAATTATACAAGTCTCGGTATAAAGCAAAATCCTTATTAATAAAATTATATCTTCTAAACAATTAATAGTCGGATTTAGAGAACTTAAGTCCACATGTCATGGTGGATCCAAAATAAATTTTAAAGAAAATAAAAAATTTTTACGTTACAAGTTGTCATTAGTCAAAGCTTACCGTGTGTGCTTACATAATACGTTAGGAATACAAGTCTCAATATAAAGCAAAATCCTTGTTAATAACAGGTTTTCAGTTGCAACAGAGATAAGATACAAGAAGCAATAATCTCATTGAGCAAACGGTTCGTATAATCTTCCTTCTCCACCTTTCCTTGTCACTGGACATATAATTACCTGTTCTTCTTCGTCTCTTAGACGTCGCACACTACATGGATTAAAAAAAAAAAAACAAAAATCAAATCAACTCGTGAAAACCAAAAACCCAAAAACCCAACAGATTCAACTTAAAAAAAAAAAAAAGAAAAAAAAAGAAAAAAGAAAAACATACATACCTTTCAGAGACTATTAATCATGTCCTGTCAAAAAAAATAAAAATAAATAAATAATCAGCACTCTTTCAGAGCAGAAGCAGAAGGAAGGAAAGAAGGAAAACAAGACAATAAAATCGGCTAGGTTAAATACACTCTTTTCGTTTTCAAGAAGACGAAGAGAAGACGACTAAGAAGACTATTTGTACCCTTCCCTTCGACACCCTACTAATCTATATAATTAGTTTTTAAAATGAGAGACTAATAAATTCGTTTCTTGAAACGAAAGGACTGATATATAATTTACTCAAAACTAAAAGGACGTTTGGTATAATTTTTTTCTTTTTATTTTCTGTTTCTGGTTTTTTGTTTTTTTTTCCATTTCGTTTTGGTAGGATAAGTGATATATATATATATATATATATATATATATATATATGTATATCAATTTTCAAAACAAGGTGACTAATTAGTTCATTTCTCAAAACTACAACAACTAATTTATAATTTACTCGCGAGATACACCATTATAAACAACCAGAGAAAATAGCAAAAAGCAGCAGAATTGACTTATTTCTTGCATGTTTCAATTGAACTATTTTGAAATGAACTCAAGTTTTCTTAGCAGGACGTAAAAAACTCAAAAATTCCTGATGACATCCTGAAAAGGATGTTGTGCAAACTCACAGTCACAACCCACTAAACCAGTGCAGGTAAGAGTGCAAATCATGGAGACAGATTGATTCAGGTCCTGAATATAGCCAGCTTATCCTCTACCTGGAAAAACAGAAAGCTCCACTGGCATGAGCTTCAAGGAGATTCTTACTACTATTTTAATGCGCAATCGCTTGCTGTTTTGTATATCATTGGATTGATGTCTCTCTTCCTCCATGCAGCATTACAAGGTACATACGCAGGGGCCGAAATGACCTGGCTTTGGTAATTAAGCTGTGACTGATGAAAGAGTATGGTGCTGTTGAATCATAGATGAAAATATTGTCTCGGAAAACAACATTATCCCAAGTAAATCATGCTATCCTCAAGGGGTAAAAGTGCTAGAAAACAGAGATATTCTGCTCTTCGGTAGTGTAGGGGTGTTTCTTTATAAACCTGGAAAGGGAAGTTAAATAAGACTGGACACTGGAATTGCAATCCGTGTAATAGTTCACAATCTGAGCTTTGGTTCTCTCAAAGTATGGCAACAATGTAGAAATCATAATAAAAGCAAAAGAAATAACGTTTTTATTACTACGTGGAAGTATGGAAGTATTCTGAAACCAGTTTCAGCATTTTTTTCCCGTTTATGGTTAAAGAGCAAAATATTCATAGCAAGTCACAATAATACATTTGGCTTAGAAATCAGAAGGCAATGCAGATGAAGAAAGAGTAGTTGATTTTTCCTGGGGAAGCATATCTCACAATGTTTGTGGAAGATGCGGCAGACCCAAAAGGTTTTCAAGACCTCCTTGACTCAACCCCTGGAACAGATGTTGAAATAATGAGGTTAGGACAAGTTTAGTACACTGAAATGTGAAGCATAAACCCTACAGTGAATTTGAAGCCTATTTCACTCATCGCTAAGTTATCTCGAAAGAAGATGTAAGCATTTTGGGGTTATGTTTCACTGAGAAAAACTCAAGAAAAAATAATCAAGAGTTAATTTTGCATCTCTGCTTTGGTCTGCTTAGTTTTGATTTTGCCTTCACCATTTCAAAAATATTTCCACCTCTCCCTTTGTTATAGCCCATTGAAAAGAGAAAATCTTTCCACCTCAACAACTCTGCGTAAAGATCATTACAGTACAAGAAGTGAGAAGACTCACAGAGAGAATTCTAGCCAAAGAAATGTAGGGCTGGTCAGCTGATTTTGCAACACAAATAGCAAGGACTCCATTGGATCTTTCCTTCTCTTCCGTGTAAAACTTTCTGTAAACTCTAACTCCTGAAAAGACAGCAATATTGCACTAAATATAAATTTGAACCAAGAGGTATGAACGTGAAGTACAAAGATATAAACTTGAAGTATAAAGATATGAACACGATGAACAGTGGTATAAAGATATAAATTTGAAGTATAAAGATATGAATATGATGCAGAGAGGTCTGGACACTAAGCATGAAGACATTCATTTTGGCTCTCAAAATTAAACAAAACTCTCTTAGCCCTTTCATATGAGTTGTTTTCCAGTAACCAGCCGGTTCGTTACCTTCATCTATGGTGTTTACTCCAGGAAGGACTTTCGCAAGGCCCTCTGTTTCCAACATCTCAGAAAATGAAGCATACTGTTGAACTTCCTGCTAAGAAGAGGTTATTATAAACCAAAGTGCAAAATAAAAAGCCTAGGAAGTTTGAACCAAACAATTATCACCTGAACCTGAAGCAACACACACTTGTTAAAGAGGATCAATGCCCCTGATCCAATTCTGAAACAAAGGAAAGGAAATGAACAAAAAGGGAAATAACCAAAATAAGCACATAAAAAGGCAAGCCAAGAAACCCAAACAGCACCAGCATGAAATGTTTACCAACATCATAAAAGTAATCAGATATCAACCCTACCGATTATAGTCACCTATTGCACACCTTCCTTCAACTGTTTTTAGCCCATCTACAAAACGTATCAAATCACCATAATTGGCCTTTAACTAAATCTAATTTCAGTATTCGAGAAACGACAAAGAAAGAACATAATAATTAAATGTCGATCATATTAAGGCATGAAAATTAAAAGCAAGAACACAACATATACCTTTCAGTTGTGTAAAGAAAGGCTCCTGAACATGAAGTTCAAAGTTTACAGTCTTGAATATCTGATAAGATTCAAAAATTATTTATGATAATAAAACTTATGATAATCAGTTATGAGTTATGAAGATACAAATAGAACAATGAAGCTGCAAAAACTAGAACCACAAATAACATACATTTACTAATTCAGTTCCTTCATTAAGAACCAATTCATTCCATTCCTTTCTCTGTTTCAAGTCACTATCATTTTTGTTAGATGCACGTGATGTTCCACTGGTTAAGGATTCATATAATGCTGAGGCTAGGCACTTGTATAGAGGCTTTGGAGGAACATGTCTGAAGCAATCTGCAACAATTTAACTTATTTGACTTAAAAGAAAAATTAGCACATGAAGCAATACCAAATTGTCTTTCAAGTAAGATAAGTTCAGAGAAGAACAACAAAGTTCAGTAAAGTCAAAACTTTTTCTCCCCCTCTATTTCCTTTTCCTGTTTTTCCTTTCTATGAATTCTCAGCAACCAAACAATGGCCAAAGAAGCAAATCTGAATACAAGTATATACAACAACATTGATAGCCTAGCCCCATTATGGATAGCCTAGATTTGACCCCAAAAAAGAGTGTGCTAATCCACAGCAAGTGAAAGTTGCTCTGAAAGAAAAACTACACTGAACCCACCAAAATTATACATGGCATTAAAAAAAAGAAAAAAAATTTCTTTCTCAACAAACCAGCTGTTTCAGCTTTCTCCATGTTTTAACAGGCAGTGCTTGAACTTACCAAGTTCAAGCACTCCTGACGCCAAAAACCAGCCCATACGAGTCAAAGCATGCCACTTTCCCAGAAACCAAACACAAAAAGAAAAAGAACCCAGAAACAACTAATCAAAGTACTTCATCTCTACACATAAAGTTCAAAATTTCTTACCAGTAGTAGTAGTATGTGAAATGGGGTGGTGATCATTTTGATCTTCTTTGAGCAGGTAAGAACAGAACTCCCTTGAGAGGCCTAAATCGAATCCCAAGGTTTGGTTAATGTGAGACTCGAGAGTGAACTGTAATAACTCTTCTATACATTCTTTAAGCTCTACTGGGCTTGCTCCTGGTGAAGTTGGCTGCTCCTTTTGTTCACCTGTTTCAGCTTTCTCCATGTTTTAACAGGCAGTGCTTCAACTCACCAAGTTGAGTCTTATACACAGTGGACGACGGTCGTTGATTATTATAGCTAAAAGCTGAAAACGACAAGTCGTCATCGAGTTTATTTCCAATGACATGATGGAATGAAATTCAATTATTGATGGGATGTAAGGAAGGTTTTTTTTTTTATGAGAAAACTGCAATTTTGGTATTCAATTTTTTATTTTTTTTTCTGTTTCCCTAATAGGTAAATTCTTTTATTTTAGTATTTAAATTTTAATTTTTTAATTAAATACAAACAATCACTTAAAAATATAAAAATACTAATTTATCTTAAATGAAATATCATATGTGTCTCGTTACATGAGAGTTTTAAAAAAATCACGTAATAGTTAATTTCAAATAATCACTCAGCATTATACATTCTTAGGTGATTGTAGACATTGAAAAAAAAAATCAAAATTTAAGAATTGAAACAAAAGAAATTACGGTTTGGATACTAAAATAGAAAAATAAAAATAAAAATTGAACATCAAAAGTACAAACTTTTTCATTATTTGATTGTGTAGATCATCTGTTTATGATACTCGTATCCAAAAACGATAAAATGGTCGGTCATTGAGTTTGATTATATTTTAAATTAAATGATTGTTCATGTTTAATTATATTTATGTTTGGTACATGAAATCCGATAAAATAGAATAAAATGATAATATTTATATAATATTTGGTCTGAATATAAAACATTATTCATATAAAACATAAGTTTTTGTCTCTCTCATTACATTATTTCTCTCACATTTTGTCTGTCTCCCAACACACATCCTTAAAAAAAGGAACCAAAAAAAAAAGTTATTTAAGGTAAATGAAGAGCCAAAATTACATTGACAAATAAAACTAAAGATGGGGAAAAAATCTGAAATAAATGGGAATTTTATATTATTTATTTGACAAATTTTGTTACATTCTATAGTGGGGTTGGTCCCCCAGATCTGATCTGATGCTCAGATCGAAGAAAATGAAAAAACCTGTATGACTTTCCTCCTGAAAAAAAATTTGTGAGAATCTACAGAGACAAATTCAATCTCTGCAGCCCTCTTGATATTTTTCTGCTCCCTGTTTCTTTTTTGGTATGTTCGTATTCTATATATACAGTGTTGTATCATGAATGCTTGATCCTATGTTCTTGGAAGTTGGCTTACACCATTGATCTTCCAGAATTTTAATGTAGTATCATCCTAGGTAAAATGTTGCTACTTCCTAGACTGAACTAGCATGTGTTGATCTATCTTTGGTTCCAATACTTTCCAATTCCTTTGCGGGAGACGACAAATGTGGCTTCACAGAGCCATCTAAAGAGTGGTGTTCTTGCTCATGTTGAGCCAGCATTGTCCAGATCAGAACCAAAAACACCATGACTAATGAGAGAAACACCATTGATGCCCACACCATTTTAACGTATCTTTTCAATGGTTTGCAATGGTACAGAAGGATCTCAGAAAAAGCATTCTTCACTGACTGACATTCTACAAGATTTTCCATCTCAGGATACACATTTAGTAGGCTCTGAATGGATGTTGTGTATGCCTCAACTGTTCTATAATCGTTAAGCGATATGAATTGTCCGCTGGCACATGTTCCGTTGTCGAAGCTGGAACAAGTAAGTACCTTCAATACCTGTAGAATAGCAGTTCGGTTAGCAAACTTCAATAGAAAATTTTGGGGCTGCAAAATTTTTTTTATCTTCCCTTTGACATACCGCTGGGATGTCGCGGATTCGGATTGTGTTAGCAGGGCACTTATCAGGCTGGTATTGGTATTCAGGTGGATCTGAGAAGGGATTGCAAACTGTGTAAGGTACTCCTTGCGTGTTCGATAAGTTCGCATTCACCTGCAATGTTTCAGCAGACGAAAGGTATTAGCGCAAATCGGATGATAAAATGTTCAATCGGATAGGAAACGAAATGGCAAACTCAAATGTAATATCCTGCTGATCTACCTGATTGACAAGGCTGTAGATCCCTTGACTGACATCAAATAAGACTGGTTTTGCTGAGAGCAATTCATCGCAGGGAAGGATCGAACTTAAGCTGTTGTTGTAAGGGTCCTGCTGGAAGTTTTCGAGAGCTGTACATGAATCTCTTGAAAAGCTGCAGAAAAATGTGGATTTTCCCTCAATTAGTACTGAGAAACTTCGCCTCCTAGATCAATTTCTTGTACAATTTTGTTTAGTATAGAGAAATGAGGCCATGGAAAGAACTTGGACTTACTTTTGTAAGAAGAAATACATCCCAAAGAACAACCAGCATAGAACAGTCAGGATCCAACACACTACAATTAACCTGCAAGATAAACAAAATCATAAGAAATCTTACAAGCCAATTTACTAGAGAAAGAATTCTGTTTCAGGAATTGTGCTAGTTCGCCTATGCAAACGTTGTTTATTTTACTTACATGTAAAGTGGTCGCCATAACCTCAGAGTTCCGCAGACTGCAATACAATGAATTCAAACTTAAATGAGAAATATATTCAACTGGATCGCAAAATTGCAGGTCCCAAATAATAATAAATTGATAGGACTTGGAATCTTTTTTCTACTCCATTCTGAATTCATGGGGTTGAAAAGTTCTATCGATCAAAGCACGGTAGGACTAACGAGTTGGACACATAGGGAGACATACCTGAAAGAGCAATTAACGCAACCAGGTTCAAGGAAATTGTCACTGTGGTTACAATATACCTGCAGCAAGTATCAATAGATTAACTTTCAGAGAAGCTCAAATGGACTTGTAGACAAATAATTGGTGATGAGGGAGAGAGATTTACACTATTTTCAGACCCTTGTCGATCAAGCGCCTATTCTTCCTAGCTTGCCTGTGTATATTAGCAGCTTCAACATCAAGTTTCTCTGATGTGGAGGTAAGGAAGCTGGATGCCCGAGTAGCAGTACTTTGATTAGATGCTCCTAAATTCTGTTTCATCTCTTTCATTGCTCCTGTTGTGTTGTACATGGTTTTCGACGCATCATTTGCCGTGTCAATGATGATATCCACCACGGTTTTCGCTCTTGAATGGAACTTCGCATTCCCTCCAAGAACTAGCCCAGATGCAGTTCTGCAGATAAGTCTTCCATTTGTCAAACTCTTGCAGCAATTTATATTATTTGGATTTTGGAATGCAAAAGTGGCATGACTTACATTGCTAGGATAGTGAAAAATATAGCCAAGAGGATAGGCCAGAGGTAACATTGCTTGTGGCAAGGTATTCTTTTCTTCAGCTTTCCATATCGTCTTTTTTTACAACAGAAGGCAGTTGCTAGCAGAAAGCCTCCATATGCTATGCCACCCAGAAGCCAGATTACCCCAATGACATATCCATAAACTCCTGTATATATGGTTGACTGCAAAAGTTTTAGCATGTCATTTTCTTCTTCTTCTTTTATGATTTTAGCTTTTATAGAAAATTTGATTTTATACAGTTATTAACTATTTAAAGAGAGAATGAGAGGAAATTACACTCCAATAATGTTCGTTTTTGATATCATATCCTCCTCTATATTTCTTCAAATTTTCAAGTGGATCCACCCTCACAGTATCATCTGACTGAATCATAGGTTGTGACGCATTGTTTGCATCGAGCACATTTGTACCTGAAAAAACCAGGAAAGTACCAAGAAATCATCAACTAAGGAAATGGACTAGCTTGAATTTAACTTTTCAGAACCTTATTCAGTGATTCGATCAGGTCTTACCAGGGTCAGAAGAAGAATTTGATGACGAAAATGTTTGTCCTGCAATGACATTTGAGCCTAAAATGACCAAGAAAATTAAGGAAACAACCAACTGAGTGGCAGGTGAGGACCCCATCTCTAACCTGTCAAACAAGTTAGAACAGCGATTAGTAAACAATTTCTCATGCAATTAAAATTGGATTGACCAAAATTGAAGCAGCCATGATTTTCCAACTAACCCCATGCTTATTCTAATGGTGCTTTTTGACCATACCAGAACTGAACCTAACCCATCAAACGAACTCTCAATACTTGAGCTAGAACCAGACCAACAAGAGAGGATTAACAGAAGAAGGTGGTTTAACCTTTAATCTGCGTATAGCTAAATTAATACACCTCTGAAAAGAAAAGATTAAATTAAAAAAAAAAGGGAAGATTTTAGCTTTAAGTGTGAATGGAGGAAGATATTTTCTACTCCATTAATAGATGCACAACTTTTGCAAAAGCAACTTGTTTTATATCGCATAAACTTCTTTGCAAGTAAAGAACATTTTTTAACCAGCCAAATCTGAACACAGGAACTCCAGGGAGTATCTAGATCGACAATTTTCTTTCTCAAGAATCTCAAAAAGTTCCAACAAAGATTTTGTGTGCATGCATGTCTGCTGTTACACAAGAGTTTTCAGATTCACATTTATCCGTAGCAAGAGGTGTCGAGTTCGAACAACTTCGTTTCTAGAAAGAAAAAAATGACAGAAGAGGAAAGAGAACAAGTAGGGACAAATAGATACACCAAAATTTGAGAAGCAAGAAAAGATACACAACAAACTAGAAAATAGCTATGCAGTTAACTTACCAACTCTATCAAAACCCTCCTTCAACAGCTAAATATCTTCAATCTGTGCTTCAAAATCTCAACAAAAATCTTCCAAAACTTTCAAATATTCTCCAAAAACGTATGACAGAAACTTCTCATATATGATCAAAAGCTTCAATATACATGCAAATCCTGCTCAAACCCTAGCTGCTCACAATAACTTGAATCAAGACAAAGCGCGCAAGAGCTAGCTAGCTATCCATTCAAAACTGTTGCCTGCTTATATATTTATAGATTATTGGAAAGAAAGATATAATATCTAGAAGCTGAGACTCTTCTTATGGCAAGAGAGTTTTTACAGTCCAAATTAGGCCATTAAAAAAAGGGAGGAAAATAGCTTCCCAGGTCAAGAACCTCAACTGAAAAAACACCTCTAGAATTTCAGATTCCTTAGCCAAGTTACCTTCATAACTTTCAAAGGAAATACCAAAATCTTTAAACAACACTATCGAACTATCAATTCACTATTTTAAATATTTAAATAAGCCAACAAAACCGTGTCAAACACTCCCATATTCGCGTAGAGAAAGTTTGGTTATTTTTCAACTTAATCAACTTCTCCTCAAATTACACCAACTCCCTTCCAAGCTTTTCTTATGTCTACCTTATTTGGTCCTACACACACCCAAACGGTAATGGGGTTGCAACTTGCATGATAATGGACATGTGGCTAAAAAACTATTATAGTCCTTGTGCTTTATGTACTAGTCAAATTGAGTCCTTTACTTCAAATTACAACAAATCTACACTTTTACTTGCTAATAATTATGATATATATTATTCCTTTCATCCAACTCATTTATTAATTAAGGTCGTAGATTGGGTGACTGTTCTGCAGACTCAAAGTCTGTAGTTGTTCTCTTCTTTAATAGCATATAATAATAGTCTCATCTCAACAATGTTTTCTATCGTTTTCCTCACTTGAGTATGGCACGAACAAGAATCTTAAATCATCTGCTTGCTTGATCCTTTTCAGGATGACAAATTTTAGATGAATGAAATATGACATAATTGGAGGGAGATGTCAAACAGTCTGCAATTGGAAACATAAGGGTTGGTTTGATTAAATATAAAGTACAGGGATTAATTTTGTCAAATGTGAAAAGTAGAGGGAGCGTCAGTTATTTCAGCCGATGAAAGAAGAAAACTATTCCTCCCAAAAGTCCACTTCGCTGTCTCTCTTTCTCTCTCTCTTGTAAAGTCCAAAATGGACCAAACTCCTGCGTTCTGGTCAAGTAAAGGCCCCCTTTGGGATTTGGGTAATGACCAGAGTCGTCATCTGATATGCAACTTGCGTGTTTCTTTCAGGTAAGGTGTGAATGAATCTAACTAAAACTATATTAAAAGACAAGAAGCACACATGTTGTCTTGGCTCATTAAAAGAGAAGGGAGCCCCAATTTTATTTTTTATTTTTTTCTGTCGACAAAGGAGAAGTCAAAAAGATGCAACAAATAAAAGAACCATTTCAATTGTTGAAGATGATCTATACATGCATGGTAACAAAGGAGGGAAAACCACGTTTTTTTTTCTTTGTTTTGACCACAAAGAAATCAAGAAGCAATGGGCAAAATTTAGAGTCTTTTAATATGGGTTTTGGACCACCCAAATGTACTCAAATTCGTAAGGAAATAAAGGGCCTAATGGATAAAAAAGTTGTAGAATTCTTAAAGAAAACTGCTAACTAATTTTGTATTAATTGCATCTATGCTAAGTAATGTTATGTTATAGAGGTAGACTTTCTCTTTAGAATTATTTTTTTGAAACATTTTTTATCATCGAAACTGAGATGATAATATAAGAAGCAAAATATATTGAGATAAAAGATGAACATATCTTCTAAAAAAAAGATTTTTTTTTGTTTGAAAAAGAGTATTTAAGTTTTTGCAATAACTAAAAATATATCATATCTAAATCTAACTAGGATTCGTGACGATGAAGAAACTAAAAAAAAAGATTTTATCTCGTAAAACGAATTTTAAGAAAATTTATATGAATAGATAAATAAAATAGATGATCAAAAAATTACATAATAATTCTATCTTTTATCTAAATTTTAATCCATTATATATGTTAAATTTGAAAGGTGAAAGGTTTCTTTGAAGTTTCCAAGATATTAATTTTGAGACTATTTGATGTCCAAGGTGGAAAAGCTTTGCAATTGGAAAGGCTAAGAAGATGGAATTTTTCTTCTTTTAATTTGGCTTAATCAAATAATTTTCTAAGCTAAATGGTTGAACAATTTATCCCACTAATAGTAAAAAAAAATAATAATAATCATTTTCAGTGAATTAATCCAAATCAAGGTATATAATAGCCAAATACAAGCATGTGGGCTGCTTTCCAAAGATGGAAAGTGTAGTTTTGGGTCTATTTCTAGAGAGAATAGAAACTTCAAATTTTGAATCGTTAATGATATAAAAACACCGTGAGAGGAAAAACCGAAAATTTCTAAAGCAATTGAGTCAAATGCATGTTAGTTTCCCTTTCTCAGAGATTGATTGTTCAAATAAAATGGCTATTCTATACCTTGATTTGGATTAATTGCATATCTGATGACATCAAGAGCCTTGTTTTTGGCAAGAATTTCTTGCATAAGTTTGATGAATCCAAAGCATAGGACAAACTTTGCCTGATCTTACCAGTAAAACAACCAGAACAGTCTTCTTTTTAGCTTTTGTGAAAATCATCCAAAACCTCCGAGCTAGGCCATGAAGATAGGGAGTTTTTTCCCGAATCAATACATTTTTTAATCTTTATTCTTTAAATAACGTATTTTTAAAATTAATTCCTAAACAAATATATTTTTTTACCACATCAAATTTTTTTTATCTACATCGTTTTTTTAATTACTGAAAAAAAGAAAAAAAAAACCATTCAGATTCTCCAATATTTGAAAGATAATAAAGCCGGTCAAGGAATTGAATATCAAGAAAGAAAACTGGTGCTGAAGAGCAATTACAAAACAAAGGAATACTAAATGGAAAAGAAAAGATGAACAAATTAATATAAATGCAGAAGCAATAGGTAACAGAGGAGAAGAACAATATTAGATCAATTGCATTCAGATTTTTTTTGCATGAAAGAACAAGGCAGGAACGAAGAATAATATTTTAGTTTTAATGGTAGAGATTAAACAATTCTCATGCCGAACCTACCACAAACACTCACTTCCCCAATCAAAATGGTAGATTTCAATTTTTAAGTTTAAAATTGATTTAATTATTTGTGAAATAATATTTTAGTTTTAATTAGAGTTTTATTAGTATAGTAAGAAAAAAAAATTGCTTAGATGGAACTTACATGGCATATAATATCTTATACTGAAAAATAAGTTTAAAACAATCTTATTTTAGTAATATAGATTTTTTTAAAAAAAAAACTCTGAAGATAGGACTGCTGCTCAGCCATTTGTTTTATTTATATGATATCTTCGGCTAGTTTGCGCACAAACTAGGGCTTTCAAATCCGTTTGCAATTACAAATAGCATTATACAACCTTCTTACACGATTTGAGCTTTTTCCGTACCGCCACCACAATACCAATCACATACAATTTCACCTTCTCTGACAGGTTTGCATTTAGAATTGAGACATAACTGAGCTATTCCAAGGATGAGCCATCATTTCCCAGGGTTGCACCTTTAGGGCTGTAACAACTACAGTGATAGCTTAATCATTGAAGCTCAAAGAACTTGAATCAGAAAAAAAAAAAAAAAAAAAATGAGCAGATGGGGGGTGGAATGGTTCCTTGCGACAGAAGATTATCTTAAATTATGCACACCAAACTCCACAAACTTCCCTGGAGTTATAAAGGCACAAATTTTTCATCAAGACAGTTAATGACTTCCAACACTAGTTATTATTAATCTAAATTCCCTAGTTTCTAGGCAAAATCCAAGGCACGGACTGCTCTGAAGTAAAAATATACGAGGGGAAAGAGGGGGGGGGGGGGGGGGTGCATTTCCCATTAGATAATGGTCAGCTTGACGGCAGTTATTTCTACAGGCGGATTGATGCTTGCATTAGAAGGTCTGATCATGTTTTGTGAACCGACTGAAGATGATTATGGCCTGGGAAGGTTTGGAGGCAGAAGGATGGAGTCAGCTAGATCATCGTTCAACTTGACCGGAAGTGATGGCATCTGCTTCATTAGTTCTGGCACATCATTCATCCTGCAAATAAGCAATATAATGAAAAGGGTGAATTCTCTCTATAGAAAGCGAGAGAGAGGACACCGATTCCTTTCATCCTACGAAAGAGATGCTGTCCAATAAATGGAGCATGAGCAGCAGAACAAAGCGTAAAATTGCTACATCAAACATGTGTCATCAAATGTGTTTTTGGTAACCGCCACTACTACTGCGACAAAACTTGGCTGAGTATCACACTGCTCGGACTCAGCTTGGATCAGAGATACATGAATTGAAGTTTGATTTGAACCTAACAAATTGGATTCTATACATGACTTGAAATTTAGATCAAAGGTCATTGGTGTTTAACTTTAATATTTGCAAAATTATGCAGGTCCCTTATTGAGTATACTGCGAACAATAAGTGTTCTTAAAAGTTTGAGCATTTGTAAGCCTATTCCCACTCATGCGAGGCTTGGCCTGCATTCCCCTTTATAAGAAAGCCTGTGTACAGTTTAAGAACATTTACAAGTTTTAAACCAGATGTGCAGTTATAGTATATGACTATTTATACATCAATCACATGATGGAAATGCATATACACACAAAAACATTCGTGAATGAAGCCTTGCATAGTTTATAAAAGAAATCTGCTGAGAAAACAAATAGCAAATGAATGCTTATATGCAGAGAGAGAGAGAGAGAGAGAGAGAGTGAAGAAATATACAGCATTAAGCCATCATAAAATCAACAATATAAAAAACTAAGCAGAACTAAAAACTTACCCATTCATAATTTTGCGGATGTTGTCACGAGTTTGGCAGAAAAGATTGACATTCTCCTGTATCTGAAAGTTGAGGATAAATAAACAGCAATTTCAGTTGACAGCCACCAAGATGCACAAAGTGAGACTTGAACTTGTAAAAAATATCACATGCAAACAGTAAGGAATGTTTTTGGCATAACACACCATGAGGAAGAGAGTGACAGAGAGAGAGAGAGAGAGAGAGCAAATAATGCATCTAGATTATTTTAATTGCAATGATGTGTTTCATGCATCAAATTATTGACAAGAGTATACAAAACATAAAATTGCAATCATCAGATATCACACCATATATAATCATCGATGTGAAATGTGTTGGAAGGCCCTGGATCGTACTGCATAAATGCTTTCCAAACTCTAAACTCAGCAAAAGAATAATGAGAAATAATGAAATCACGACGAAAGTATTCACCTGAAAACTTGCAAGGTTTGCAGAAATTTGATGAAGGGTCTGTGCATTTTTCTTAAGAAGCTCTCCTGTAACTCCACCAATTGCTGCAAGTGGAAAATCATAGATCTTTAACGTAAGAGGGAACTAGCAAAATGGTAAAATATATTACAATATTAACATAACTAACAAAAGACGCCTGGAAAACTAAGGTTTCGTTGCAAATAATTTCCCATTTATAATTCACTGTCCAATCAAACCTAAATCCTACTGTACTCTCATAAATGCCTGGAACATTTCAATCATCAAACAACACAACCAAAAAAGAGCTGTTCATTGACATAATAAAAATCTCATAAACTCTATTTCCAACAGCGCAACTGAACCTTCCTTGTCTAAGAATTTAATGGACAATTAACAAAAATGAGTACCTACTCACCAGACCAATACTTTCAAACATGAAAATTAATTACAGCAAACACTATACAAATGTGTGCAGTCAAACATGTGTCAAGAAACTGCAACCTAACATGAATGCATGCCATCATTGTGTTTTCAATTCCCACTTCTCAATTATGAATTGACAAATTTTAAGATAACAGCTAATTCAATGCTGGTATCTAAAATTAGATCTAAGGTTGTGTTTGCTAGGGGTGAAAATTCTGAAAGTGAAATATTAAGGGAATAAAATATAAGGGGGTGTGGAATGTGTAAAGGATGTTCAGTAGGAGTTCAAAAATTTATAGTCATTCGCGGATACCAATGCAAGTCAAATAAAATTACACAGTATAAAAAATATATATATTGTGGGCACCAAATCTGTGGTGGAAGGAAAAGAAGAGAAAAATTGTTGTTGAGTTCATAAAAGAGAGAAAAGCCTTAAAAAACAAAAGTTCCCCCCTTTGAAAAATTCTTCCTCTTAATACTTCCCCCTCTCCCATAAGTTTTACCAAACATATTTCACCCCCTTTACCCTCATAATAAATGCATCATATGTAGTAAAAATTTAGCGATTAATTAGGAAGCCATGGATAACTAAAACTTAGCCAAAAGCTGGCAACTTGAAGCAATATTGATAAGCAGATAAAATTGCAAAAATGAAAAGGAAAATAATGTGTTTGAAAAATGTTTGGAATACACAAAGGTTTTGTGAAGTATATAACCCTCACCATCGTACGAGATACCTTCGTCACTTTCCAGTGGCATCATTGGAGTTGCAAATGGAGCAACGTTGGGGCGGGCGGCCATGAAGTTAGAAGTCTTTGCAGAAGGATCACTATGTCTTTCCTGAGAAAAAGATATACATCCTAAGCTTCGCTCATTCCAAGAAACCACAATCACTTGTAAAGATTCTCACTACACGTTGTGTATTATTATGTACCATGTGATGCCGCAAGTTAATATGTGTCAGAAAAGGTATTGTCATTGAAATCATCGATGGGAAATTGTTTGGAAATCACCAGTTTGCCAAATTAGAAATTTAGTTATGCCAATTAAATGAAACTTTAGCCACCCCAAAGCATATTTTCAATTGAAAAAGGTTGAGAATGCATAATATAAATGTTTGTGTACAAATTGCACCAGTTTTTAAGCCCATCGTTATCAGATTAAGTAAACCACAATACACAAACAATACAGAAGAATTAATGCGTCTGAATCCCCAGTTAAATGTGTGGGAATTCAACAGGCTATATCATAATTTTCAAATAAAAATTAGTGCAACTCCCACAGAAGAGATTCACGACAAAATACAAGACATCATACCTTTCTATCTTTGCTTTTCCGTCCTAGATTATCTTCCTTCCTTCGCTTGCTATGTTCCTTTTTCTGGACAAAGAAACAAATCAGTTAGTAGATTTGACTCACAGCCAACAGATCCATCAGATAAATATTGTAATAAACAATATATTTAGCGCTAAAGTAAATCTCTAGAATGAACCATCAAGTGATTTATTTTCCAAGCTGTCTCGATTGTAAACCAGACATGCACCGTTTAAAATATAAATCGTCCAAAAGTTGGCTGTCTATTTAGCTACAGAATTAGCAAGTTCTGGCAATCAAGCAAACAAAAATCTTGATGCAACAACTTAACAAAGGCTTCATGTGGATAGACATTAGACTAAGAGAACTTACACTCATCCATCTGTAACGCAAAGCAACATCTCGAACTGTCTTGTTTGGTAGTTGCATAGCTATCTTTGCATAACGTACCACATTTTTTTCCGAAGCAAATCTGTGGGACATAGGAAAATCACATTTTAGATTAATCAATTTCGAAACAGTACGAGGTTAAAGAAATCGAATTTTATTGCCCATTTTATCCATTTATTTATTTTTTTCCAGTAACTTACTGACTTTTGACTTAAAGTCAAGAAAAGAAGAAGAAGAAGAAGAAGAAGAATAAATAACGTAAAGAAAAAAGAAAAGTAGTTCATATTGCTCAAAAGGAGTTTGTTTCGTGAGGCTGTGGTTCCCATAATAATCTTTTCATAATACAACTTTCTTTTTGCAGCACAATAGCAGGTAACTAAAAAGAAGTAAAACTCAACAGACACTTACACCAATGATCTTCAGGGAATAACAGAACACTAAATTAGTATTAACAACCATCTACAAATCTAAACTGGTTATATGATTTCAACGCAAATTTTGGCCAATCATAATCAAACTACTGAGATCCTGAAATTTCAAACATTCAGCAACAAGGATCTCATAGCAGAAGAACATCGTTTTTCGACTAATAATATTTTTTCTAAAATATTTGCTAATTGATCCAAGCTGGCAATTCTTTCAATTGGTCGAATAAAACAAAAAAGTAATAAAGATATTTTTTTGACAAATTGAGGACAGTGATACTATTGGCAAGGCACGAATAATAAGATGAAGTAAATTAGTCCGGTTTTTGGATAATCACTTATGTTTCTATTGAGACAAAGCAGCCATAAACCAAAATTCAAAATTTAGTTATTGTATTAGAGACAGCAAAGAGTGGAGCTAGGGAAAAACAAGGAACTTGGTTAGTCATGTTCTACTTCAGAACAAGAAATAAACAACATTATGCTGTTTAAGACTGCAACTTGATTCCTCGCAGAGACAAGTAAGATTCCTTGTGTGATAATTAACTAAATAGCTAAATTCGGTTCGGAAGCGAATGCAAAGATTACCGACCAAAGATTCATTGAAAATTTGAATTGAAATGTTTTAACTTTGACCAAAATCATATTTCAACAAATTCTTTAGCAATAATCCATGTTAAGAGTTTCATTAAAAACTCATGTTAGTCTAATTACATAACGGATAATTATTGCAGAATTGTTAGTAATCTCAAATAATTCAGCAAGAACAAAACCTACAAACACCTCAAAGAATTCAAATTTCAACTCCAGCTGCAATTCACCAAACAATAATCTACACAATAATCAAAAACTCATCGGCTCTCCAAAATTCAATAAAAATTCTAAAGATTCTCAAATAACAAAAAAAAAAAAAAAACATGGAATTCAAGAAACCCTCCAAGAAAAAGAAAAAAAAAGCCTCCAAATTCAAAAAAAAAAAACCCAAGAAACAAAAAAACTTACTTAACCAACCCATCTTCAAGAATTGCCTGTTCTTCAATATTCCAATCAGTTGATATACCAGGATTATGCTTCAAAGAAGCACCAGAAGAAGGGTCTTCACCACCATTATTTTGATTGTTTCCGTTGAATGAAGAAGGACCTTGATTGCCATCTTGATTATGTGTCCCAGATGGGTTTGCCATTGAAAGACAATCTTTATCCAAAATTTATTTCCTAACTATCTATACGAAAAAAAAAAAAAAAGATTGAATCTTTATGAAAAAAGGGGAAAAAAAGACAGAATCTTTTTGTCTATATATATACACAGTGTGTGCTCCTGTCTGAAGGGAGCTCTATTGAAAATGAAATCCTAGAAAAAGAAAGGGTGGAGAGAGGGGTTGGCTTACGGAACTCAGAGGCGAAGGATTTTTTTTTTTTTTTGAAGGTTGTGAAGACTGAAGGGAAAATAAAGAAGGAATTTATAATTTTAAAAAAAAAGATAAGAGTTTTCATTTTTATAGTGTATGGAAGGAAGGTTGATGGAGAGATCAGGTGAATGACTAATCTGCCCTTAGTGTAATTATGAAGTGGCTGTGATTAATTACGTTGATCTTGCGACAGATTTCATAGTTACTTCCATTTATGGGTGTTGTGATTTTAGGAAATTTTTTGCCATTTTAGGAAAAGAGTTGGAGTAGATATTTAAGGGTTGATGCTTCTATCGTGTCGAGGATTTATGACATCCAATTTAATATTAAAAAAAGGCAAATTGTTTGGATATTGAATATTATAAATTATGTTTTTTTTTATTTTTTATGAAAAAAAATAGAATCTCCCTCTATTTATGTGTTTTTTTTTTTTTACTTTTTCAAAAAAGATAAAAGAAATACAATGCAATTACTTTTTTTCTTTTCTTTTTTTTAGTGGAGAATGGCCTAATATGTCCATACAGAATGAGTAAGTTTCTAATATATTATTATACTTTAAAATAAATCAATTATATCCATATTTAATAAGTTTTCAATATATAATTCTAATGATTTTTTTTCTTTTTCTAATAAAATTATCAAAATGTATCACATGATTCGCACATTATTAATTTTATTTTAAAAATATTTATCAAACGAACATGTATAAATCACATAGATAAAAAGTACTTGGTGTTTTAATGAGATTTTTGGATAAAAATAGGAGTTTATAGTGTTGGACTCGAGTTTTGATGATTAAAAGGTGTTTAAGTTGGTTAATGACTAGGGAAAAAAAGAGAGGGGGTGCATGGCAAGTTTTGTGGTAGCTGTTGGATTGAGGCTTGATTTTGGTTGAAAAATGGCGAGAGATGCGAAAATTGTCAGTTTTATAGTTTAGATGTGTAGACTGACGAGTTTGAGTTTTCAAGATTGGTTGTTTTGGGTGATTTTTCATTGGATTTTTTGAAGGAAAGGAAATGAGAGGGGAGAAGGGATGAAGTCGAGGAAGGAGGAGAAGAGAAAAGAAGAAAAAATTTGGATTTGGTGCTTGTTTTTTGCTAGATTTTGACCAAGGTGGGAGAAGAATGGTAATAAGTTGATAACTTGTACGTATTCATTCATCTAATGAGTATTTTCATAATAAAATTAGTTATACGTAAATCAAGTAATATTTTATATTGGCTTTATCAGCAAAGATTACTAGAAGGATATATTGAAAACTCACATAATATATAAAAATATAATTAGCTCATTTTAGAATATTAGTTTCTTAGCATTTGCATTGCACTTATATTATTTAACTAATTAATTTTTTTATAATTTCTATTAAAGTTTTTAGAGTTATTTATAAATGAATAAAATTGAATGTTAATTAAATAAACATATTTTAATTTTCAAATAATCTTACATAAATTTTACTGATTATAATTAAATTAATTTATTTAATTTTTGAGCCATATTATATAATCTATAATCATACTTAATTAAAAAATTGGAACACAACTGAATTATTTTTGAAACTTAATAATTAATAGTTGGAATAAGCGCATATGACTCTTAAAATAATGATTAATAAAAATTTTTAGCTTAACATTATATTTTTGTGAACTTTTTTTATTTTAAAAAAATTCTTTGCAATTATATCTGACATGATTATAAATTAACAATATATACATGAATATAAATTTTATAAATAATTTTTTTAACAATTTTTGCCTTTTGAATATTATTAGCGTTTGTTTAAAAGAGTAAAAATAACCTATAAAACGAAGGATAAATTTAATATTTTTATGTAGTTTAATTAGTTTAAATTTAAATATTTTATGTTTTTTACTGGTCTTTTCTTTTTAGAATTTTGATAGTCAAAATAAAATACCAATACAATACTATGTAGTTTAGAAGTGATGTAAGTAGCTTATTTTATGTTATTTAAAGTTTTTTTATGGCTTATAAATAAAAAAAATAAAAAAAGGATTAACCTATATTTTTTTTATTCGTTTAAAAAAGGAGCCAATTTTTTAGAAGTTAATAATTTTCTTTTTAATGATTTTTCCAATACTGGTTTTCTCTTGATTGGCGATGACCTTGAATTTACTTATTTATATTGGTTTATGTATTATATTGTTAATATCGTATTAAGGGTATAATAGTCCATCAACATTTTTTTAATCAAGTTCGTGTTTTTATTTGTAGTCATGGCTAATGACAAAATGGATACTTAACTCATTATATAACGATATACTGAGCATTCTCTCTTTCTCTCTTTTTTTAAGGTTAGAAAAGAAAATAATTATTAAGTTATTAAGCCAGGTTAGGTATTTTTTAATTGCATCTTATATTTTTTGGAAAAAGAAAAAAATAAAAATGGGGGAAATTTTGAAACAAATGAAAAAAAAAAGAAGAGAAACGATAAATTTTTTTAGTCAATTTGCAAGGAATAGTGAAACATAAGATAGTGAATTCTCACATTTAAAAAGGTGGAAAATATAATAAAAAATATTGGCAGAGGGACAAAATAGTAAACATGTTTAGGAAAATTATGGGTTTGGGTGGATTTTTGGATTAAAAATTGGGGGACTTGAATTCATATTATTTTAAGGTGGGTTGGAATAACGTGAGAAATTGTTGGATTATTGATCATTAACTTATTTAATATTTTTCTAACATTAGCATCTCTTACTAACGTAATAACTTTCCCACCGAATTAAATTCATACTTAGGTTGTCAATTAAAACATTTTCGAGGCTCAACATTTATCTTGAAAAGGATAGGACAACAAAATTGTTTTTTTTTTTAAAAAAAAATACTTATCTTAAAAATGATAGAAAAACAAAGTCAAAGGGATGATCGTTGCCATGGTGTTAAAGATGATACTATATGATAAAATCAATGATAAAGTCAATGTTTATGTTGATAACAGACAAACAGGCACATCAACTAAGTTATTTGCAGTTTAATACTTCATAAAAAGAATTTTCTCACAACCCTTTTCTTTTTAATTTGAAATAGCAAAAGCAGTCAATACAGAAAATAAATATTAAAATTTTTAATAATTTTTATTAGTATTTCCGAATCAACTTATTTATCAATCAAAACTAAATCCTTATCTGAATGATATTAAAAACATAATTCTCGAAATTTAATAAGCTCTTCCACAATGATAAAAAAAAAAAAAAAAATTATAAAAAAAAATGCAAAAACAAATGTTTAATGAGTGAAATGCATTGGTGACTAGACATAAAGCCTACCAAAACAATTACGTTAACTTTTTACACAGTCAAATTACGTGCTCTCCAAGTTTAGTATTTTTTTATTCTCTTTTCTTTTTCCATCAGTATTGTGCACGTATGTTACTCATCAGAGTAATGTTAGAAATTTCAAAATATTCGCGTACGGATTGAAAAGATTTATTTTTTCGTTAAATGTTCAAATTAATTTCTTATTATTCGATCGGACACATAATATAAATTAAACTATCTAATAAATTTTTTACATAATTAAATATTCGAATTCGAAAACAATTAAAATTTATTTCACTCAGACTAATTATTTTATATAAGGTTTATTTTTTCTTTAATACAATAAATTGTTCAAAAAGAAAATTTAGTTATTATTCAAGAAGAAAGATTTTTCTTTGCAAGAAGTGAGTAACCTCTTACCGTATTGATGATATCTCCATTCATCCCTTCAAGTTGCAGGTTTTGTTTAGCAAATGAAAAATGGTTGTATAGAGCAGGAGTACATCATCTAGTCTTGTGTCCACTAAGGTCACTTCAAAGATGGACACAGAGCGTAGTTTAATTAGACAGTTGATGTACGAGATTGCTAGATTTGATGGGAGACAAGTTGAGCTCTAACAATCATGTATGTTTGTCTGTACAAGAGTATCTCTATCAACTCGCTAAGTGACAGCGCAAACGTACCAAGGCTGTGATAAATTATTGCTTCAGTGAGGTACTTGTCCTAAGATGCTTCACAGAGGAATTAAAGTGATGTCTTTTCAGATGAAGCAAAGGAAATTACTTGTTTTGGGGAGGCTAGAGGGAGGTCTAGACTAGTGCCATTTTAATGAAACAAAAAGAAGAAAACAAACTTGGTGATTGTTAAATTACACGACTTGTCTGTGATTCTTACCATCACTGAGAGGGAATCAATAGCATGTCATTGTAGTCACTTTCTTATTTTTAAAAAAAAAAAATAGTTTAAGATGTTTATATATAATAGTTTTTATTTTTGTATTTTTAATTATATTTGTTATATTTTTGAACCATATTATCTTTAATTTGTTTTTTCAGTCATGAGTCATTTTTTGATTGAAATGTTCCTGACTAAAATGTAAATAATAATAATAACAAGCCACATAACCTCTATATTTTATTATTGAAGTCTTTAAATTTTATTATTATTATTATTGTATTTCAATCAGGATATTTCAGTAAAAAATTTGCTTATTATCGAAAAATTAATAAAAAAGACAAATTAAAAACTTAAACAATATTCATGGATATAATAGGTGCCATAAAAAGCATAAAGACATATTAGAAACTCGAATTGTTATATAAATATAAATTAAATTATTTAAAAAGAACATTGATTTAAATTTGATTGATGTACAAGCACATTCAAGAATATATATATATATATATATATATATATATATATATATATCTTACCATTAAAGCAAAAAAAGAATTGCATTTATTATATGAAAAGTTTGTTACACATGAAACAATATCCTTTCAAATCAAAACAAGGCTGGATAAAATATATGCAATTAGTACTAGATGGCTAGTATAATTCTATAAACACATGCTTATTTGTTTTTTCTTTTTTCCTTAATAATTTTGAGGGAGGCTTTGTATTAGTATAAAATGGTCACGTGGTAGTTAATATCGACCATATTAATATTTAACAATATCAAGTGACAAAACAATAGGGAAAAAAATCAAAAATTAATCATCGTTATATATTAAAATAAAAGATCACACTTAAATAGAACAAAAACCATATATTAGGTACTGAATTGTAGTTTTTTCTAATTTCAAGCAGGACTTATTTTTAATTACTGGTCGGTCCAAAATAGCTATATGTCAATTGATACCAGTCACATTAACATATAACAGTTTTAAGTGACGAAATGCATTTAAATAAATAAAAAAAATCAAATATTGGTTATTTAAGTAAGTAAAATAAAAGAACATATACTCAAACTTAATAAAGATTGAAAATTGAAAACTAAAATCACAATTTTCTCTTTATTTATTTATTTATTGATATTCTTGCACATTCTGCTGGTTTTGAAATAGTGATCTAATTGCTAAAATACAAGTGTTCGTGCCTACGTTAATGTTCTTCGAGATCTCGACAATCTTGTCAGCACTCGATGAGCAAAACAGGAAATCTATTACATGATTCAGTTAACGAAGACTTATAAAACAGCTATGCAGTATGAATTTGCGTTCGTACTAGCCATTCCCTACCATATTTGTCAACATCTATTACAGTTTTTTCTGTGCATGTAAGTATTCAAAATTATGAGGAAATTGTTCTAGAAATCTCTAAAAGTTAACGGGGAAAGGAGATTTTAAGACCCACACCTTTCACTTCAATCAAAGGCATCGTAAAAAAGCCAAGCAGTGTGGTGATAGATTATTTAGCTTTTGACAAGATAAAGCTTGAACGTGACTTGGACCATAATATGAAATAGTAAAGCCAAGTTGTGGTCAAACCCTAGCATTATGATAGCAAGTTCATGGTGTTGAAGTTTAAACCCTTCCCAGTTCTGCAAATATCCATGGAAACCCAATAGAGAGAGAGAGACTTCAACCAGGCCTTAATGTGTTAGGCTTAGCTTAATACTTTGGATAGTGGGTTAATAGTTCAATCTATTTTTATATAATAAGATAATTTTTTGATTTTTAATTGAGTCAACTTTATCATTGAATATATTTAAGTTTTCAATCTAAGATTTGATTAAGATTTTTATATTAAATCATCGAATTATTCACATGATTTGCACATGATTAATTTTATTATCAAAATATTATTGCAATTTAGTCAAATAGAAGACTCTTATGATCAAATCGTGTGACTAATTTTGATAGTTTATTTTAAAAAAATCTTGTCATAATGTAGTTTAGACACTTAATATATATTTAAGGATAAATTTGATTCAATTAGATATATAAAAACATATTTGAGAATCATCATGTTATATAAAGTACAAACTGAAATGTAAATCCTAATAGTTTTTTTGGAGCCATGTTTTCTAGCCTAAGGCAACTTAATTTACACCCTACCTAGAGAATAGAGAGTCTAAACCCAAAGTCCGGTCGTTAGTACTTAGTAGAGATGTAAATGGACCGAATATAAATAGTTACCTATTTATTCGATCTAATAGTCATTAAAAATGTCTAATGGATATTGAAGTTGATAAGAATAAAAAAAAAAAACTATATATCCGTTAATATGATTTTCGGGTATGGATACTCACTCCTTATCTGATCAATACCACCTAATTTATTTTTATTTTTTAACATGTAAGGATCTAATTGCATAAATTTTAAAAACCAAGTATTAATATTTTTCAAAAATTTCAGAAAAAAACTTATAATTAAAGTTCCAAATGTAAAAAATTAAATTTTAAGTACAAAAATAACTTTCTTAAAAATTATAGGGACTAAAATAAAATATTTTGATAAAATATTTTTAATTGGTATTAAATAAGCACTAAATGATAAATAATGCAAATCTGGATATAAACTAGATAAAGATGCATAAGATGATTTTTTAATAAATAATGGGTAATATATTTTCTTTATAAATAAGGTGAAAAATATTAAATTAATGAGTCAAATATCCTTCGGTACCATCCCTAGCTGGTAGCCAAAAAGTTACATTTTTAACAATTTCTTGGTGAATGTTTTATACTTGAGCTGCAAGCAAGCAGCCTCTTACATGCTAAAGAAAGCCAATTTCAAGTAACTTTACAGTTGTACTAGCTGCTGCAAATTGCCCAAGTTGGCCCAGACCCTTCATTTCTAATTACAAAATATAACGTCAGAAAATTAGAATAAAACAAAGGGATGACGTTTATTTATTTTGTCATGTAGAATAAAACAAATATGGAGGTGACACAAGCAATTTGGAAACTCAAGTTGAATTTCAAAGTTTAGAGTTTAACAGTGGAACTTTTCTTCCTTCTTGGGCTATATGGTTTCAGCTAGATTCAAAATTAAATTAATTGTTGTGAAATATGTATAGTAAAGTTGGAAAGCTTTCTATTTTTTAGAGGCCAAAGAGAGGGATTAGATTTGGGTTGAAATTAACTCCAACGTCAACAAATCAAAGCAGCATCACCACCTTGCCTGAGTTAATTTCGTGTGTGTGTGTAAGAAAAATATATATTCAAAGCAAGCTAATTATTAGAGTAAATTTGACTATTTTCTTATGATCATAAAAAACCCTCCAAAATCATAAATTATACTCCTTATTTTTAATAAATAAATCAAGTAAAAGAATAAAATAAAAAGACGAACAATCACACAACACAAAGATTTTACGTGGTTCGATAATGTTGTCTATTCTACGATTGTACTATGATTTATTGTTAGATTTTATCAAGTGATGACTACAAATATAAATAATGTTACCTCTGTTTATAGTGTGAACAATTAAGATTATAAGAAAAAAGACCGAAAAAACTTACACATCCGACCTAATATTATCGTACTGCTTTGCATAACTCCTTATATTGTGCTCCTCCATGCACATTAACCTTTACAACTAACACCTATGTCCCAAAATAATAGTCTCTTTTGACTTTTTATACAATTTAAAAGATTTATTCATTATGTTGCTGTGAGTATTTTTTAACAATATTTTTTCTAAAATATATATTTTTTTGGTTTAAAGAGAAAATCTATCTAATTTAATCTTGTATTATAAAATAAAAATATTTTAAAAAATAAAGTATTAAAAAAATTTGACCGACAAATATTTTAGAAATATAAATAGAAAAATGAAAAAGATGGATTGTGTGTGTATGCACATACAAGGCACCACAGCCTGTAGGGTGACCGTCCCTTATTTTTCAATTGGTTTGTCCAGGTACATCTAATATATTGTAAATCTCTATGAGAGCCTCTTCAATCGAAGAACTTTAGTCTCGTAATTAGTGATTTGAACAGCTTCTCTTTTTACTCGAAACTAGCAACTGGAATATGGGATCCGGTGAAATAATAGTTAACTCTTTCCAAGATGCGATAATTCTATCTTATTTAGCTTCAAGTTCAAATAAACAATATTCGTTCAAAGTGTGTGTATTCTTTAGCACTGGATCATTTATAGTAACTCTATATGCTATGACTTCATTTATGAAACTGCATATGTTTTGCCGCCGCCTGCGACAACCAATATCATAAATAGATCTGCAACTACTAATAAATTATTTTAATTACGTTTATTAATTAAATATAATAATAACATCATAATTAGTTTAATCATTTGACTGCATGAAAATTTTTATAATGCATCCAGAGGTTAAAAAAATATTAACATTTCATGTAAATCGACGATGTTTCTTCAAAAAAAATATAAAAAAATTATATTTTTTAAAACAATAATGTAACTATCGTGAATAACGACAATAAGAGTTGTTATCATTTTATAATGTTAATATTGTCGTTATTTGAGTGAAATTCCATATGACAAAAACAAACACAACCTAATCCTTTAAATAAACTAATGGTCATTACTTAGAACTACGATATCACGGTCAAAAAACCTACTTACCTCCCATTTTATGAGGAAAAAAAAAAAAAAGATTTGTCATATCAATGAATCCCTCTCATTTCCTTAATCATTAACAGATTCGTTATAGAATGCACACTAATTACAGAAAATCGAGATTCGTGCTCATATATGTGTTAAGACAACAGTAGCCTACGGTGTATCATGAGAAGATTATATACCACACAAAACCCAACACTAGTAAATGATTCATAATTACTGACTTCATGTTGGTCAAGGAGAACACACCACATCAATGTTAATGACCCTTTGGATACCTAAAAGTTTTTGGATCACAGAAATTTGTGCCTAGTAGAATTGAAAACCCCGAAGAGACGGCAAAGATCACATGCTTACACTTTCCTTAATAATAAGGTTTCCTTCATTGCTTGATAGCAAAATGGTGTAGAAGAATGTTGAACACGCCTTGGTGCATGTGAATAGCCGGCTGCCCTCACACGGTGCCTTAATACCAAGAACATAGACTAATACTAAACATTATGGTAATAATTATATGAATAATTTATTTATCAAATTTATCTGACCTGGTGTTGTCGGTGATGCCACGTGGACAAACCCGAAAAGCTAGTCTATAAAAGAACTAATTCTTCTTTCATGTCATGCCACATTCTGTTATCAGTTAATAAAGCTTGCTGCATTCAGAGCTAAATAGTGGGAGAGAATGAGGAGAAGACAGAAGTGTGTATTTTTCCCACTATTGGCTCTTGCATTAAGCTTGTGTATAGCAAATGTGGATGCCGGAGTGACACTGCAACCGCCAGTAAAGTTGAGATGGCATTACTACCGGCGGTCTACTACATGCACCTATGCCGAGGAGTTTGTTAGGCACCAAGTAGAGTTATTTTGGAAGAAGGATAGAAGCATTACTGCCAAGTTTCTTCGGTTGCTCTACTCAGATTGCTTTGTAACTGTATGTCTCTCTCAACCATCAATCTTATTCTATATTTCTTACTTCCACTCTTATCCAGTCTTTACTAAGAAAGGCAATCCATTTCACTAGATGAGAAATGATCAATTCATGTTTCTTCTTCGTCTAAACTACCATTGTCGATGAGACTTAGGGCTGTGATGCATCGATTCTTCTTGACGGGCCAGACTCAGAGAAGACAGCACCCCAAAACTGGGGTCTCGGAGGATTTGCAGCGATCTACAAGATCAAAAAAGTTCTTGAAGCACGGTGTCCAGGAGTAGTCTCTTGTGCTGATATTCTCAACCTGGCTACTAGGGATGCTGTTCACTTGGTAAACATCCTACACACCCTACATATGCCCTAGACACAGTAGAATAAACCTATTTGGCCCAAATTTAACTAAGAACTTCATAGACAATTAAATTTTGTTACTAATCTATAACCCATCTACCCAACAGGCAGGCGGACCAGCTTATCCTGTGTTTACAGGAAGAAGGGATGGAAAGAAATCAAAAGCATCAATGGTGGATCTCCCATCACCATCCATCTCGGGACAAAAAGCATTGGCATATTTCCAGTCTAGAGGCTTGGATGTTTTGGACCTGGGAACACTCTTAGGTAAGCACCAGAAGTACTACAACTCAAAAAATAACATTTGTCGAATCTATAAATGTGTTCCGTAGTTAGATGGTTTTTCTATAATCTTAAAGTTAACATCTTGTCACACACAACTGAGTAACTATCATAACTCTAAAGAAGAAGTGCAAGCTAAGAAGAAAGAAAGTCCTACACATGCAAACGTCCCAAGTCAACGGGTATTTTTGCATATTGCCTCAAATTTAAGTTCATATTCTGCCAATTCTTATACGACTCTTTATCAGGGGCACACTCAATGGGCAGAACACATTGTCGCTACATTGTGGACCGACTCTACAATTTCAATAATACCAGAAGGCCAGACCCAAGCATGAACAAAGCATTTGCAGATCAAATGAGAAAGAAATGTCCCCGAAGAACCAAAAAAGGCCAATCTGACCCACTGGTGTTTCTAAACCCAGAATCTGGTTCTAAATACACCTTCACAGAATCCTTCTACAAGAGGGTTCTCTCCTACCGATCTGTCCTAGGAGTTGATCAGCAACTACTTTTCAGCAATGACACACTACAGATAACACAAGAATTTGCAGGTGGTTTTGAGTACTTGAGAAGGTCATTTGCTCTGTCAATGAGTAGGATGGGAAACATCAATGTGCTAACAGGAAATCAAGGAGAGATACGCCGAAATTGCCAATACATAAATAACGGCAAAACCCAATAAAAGCTAAGAGACGTGACCTTGACAAGGGTAGATTTGTCATCATAAAAATACTGCAATTAAATGATATTGTTTTGTGTTGAAGATAGAGGATAAAAATAAGTGCTTGAAACAAAGCAAAGCGTTTCCTTTTCACAAATAAAATTACACAACTCCTGCTCAAGTTAAAAAACTCATCTTTGGCATTTCAACCATTGCAATTGTTGATCACTTTCAATAACTTTTAGTTTTCATTTTGAATTCCACTGGACAAAAAGCACAAAGCAATCAAAATTGTCAATACACAATTTGCTCCCTCTCTACCTCTCTCTCTCTTTTTTTTTCTTTATGATAATTTGCCCCCTAAATATATGGTATGATGAAATCTATAGAAAAGAAAAAAATGTCTTCGCCTAACCTGTGAGAAGTGTCATAGCAGTTAAATGATAAGAACCTGGATGCACCAAAGATGAGCCTGTTGGCACCTTTTGATCTTTCCGCTGGCCTCAAATAGAGGATGAAAATGGAAGGAGAATGCTGTAACATTGAAAAACAGAGAAAAGGAAAGCAGAGAACCTCAATTCAAATGATGTTTGAAAATCCTTAAATTGACCATCACTACAATTATAAAAATGGTCTAACTTCATAAAAATGCTACTGAACATGAAACTACATTAAATGAAGCAAGCACATCAGTAGGTTCAAATTTATAATTAAAAAGTGAGTCAAGCTAATGATTATTTGCACCGAGACAAAAAAAGCTTCTCGAAAAATGAGATCAGTCCAAGCATGCAAAGTTATAACTTCAGTTGCGCCATTTTCCAAACCCATTTTTTACAGCATAGAGATATTCTAGAAATGACAATAATTTGCATAGTGCATCATTCTTTATTCCCAGTAATCCTCATCTGCTGCATCTAAATATGTTGCTTCAATACAAGACGACCCAGGAGTACAAACCTATTTTGTTAAAGAATCAACAATCTCAAACTTGAGAGCAAAGAAGTAAGTTCTCACGTGTTTATCAGTGTTAAAAAGGGCAAGTAATTGCTATTCAGGTAAACGAAGGGCAAGGCTTAAATTTGCGAGCAAAGAAGTAAGTTCTCACATGTTTATCAGCGGAAGAAAGGGCAAATAATTGCTATTCAGGTCAACGAAGGGCAAGGCTTAAATTCACGAGCAAAGAAGTAAGTTCTCACATGTTTATCAGTGGAAGAAAGGGCAAGTAATTGCTATTCAGGTTAACAAGGGGCAAGGCTTAAATTCCACCATAAACTCCATCAGGTTCCTTAAAGCAACTAAAGTACCATTGAACAATGGTAGTTTGAACAGAAACCTTATACCAAAAATGAACAATTTAATTAAATTGCTTGTCACATATAACACGTTCATTGATGCTTATTATTTTTGGCTTTGGTGAAAACCAAACAAAAAATACCTTTTGAAAATTTTCTGCTATGATGTATCTTTTGCTAATCATTCTTCCAGTCAATTAATGGTTTAGTCTTTGATTTCATCAATTGCATTTCTTTTGCTTCATATTAACGGACCAAATTTAAAACCACAAAGAACCATGATAAAAAACGCCATGGCCCATAACCAGCCGCTTTGACCAAGGATAAACTCAGTTGATTTCCAAGAATTGTCTAAAAACAATTTCATCAAATCCACAGCAAGAACATGTCTAACTAGAAACTAAATGCATTTTACTTTAAGAAGAATGAAAGTGATCATGACGAAGAACACAGATGCCAGATAACACTCAAGTGCGTATGACTTAACAATTTTATTGGCATCAGGTGATTCATTGCAATAGGGAAGGGAAGAGAACCTGACAGTAGTTACCTCACAAAGATATGAAGGAGACAATGAAACTACAATCAACTGAATAATATCTTTGAACAGCAACAGCACTTTTCTTTAAACAACTTCATCATAAAAGGTCCAAATAACAAAATGTTGTCAAGCCATACTCAACCTCGGCATCCCAGACTACTGCTACCAGCTCTAAGTGCCAACATGGTGCCTCTGTCAGTGAAATGTATACTAGAAAGGGCAGTCTTATTCACCATTCTGGACTACAGGGTTCTTGCTTTTGATCAGCTGATTCAAACAAGAATTTCGTTTTAAGAAAGGCAGCATGAAAGAAAGATACATCACAGAACCAAACACATTTGACAGATGCAAGTTTTATGTACAGGGAAAGGAAAAACAGCATCACTTTCATTCAAGGGAAATAAATTAATGAGCACCGAACCTTGTAAAAATATTTCTTCCGAAGTTTGATTGCTGAGCGTATGCATCTTTTAACACGGATCTTCAGCAGCCTATCATTGAAAATCTGCAACCATTTAAGTAAACGTGTCAGTGAGATGAGTAAAATAATGAAGCCAAACAAAAAGAAATTCCTGTCATTGAATAATACAAATTATTTTTTTCCATAGATCTTCAATTTAATGCAACAAGACTCAGCTCAATGGTGAAAATAGCCAACAATTTTACAAGAATCCATAATCAAGCATGCCAGACAGTACTTCTGATATTCCAAGAGAACAAAACAGAGCAACACTATTTCATATATAAGTTCATTAAGTGTTTTTTTCTCGAGATCTTGAGCATGAAGAAAAACCATAGTGCGTACTCAGATAAGCTAGATATGTGCTGCTCTAGCTTGTTTATTTAGTTACTTCAAGAGAAATAAAGTAAGGGAAAATTAGTATTATCAAGTTAAGGTCCTCCTTAGAACTAGACAAGGTAAAGTAGATGGTAGAATAATTGGCAGGAGAAAAGATAAAGATAAACAGCCACAATGCTATCACAAGCACATAAATTATAAGATGACGAATAGAACTACAGAACAATGCACCTGCCTTTATCATATCATCAATTGAACGAGTTTCTTTGATTATCTTTTGCCGGTTCATGATGAGAATAGCCGCGACACAGAAAACAGGTAATTCGTCATCCCCATTCTTGGTTGATGAAATTAAATTGTTAATCTGCATGCGGTCATTTCTTGACCAAAAATTCTTTGTGAAACCACAAAAGTTATAGGTTGATGCAGACTTCATTGCAGTGTTGTCAGATGTTGGGTGCTCAACGTTTCCATGCTTTGATAGCGAACCATCCTTTGAACTACCATCACTATTTTCAATGCTTTCATCTCTTATATCTCCTCCAGAATCCATTGGAAGATTTAGCACCAGTGCATCCAGACAATTCTCCTCTAGATCACACACATTGGATTCATCAAAATCAGCAGCCCACATCATCTGTTTTAACAATGATTTCATAAAAGTCAGAATAATTCAACTTCCTGGGATAACGCAAAGAAGTAACCTGTTCATGATTATCCTAAAGACATGATGCTTTTTAGAAACCACGTTCATGCTCATTAAAAAACAAACAAGAAGAAAAGAAACCATGCTCATCAAACTGCACTATTGACCAAGGAATATCCCTTGAGCTTAAATAAACTCAGAAGCCCTTATCAGTTAAGTGCATCGCCCTCCAACTTTCATAACACTGATTCATGCTATATTTTCTCCATTTGAAATGCCTGATCCAAACAATAATAGCAATGCCAGCTTTTTTTCTGATTTTTTCTAGCTCAGTTGAACAACCACATTTTCTGCAGACAGACCTTTTCTTTCTAGTGCCACAAAGCGACACATTCCATAACTGCATTCCCTTGGAAGAGAACAAACAGATTTCAGGAAATTACCCAACAATCTCGACGGATTACCTAAGGATACACAGCCACCTAGGAAGACAAGCATTACAGAGGGCTCTAGTCATGTTATACCATAATCAGCTTAACAACTGTTCAAGCTAGTTATACATTCCACAACTGCATTCCCTTAGAAGAGAACAAACAGATTTCAGGAAATTAACCAAAAATCTTGACAGATTACCTAAGGATACACAGCCATCTAGGAAGAAAAGTAAGTAGGCCTCTGGTTACATAGCATTCCATGTTATACCATAATCAGCTTAGCAAACTGTTCAAGCTAGTTGTTCTTTGCATGCTAGATCTAGACAACATCATATAGTTTACAGTTTATCGCATTCAGTGCAGGAGAACAACTGAACAAACCTCCCACATCCGAAGAGCCTCACTAAAAGATAACTCTCGGCGAAAGAGAACCATCAGCATCCGGAATGCAAAATGGAGGCTTTCAGCACCGATACGTGATAGGTGTGCAAACATTTCCTTGTCTGTGAGTTCCAATATGTGCCACAATGCTTGCAACTGTTTCATGACTCCAGTTGGCCCTTCTATCTGAAAATTTTCACGCTGGATATGGGGAAAAAAGCATGTTAGAGAAGAACATCAGGTTATCCAGGTAAAAATGTTTGCCAAGGTAAGTAATACCATTCTCCGTAGAAGCATCTCAAAGCACCAAAATGCATCAGCATTGTCCTCAAAAAGAACAACAAAAGGAGACAGCAGATCACTCATACCTAAAACCAGATAACCAAATGGCACATTCAAACTTTATGCTTAAAGTTTCAAATAGAATACAAGCTTTCATAGATTTGAACGTAACCAAGGGTTTTGCTAAAAAAACTAAAATATAACAGAACAACCTTGGCAATAACCAGTCGCTGGATCAACCCATGCATAGACAGCAAGGATATCAGACATCCTAGCTAAATTTTTCTTATCCTCATAGAATTCAAGATGACTGTCTGTTCTTACAACATCAACAACTGAAAAAAGAGAAGGTTGTGTCAGCTCAAAGGAATAGCAATAACATTAAAATTTATGACATAAATTCAGTGCTTTTCTGTCAAAATGAAACTACATATCCGTAACTGAGGTACCTATTCGATGCAATGTCCAAAGCCATTCAGACACTCTGTCCTCACCAGCAGCCCCTCTGTTAGACGTATTTCCATTTAACAATGGTGTCTCAGGAACATCAGCTATTCTCAAATTGTTCACTATTTCTTTCTCATAACCCAGATTATTGGACTGTAATTCCGGTTCATGGTTGTCATGGTGAACTAATTCAATTTCAGATTGCTTCTGAGATGAAGCATGGTTAGATGGTTCCCCACTGGATTCGATAATTAAATCTACATTATTATTAATTTGAAAACTGTGCATCCTGTCATGTTCAAATCTCAATTTTCTTTGTGTAGCTGGTTTGTCATCATGCACACCACTTTCTTTCTTATCTTCTCTCTTGTCAAACAAATTAGTGACAGGTAAAGGAGGAAAATCAAAATAACTCTCTGCTACATACTCAGATCCATGAACCTCTCCACCTCTTTTTGGGGAAACACTATTGAGTGGACCAGAAGTAGGCATAAAACAAGAAGAGTCATATGCTGCACTATCTGAGCTTCCCCTCACGCTGACAAGCTCAGCAGAATCACTAGAACTTTCCCCAGCACACGTGCATGCTGTATCTGTACAATCATTATTCCAGTCGCTATAATTCTCTAATCTGTTAGTAGCATCTACAGAAGATTGTCTACTTCTGACCATAGCTTCCCCCTGCCATCATCCTTGGATGATGTCCTCATATCCATAACTTTGGACCCCACGACAAATGCAAGGGCACCAGTTCCTATACTTGAATGCATTTTTTGGCATTGCTCGATGAGGTCTTTGTAGCGTTCCCTGCATAAAAGACTTCATAAAGCTTGTGCTTCTAGATGGTTCAAAGAAACTGAAAAACTAAAACTGCTTCCTTTTCCCCAGTACTTAAATAATAACTTGATTAAGCCAGATAAGGCACACCACAAACACAAGCATGCCAAAAAAAAGGTATTAAAAGCTAATGATTGCATGGTGCAAAGTATTGGCAAGCTTATAAAACCCCTCATAGTTTTAGTCAAAAGAAAACGAGAGAAATAAAAGATGAAAGGTACAGATTTAATGATATTTTCACTATGCTAATAAACATGATGTGTGTGTGTGTGTCAAGTTCTGTGGTCTACAAACTCTCTAATGACAGCCCGCTGCAGCTTGTTGGGTTATGTCCAAGCTGGTATTGATAATAGTAAAAAGATTAAAACAACTCTTTCTAAATGGAAGACGAGAACCATATTTATTAAGACTCAAAGGTGAGTATGATACAACTGCAATTGGGCTCATACAGAAATGCTTCCTTTTACCACTTTGAGAGGAAAACGCACGTGCAATATGGTAGAGTAAGATCGAGGGGAAAAAAATTGACGAAGCACTGAAAAACAGGGAGTTTGTTAAATGCAAACTAATAATTAAGGCTGAAGCCTCTAAGAGAATATTTTATGGGGCATGCATGTCTTTGACTAAGATCTTAGCAGCCAACAACATAAAATCTTCTCTCTTTTTATCCACATATAAGAGCACAGGCTGAATGAAAACCTGATGATGAAAAACTATAAACAGCTCCCAGGCATTCGTAGTTTCGCATGAAAGCCAAAACAAGAAAGAATGAGCTAATATTGGACAATGCAAATAACACAGAAATTTAACAGCAAAACTCCAAATATGGTCAGTTTGGCATGAAAGCCAAAACAAGAAAGAATGAGCTGGTATTGGACAATGCAAATGACACAGAAATTTAACATTAAAACTACAAGTATGGTTAAAAAAATAATAATAATAATAAATAAATACCTTCGTGCCGTCCTCAACTGGCTCCGGTACTCAGAAGTGGTTCCCAGTGTATAGCAACCAAGTAGAAATTCCCAAACTTCAGGCCTGATAGATGGATCCACACCCTGCCATGCAGTAAACAAAGTCATATAGTTACACAGAAAATCCAACCAACTTCATAGTGATAAGCAACCCAAAATTATATTCAAGAGCCAAATCAGCACCATCTGGTTATTCAATGAAGGACTGCCAAATATAACAAGCACGAAACAACATACCCCTAAAACAATCAACTTAAGTGCTTTCCGAAAACGTGAAACCTTTCCATTACTATCAAAAGTCGACTGCCACTTCTCCGGCTTAAGCATTCTTCTTACCTGCCGCATTAACAACACTGATTCCCGGTCATAATAATACTTTTAAGCGAACAATATGAAACGTAACAAAATAAAAGGTAACTGAAAGAATGAGAGACAGTGGTCTTACAGTTATAACAACCTTTATAGGTGATTGAGAAAGACAAGGCTCTCCTATATCCCGCACAATTGTTCTTACCCTCTGTAAATTCGCCACCGCTCTCTCTTTTCCGCATTTCCATTGGTTCTCCTCTCTCTCTCCACCAGACATTTACAAAAAAAAAGTCCTCTCTCTAATTACCTTCTTAATCGTTCCTAATAATCATCACCGCGTAATTACTGAGAAATTCAACAACTGCAATTGCGAAAATCAAAATTAATCAACCCTAATTAACTGATTTAGTCAGAATTAATCAACCCTATTTAACTGATTTATTCGATTAGTAATATTGCCAAAAAAAAAAAAAGGAATTTAACTGCAAAAAACAATCGCACGAAATTGATTAATAATTAACAGAAAATTGGAAGCTTCCATCAAAATGTAACCGATAAGCAGCAGCGATCGGATGATCCGATCAAAATGTACGTACGCGTGAAACTACGTATAAATATACGCGTACATGAAGGCGTGTGTATGCATACGTACAAATGTACGGAGATGTAGAAGGAGAGAGTACCTACAGGAGGAAATTGAGATCGCGGAGGAGGACGAAGACGAAGAAGAAGAGAAGAGGAGGAGGAGGAGGAGGAGGAGGAGCAGCAGCTTGTTGTCCTCCGTCGCCATTCAGTTGAAGAATTTATTTTTTTAAGAAGAGAAGAAAGTAAAAAGGGGAAAAAAGGACCGTTTCTTTTCTCTCGCTTTCCAGTTTGTTTTTTACTCCTGAAATTTGTTTGTGTTTTTTTTTTTTTTTTTTTTTGATGTGTTTCATTTCCTTAGTTTATCAGGTTTTGCAAAATAAATTAAATTGTTCCTCTTGTTTTTAAAAAATTAATTAATTATTCATTTGACGATTGTTCCTTATGGTTAATATAATAATATTTTTTTCTTTTTTGTCAATCTTTTTATTTATTTATTTATTATTTTAAAACAAAATAAATAAATAAATTGGAAAAACAAAACTGATGAAGTTATAGATTAAAAAAAACATACACTAATTAATTAGTTATTAAAACTAGATAGATTATTTATTTAAAAAAAACAAAATGACTAATTATCTATTCAAGAGCACGAGTCTTAATTATAATAAGGAAAAATAAATAACTCGAATGATATTATCAACATCTCATAACTAATCACATCTTGTATAAATTTAGTATAGTATTCTTGTAATCGTATCTTTAATTTATTAGGTTAAACCATGAGAATATTATGTAAGTTTTTATTTTTATCAGCTTTATTTGTTAGGGTGTTTTAAAATTAGCTTTTAAATACGAAACTATTTTTTTTAGATAATTTTAGATGAACCGTCCACGAATGTTATTGAGAATATAATTAGTTAGTTAATTAAGAATTAGTTAGTCGGTTATTTCTCGGTTAGTTGTTGTAAAATACGAATTACATAACTACCCTATGTTTTCCTTGTATATATATCGACTTACGTGGGTAAAGAAGATATAACACAATAGCAAGATATTTTCTCTCCATTCCGTTTGTTACTTTCTCTCGCCTTGCTCCTATGCTTATTAACATGGTATCGGAGCGAGGTTGTTTGGGTTCCGAGAAAATTTTTCGGAGATTCGCTTCTTCTTGCATACTCTTCTTTTCATTCTTTTTTCATTTTGAATAAGTGATTGAGTGTGACTTTTTACTCATTACTTACATCATAAACACCATTATAGATCTCATTGTGTATCGGTCTTAGAGATTGATTTGCTCTCTCTTTTCCCGAGAAAATTGACACATTTTCTCGAGAAAATTTTTCAAAATCATGAAAAATCAAGCCAACAACCAAAATGCTACACGTCTTGTCCATTTACCAAGAGATTTCAATGATCCTCTTTTCTTGCATCCTTCGGATACTCCTAATTTGGTTCTAGTCAATCACTTGCTCCAAGGTGAAGATGATTACATTTCATGGAGTAAGGCAATGGTAATTTCTCCGGAAGCTAAGAGTAAGGACGGCTTTATCAATGGTCGATGTTCAAGACCGGATTCGCATTCCCCCGACTATGCTCGGTGGAAAAAATGTAATGCCCTAGTTCATGCTTGGCTACTTAACTCGACATTCGTGCGGTTGTTTAACGAACTTAGTCTACTATCAAGATGTCGTAGATGTAAGGAAAGATCTTAAAGAACGGTTTGATAAACAACATGATGCCAAGATCTTTACACCGCATAAAGAAATTAATTCATGTGTTCAAGGTGCGTATATCGTGGCGAGTGTATTATTCAAGGTTAAGACAGATTTGGGATCGGCTAGACTCATTGATTCCTCCACCGGCGTGCGCCTCGTCCACATTGTCACGGAGAGATTTCTCAACCTTTGTCGCATATACACAACGAAGATAAAGTGATGTAATTCTTGATAGGGCTGAATGATAGTTTTCAAGCAGTGAGGTCTCAAATCTTGTTAATGCAGCCAATGCCAACACATTCACAAGCTTATTCCATGGTGTCCAATGAAGAATCGCAGAGGCATTAGTACTAATTCCAATGGTCATTCAAGCACTCCTATCGCCTTCTATTCTTTCGAAGTCCATATCAAGTGAAGTCATTTGGTGATAAGACTAATTGGTCACAAACCGGAAGAGATGTGGTATGTGATCATTGTCATTTGTCCGGTCACCCGAAGGAGACTTGCTATAAATTGAATAGATATCCTCATCCTAAAAGATCATATGGCCATAGCAGAGGACGTAGGGGTGCACTCGTTAGTGAGCGAGAGAACCTATAATGCTCACAATGTGAGTTATTTGGAGCATGATAGAGGTATGATGTATGGTGATCACACAGTTGACTCGCAGGAGTTCAATCTAATCGACATCTGGAGCAAGTTTACTTGGGCAAAACCGTAGAAACACCGGTATTTTCACCTCATCAATATCGGCAGATAAGGGAGCTTCTATCCGGAGAGTCCGAGAAGAACATTAAAGCATCTACACCCGATATACCTTTTGCTAACATGGCAGGTAACTATTTTTGTAGTCTCGCTTAATGTTGATTATGGGAATGATGATATGTGGATAGTCGATATAGGGGTTAATGTTCATATGACCGGAAAACTCGAATTGCTTGTATAATCCTAAAAGGCTTGCATCTAATCTCACCGTCAAATTACCTAATGGCACTATGACTACCGTAACTCATATAGGCTCAGCCATATTTCCAAACTTTGTCCTTCAAAACGTTTTGTATTTGCCGACCTTTAAGTTTAATCTGTTGTCAGTAGTTAGATTCACCACCGACAACAATTGTTTGACAATCTTTTACCCTAACCTTTGTCTATTTCAAGACCTTTGGACCGGAAGGACAAAGGGGATTGGTAAACTTCACAATGGTCTCTACCATGTCATTCCAAATGCTTTCTCAACCACTCGTGTCTACAAATTACTCTAATAAGAGGTTTTTTCCTAGTCACTCTAAAACATCTTGTAGTTTAAATTTTGTACTTGGCAATCAAAACTCGGATCGCACTAAGTTTTTGGGTGACCATACATGTAAAACAAGTTCTCATTCTAATGTCATTTTATGGCACAAAAGGTTTGGTCACGTGTCCTTATCTCATCTCAAAATGATCCCCGAAATTTCAGTTTCCTCGTTTATGATTTTTTTTGTGAAATTTGTCCCTTAGCTAAACATGCCGGATTACCTTTTCACTCTAGTACTACCGTCACAAAGTCTCCTTTTGAACTAGTTCATATGGACATATCGGGGCCTTATAGGCATTCAACCTACCGCAAAAGAGATTCTTCTTAACTATTGTTGATGATTTTTCTAGAGGAACATGGACTTTTCTTCTACAACATAAATCTCAAGCTCTTAAGCTACTCTAGAATTTTTTTATCCTCATACAAACTCAATTCACTACCTCTATTCGTAGGATTAGAACGGATAGAGGCTCGAATTCTTACAACATGCTTGTCAAGATTTTCTATCTTCCAATGGGGTTCTTCATGAAACCATCGTTACCTATACCCCTCAACAAAATGGGATTGTTGAACGCAAACATAGACATATTCTTGATATTGCTAGAGCTCTCATGTTTCAATCTCATATACCAATTCAATTATAGGGTGATTGTATCCTAACCTCTACTTATATCATCAATAGAACACCTACACCTCTTTTGAATGGCAAGACTCCTTTTGAAATCTTATTTCATAAATCCCATGTTTACTCTCATTTTCGAATTTTTGGTTGCCTTTGTTATGCTAAGGTCTTACCTTGCTAAGATAAATTTGCTCACAAATCCACACGTTGTGTCTTCTTAGGTTACCTTTATGCACAAAAAGGTTATAAAGTCTTAGACTTGGCCACTCATAAGATCTTTGTTTCCCGTGATGTTCTGTTTCATGAGAATATCTTTCCATTTCATCCTTCTTTAAAATCTTCGTTTCTCAATCTCCAAACACTAATCCCGTATATCAATGGGTTAATGATGATGATCCCACTATGTTCTCAACACACTCCGATCCACCTCGTGTTCCTTCGGCTCCATCTCCTACCGTCATACTTCCGCATTCATCTTCCACAATCACCTCTTCTACACAATCCTCTACTCCTACCGCCTTGTTGCCTATTCGAAAGTCTACCGGATTAGTTCAACCTCCTTCTTAGTGTAAAGATTTTTCTTGTCCCACAATTCATTCGATCCAATTTCAGCTTTGTTACTTGTCCTAAATATCCTATTCAGCAGTTCATATCCTATAATTCTCTTTTCGCTTTTCACTCGGCCTTTGTTTCTTCTATTTCTTCCGTCCGAGAGCCTAGTTCACACTCGAAGTCATTAAAAATCCTAAGTGGATAGATGCCATGCAAAAGGAAATACAAGCACTCGAGTTTAACAAGACATGGACACTAGTTCCTCTACCGAGTGAGAAAGCATCCTATAGGTTGTAAATTGGTTTTTAAGGTGAAATTTAATCCTGATGGGAGTGTGGAAAGGTATAAAGCCAGGTTGGTGGCCAAAGGTTACACCCAATTGGAAAGGGTAGATTATAGTGAAACTTTTTCTCCCGTAGTAAAAATGGTTACCGTCGTAACCGTAGTTGCCTTGACAGCTATGCATAATTGGCCATTGCATCAATTAGATGTCACTAATGCTTTTTTAC